TAAAAAACCAATGACAAAGTAGAGTTAGAGTTTGCTTTTTTAAACAAATAGAAGTCGAGTTTTTATATGTAAATTTAATTGCAGTGAAAAACATAATTTTTTAAGGATTGTGATATGTTTGTTTTAAAATATATTCACTTACAAAACTAACATAATAGAAAATAATCAATGGTCATGAGACTCATATGCTACCACAACAAAGTAGATATGTAAAAAAGTATATATATATTTTTTTTCATCTTATTTCGGTGCAAATGCGATTTTACATTATACTTACAAATTTTAACATTGAGTCAAATACATATGCATGTTTATAGTCTAACAGAAGTAAACAAACATAATATTTATAATATGCTAAAATGTTTAAAATAGAAAACTCGAGATAAAGTGGGGTGTTAACATCCTAATAAAATAAAATAAAAGGACGTGCGATGTGAGATAAAGTATAAATAAAACTAAACAGAAAACTATCGCAAACAACCCCGCTTGCGCGGGCTTCAAACCTAGTATTTATAATGTCTTTCAGAAAAAAGGAACCATTTTCTCTCGTATTAATAAAAAGACCTTAAACGATACTCCATGATAGGAGGCATGTTGATAAAGAAAGTCGCCGCAGGACTTTAACAACAACAAAAAAGAACGAGACGTAAAAGAAAGTCGTGGGAGAGAGGTTACGTACGGTAAAACGAGACGACCACGTATCACAAAACGACACTTGTTATGCTGCATTTTAAACTAGTAACTCAAGACCCTCAAGCATCAGTTCCTATAGAAAGTCAATAAACGTTTCTACACGTAAAAGAAACTAATTTGTCAATGGTCACACACACACAAGACACAACATAAGAAATACATACACGCACGTGGATTCTACAGTATTAAATTGCGTTACGACAAGTTGCCAAGATGACCAATTATATACCGTCCTTATTCGCATAAATTCGCCTTCTCTATTTGAACCACTTTAGTTTAACTCAGTTTTTTCTTTTCTTTTACAATCGGATATTCCTTAAGTTTATTGGCCATCGGATATTCGCAGCAAACCATCTTAACTGAAATTTCAATCTCCTAAAACAAATATGAATATTCTATTTACCTAGATACTTTGTGAAGCTTCCTTAGTCCAACGGTTTAATTGTACATTAATGGAAGGCAAGACTTATAAGAACCGTTCGTCAAGGTGTGAATCGTGATACATGTAAATTCCAATTATTGTGGATCCTTGTGAAGCAAGTAGATATGAATTGTCCATTTAAAAGTTATCCTTGTTTTTCTTTCTAAGAATTTGTAGTAAGAAAAATTTATGACGACAAAAGGACCTAGACGATTCTAAACCAAAATCCAGACTATTTTTTTGGAGTTTTGTAGAAATTATAATATTTTTTTGTAACTGAAAACGTTTATAATGATCAAAGATGATTGACACTATATTATAGTGAAAGATTCAAACTCTGTCAAAGAAAAGAAAAGGCATTCAAATTAAACGTTTCAACCACTCAACTACCTTTTGACTGATATTTTACTAACTGTAACATGCAATTAGTAACGCTGACTGTTAATTTTTACCAAAAAAACGCTTACTGTTAATAGTTTTTGCTTTTGTTTTTTCTCATACAATTCAAGGTCAATCTAACGTGGCTCCATGCATGCAAAATGATGACGTAACAAATATATACTTTCACGGAGGCGTTTCTTCCCCTTCATTGTATTTGGACATTCACATGATTTTGTACGAATACTATTCCTTTGTCTAAAAGAGAATCTTAGACCGTAAGAATATTTTGACCGTTTATGAAACTAACGTGACCAATAAGAGCAGTGATGCTAAAAGTCTCCTTTTGTGAGGTAGGTTACCAGGAAACTACTACATTTGTGCACATTTACAAATACATTGGCATTGCCTATATATTTCGGAATAGATACTTTATATAAAATCTTTGCCTAACCCCTTTTTCGAAGCTTTTGACAAAAATGAACATAAAACCCGGATTTCGATATCGTATGCGCGTAAACTTAGATATTTTATCTCTCATATACTAAGGTTACATATACATTCACATATATGTACACGCGTGCTTCATAGTTTGACTATAAGTGGTTTTTCTTTTACACACTTTTACGCGTGCGTGACTCGTTTTCTTTTGTCTTGTCAATGCTAAAATGTAAGTCAAATATTGCACTACAGCATTATAAAAAAAAGTACACAAGATGTCTATTACCTTTTTTATTTAAACCTAACCAGCTATATTTTTTTGCTTGAAAAATGACAGGAAGCTTCGTTTCAGTTTACTGCGTGTTAATTAATATCATAACAAATTTCGTGGAAAAAAATGTAACCGTTGGCCGAAAGGGATGTCGAAATTAAATATTAAGTTTTAAAACGTGGTTTCTAAATGAATTATCATGTCGCATTCGTATGTCCTTGTCGTGGAAGGGAACGTTAATTTTCTTGAACAGTTTCGCGAGGTTTTATAATAAGCCAAAACGCTGCTGACTCATTTACACTTATTTTGATATTTAATTTCTCATAACAAAGTTATAAATAACAAAGTTATATTTAATTTCTCATAACCAAGTTATATTTAATTTCGCATACTTCTTTTTGCTTTTATTTAGTTTGTGGACCATATACTGTATATAGTTATTTATTTTTGTTAAAGTATGCGTTTTAATAATTGTAATGCCTTCGTGGATACCAAAAGAGAAACTTTAAATAATTAGCGCATATATATCAGTATGACGCCGCAGAACATATACTGTATAACGATATGACACCATTACATAGTTGCAAGAGAAATTATAATCGTAAGCGCAATCATATATCCATTTGCGTATATGATTCCAACAATCTTTTCATTGATGGGAACTGAACACTTCAGCTAGTACTTCTTTTTGAGCATTTAGTTACACTAAATAATTTGCAATTGGACCAACAGATTAATATCCAGACTCCAGTTGTGTATTTTTATTTATTTTTAGTATGTATGCTTTGTGCATATAATTTGTAATTTTTTTATTTCTTGAAAGAGTTTCGTCAAGATATATCTCTCATTGTTGTAACAACTCACCTGTATTTCGACATTAGTATTTCTTTGTAATGTCTCAATGTCTTTTTGTGATCTTCTAGTATTAAGAATGTTATAGTATCTCTTTGATTTTATATCGGTGTACAAAATTTTACGAAGAATTAATACACATGTTACAAGGCATGGCGTCTTTCTGAAAAGGTTTTGATGTTCAAGTTAGAATCTGACCAGGTGAGTGGTTGATAAAGCCGAAATTAAGAAAGATTTCAATGGCAATGAGACATGTTCTCGGTTATAAATTGGAAATAAAATTTAAAATTTCAGACATTATTTCTTGTAAATGTCATATTGTGATTGTTTTTATAGCTGTAAATTCACATCCAATAACAATATGTTATGAACGTCTTATAAATATTTCAATGATAACCAACTATGATGGTCATGACTCATGGGTGTAAAAGATTACCGTTTCTAGGCGGCTCCATATTCTTAAACAATTTGTATCGAGAAATTTTATGTAATATACCTTTTGAGGTGCAAATTTTCAAAACTACACCTATAGTGTGGAAATTTTCAAAAATACACCTTTTCCCAATTTTGATATATATGTTTGGGTTCAGTAATCCTAGATTAGGGTTTAAATTTTGGGGTTTAGAGTTTAGATTTAAGGGTTTAATGTTAGATTTTATGGTTTTGGATTTATATTTTAGGGTTTAGATTTCTTTTAATCAATGAAAAAGTGTAGTTTTGAAAATAATCACTATAGAAGTGTATTTTTGAAAATTGACACCCCAAAAGCTGTAGTTTCGAAATTTCCACGTTTATATCACAAATTTGTTTCATTTTTATTTGTTTTTATTTGTTTTTACATACCCGAACAGAGAAATTAAGGACTGAAAACTACCTGATAAAGAAATTGATAAACGATAAACATCATGAGATCTGGGAAAATCTCCATTTCCATGTGTATTACTATTTTATTTGGTGTCTTTTGTTTATGCTACCGAACCAAGCTCGGATTTTTTTAGAACATTATTCTCTTAACTGCTAACCATAATAATTAAATATATTTTAGCGAAGAAAAGAAGAGAATGCACAGAAATATAACGCAACTTGCACCAAAAGTTACCACTTTATCAAATCACTCATTTGTTTATATATCACCTCAGATTCCATCGAAACCTAGAACAAACAAAAATATACTCTCTCCATTTTTTTTAAGATGAATTTTTTAGAGTTTTCACACATATTAAGAAGAGTTGATTTTCAATTATTAATGTATAGATTTTAGCAATAAAACAACTTTTTATAAATTTATACCAATAAAAATCTAACAAATCCAACTATTGTTTCTTGAAAACTGAAAAAGTATTTCAAAAAGCTAAAACTTTTATCTTTGTAAAACAACAAAAAATGTCCAGAAAATTCATCTTAAAAAAACGGAGGGAGTATAATTTTACAAAAACAACAAATCAAGCGATTAACACAGATTTTCATCATCATTACATTAACATATAAATTCTTTAAATTTCATTATGCGAGCGGTTAATTGAAATATGAATTCGAGTTAAATACAACGTTTATTGAAAACTAATTCAATTTTATAAATCTATTACAAAAACTATCAAATCTTGATCCCAGTTTGTGGACCAAAACCATCTAACTTTATGGTTAATCTTTTTTTCTTTATAATTGGATATTGGCTCCTATATTATCAATTTATGTCAACATCAACTTCAAAACGAGGAATATATATTATAAAAATAAAATAAACAAAGAGAAATGATGTGGCAGGAGAAGTACAAGGAAGAAAGCTCTTTCACTCTTGGAGAGGAAGTTTATAAATTGACCCTTAATCCTCTATCATCAGGACATGTATTAAGACTTTGACAACTTGTCTCTCTCACACCAAACCCTTTTCCTCTGTTTCTCAATCTCTCCTCTGTTTTTTTTTTCTGCCCCCTAAAGCCCTCAATGACCAACCATAATGCGTTAATCTCCGATGCAACAAGCAGCATCGGAGTAGCAGTCAGGGTTCCGGTATCGAACCAATCTCTGTTTTCTTCCGGCGGTGGCCGGTCCATCAGCATTCCCCGGAAGATGCTTGTACAGAAACTAGAAGCTGACCCAACGATCAACTCTTGGATCGAAGCCATGAGAGCTTCTTCCCCGACCCGGACCCGACCGGGGAACATTTCTTCCCTCCCGGAGTCCGATGAAGAGGAAGAAGACTCTTCTTGGATATCTCAACACCCTTCGGCTCTGACCATGTTTGAACAAATCGCTGAAGCTTCGAAAGGGAAGCAAATCGTTATGTTTCTTGACTATGACGGTACATTATCTCCCATTGTAGAAAACCCAGATCAGGCTTACATGACTCCCGAGGTTTGTTTGCTTCTCTTCTTACTTCTTCTTCCTCTGTTTTTCGGTTTTTTTGTTTGTTGGTTTCTCTAACAGTTCTTGATTATCAGATGAGAGATGCCGTGAAAGGTGTGGCTAGGTATTTCCCAACCGCTATTGTCACCGGAAGATGCCAAGATAAGGTAACGTTTCTAACATTTAGTCTATCTTTCGGACCAGGATCTTTAGGGTTATTAGATAAAAAGAAACAAAACTCATTTGTTTTTTTTCTTCTTTTTCATTTGAACATTAAAAACAAAAAACTCATATGTTTCTCTGTTTTTATGTTTTGTAGGTTCGTAGCTTTGTGAAGCTCCCTGGACTTTACTATGCTGGTAGTCATGGAATGGATATCAAAGGACCTTCCAAGAAAACCAAACATAACAAGGTAATTATTATTATCAACACTCATGCAATAGTATAAGAGATTAATTAACCTGGGATTAATAATATTTTTTTGTTTGTTTAATATTACAGAACAATAGAAGTGTTTTATTCCAAGCGGCGAATGAGTTCTTGCCCATGATTGAACAGGTCTTTTACCTTTTTATAGTTCTCTATAGTACTAAGAAATATGAAACTATTTACATATGCGTCAAATTCAAGCAAGTTAATATAAAGATATCTAATTTGAAGTACTAAATTAAAGTACATGTTTGGTCTCTAACTAAATATGAATCTCTTAAACAGGTCTCTAAGTGTCTAGTGGAGAAAATGAGAGACGTAGAAGGAGCAAGCGTCGAGAACAACAAGTTTTGTGTCTCCGTACATTACCGTTGTGTTGATCAAAAGGTATAGATACGAAACTGAAAAATTACAAATAATACTATATATAGGTAATTATTCAGTTACGTGGTAATTCTAAACGTATGGTTGATTTTGTAATGATAGGACTGGGGAGTAGTAGCGGAACACGTGACATCGATATTGAGTGAGTATCCGAAACTGAGGTTAACACAAGGAAGAAAAGTCATAGAGATTCGACCAACTATCAAATGGGATAAAGGCAAAGCTCTCGAGTTCTTGCTCGAATCTTTAGGATTCGCCAACTCTGACAATGTTTTGCCTATCTACATCGGAGATGATCGTACGGACGAGGATGCTTTTAAGGTATTTACCATAATCAATACAAGTTTTTTTTTTGTATACCTAATAAGGAGTATTTTTGGATCGATTATTTAAATAATACTATATTGGTGGGTACAGGTACTGAGAGAGAAAGGACAAGGTTTTGGTATACTTGTGTCCAAAGTTCCAAAGGAAACGAGTGCAACATATTCTCTACAAGAACCTTCCGAGGTAATATTAATTATTTTTGTTTCTTTGAATTTAATTTTATCAGTCTTACTAATAATTTTTGTTTTTAATGTTTTGACCAGGTAGGAGAGTTTTTGCGACGACTGGTGGAATGGAAACAAATGTCACTAAGAGGAAGATAGCAAGTTTTCTCACAACATTTATTTCCACATTAATAAATGAGTTACCAGCAACAAAAATTGTTTTTTTTTTCGTAACAAAGCAACAAAAATTGTTGTGTGATCGATGTTTACTTTTTTTCCTTCATTTTTTTTATTTTATTATGTTGTAATGATTTTGTTCTTCCTGAACGAATGTAACTTTGTAGACGATTTTTAACAAAATCAATTATAATTTGTTTTCTCTCTTAACAACAAAAAAACACAAATTTAAGCTTGCAAGTATAACCATTTCAGTAAATTTTCTAGGCGTATCCATTCGGAAATGCATATAACTAGCTCGGATATCATAAGAGGGAAGAAGCAAAATAATCCGAATGTAAAATCTTGTGATTAAATATACTTCACATGATTTATACTATAATTTAGTGTTTATATTGATAGATGACTAATAGTTAAGGCGTAATTGTAATTAAGTTTACGTTGTCGACTATATTAGTTTTAGTGCCAGTGGATGTCATTTTACAAAACAAATGATAATTTGAAGGGTAATTTGAAATATAAAATTCTTTATCCACAGTATTTTTGAATGGTGATTCTACTTAGCGTAAATGATCCTTTTCAGACTCAACAAGTCTAAAATAGACCTACTAAAAATTGATTAAAATGTACCCTACCAGATACACAATATCATGTGGAGGTACACTTTGGAACCTAAAGGAACGCAGCTTTCTTAAACATATTTTATTTCCACCAACATAGCAAATCAATAAGATAAAACAAATTGCACTGTTTGCGCTGATGCTTTTTGATATCAAAATGACACATACTTTCTTTTTAAAATGATTTTTGAAGGCCGTGAAAATCTGGGTCTTTGTCAAAAAGCTTGGACTCTTGCCCCAAGCCTTAGCTTGCAAGCATCCATGTCACCTACTTTTTAGTAGAATTACCTCTCTCATTCTTTGTTTTCTCTAAAAGAAGTATTTTAAGTGTCTTTTCTCATTGCATTTCCATTTCAGCTAAATTTGTTTACCACAAGATTTATTATAATGATAAAGAACGAGCTTTTTTCAGATAGATAGTGAGGTCAAATGGTATGGTTTGCTGCACCAACAGTAGGATTTAATAGAGAAAAATAACAAAGAAAATATATAAACTAAAACCATTTAGCTCTCTAAAATCTTCTTCTTTTTTTGGGGTAAAAACCTCTCTAATGTTATTTAAGCTATTGGACTAGGTAGCCAATTAGGTGATGAAGATCCCCATCTGAAGCCATGTAAATATATGGGACGATCTAACTTAATGTATTGAGGTCTCAAGAAAGTTGAACAGGTTGGAATTAAAAACAAAAGATAACGAGGCTATTGAAACTTTTGACAGATGGATTTGGAGATGCTCTCATTTGAATGTAAAGATATTACAAGTAGACTAGAGAGCATGTGAGATCAACTGTATTTTTCTATTATTTCCTTTAGTTGAATATCATTGACCACTATCCATTTTAAGTAATTAAGTAAATTCTCTTCCTCTCTCTCAAATTTATATGAGAAACCCACTTACTTTAAAAAAGTGAAATTACATTCATTTTGTAGCTCACCATTCATCTAGTTTCTGTTTTCATTTTCACCTCCTAAAGTGAATTTATATGTATACATAAGCATGGTTTGCAAAGAAGTTAGTGGGGATAAATAAGTTATTAGAAGGATACTTGGAGAGGTTTTATAATGCATGGCGCCAGAAAAGGGGAAAAAACTATGCATAACAAAAGTTTAAAATACTTTTATCACATGTGTAAAGATAAAACCCAAAAAGAAGAAGAAGAAATTCCCACCACTTTGAAACCCATATCATTGATTTCTTTACTTGAAATAAACTACGTACCACAAACTCCAATTATTGAGTGAACATATTGACTTTTGGCACGAATTTTACAAGTTCACGGGGCCGGGTACATTCATATAACCAAGATACTCTCTACTACTATTTTCTTCACTATCTTTACCTTTCCAAGTCATTTGATGTGTTCACTTGTTGGCCTGCTCACTAAACCCTATCAAAATATATATGCCTCTAAGTTATAACATACATAGGTTCCCTAGCTAGGAATGCACATATTATTGTGTCAGTTTTTGGCTTTCGTTGCAAATATCTCTATTTATTATTGTTCACTCGGCAGAAACAGAGATTCCTCGCTGTCTGAACTGAAATCAGATATGTTATTGTAATTGTTTTTTTTAAGCCACATTATAACATACATAGCCGTCCTAACTAACTGAAGACCTAATGCAATTTGAAAAAATGTGGCTTTTATTTTTAAAAATACAATATTTCAAGGTTTATTATATCATAATGTATACTCCCTTCGTTTCAAATTAGTTGTCGTTTTGACAAAATGTATCTGCAAATATTTGGACGTATCTGTAATGCAAAACACGTCCAGATACATCCAAATATTTACAGATACATTTTGCCAAAACGACAACTAATTTGAAACGGAAGGAATATAACACAATACTTATATGTGGCCCGAAGCAGTTGTTATCACTCGCCTTATATACGGGCCGGGTCTGATTACTTGATAAGATATATAGGTTCCCTAGCTAGGAATGCACATATTATTGAGTCTTTGCATACACAAGCATAAATATAGATATTGATGTAGCTACGTGTGTACCATTTAGGAGATATTGATTGGATGGTCATAATTTTGCTTTGTTATGAGTTTTATATTAGTAATTAGTGGTCCATCAATTAATCACATGTACGAAAAGCTGATTCTAGTTCATAGGGCTGTGCACTAATTTCATCACAAATCTTTCATTCGAGAAACATGTATCCAATTTACCAGCATCTTATTAAAGTACCTACACTAATCAAAAGGATCATAATCCAACAATATTTATTTTGGAAAAGTAAAAGTAGATTTACTCACATAATTTTCTCGATCTTTCCCAAATCTATTCCCCTTTCCAAATTATTTCGTGGTTATTTCCTGACCTAGTGACCTCACATACTAAACGCTAAGATGTTGATTAAACATTAAAGATTAGCTAGGTTCTCAGGAATACTTATACCTATGACTGCGTATTTTGTTCCTTTTTTTCCAATCCTACATAACTTGCTAGAACACTAAACACATGCATAAAGCCCGGAGTTAGTCAGAGTTTCAAAGAGTTTAGTTTTACTTTAAGCTATCAGATTCTTCTTCCAAATTTAATGTATATATGAATTCATTAAAATGTGTTCTATGATGTTTTAATCCATTAATAACGCTTCAATAAGCTAGTACTACACTCTTTATCTTGACTAGGAGAGAACCCGCTCTACGCGCGGGTTTAAATTTTCGATAGTATTTTGTTTACTTGTTTTTGTTCTTTCACATTTTGGACATCGTGTGTGACTCTCTGTTATACAAATTAATATAGTTCATGCCAAATAAGGTTTTACAGTACATATAAGCTTAACTCTACCGATGTTAAAAAAACAAAGGTTAACTCAACCACATTTGCTTCTCCAGGTTCATTGTATATCTAATCAAAGTTTTTGAAAACCATTCTTGGCACCGGACTGTTGGAAGGAAAATAATTGTATAATTTAGGTTGTATATTCGAGATCTTGCCAACAGTGGGAAGATATTACTTGCTGCATAAACAAATTATAAACTTCAAATGGAGAGTCTTTAAAGTGTCTATTAACAAAAGAAACAAACTGAAGAAACAGAGAAAATAAAAAAAATGGTTAGGCATCTTTTTATTCAAACCCATCCAACATGAGAAACAAATGCATTAGAAAACAATACCTTGAGAACAATAACAATCTTTGCTTAAGCTTCCTTTGTGAAGAGCTATAGATTTTTAAGAAAATTTCTGTCTATCTTTAAAATAAAGAATGGTGTCCAATGGTGTCCGATTCAATCTGGATTTGAAGAAAAAAGTGAGAAGTTCATTACCCTTGTTGATAAGAAATAATATCTCTAAGTCGAAATGCATAAGATGTAACAATTAAGTAACGAAAGTACAATCTTAATAAGAGGTTTTGATAGAGTTTTATTTATTGAGTCAAACATGTGGTTATTGAGCCCTTTAAAAGTTTGCTTAGTTTGCATGCATTGCATTGCTCCACCAAATCCAATTATAAGTTTCAACTCAAAATTCAAGATACGATGACAATACAAACACACAACGTCATTATGATAACATCGTTATGTTTATGAGATTATGCTGCGTACGGATACAGAGTCTCTGATCGAAAGGTTTAAAGCGGTGTGTCTCGAGAACCACGGTTCGGACAGAGGGAAGCTTCCGTTGCCGCCGACTTCTGGTCCGTGGAGTCCGACTGAAGCAAACACACTCTTAAGAGTTTTGTGTTACCGTTATGATGAGCCTGCGACCAAGTTTCTGAAGAAGACGTATAACTTGCCCAGGAAGCTAACTTGAGAATGACCTAAATACAGTGGGAAACATTGGACCGGATGGGAAACACTTACAATAATTAAGTAGAATTTTTTATTTTTGGGAAACATTTCTTCATTTGTATTAATTAGACCGGGTGGGATTTGTTATATGTTGTTATTGTATGGATTTGTGAAATTAATATCTTTGTTTTTCTTCTTTCTCGTAATTTGATTCAGATTAATGATATGGATTGGCTTACAAGCATAATCTTGGTGCGACCTCTTCTTCTTCTTGTGTATAAGGTTCTACGAACTACGTAGTCTTCTTCCATGTTTACTTGTTTAATATTTCTCTTTGGTTATTAAATAAAGAGAATTGCAAAAGTATAATCAACGTGACATTGATCAAAGTCGTCTTTTAGCATTTGCTAGTTTGTGTGCTGTAAACATCATCTTTAAAAAGAGCAATTAAGTAGGCCAGTACAAAGCCCAATATCTGACTGAACCCAAAAGGCCAAAACTCAAAACACAGAGTCTGTCACGTGTGATTTTTGTTTCTTTTCTTTTTTATATTAAACCTAAAACGGAAACGACGTCGTTTTAGCTGCACTGTGAAAAAAAAAAAGATAAAATGCAAAACGACGTCGTTTTGGTGTTAGGCGAAAAAAAAGAAAATAAAAAGAAAGAGTGCCACGTGTCGAAGGTTGGAAAGTGTCCAAGCCTTATTAGTTATGTAGATTTAAAGATTTCATTATCCGGCTAAATAAGTTAAATACATTACCAAAAGTTGACATATTATTTTATTCATCTCTAATATGTTAAAAGTTTGTATATATATATATGTATATATATAATTAATTAAGTAAGATTCATATATTGATGATAATGTTTTGTATTACAAGTTGAATAATTTCATTCTAGAAAGTATAAACTGGACATATCAATATCTAGTAAGCTCCAATACCTCGAATCTATGGGCATAAATATAAGTTGCAACCAGTGATATTTGAAACACTGGCCGATAAAGTTGAGATGATACATTTATTCATATATCATGTGTATAATACCATGTTTTATAATGGTTTTGGGAGTTGATTCCAATGAACTCAAATGTGGTTGGGATTCTTAATCCATGTTATAAAGTAATCACAAGTAACTATGGAGATTAGTGGAACTAATCAGGGCCTCCTAAGTTGTGTCTGTGGAGATCACTTAGAAAGAATATACATGTGTCAGTATAAAGGATGGTCCCCTCCTCCTCCCACATCGGAGCTTTCGTCGATTCTGTCTCTGATTTTTATATTCAGATTTGGTACAAATCATACAATTATTACCTAATAATATTTTGTACGAATGAAAACTTTTGTATTAAGAAAGTTAATATTATATTTTTTTACTAGGGATTGACCCGTGCCTAGCACGGGGTGATGTTCTTTATAAAAATGTTATTTTACTGATGTTTTTTATAAAAATTGGTTTGCAAAGACTTATATAGCAATTGGAGTAGGTTTGAGGGTTTAAAAGTGTTTCACACAACATTAATTGCAGTGTATCATTTTTCTTATCACGAATTTTAAGTGATTGACACCAATCGAAATCACTAATTATGCGGTTTACCAATCAAGAGTAAAATCATATTTATACGAAATTTAGAATTTGGAAACTTGAATTAACTTTTTACCATAAATTTATATTTGAAACAAAATTTCCAATGCTCACGGTCAAACATGTGTATAACATATCACTAATAATTATTAATTAATATATTTCCATATATGTATTTTGTAATCGATAAATTACAATTACTACTTATAAGATCGTGATATTGAATCCGATTATACATTTACATTTGGTAAGTGAAAGTTATTAGTATGCCATAATTTACTAAAAAAATTAAACAGTCGAATAACTTTTAAAATATGAGATATTCCTTTCACGTATATTGATCACATCTCAGCCATTATAATCGCTGGAATATTTGCAATAGTATAATTCCGGACATGAATTATATACACGAAGGACATGGACTATATAGGCGAAGCAATGGAAAACTTCTATGTTATATGTAGAATTGGACTAAATAAAATGTGCTATGATTGAAAAACAAATATCTGTATGCACTTATATTGAAAAGATTTTATAAACGTGGTTCTTATAAATATCTGTATATATGTATATTGAAAACTATTTATAACCTAGGGTTGTTATAAAATATTTGTATATATGTATATTGCAAATTGGTTATAAAAGTAGTTCTTATAATAACCGATTTTTCTTGGTTATAAAAGTTTACCAATTTATATATTAGGGATGTATATACCAATTGATTAAAATGAAATCCATAAACCAAAGATGCAAGGTTAGATTCCATGAGTCATAGTTAATAGAAACATAGTTAAGTGAGAATTTTATTATTTGGTTGGAAGCATAAAATGTAATGGCACAATTTGTAATTTCTCTAGTAAAGGTTGTCTTAATTAGAAAATGGGTTGAGAGTGAATCTGGTGATGACACATCAGCAATGGCAATCTTGTTAATAACACAGTGGACAAAGGTTATTTAGTTAGTGTTTTCTCTTTTAATATATTAGGGATATATGTTCATACGCATAATATCCCCCTTCTTTTCTTTTTACATATCAACTTATGACTTATGGATAAGCCACTTATCCCACACACACTTAGTGTGAAAACATTGAGATAAAAATACGATTCATTATGAGAGAAAATATGCGACTTTTGATTGAAAAGGTTTAGTACAAAGATAGAAACCTTGAGTGTAAAAATTTATATGTACGATTTTTAGTTATCTTGATAAAAATGCAAGGATAAAAATACTTTACTAGAGGAGGATTCTGGTTTTAAAACTGATGTCACAAAATTAAAAAAGAGAAAATAAAGGTGATGTATGTGGACGGCGTTTTAATGCGTACCCGATAAAAGCCCAATAATGTTCCTAACCCAACCTCTTCCTTCTTGAAGAGAAAGAAAATTGGATAACTATGTGTCTATTACAAATTTACAATGGATCATTAAACAACAAAGTCAAAGAATGGAAGAAGGTCGGGTGGTTCAAGCATGCTGTCCCAGAGGCCAGAGCACTCAATTAACCTTTTGGCCATCTAATCTTGACAGGCTCGGCTGACTAACTGGTCATACGGCGTTTTAAGGTATAGTATATATCACCTGTTTTTTCACTGCTAGTTATCGGAATCACTTGAACATCCGGTTAGCACCTTCACCACTAGTCAGTGTTAATCTCTTGGGCTTATGACTAAAATCGTATGGCCTCTCAACAACTCTGAAGAAACTTGTTGCGCAAGAAACAATCTTTCACATTTGGATAGAATGTATCTTCTTGAAAAACGACCGCACCATCGGGGATACCCTCCTTGAGAAGAGATGCCTCAAATGTTGCACTCGTCTCCTATTGAGTTGGTTCGTACACCTCTAGTATTGTTATCTACTACGAACTCTTTAATTTCAGGTATGTCTTTTGGCTCCTTGCATTGCAAAGCAACTGTGAAAACTATGTTTCTTTTGGTATAAAAATGACATTTTATGCAAAAAAAAATGTAATAACAGATTAAAACTACCATAAGATCCAATTTAAAATAGTAAATACCAAACCCTATATTCGATCTAAAGCAAAAGAAGATTCGGAAGGATCAAGTATTTGACCAGCAAACAAAACGATTCCAGTCTTGTCTTCTTTAATCAAAAAAAGAAATGGATGATCAGCCACAAAATCTATTGTCGGCTTCCACCTGCAGCCCTTAATTCGGACGTAAGGCTTACTTGATGCACAAGCTTCTGCACCATCTTCATTGATCTCGAGCCAAGCTTTGTGATACAGCGAAATCTTAATCTCATCAACCAGTTCAAACTCATTGAAAGCCTTTGAAGCCTCAAACCCGAATTCGATCCTAAACTTTGGGATTTTGAATTCACCAACTTTAACGTCGGATCTCGGAATGTGATTATCCACGAAGCCAGGAGTCAATGTCATTTTCTTCACAAGATTATCCAAACCATCTTTCTTGTCGGGAAGATAGAAATACATAGAGAAACTATGATCGCTATCACTGCCTCGTCGAAATGGGAGCTGAAGGACCTTGAAACCATCATAAGCCTCTATGTATTGGTCTTCAGCGCTGCCCATGAACGGCACAGAGACTGAGGTGTCATTGAGAAGGTGAAACTCTTTGTTTGTTGTCAGATCCTTTTGGAATTTTTCTTGCCATGTTCCTTTGAAGTACAATGCGTTTCCATAAATACAAGCGGTGTCGCTTTTAACGAATCCAGGAGGAAGAAGTTCTTCGATGAGACCATTAGTGTGATTTGAAGCCCATGCATTTACCTCCACACGTACTTTTTCAGCCTGTTTCAAATCACCAAATAAAGCTATTTTATCAGAAATTGTATGAAACTAAAGTATTATCATTATTTTCCTCTTTTTTCTTTTTCTTTTGTGATGCTCTAATGTAAGAGCCAAACGGTAATTAAGGGAAAATCGGAAGATCAAAATAAATGGGATTTACATAAAAAACAATATTCAGCATATATTGTTACAAACCCTACGTACTTATATGGGAATCATGATGTTACAAAACCTAGACAAAAAGAGTATTCGCCTCACTTTTGTTTTTTTCTGGCCGTCTCATATTTTATCTAAGAAAACTGTTTTACAATTTTACAAAAGCTGTTGACCTAATTTAAATCAAGCAAATTTAAATTTGGAAAAATAATAATATATATGCAGAAAGTTAGAAAAATAGGCGAAATTCGAAACTAACCTTGAATCTGAAGTCAACTTGAGCGAAAGCAGCCTTGAAAAAGTTCTCAAAGAGATCCTTCAACGAGGGCTTAACAGATAGCGATTGCTCCATCCACACTCCATAAGCCGCAGCGATTTTAGGGCCACCATCGTTCGTACTTCCGTTGACAGGGATGATGGAAGCGATTTCTCGGAAAACAGCATAGAGCTCATCGGATGAGGAAGATCCAAGACAGGAGAGGATAAAGGATCTCAATGTTTCTTCTTCGATGCTAGCAGCGACCATGATGAGTACGGCGTTGATTGATGCCGGAGAGAAGATAAAGTTAGAGTTTCTGGCTACCGCAGAGATTACTTTTCCCGTAAGGAACATAGCCACGTCGCTTTGCTTCTTCATTGCTTCTTGTAAATCCATCTTTGAGTGAGAGGGATTTGTGATTACCAAATCCTTCTTTGAGAAAGAGGGACACGTGATTGCTTGTGATTTGCTGACCTTTTCCTTCTTCTTCTTCTTCAGATCCATCTTTGGGAGAGAGGGACTTGCGATTTCTGATGTGCTAAGGTTTTGTTTCTTCTCCTTTGCACCCATCCTTTAACTTTTCTGTTTATTTCTTTATGTGCACATACATGTGTGTATAAATATATATATATATATATATATATATATATATATATATAGAGAGAGAAGAGAAAAGATGCCTATAGTAGTTTCTGATCAAAATATTTGGTGTATCGTGAAAAATGTAAATCCTTTTTAAAAAAAAACAAATATGTAAATCTTACTTATGCAATTGCTTGTTACGCAAGTTTAGGGTTTAAAACTTTGACACACGAGGTTTTTGGGATATAATTTTTTTTAAATGGTACTCTGCCACAGAAAATAAAACAAGCAATGGGACGAATCCAAATAAATATATAGCCTAAAATACCCCAAATTCAAAGCACTTGTACATCCAGAATAGTTTATAAACTCTCATGCACAACACTAAAATCTACTTTTCATCTGCATGAAAAAATGAAACATCAGTAAATTAGCTCCCGGACAAACTAGCCGTCCTAGTTAGTAGTCTGACCACAAGGTATGGTCTTAGGTTAACAAATGCATTGTTGGAAACTTGCAGCCTACTTGATAAGGCCACTTTCATTTGCTTCCCTTAAAAGACGTTTTTTCAGTTGATAAGGCCACTTTAGATATGAGTCTAGCTTAACATGTTGAATGACAGTTTAACATTTTTAGAAGTGAAGAACCTCAGAAACAGTTGTTGCATCTTCTGCCTTTGTCTCCTTTAGATTATCCGCTATAGTTGTCTATGAATGCTGTTTTGAATTTCCCGCATTTGCTTTCCCTGAATGAACTTCTTTTCAGTTTATTCTTGAAGTACTTGAAACAGTTCTTGCATTGTCTACCTTTGTCTCCTTCAGATTCTCAAAGCTGCGACTGCTTTATCTGAACCTGCAACTTATTTTTGATGATTTTACTTTCACATGATGAAACCTTTAAGCGTCCTATCTAAACAAATAAATTTGAATGACAAAAACCAAAAAGAAAAAAATGTCGTCGTTTTGGGATGTGAATACAAAAATGTCGTCGTTTCATAGCTCAAGAAACTCCCCAAAACTTACAAGTCCGATTTTTAGCTATCTTGATAAAAATGCAAGGATAAAAAATTTAAAATACTTAGTGACTAGAGGAGGAGGCTGGTTTTAAATTGATGTCACAAAACTAAAAAAAAAAAAAAAAAAAAAAAAAAAAAAGAGAAAATAAAGGTGATGATGTATATAAATGTGTACACAGCAAGAGAACCCGACAAAAGCCAATAATGTTCCTAAGCTAAGATTTACAGACCCAACCTCTTCCGACTTAAAGAGAAAAAGAAATTGGATAACTATATGTCTATTACAATGGATCATTAAACAACGAAGTCAAAGAATGGGAGATGATCGTGTAGTTCAAGCATGCTGTCCCAAGAGCACTCAGTTAACCTTTTGGACATCTAATCTTGACAGGCTCGGCTGACTAATTGGGCTCTTGGTATGCCATCCTCCTACTGCCTATGTCACCAGCTATAAGGGACAAGGGATATATATCACCTGTTTTTTCACTGCTCTTGGCTAATGACTAAATCGTATGGCCTCTCAACAACTCTGAAGAAACTTGTTGCGCAAGAAACAATATGCCTCAAATGTTGCACTAGTCTCCTATCGAGTTGGTTCGCACACCTCTAGTATTGTTATCTACTACCAGCTCTTTAGTCTCAACTAGGTCTTTTAGACCCTTGCATTGCAAAGCAACTGTGAAAACTCTGTTTCTTTTGGTATAAATTTGACATTTTTATCCAAAAAAATTGTAATAAAAGATTCAAACTACCATTAAATCCAAATTTAAAATCGTAATACAAAACCTTAATCTTAAGCTAAAGAAGATTCGGAAGGATCAAGTATCTGACCAGCAAACAAAACTAATCCGGTATTGTCTTCTTTAATCAAAAAAAAGAAATGGATGATCAGCCACAAAATCTATTGTCGGCAGACACATGCAGACATCATCATCTTCGGCGCAAATAAAACTGTATGAAAAAGCTTCAGCACCATCTTCATTGATCTGGACCCAAGCTTTCTTGTACAGCGAAATCTTCATCTCATCAACCAGTTTCAACTCATTGAAAGCCTTTGTAGCCTCAAACCCGAGTTCGATCTTAAACTTTGGGATTCTGAACTGACAAACTTCAACCTCGGAACTCGGAATGTGATTATCCACGAATCCAGGAGTTGATGTCATTTTCTTCACAAGATTATCCAAACCATCTTTCTCGTCGGGAAGATAGAAATACATAGAGAAACTATGATCGCTATCACTGCCTTGTCGAAATGGGAGCTGAAGGACCTTGAAACCATCATAACCCTCTATGTATTGGTCTCTACCGCTGCTCATGAACGGCACAGAGACTGAGGTGTCATCATAAACCATCATAAGCCTTTATTTGACTTGATATCTTGACCCCTGTTAAATTAAATCCTAGATTCGCCACTGATCTCAATGTTTCTTCTTCGATGCTAGCAGCGACCATGGTGAGTACGGCGTAGATTGATGCCGGAGAGAAGACAAAGTTAGAGTTTCTGGCTACCGCAGAGATTACTTTTCCCGTAAGGAACATAGCCACGTCGCTTTGCTTCTTCATTGCTTCTTGCAAATCCATGTTTGAGTGAGAGGGACTTGTGATTACCAAATCCTTCTTTGAGAAAGAGGGACACGTGACTGATTGTGATTTGCTGACCTTTGCTTTCTCTTTTTTCTTCTTCATCATCTTCTTCTTCGGATCCATCTTTGAGAGAGGACTTGCGATTTCTGATGTGCTAAGCTTTTGTTTCTTCTCTTTTGCACCTATCCTTATATATATAATACAATATATGCATAGTTTCTGATCAAGATATTTGGTGTATTTACATTTTTTTTTTGATAAACAAATATGTAAATATTACTCCCTCCATTTCTTTACATATTTACATATTTCTAAACCCTAAACCCCAAACCCTATCAATCTCCATATCGAATCAGCTCATCTAGCTGAACAGGGAAGAGAACCCTAATCCTGCAAATCACTCTACCTTGCAACCTCTTCTTGTAAACCCTATACTCTTCCATTACCCAAGTCGCATCAACCTCAAATTCTCCAAACCAGAAAACCGGTTTTACATATCCCGGTTTGTGACAGAACTTGTAAAACCTCTTGAAACCAAGAACCTTGCTGGTCCTCTTCGAGATGACCACTTTATCACGCCTAATTATCCTCCAGCAACCTCCCTCGCATCGATCGCTTCTACCGCAAGTCTCTGTCTTGTTGACGAAGAAGTAGTGTCCCTCGTGTTGGAGGATCGACATCCGAAGAGGCCACACAATCCACCATGGGACCACAGTGTACACTCGCTCGCTTGGCCAGAAACGTCTACCCCAATCTCTCCGGTCATCGTCGAACAAAAACTTCAGATAGAATGTGATTGATTCATCCTTTGGCTCGTTAGGTCTATTGAAATCCAACCTAGGGCACAAACGTCTCCGACGAAACGGCGGTTTCGGCAAGAAGGAGAGATGCTTGGCGAGCAAGGAAGTAACCTCGGATTGGTTCAGAAGAAGAATCTTGCAAATCACTTGATCTTGCTTCCATTTGTTGACAAGCCCATACTCTTGCATCACCCAGATTCTCTGTTCTTGTTCCTCGTCTTCTTCTGATGATCGTTTCTTCTTCATCTTCTCTTTATCACAGAACTTGAGGATCTTCTTGAACCCTAGAAACTTCCCGGTATCCTCAGACTTGATCAGTTTATCACGACCTATGATTCTCCAGCAACCGGATTCGGATCCGTCGGTTTTACCGGAAGACTCTGTTCTGCGTTTAACGAAGAGGTAGTAGTCACGGTTACGATCCGTGAAGAGGCGCCATGGATTCAGGTTGTACACGCGTGCGTCTAGGTCTCGGAGGTAATGGTTAGGCAAGAAATCGCCGTTGTTGATCGTCGTAGTTAGATAATGTGAGATTATCACGTGGTCTGGTGGCTCGATTCGGTCATCATCATCATAGTGACCTTCCATGGCTTCTTCCTAGGCGATGAAACTAGATTGATCAGATAGAAGAAGAAGAAGAAGAAGAAGAAGAAGAAGAAGAAGAAGAAGATTTTGCAGTGATGAAATGAATAACGGTTCGAGAGATCTAGAGAGGGAGAGAGGGAGAGAGGGAGAGAGAGATAAACAAGAAGCGCAAGAAGCAAAGAAGCGAAGAAGAATAGATGCTTTATAGTTAGTTAGTTATTACCGTTATCTCTCTGTCGTCCGTAACTAACTAATAATTCATATTTTTCATGAAATGATAATAAGGTTAACCCAATAATTTTAAAGTGAACAAAATTAGTTAATTAATAATTCATATTTTTCATGAAATAATAACAAAGTTAACCCAATAATTATCACACTAACAAAGTAAACACAATAATATATTTTACGATATGTTTAACTGGATTAATATGAGTTTTTTTGTTTTTTAACAAAGTAAACTGCATTCAACAGTTTAGAAGGCTCACATCCTATTTGAGTAGAGCAGCAATAACTAGTGAATTATTTTTCAAAGTAGATTTTAGTTGTAAACTGTGTGTGGGTCTTGTTCTCAAACAAAGGTGCAGGAAGATATATATACATTTTTTATACAAATGGGCCAAAAGTCCTAAGTTAAATTTATATATCTATTGATTTATTCTGTGAGTATATATATTTATGATGTAAAAATCCAACAATATCTATCCTTTCACATTCATCACATCCCCACTACAGAACAAAGATCTCTGCTCTCTCTCTCCTCTCTCGTTCTCGCTTTCAGATTGAGTTTGACTCTTCGCCAGCCACCGCCTCCTCTCTCTCTCCATCAATGGCGACACCATACCCTATTCTTCTTTCTCTCTTCAACCTCTTTAAGTAAACCCCTTTTCCCTCTTTCTCTCTCTTTCTCTTTCTCCTCTCAAACATGCATCAAATCTCAAAGCCCTAGATTCACAAATACAAGCTCTTCATCTTCTCTTATGTTCTTGTTTCTTTCATGTCCTGATGGATTCTGGCAACAGTGAAAGCTTACAATCTTCAAGTGATGACCACGAGTCTTCATCAACAGGTGTTGCAGCAGATCACTCTTCATTTTTTCTCCCACCCTTCTCCTCCCCCTTCTACGGCGCCCCAACAACCCTCTCCTCCGCCTCCGCCTCTTCCTCCTCCGCCACATATCTAAACTTCGTCAACAATCTCATCTCCGATGACATTCTCCACCAAACCCATCTCCTCCCTCCTCCACCACCGCCGCAGCCTCCTCCGCCTCAGCCTCCTTCTTCCTCAAGAAACCCTAGAAAACGAACAAGAGCTTCAAGAAGAGCACCAACCACCGTTCTCACCACCGACACTTCTAACTTCAGAGCTATGGTTCAAGAATTTACCGGCGTCCCTGCCTCTCCATTCTCTCACCCTTTCTCCTCCACTACTCGCCGCTTTGATATTTTCCGATCTCCGTCCGATCAACCTCTTAATTTCAACCCTTTTCGTCCAATCCCTCAAAAACCTCATAATCAACCTTTGATCCCTTCTTCTTCATCTTCTTTGCTTAACCAATATAATCACACTTCTACTTCAACAAACTTTCAGACTCTTCCTGATTTGCCCCTCCCCCAAAGTCACCACCAAGTTTCTACGTTTCAGTCTCTTTTATCTCATCAACATCATAATCAGCAAACAACAATATCCTCTCTTCACGATCTTGACTCAATAAATCTCGGAGCATTACAGCAAAATCAAAATCGCAATCCAACGTCTGATGATGACCACCAGCTGATGATGATGAGACAGTTCTCAGAGTTTGATAAGGGACATGAGTCTTCTTCTTCGGCTCCGATCAAAAGCTCTTCAGGTACTACTACTACTACTACTAGTACAACAACAACAACAGTTGATCCCTGGATTTGCCCTACAGATTCCAGTAATTGAATATCATGCACATTATTTAAAATAATTGATTTTTATTAATCTTATAATTTTAAATCTAGTACCAGCTTCCTAAAATCAGATTGTAGACTCTTGAGATTTATCAGATTTTTTTTTCTTGAATGATATATTCCATATTCTCATTTCTCGTGATTATACTCTGGCTTCACGTTACGATGCACCCCATAATGGGGTATATGATTCTCCACATGTTGTAAGTATAAATTAATATATGTATATGTTTCTTTTTTTTCGTCTGAAAGTATATATGTAAATAATTATACGTTACAGATTTGGGTCTTAGGTCTTGATGAGAATCCAAATCGGATTTGGTTCGTTGGTCTACAAAGGACAGTTCACACGTGCAATGTGTTTTGTTCCATCGTTATTTTGACATTTCTCCCTTCTATACATTATAGGTTTATAGTCTCATTAATGCTGCCACTGCTTTTATTAAATACTCTTCATCAATGTATTTACGAAATATAGAAAACTAGGTAAACATATATAGCCAACTAGCTACAAAATGAGATGTTTTCTTAATGAAAAAAATCAGATTTTCCATGCATGTGATGATGTATTTCAACGTCGAAACTGAAAGTAGTGGCTCATATTGTGTCTCACCTAAACTACTGATTATCACTGGAAATTAATTTACGGACGTTATGAATATATCTTGGATTTTAAAGTGCGATGAATTTTTCCATAAACATATCTTAGATTTTTTACTATAATTTCAGCTTATATATAAACTCATATTGCAATATAATTTATTTCCAAAGTGTATTATATTATGAGTACTAAGTTTTCGGCAAACTTGTCTTCTCGCTTCCGTAGAGGGGCGCGTGCTATACCATAACTGAGAAATATAAGTTTTTGTTTGTTCATAGTATTAATGGAAAAGTTTATGAAAAGACTATATATCCAAAACCCAAAAAAAAAAAAGTTATAGGTGTATGATATAGAGATATAATACTATTAGCAAACTCATAAAAAATTACTTACAGAAAATTCTAGTGTATATCATTTCTATAAAGAAATATGAGCTCAATAAGTCTTAAGATAAGGTGTTCATATCTATGAAATGCCATAATAAGTCAACATATGATATCTCTTTCCCCAGACCGTTTAAAATTTGAACATTTAAAACTAGTTCTTTCTCTTACACTATATTTAGATTTTCTAGAGATATAATAAATTAAAAGGTTAAAAAAAAAAGAAATCCAAATATTATAACAACTTTAGTACCAATTTTATATATCATATATATCAAAAGTCAAAACTATGTAAAGTGAAGTTTAGGTTAAAAAAATAGTGTATCAACTCGGCGTGTAATTTTAGATGGATTGTCCCTTTCTATTGCAAATTTTGCCTTCTATATATTACTCCTTTTTTCGGGTATAATTTTTCACTTGCTTTTTACAGTCATAGAACCGAGTAAACGCTTCCGAAAGGGAATCCGATATATAAATGATCCAGTAATGGTCTATATAGCTTGTATTACCTCAGATACTCCTTGTCTTTCAGGATTTGTGACTGAGAATCTGAGATGAGAAATTACCTCCTAATTCTTAAGTATTTGAAAATTTGAAATAGAACTAGAAATTTTTTTTTTCTGGTCAATCGATTGTATTAAAAAGCGAAAGAGCTAGATTGATCTTCGTAGTTTATTGAAAATTTAATATTAATGTCACTTAAAACGTACAGAGTTTTAGTTAGCATCCTTCCTACGTATCTGCCGCACTAGGTCAGTATCAAATTAGCTCATTTTTAGTCCTTTTTGTTCTTTCTCGAACATAATTATTCTAGAAACTCCACTTTTTGTAATGGAATTTCTGTTCAAATGCAAAGCAACGTTTGAATTAAAAAATAAAATTAAAAACAGAAAAATAAAAATTAGAGTAGAAAGTTCGTTGCATAAAGTATATATGGACCATATTTATCTAGCCACTCGTGAATCAAATCTTCTAAAAATTGCTTGCTTTTTAAGAATCAGGGTGCTGTACTAAGCCATTCCGATTTCCACGGCGTTTTGTTTGTTTTCCTTAAGGGTGCTGTTAGGTAACAAACTTAAATCCTCTTAAAATTAGTTATTATGGAAAATTTTAGTAATGCTAAAGTATTTAAAAAAGGAACAATGGTCAATGGAAGTGGAAAGCGATTACTCAACATTTTAGACAAGAATGGTCAACTTTCCATTCTTTGATAAGGTCAATGGACATTGAGTCATCGCTGATCGCTGCATATACGAAATTGAAAAGTATAAGAAGTTTGAATATTCTTCTGATTAATTGGTGCACATGATTATAATTGGAAATTTATGTAAAGCAAAATGAAAACGGATAAAATGTCATTGTTATTAACCAAGCGAGACGGTCCTAATACGTTAAGTTTGATTAAGATACGAATCCAAACTTCCGATTTGAGGTTTTTATATATATTATTAACACTTGATAAGAAAAAAACATATCAGGACGCATTTATACATATACAATTGTATATATTCGTACTTGTATGCATTTAGAAAACAATGATGAAAAATGGGCGAGGGATCAAGTTGGGAAGATATTGAGGGCACGATGAAGATATAATAATCATAATCAATTTGAGGTGATTTGTGTCTCTTTCTTATTTGGAATCATTCGAAATGGCCCACGCCAGAGAATATTATTATTTCTAGTAATTATGAGCATATATTCATTTCATTTGGATACGACATCTCAAAACTTACATGCACAACAAATATTTTCTCATCTACATGTACATAGCGAGTATATAGTGTACAAGACATTTTATTTAAGTGGAGTTTATTTAATGAAAATTGAATATATAATTTCAGGCCTATAGCCAATAGTTTATGTACGTAGAACTAGGAATCAACAGGGTGAGAAGTGTACGAAGTTTTGTATCCTTAATTTAGTGGACCGCTTGCTTGTTCTGATTGGGTCCACATCTAATACGAAGAAAGCCTATTGCGTTAATTTTGGAGAAAAAAAAAATAGTGTCTAGCTAACTTGCTACATTTTAGTCTGAGATCATAATTCTTCTTTTTTTGTCAATGTGGAAGAAGATCTCATACATCGCCCCGAACCAGGTTAAGCCTTTAATAACTTATCCTACCCAACAACCAGCACAAACCTCGTTGGTTCTCTTATCAAAACTTCATTCAAGCTTATGTCGGATCAACCTCTTAGGCTCACCCTAGCAAACTTATGTCATGGTCCGTTTATGCAGCTTCATGGTCCAACACAGCTCTAGATCATATACTTATATATATTACATGAAATTTTGACTGATATGTTTGCTTCGTTTGATTAACTTCTTATTTTGGGTGTTCTTTTGACCCAAACAACTTTTTTCTTACTCGTCCTAGGCTCTAAGCATCTGGAGCGATGCGATCTCTTAAAGACTGTCCGGCTAACTACACATGTTACATGTCCTTGAACTTTCTTGGTTTGTCTATCAAGATGACCATCCATCTGCTATTTCTTAGCATACGTACGTTGACCCAGATTCTCGATTCAGCTACCTTGATTTTCGTTAGCATCACACATCCAATCTAGAACTGACGTCATTTTCCTTATGTGTTTGACTCCATCTCTCCTATTCACAAATTAAACCATTATAGGATGTGTTTCAGCTTGTCACTGTTTTCAATTAGGCCTTAGGGCACAATGAGTTTGATGCATTTGACAAACAGAATATTGGATACTTGCATGTTTTAACTCGAGAAGTAGTAAATAGATTCATTCTTATCTTTACTAAACATGTACGACTAAAAACTCTATATTAAGTGAGAAACATAAAGAAAATTCAATTCACGAGCTTCGATTTCACAAAATGTAATGGATTGTCAAAAGGGAGTAGAATACTAAAAATTATTTACGTGTAAATCTGAAAGAGAGAAATGAAAGTAAGTTGCATCAAAGTTAGAGCTGGTTTCACATTATTATAACTTAAAGAGGTATCTTGCAAATGAGGCATTATTTTTGTCTCCCTTAATGCTTTGTCTACTGACTTCAACTACCCCACTTTTGTTTTCCACTCTGCCCTCTCATTTCTTCAGCCTTTTCTAGTCGAAGATGATAATTCAACATGTTAAATTCTCTGCAAGTATTAACTTTTATATACATGCCTATAGGTTTTTAAACGAATATGAAAAATAACTTGATAATAAAATAAAAAACAAAGCCAGTTGGATCATGAACAATTTATATCCAAATGTGCACCCAACACCTAGTAAAAATTATTCTCTGCTCTCAAAATCAGCGGCCACAAATTTTACAAATGATTTATTTTAATTTCTTAAACAATAGCTTCTATTTTTGTAACAAGTCTTAAACAATAGTTTGTCCACAATTTGGTGTATTGTAGGATAATCATGTTGGCAAATGAAGAAACAAGTTATTTCGGGAAATCATCGAGATTTCTTATAATTTTGTTAGCCTTATTATCTTCTTTCTGAAATTTGATAATTAATGAAGTGTCAAGTCGAGTGATGTCATTATTGCATTATCTTTATAAATGTATACATAATATAAATGGACAATTGGACAAACAAATTGTCCTACAAACATTGAACTTTTTATCATATAAAAAATAGAAAAAGTACTATGAGAAAATAATAAAAGTTCTAAATGTACACAAACGATCGGTTGGTTTCACAAATAGATTGCAAAAGTTTTCATTTACCGTATTACACACCGCTAAAAAATATCAGTAGTGGGTTCCATATAAGAAAATCATTCTTAACAAAAAAGAGAACATGAACTTGAAACTGAATCTTAAAACAATACACGAACTTGAACTTTTGTCTTACAGTAAACTGTAAAAGAAACTATCTCATGGATTAAACTTCTACATTTGGTTTTCTAATCTAATTTCTCAATCTCTTCATCTTTTAGAAGCCTAGCCTTGCTTCCTTCAAGAATTTTGTTGTCATCAGTCGATCCACTTTTTCATGGACCGCACGCCCAAACATGCGGCCCATTAGATAACGTATTATCAGTTAACACACCAACATTATATATTCATTTATCATTTACATCTGGGCCAAAGCTAGGTTAGACATCATATCTCGGAGAAAGTTCATAAGATTCTTCAAACTATAGACTAAGTGACTCATATGGCTTTAAAACCATATTCAAGTAGAGAAAGTTTATAACTAAATGCTCTTGTCTCTACTTAGAAGTAGAAAAAGTTTGTACATATTCAAGTGAACCAGTGATGAATATATGTTCTTTCAAACTTGCACTCATTGTTTATACATCTGTGCTTTCAAACTTGCACTCATTGTTTTCATCCGCTGCCAAGTTTGTGGAGGTAATGTCCAATATTATAAACACCAAATCCACAAGCTTATGTAAGTAAGATGTCCTAAAACGTAGAAATTCATAAATACTGTATGTGTATAATAATAATCAATGGATGTAACTCTGAAAAGTTAATGTTTGTGTAATTCTTTTTTTCTTGTTCTATTTAATCTTGATCCCAAAAAGTACTATAGTTTAATGTTCTAGTAAATAAATTTATACTTTCTTTTTCTTTTAACAAATAAAACTCTAAGAACTAGAATCTATCTTTCTAAAGTTTAGCTTAAACAAACAGTACCCACACAGTCTGCAGTATCTTATATTTATCAAGCGCACATATAATTCTACAGCTTTTTTTTTCTAAAAATATATTAATTCTGTTGTTCTTTCAACAACAAATGAAAATGTGTTCATTATGAGCACACTTATATTTAATTACCTCTGCCGACAAATTATATTGGCCCAACATACTTTCTTTAGGTGGACTGTATTTGATTCTGATAATTAGTTAGCTATGATTTTGATGTTCTTGTTCAAAGTTTACTCACCAAATTATTTAATCCTTTTTTAAACGCAAACGTCTTCGCTACTTGTTTGCTCATGTCTTGACATTTTTGCTCTCAACATTTTGTCAAAAAAAAACTTTTCTCTCTCTCATGATATTTTACTCATTTCTGTTTAACTTTAACCTTGACTTTGGGAATCTTTTCTTTACCATAGTTTTTAGAGAAACTATCCAAAGTAACAAGAAGTAAATATAAGATTCTTAACGACTCCTTTGAATATGTAATGATAATTAAGTGCTTATGCTAAAGTAAAAGAAATCTTATAGATTTTTGTTAAAGAACAAAATATAGTTAATGTATCTGTTACTTTTTAATTCTCAAATCGATAGTATGCATATGGATAAATGAAATTAAGATCAGAAACAGTTGATGGGAAAGTATCCAAGTAAAAGGTTTAACTTGTTGCGGCTTCTAAAGCAACCTTAAAGTGTTGATGCGGTTACATTTATGCATATATGATCCTTATATGGCAAGAAATATGTTGTTCCGAAACCGACAGTGGCACAAAATAAAATAAGTAACACAGTAATTTCATAATTAGGTAGTATAAGACCATTTTTGAATAGAACGATAAATTGTCTTTGAAACTAACGACAGATCCATTTACTAGAGGTGAAATTTTATGTAAATTTTTGTTGTATGAATATAATCTTATATATACCAAACTTCTTTTATATATACACTTCCAAATTTTTTTCAAGAAAGACACGTACAAATAACAAAACAGTCGGTCGGTAATTTAGTTTAGAGTGTATATAGTGTCACCATACTAGCATTAAAATACCATGTTCCCCATATCTATGATTTAGTTAAAAAACGATCTTATCTTCTTCGTTTAACAAAAATCCTTAAGTATCATAATTTATCTGATGTTTGTAAATGTCTAATAGATTTTGCATTCTTTTAGATGTCTGCCTTTAATGGATGAGGAGATCAAGACTGTAGACTTCGATGACGAGTTCGTTACCACTGGAAGCTTTTTTTTGTGTTCGTTCTTGTAATATATATTTGTAGCATTTGGCATGGGTGTTGTTTGTTTTCCCTAAATAATAAACAACACAGTCATGCCAAAGCTTACTAGCAAGGCTTATGGTTCTTTACCAAAAAAAAAGTAAGGCTTATGGTTAATTTTCAATGTCATTCTTAACTTGTTTAGGTTTCATACCAAAAAAAACTTGTTTAGGTTTCTGAATCTCGTTGTCTGAGGTAGATATATATATATATATATATATATATATATATATATATATATATATATGGTCTTAGAATAAGTAGGCTAGTAGTAAAAACAATTTGAGGGTCTATTCCGGAAGAAAAAAAATAGTATGCACCACATTGCTCTCCTAGTTTACTATTCCCTCTGTCCTATATTATAAGCAGTTGAGCAAAATGAATCTGATTTTGGGACAGAGGAAGTAGTACACTAATACTCGTTCAAAATTATTTATAAAATCATTTGATTCTAAACATCAAATGATTGAGAAAACTAATCAAATGGTTTAATAGACGGGTTGGTTAGCTAGCTGGTTTGATCCTGAGACAAATTTTTGATTTACGGATACTGATATTGTCTTATCTATTTTTACTCTTTTGACACGTTTGTCTTTTTGAGTGTTACCTTCTACTTTATTATTTGTAATATCATTATCTAGGAGGTTTCGTGTTTTGGATTACTAGGATCCCCAAATTATGAATTTTCAAGTGACTTGTTAACTACTAACCATTTATGGAAATCCACGGCTAACATTCTCTTTGTCATTTAAAGGAAATATGATGTTACGAAAAGGTAGCGCGGTCACAATTATGATAATTGTAACAAAAGATATCCCCTGGCTTCCTTAACATTTGTAAGAATCTATAACCATTTTGTATTAGTTGGCCAAAAAATTGTGTGACAGCTTCCATCGTTTTATCGATGCAAAAACCAGCAATGTAATTATGTATAGTGAGTTGCTAGATAAAGAAAACATAAATTTTATTTTTGAAAATAAAGAATTTTAATAAAAAATAGTTAAAATATTGTAAATAGCATGATGTTTATAAAATCACTTTAATTAAAGAGGTACGTTTTGAACTTCACGGCAACTTCATGGGGGGATTAATGTACTGTAGAATAACTTTGAATCTGGATGGTTTGACCTAGACTTTTTTTCACCTGTAAATAGATTTTGCAAAACAAAATTAGTTGAAGAGTTTTTTGCACAAAAGTACAAAACCTTAACAACTCCAAATTAAAATCTTAAATATTTTATTTTAATAAAAACTAAAGAAATATTTTCTTTACGCGTGGGATTGAGGTTATACCATAATCCAAGTAATTAATTAAAAACGTCAGACTTTCCTTTATGTGCAAGGATATAATTTGGTGAAGCTACAAACCAAATTTGAAAGTTTAAAAATATCAAATACTAAACCGGCTACAGTAGGTAATCATCCAACTAATACCGTCACGTGTCCAGTTCATAAAAAGAAACCCGATCACATGCCAAGAGAATAATTAAAAGTGTTTAAAATTCTTATTTGAAAAAAAAAAAATAACTGCTTTTATTTTTAAAAAAAGCATCCAATAGCCAAAGGCGGTACATGATTCAAATATTCACCCAGTTGGGATATAAAGAGACAGAGAGATAATCCCCTGCGTCACAGTGTATTATAATAATATTTTTGTTCTGTTTTTAAATATAAAAGTATACAGAGAAAAATAAACAAAGCTTTGTTTTGAAACAGAAGAAGAGTAGCTACCACTCCACTCTTTTCGTCTTCTCTCTATACATACGCTTCCTTGTGTTTTTACTCTTCCTTCGTCTCTCGTGTCGCGTTTAAGTAATCCGCCATTGTTGTTGCCTCGAAGCTCTAAATCTACGAGAAGAAGTACTCTCTCTCTCTCTCTGTGTTTTATTCTCTGTCTCTCTGTCTCCCATTTCGGTGGATTTTTGTTGAATTTTGTTTTTGTTGATTTTCGGTGAAAAGCGATGGAGAAAAACACGCCGGTGAGGAAAACACACACGTCGACGGCGGATCTACTCACTTGGCCGGAGAATCAACCGTTTGAGTCTCCCGCCGCCACAGCTTCTCGCTCAGCCGCCAGATCGCACCAGGTAATTCAGTTAATTTCGCGATCTACTTATTCACTAAACGAATCAAATTCGTTAAGATTTTTGTTTTTGAAAATTAAATTTGATTTTTTTTTTCTGATTTTAAGTTTGACAAATGAATTTGATTCGTTTCTGATTGTTTTTTTCTCTTTTTTAATTTGAATCCGGGAAAACAATCTTAGCCGTCAGATGGAATCAGCAAAGTTGTGTTTGGAGGACAAGTTACAGACGAAGAAGTCGAGAGCTTGAACAAGAGGTAACAGAGATCTGATCATTTTCTTTTGTTTTTTTACATTTCGAATTAGGAAAAAACAAAAAAAAAATGGTACTGTTTTTGATAAATTATTAAATGCGTAACAACAAGTACGAAGAATCTGTCAATTTTTGTGACCAAATGATCTTGTCGTTATAGAATGTTTTTGTGACTACCAGAGAGTTTTATAATTAATGCAATTTTGGTTTATATATGGTAATCGCTTAAATTACTTTCCCTTTCTTGATATTGTTTGTATCATTCACGCTCCTCTAATTATGTCTCTTTCTCATACTAATAATCAGAAAAAAAAAATGAAGCTAATTTCATTCTTTTTTGGGTAATTATTTCAAAAATTGATTAGATTTGTGTTTATATTTGTTGTGATTGTCAAATTGGTTCTTGTAGGAAGCCTTGCTCAGACTACAAGATGAAAGAGATCACAGGAAATGGAATATTCTCTGTGTATGAAGAAAATGATGATTCAGAGCAAGGAAGCGCTGCTACAAATGGCCAAACAAGAACATACAAGGTTTGTGGTTGGTTCTTACATTAATTACCATGTTTGGTTATTTATTGATCAATGTTTTTTTTTTTGGCGTGTGTGTTATAGCAACCAGCAGCAGCAATTGTTAGTCACATTTCGTTTGGGGAAGCAGAGATTGTCACACCGAAGAAACCAGCAACGGTGTCTGAAGTAGCGAAGCAGCGCGAGCTCGGTGGTACGTTGGAGAGCCAATCCGACGCTAAGCTCAACAAACAGTTCTCAGATTCTAAGTTTAAGGAGCTAAGTGGTCACAACATCTTCGCTCCACCACCTGAAATCAAACTTCGTCCTACCGTTCGTGCTTTGGCTTATAAAGACAACTTCGACTTGGGCGAATCAGATTCCAAACCCGTAATGATCTCTCTTAGCTTCCCATTTCGATTTAGTTAGTGCCAATTGGTTAATTTCCATTGATTTGCAGGACGGGGAACTGAAGACGGCGAAGAAGATTCCAGACAGGAAGTTCATAGATCTGTCGGGAAACAATGTATTCAAAGGAGATGGTACGCCTCCATCCACGGCTGAGAAGCTTCTAAGCACGGCGAAGTTGAAGGAGATAAGTGGCAATGACATATTTGCTGATGCAAAGGCTCAGTCTCGTGACTACTTCGGTGGTGTTCGTAAACCACCGGGAGGAGAAAGCAGCATTGCTTTGGTCTGAAATGAAATTTCAAAATCTCTACCCTACCAATAATAATTATATAGCTCAAAATTTTATAATTATCAACGAACTTAGAAGGTCTAACTAGTTTTTATTTTTATCATTTCATTATATAGATAATGTACCTTTTGGATGTTTCTGTTTTTCTATGTGTTCCGGATTTGTGTGACTGGTTAAATCGATCGGAGTTTGTTACCGGAAAAACTAATATGGTCTTTTTAGGACTTCGTGTGTGTGTGTGAACTTACTTATTGTGCGTCTCTCGTAGTGGATTGATTTGATTGATTAATTTTGTGGCTGATCTGTCATTTAACAAAAAAGTATTGTGGATCGTTTCTGCAAAAGCTGTCGTACACGTTTATGTGCAGTGGGTAGGATTGGGCAGAAATATAAGATTAGGAAGAGAGTTTGTTACTTTTCTGTAAAGGCACGTTTGGCCCTGGTCTGCCCCAAATGAGAAACCTATATATAGGGGAAATTGATTTTTTTTTTTATATGGGAAAAAGGTTTCTCGAGCTCTAGCCGCCATGTAAGTGTATGGAGCTTATTATCTTAGCTCACGTGGCTAACATATACGGATTTGTGAACTTGATGGCCAAAGATTAAGTTGGTTTTAACCATTAAAAAAAAAAAAGAGATCAAGATGGTTGTCGATTTTTTACAGAAACTGTTTTGATCAAGGACAAGGAACGTTCCTTGATGTTAAAATTATCATCTCGTTAAAACTTTCCAAGGATCCATTTGGCAATTTCTTAGGCCAAGAGATGGTAATTGTGTGTGATGAGGAAGACAGAACGTTGATTGTGAAAGTGTTAACCTCAAATCCTTTCGAGCTCATCAAACTCTGTTTCAACAATTATTGGTAAGCTTTTCATTTCCTTTCGATTAATTGTTAGCATCTTTTTGCTGAGAATATGGTAACAGATTAGTTCATTTAATATAGTCAACAAGTCCCCTAGTTTTTCAATAGATATTTAGACATTTCATTTTTTGTAAGCTTTGCTACATTTGGGAATATTTGTCATATCTGCAACGTATAAAACAAGGCAACATTTTGATAGAAAAAGATGAATATAATTCTTGAACAAAGGCTTGAGACCTACGGTCTTGCATGAATGTGATTTTACACACTCAAGAGTTTTCATTATGATGAACATTTTCTCATGAAAATAAACCAATAGTAATTCAATAAATTAAATATTATAATTTAAAATTGAAAAGTTATAATTTATTAAAATTAATTAATAAACGTGCATAGAAAACTTATAAAAATGATTAATATCATGAATAAAAAGAGAGTATTGACAAGAAAATACAGAGAAATAAATACTCTCTTTTATGGTCTTTCTAGGAAATGAAAGAGTATTGACAAGAAAGCTTAGAAAAATAAATACTCTCTCTCACACTCTTTCTAGGAAATAATTTTTTTCTCAGTAAAATAAATCAATAGTCATTCAATAAATTAAAATAATTTAATTCGAAATTGAAAAAATATAATTTATTAAAATTAATTAATAAAAGTGCATAGAAAACTTAAAAAATGATTAATATCATGAATGAAAAAGAGTACTGACAAGAAAATACAGAGAAATAAATATTCTCTCTCACTCTTTCTAGGAAATGAAAAGTTATACATATATAAAAAAATAGATAATATTTAGTTATTAATGCATTATTTTCTCACATTAAACATTTTTCCATAACTAAAAGAATCGTTAGTCTGCAAATTGAAAAAAGTTCAATTAATATTTATTTCTATTTATAGTTTATTAACATTTGTATAAAAAGCATCGAAAATCGATCTACAAACAAGAAGAGAATTGGATTTTCAAACTAAAATAAGAAGCAGAATTTAGCTTGTAGAAGAATGGCATTCCTGGAGCGATAAATGACGTAAGGGTGTCACAATTAATTTTATTTTTTCTTAAACTTCTTGATTTTCTGCGGTAAGATTGGAAAAGCAGTGTTGTTCCTTTTGTCATTTTTATTAGAGATATCTTGTGAGCAAGGCGAACCAAGTATTGTGGGCCATTGAAGCCCGTTTATGAAGTGAAGCCCGTGAAGCCACATGGAAGAATATTCTAGAGAAATCCTATTGTGATAAGGATTAGGAAGATTTACATTATTTGGTGTTATCATTATGTTAATGTTAACCCTATATATATGGGTCTTATTCTCTTGTATCAATAACACAATTCAATAATATATTCCCTTCTATAATATTTGTCATGGTATCAGAGCCTTCGGTTCTTGGTGACAAAACTAAAGCTTCCGCATATGATGATTGAAGAAGAGTCCGACGATGATGATCCGGATGACGTGAAACACTCTCACATTTTCTTTTTCTTTTTTCTTTTAATTTAATAAGTTTTTCCAATTTGGTTTTAAATACGTGGTTTTTCTGGTTTTCAAATTCAGTTTTTACTTATCATATTAGTTTGGGTTTAACTTATTGAAGGGATAATGATTTATCGGAGGATTTCTTAAAGGCGATTTTTTTTAGGGCTGGGTTTTCACAAATTATATTTTTTTTTGAGATTGATTCTTAAGTTTAGAATTTCTCAAAGGTTTTTAGTTTCTCCTATTACGGGGGAGTTTGGTTATGGGTTTAGGGATTTTTATTGGAGCGCTCATGTTTTTAGGTCATTTATCTTTAGTCCAATTTATGGGCTGTCCGCGACAAGGACGATTATTTGTGGAATTGCAGGATTTTGCTTCCACGGGATGTTATTATTCCCTTTCTTTCAAGACCAAAGACGAGCATGTTCCATCCCTATTGACTTGTATTGCCATCCTCGACATGATTGTCCACGACATAGGTGTTCCGCATTGTGACTGCAGATTTTGCGTTTCGCGTCCACCTTTGTCGTGCGGGGGAGTATTGGAGATATCTTGGTGAGCAAGGCGAACCAAGTATTGTGGGCCATTGAAGCCCGTTTATGAAGTGAAGCCCGTGAAGCCACATGGAAGAATATTCTAGAGAAATCCTATTGTGATAAGGATTAGGAAGATTTACATTATTTGGTGTTATCATTATGTTAATGTTAACCCTATATATATGGGTCTTATTCTCTTGTATCAATAACACAATTCAATAATATATTTCCTTCTATTATATTTATCAATTTTACTTGTACTTAATGTTACTTTAGTCTCTCTGTACTTTCTCAGTTTCTCACACAGAACAATATTCTCTCTCTATCTCTTGCCGTATTGTTCATTTTGTCATATTTACTCTCTCTCTCTCTCTCTCCCCCTGTTTTTTTTTATCTGAATAGTGATGTTTAACACCAAATTTATGGGGTTTGGAGACAACAACATAGAAGGCGCTTCTTCTTCTACTCATTTTGGTTCCGATGGGTTTCTTCAAAATCTCGACACAGACCCAATTCTCATGAATCAGAGTCACAATGATAGCAATAACGGTTTGGATTTGTGTAAAAAGCTCAGCAAAATGGGTATCTCTTGTGACCCGGTAGATTTTGGGTTTAGAACATCTCTGCATGGGAGGACCTATTCATGGTCTGAGCAGAATGTCAGTGGAGCTTCTCCGATGAACGATTCCTCTGCTCGCCAGTCTTTTCTTCAAAACACCTCTCATGGAGTTTCTCATGAAGACCATGTGATCTTGATGGCTAAAGATCAAGTAGGTTCGAAAGTTTTGCAGAAACTGCTCGAAGAAGGAACGTTTCTTGATATCAAGGTTATATTCTTTGAGATCATTAACCATGTTGTCGAACTTTCAGTGGATCCTTTTGGGAATTACTTAGTTCAAAAACTGCTACATGTGTGTGATGAGGAAATGAGAACGTCGATCATGACTGTCTTAACCTCGAACCCAATGGATCTCATTGAGATCTCTTGCAACAACTATGGGTAAGCTTTTGTTTTTCTTTCAATAATTTTGTAGAATCTTTTTTGCTGATGAGAAACAACAAAAAGTGAAATAGAGCTTTTGTTCATTTATTAATTAAGTCCACGAGTTTTCAACCATTTCATCTTTTGTTGTCTTTGCTATATTTGGGAATATTTGAAATCTCTGCAAGGGTGAATTTTCATTCCTAGTTTTTGCTATTTTTGAACAAAAGCTGAGACCTTTTTGTGTAAAAGCTGATATACACACGTTCTGATTTCTAATTTCTTCATATATTTTTTTTGGGGATAAAACAGGACACGAGTCGTCCAGAAAATGATCGAAACAGTAAAAACAAAACAGCAGATTGCTATGGTGAAGTTAGGTCTCGAACCAGGACGTCTTGCTCTTGTTACAGATTTGAAGGGGAACCATGTGATTCAGACTTGCTTGAAATCTCTTGGTCCAAACCACAACAAGGTTTGATACTTTGATTTGTGTCACATAATTTCTATCTTTATATGTCTTACGTAATCTCTGATTATGTTTTATGAAAATGTTGTGTCAGTTTGTGTTGGAAGCAGTAACAAAATACTGTTTTGCGATTGCATCTGACCAATATGGATGTTGTGTGGTGCAATGCTGCATTTCAAACTCCGTTGGAGCGCAACGTGAAAGACTCATCGATGAGATATCCAGAAACTCACTTTACCTTTCTCAAGATCCTTACGGGTATGATTTGGAATATGTTTGTATGAAACATAGTACGAAACAGTCCTTATGCCGTTTATGGAATTGTGCAGGAACTTTGTGGTGCAGTTCCTAATAGAGAAGAATGTATCTTCAGCGAAGTTACTGAAGCAGTTGTCGCGGAGCTAGCGACTCAGAAGTTTAGTAGCCATGTTGTCTAGAAATGTCTCAAACATTATCCGGAGAGCCGATCTGAGATTGTCCGTGAGCTTCTTTCTGTTCCAAACTTTGAATATCTCGTGCATGATCGTTTTGGGAACTATGTGATCCAAACTGCTCTTGACAACACCGAGGTCGGTTCCAAAATCATTACATATTTTCATACAACAAAATCTTTTGAAAACACAACCTGACATGGTATTTGTGGTTGTGGTTGAAGCAGGGTCATGTTCGTGAGCGTTTGGTGGAGAAAGTTCATAGGTTTGGAAAATTACACTCGAGTCCTTATTGCAAGAAGGTCTTCTCTAAGACCGCATTGAATAAGTGACTTTGACTCGTTAACAAAAATGTTGTTGTTATGTGTTTTAAGAGTGGATAGGCTTTAACATAGATGCCTCTTTTGATTTTTCAAGATCATCTTGAAGAAGTGACTTTTATCAGTTACAAAATGTACGTTGTTGTTTTGTGTTTGACGGTCGGATAGGCCTTAGAAGAGCCACTGCACTTTTGTTGTTGTCCGTCTCTCTCTTTTTTTGGTAGTTGACAACAAAATTTATGGTTTCTCTCACTTTTTTCACTATTTTGGGTTTTCATTAACAGTAAACCAATAATAATTTAATAAATTTAAATATTTTAAGTAATAAATTTTAATATTTATTAACATTAATTAATAAAAAGTGTATAGAAAACATAAATAGAGTTAAGTGATTGATGTTTTTTTTGTTTTTTTTGTCAATAGCCTATGCTCCTAGACCCGGGAATCTAAGTTGGGAAACAGAGTTTATATAAAGTGATTGATGTTATAGATGAAAAGTAGATGTATTGAAGTTATTGACAAGAAAGTAGAAAAAAATAAATATTTTGAGTTATCAAGGAAAAAAACTGTTGACAAGAAAGCACAGAGAAATTAATACTCCCTCTCTACCTTACTCTTTTTGGTCGTCAGCCTCTATTCTACTCCCTCCGTTTTTTAAGATGAATTTTTTAGAGTTTTCACACATATTAAGAAAAAGTTGATTTTCAATCATTAGTGTATAGATTTTGGCAATAAAACAACTTTCTATAAATTTAGACCAATAAAAATCTAACAAATCCAATTATTGTTTCTTGAAAACTGAAAAAGTACTTCAAAAAGCTAAAAATTTTATCTTTGTGAAACAACAAAAAATGTCCAGAAAATTCATCTTAAAAAAACGGAGGGAGTATTAGTCAATCTAGGAAATGATTTGAAGCAATTAATATTTAGTTATAAATGCATTATTTTTTACAATAATTTTTTTTCTGTAACTTTTTTTGGTCGTGAACATTTTCCTATAACTAAACAAATAATTATTCTGCAATTAATTTTTATTTAAGATATTTAGCTTTATAGTTGGTTAACATTTGCATAAAAACATAGAAAATCAAGTTATATACGGCCAAAAAAGAGGAAGTGGCACATCCTCTTTTGATTATCCAAGACCATCTTGAAGAAGTGACAAAAATGTTGTTGTTTTGTGTTTCAAGGTCGGAGAGGCTTTAACAAAGACAATTGGCCTTTTTTTATATTCAAGATCGGATAGACTTTAACATAGTCACTGCCTCTTTGGATTATCCAAGATTGAAGAAGTGACTCAAAAATGTTGTTTTGTGTTTTATTTTATGAGAAACTAGCGTTTTTGTTTATGTAGTGACAACGATTTTTCAAGACATTGATCTTAATATAACTTAAGAAACCACACTGGTCCTCACTCGTTCTCTCTTTTTATTAACTGGGAAACTCAAAAGTCATAACAGAAATAACAAACAAAGGTTTTTTAAAGAAGAAAATCAAAAGATTTCAAACCATCAAAGAGAGAAAAACAGAGGGAGATAAGAGAACTGGTTGATTTAAGCATCATCTTCACCAAGAAGTGCGACAAGCATCTTCTCGTACTCTCCACGAGTGTCTTTGGTAATAGCCTTCTCCAAAGGAATGCTGTTCCTGCGCTGGTACTCCTCTCCTATGACCTTCAAGTCAATCTCAGCTCTTGTGGTCACAATTCTAGTGAGTGCTCCTTCGTCTGTTCCGGTTTTGTTGATCGCCGAACGAAGAACATCCACAAAGTAAAGCTCTGGCCTTGTCAAGCACTGAATCGTTGACCTCAAAAGTCCAAGAAACTTGTCGTCCTCGTCTCCTTCTTCAAGACTCTGTAATATATATAAAGAACAGTTAGGTAATGTTATAATGAAACCAAGAAGATTAGATTGTTAAGAGTTATGATCATCACCTTGAGGACTTCTTCGCCATGATCGTCTTGGTAACGGTTGAAAGTAGCATTGATCTGTGCTTTGCTTCTTGTAGACAAGATCCTAATGATGTCCTCATCGTTGTACTTCTTGTCCTTGATTTTCTCATGGATCAGCTTGGCTTCTTGCTTTGCCAATGTCATGTTCACTTCGTCCCCTTCGTACCTGTATGAGCTAACAAGAGGAACCAAAAGCTGCAAAAAAAAAAAAAAAAAACCACACAACTCAATCTAGTGTTTACATTTGTCATACCAAATCTTGAAAACATTTCAAGAAGTTGTCATTACCTTTCTGAAGTCCTCGGTGGTGTGGTGAGCGACGTCCTCTTCAAGAGACTTCTTGAAACGGGCATGGTAAGCTTGCCTAGCGTGAAGAAGCTGCGTTGAGGTTCTTGTGCAAGCAATCTCCATAAGCACTTGGTTGCTTGAAGTCCATCTCTTGGTGGCTTCGTTAGCCAACAACGCGTCACGCTCACCTGGCTCAAGAGTCCAGAGCAAGATAGCTCTCTGTCCATTTAAAAAAAAATATATATATTAAGATACATGATTGAATAGTCAGAGATCTGTTAAAAAAGTGTAGGAAATATCGAAAACCGGACCTCGAAGTCGCTAGAGAGTTCTTTGTCAAGAGTCTTGAGAAGATCTTCTTCAAAGATCTGACGGTATGTTTCCCTGATCACCTTCCTCTGTTCGGCGCTACGGTGAGCCAAGATCGATATGATCAAGTCCTCGTTCGTACCCCATCCTGCCAAAAAAAGTCGAAAGTCAAATGGCAGATCCAAGAAAGTCTCACAGTTAAGATCCAAGATCAACAAAAACAGAGTAAATCTATATTCATTTCAATGTATAAAACCTCAAGATCTGAGTATTGGGATTACAAAAAGATCATCCACATCATAACTACATTTTAGATCCGTGACGATGACTCATCACGGATCTGTGAATGTGAGAATCAAACAAGATCTTTTCGAAGAATCATTGTCACTATCAAAATGATCAGATCATAACAAAAAGTTCAATACAGAAATGAGAAAAACAGAGGATAAACCCAATAAGATCTAACACAGAAACGAGATCACTGAAAGAAAAAACTCGATCTACATCAACAGCATTAAGCAGATGATCATAAAACACTACCGACATAAAAACCATCAAAACAGATGATCGTAACACTACCGACATAGATCCAGTCGTCCTAAACAAAACACGATCAACATGAAAACCCTTCAAACGGATGATCATATCAAAAACAACAGATTCATCATCTTTTCAACTTATCGAGTACACTAGAGAGAATACAGATCAACAACAAAAGAGAGAGAGAGAAGAGAAGCAGAAAATACCGTCAAAAGCGGATTTCAGTTGCTCGGCATCTTCAGATGGAGAAGGAACATGAGGAGAAACCTTAAGAGTCGCCATTGTTTTTGTTCTTCTACTCTCTCTCTGGTCAAGTCTGTGTATGTTGAGAGTCGAAGCAGATAGATGATCTGCTTTATAAAGAGAGAAGAGGTTTTAGGACACGTCGGGGCCTGTCCGTATATGCTAAAATATCCCAGAGGAATTATTATTTCTGCCACGTGTTTCTTGATTTATTTGATTTCTTCAGATTTCCTTTGAACTTTTTTGTTATTTCACAAAATCATTTAATTGAAAGCTATCCATTTTTTTTTAAACAGTTGAAAGCTATCCTTATCACACTAAAACGGATTTAATAGGTTGTCAAAACACCATCCACACGATTATACGCGTTATACTATAAAGTGAGTAGTAGATTTTTGTTTTTTTTTGGTCGAAACTATAAAGTAGTAGATGAGTAGTCTTGAAAGAATTTGTTTTTATTTAATTTTGTTGTTATTTCTTATATCATTGTGACTGTTTATTCTCAATATTTTTCTTTTTCAAAATTGGAATTATCCAAAATTAGTATTACGATAACATGTGTGATGTGTCCATATAAAATATCTCTTGTTGTAGCACTATATGACCCATGCATAGTTTTATTAAGAATTTTGAAACATATCCAAATATTATTGTTAATTTCTAAAAAACAAACCATTTTTATACTGCAAAGTACTCTTTTACAGGTAATAATTTACTAAATGATTCTAATGTTCTATTGATTAAAGACTTAATATATTTTTATTAAATTAGAGCAATCAAATAAATGAGTTAGTAATCGCTGGATTTGATAATTACATGCGAACGTGATGTCCATTAGAACATTTCGCTTTATATTATAGATGTGCTACTATGTATGTGTAAGAAAATGTCCTACTTTTCTGGCGTTAAATTAAAAATAAAGAGTGTATTAGTAGAATTAGAAAAACAATTTATTTATGGCTTTTCATCTGTACCTATCCAATTATATTAGAGCACATGCATCGCATATTCTCACTGGGGTTGTTCCCAGAAAAAAAAAGAAAAAACAAATAATTAGTGGAAGTGGCGCACTGACGTGTAGAGCTCAAAGAAAGAAAGGCTCTGTGGGAACAACTTCTGAAATCGGTTCTCTGACACAAGCTCTACACGTGTCGCGACGCGATTGGTCAGTTTTTTTTAAATCGTGACTTTTTTTTCAAAAATTATTTTCTTTTATTTTTAAAGAAACCCCAGTGGGGATATGCGATGCATGTGCTCTTAATATAGTACACAATTTTCAAGAATAATATGAAGAAAAACTTATACATAAGTGATATTTATTATTAACACTTTGATGTATACATTTAGAGATAAACCTTTTTCTAAACTATATAAATAAATCTTGTAAAAATAAATCCATTAAATTGTTGTTTCTTTATATCAATATATAATATTTTTATCTATTAAAAAATATATTTTTAAATTCTAATTGGTTTATCACAGTTTAAGATATGTGTTGATTATGTAGAAGTAGAACTATGAAAGAGTATATTATATTTTAATGAGATATAGATGTCAATATACTTAATAACAGATTTTCAATAAATGATTTATAAATTTTCCTGATAATCCTAATTAATACATTACATAATTAAATTCCTTTATTAATTCAATAAATATACGAGGTTAAAACTGGGACACTTATTTTAAAACGAAAAATTAACTCTAAATGATACTTATTATCAAACAGAGGAAGTATATATTTTACATAAAAACTATGATTGAATACTTTATTAAAAACAATCCAACTAATAAATATTAAAACCACAAAAAAAAACTAGATAATATAAATGGCTGTAACCAATTTTTTTTTCCATAGAAAACATTTTTTAAAAAACCAAATCAAAACTAAACCCTAAACCCCTAAATAGATTCAAGTCAAAAGCCCCTAAATTCTCTTCGTAGTTTTTGTTCTCTGCAGTCGGATAAGCGTAGAAGAAATCTCAAATTTGATCATACGTTTTAGTATCGATGATGACAACAAAACCAGTGCTCCCGCCAACGCCGGAATCGACCTCAACTCCTTCACTTCCTGATGATTTGCTGATAACTTGCATCGCACCTGTCCCGAGATTGTACTACCCGATTCTGTCCCTTGTCTCCAAGAGCTTTCGATCTCTCATTGTCTCACCGGAGCTTTACAAAACCCGAGCCCTCCTTGGCCAAACCGAGAGTTGTCTCTATGTGTGCTTACGGTCCTCTCACGACACTAAGCCTAGATGGTTCACTCTCTGTCGGATACCTGACCGAAACAAGTACTCAAGTGGAATTCTTTTGGCCCCAATCTCATCTCCCGATTCTCCTCATGCGCAATCGTGGAGAAATCACGTAGCTGTTGGTTCGAATATCTACCAAATTGGTGGGGACGTGCATTCTTCTTCTAAAGTCTCTGTCTTGGATTGCAAGTCTCACACATGGCACGAGGCTCCAAGCATGGAGGTGGTCAGGAACTCCTCCTCCACGGTTAGTTTACTTGAAGGGAAGATATACGTAGCAGGAGGTTGTGAGGATCACGATAGCGCAAATTATGTTGAAGCGTTTGATCCAAAAACTCAAACTTGGAGCTCTGTGGCGAGCCCTAGAACGGTGAAACGATATAATGGAGGTTCCTACAAAAGCTTAGGACTTGATGGAAAATTGTTCTTGTGCAGGGATGACTACTGGCCCAGCGTTTACAATCTCAAGGAAGGTAGATGGAACCCGGTAAAATCTAATACACTTTTTAGGATATTCATTTTTGCAGCATACTGCGTGATAGACAATGTCTTGTTCTTTTGGGATGGTGGACGGCTCAAATGGTATGACTATAAGAAAGATATATCGAAGAGTTTGAAATGTGTTGAAGGCTTGCCAGATTTTGACCACTCTTGGGGTTGTAGAAAGGTGGTGGATAACGGTGGAAAGATGGTGGTTTTGTGGGATAAGTGGGATTGCTGTCAAAATAATAGAATGATTTGGTGTGCGGAGATTGCGCTTGAAAGATGCAATGAAGATGAGATCTGTGGAAAGGTTGAGTGGTTTGATTTTGTTCTTAGAGTCCCCGGGTCCTGTCACATTGTTTGATGAAAATGACTAATTCATAATTACCTTCTTAGAACGGTTAATGCGGGTTGATTTTGATGTGTTTTTTTTTTTTTTAATGTTTGTTTCCCAATAATATGCGACCATGATGAATTATTGTTTCATGTTTTTTGCGGAATGCAATTGGCAATGTTTCACTTCTAAAACATATGGACTCGTTAGGACATGGTATTATATTAATTTGTTTGATGTGTTGCATAAAGTAAAGGATCCAAGGTTAGTGTTTGTTTGTCTATTGTACATTGCTTTTCGCTGATGATCAGTTGCAGTAAAAGAAAAAGAAAAGAGTTTTGTTGTTTAAGGTTAAGCTTTTGTTTATGTTTTGCAACGAACCAACAAAGAAATTAATAACTTGAGGATCCTCTCTTTCATTTATTTTTTCTCAACTTGGATTTGTGATTATAAATTATTCGAGTCGACTCCTACAAATTGGAGGCGATTCCTACAAACAGAACTGACCATATAATATTTTGAAGGTTCATAATCAATTTTTATTTATTAAAACTTAGTTTATAACTGCGCGGATTCAAACAAAGTTTTCATTAAAACGATAATGTTTGCTTTGCTATAATATGACGTAAAAGATTCGTCCAACAACAGCCCATGCATATCTAATACTAATAAATCAGCAGTCACCTCATAGCCTATATGAACGACATGTGTCTCCCATTATTTCTGAACGTAATTTTTTTTTCGAAAACGATTAAATTTTTATTTTTATTTTAGCTTTAATTTTTCTTCATAAACCCATGATCTCAAACGTTTCCCAAACCCACGATCCCAGTTTCAACCACCTTTCACTTTCACAATGTATATAACTTACAGATCGAGCATTCTCAAAAGTAACTAACTAAATTTCTTCTTCTAAAATCACAGTATTTTTTTTCTCTCAACCCTCATCAAATTTCTGCTGCATCGTTTTAGTTGTCTTCATTGCAATTTCTGATATTGATTTGATTTAGATTTTAACGATTGAAATCAGAATACTCTAATGTATTTCTTTCTTCTTCCATTTGTTAAATTGATTGTTGGAATCCTTACATGTTCTGAATCTGAATTTTTTTTTCCGCAAATCGCAGATCGCAGAAACACAGATTTATGCTAAAGCTCTAGCGTCGCCTTACTTGAGATTTTCATTCTCTCTCACTTAAAAAAGGTATTTCCATATATTATTGATTCCTAATTTTGTTTATTTCTGGGATTTTTCATGATTTCAAGTAATAATCCTTGGCAGGCTTCGGATAATATTCATCAGAATCTTTAACTGACGATCCTCCGTTTTGCTTCTTCTTTTTACAGACTCAGAGGACTCTTCTTCTTCTTCTTCTTCTTCTTCTTCTTCTTCTTCTTCTTCTTCTTCTTCTTCTTCTTCAACCAAATTGTAAACTCTTAGTTGTTTATCTACATCATTATTCTCATCGGCAACTCCTTCTTCATCTTCTTCGCCAGCCTCGACCTCGGAGAGGGAAGGAGTCGACGAAGCGGCGGCATCGATGACGGAGAGATCCATCATGAAACCATTGAAGAGCACTCGAAATAGCTGAGACGGAGTTCGTCGAAGTAGAAAACGGGGAATAATCATGTCGTAGTCGGTCCTCCGCCATGTTCGACATCGGGTTGGTGGTGAGATGGAAATCGTGCGGACTGGGGAGTTAGAAATAGTGATGAGATTTTTTCGGCACTATTATTGGGCTTTAATAACTAAATGGGCTTCATATTTTAATGTTTCATTTCACTATTTTAGTTAGCCTAAATACTATTTATGTTGGATTTTGATATGCCTAACCCAATTACGAATTTGTTTCTTTTATTTAACCAACTAATTGTCTTTTAAGTTTAATAATTGTCACATGAAAACACTTAAAGAAGTATTAAGGGCTTTATTTTTATTAAAAAAAAAGCTTTTGGTTAAAAAAAATAAAAGACCTCAAATCGAACAAGAATTTCATTATGAATGAAGAAACCTTTGTGGTTTGGTCAATGGTAAGTTAAGAAACAAAAACAAAAGAACCAAAAAATGATAAAGGAGTATTTTGTTGTTGAAGAAATGCAATAAAACGATTTTCCGGTGCATTGCACCGGGTATAATACTAGTATTATATAAAGCTGGATGCGCACGACGTGGTTGCGACACGTAGGATTTTTATAAAATTCAGGATCGCGACATGTGTCACTTTTAAGTTTATGTCCGTTAAGATCGTGACACGTGTCTTAGAAAAAAAGAGAACTTAAAAAAAAAATTCCAGATAAATGTTAATTAAAAAAAACGAAATTTAATTTAATCTATTATATCAAAAAGGAAAAAATAATATTTGCCATATCCAAACAGAAAAAGGTTTCCCATTCATCAAATTTTTTATTATATAAAGTTGGATGCTTTTAGATAAAGGAATTTAAAAAAAAAATTAATCCATTACAGTTAAAAGAAATAAAAATATATTTGTCATATCCTAATAGAGAAAGGTTTTCCATTCATCAAATTAATATTATCCAAACAAATAATAAAATCAAAATAATGTAATAAATAAAATCCTATTTGTATAATGTTATGTAATCAAATTAATATTATCCAAACAAATAATAAAATCAAAATAATGTAATAAATAAAATCTATTTGTATAATGAAATAAATAATGTTATGTAAACTAAATTTCATATAACTGAATAGGTTACTTGAATCCCTATAAAAGAGAGTCAAAGTTTCTCAATCATAAATTCATCAAAGCAAATTCATCAGATCCCTTTGATTCTATTTCTCCAATTTAAAAATCATGTTTTTGACAGTTTTGCGATACATATGATTTTTATAACTCACAAAATTGTGACATTTGTTTTAGAAAAAAAAATTATGAAAGTATGAAGATCGTAACATGTGTCATAGAATAAAAATAATAAAAAAAATAATATGTATAAGACTAAATAAAAATTAGAAAATCAGATAAAAATAATTAAAATGAAAAAATAATAAATCCATTAAAAGTAATAAAAAAACAGAAAACAAATAATTTAAATTCTTTTGTTACATCTATTAAGAAAAGGAAAAAAATGCATTTCGAAAAGGAAAAATATCAATATATATTATTTATAATGGTATGAGGCAAAAAAAAATTGAGAAAGAAAAAATATAAATAGAAAACTAACAAAATAATATTCAAGCAATTAACTAAATTAAAAAATTATAATCGATATTCTAATTTTAAATAGTTTGATTTTCAATTTTTGTTAGGTAAAAAAAATTGAAATAAAGATTTCATCAATTAAAATCTCTTGAATGGAATAATAAAAGTTTGATTAATTAATCAGTTGATCAGATTTAGACATGTGTAAGTGTTTATGTATTGGATAAAAATAATAGTAAAACAAATTAATTCATTTTGTCATATCATAAATTCAAAAGAAAAATCAATTATAATAAAAATGTAAAAGTATTACCAATTTTATTTTATTTAAATATTTTTATCGGGTTTTCAATATTATTTTGTTTACGTTTAAAAATGATCAAATTTTGTTTAATATTTTCCATGCTTTTATTATAAAATCTTAAAATATACCCGCGTATACGCGGGCCTTAATCTAGTTATATATATACGCAATACAATAATATATATGGCAGATTATAATATGCTTTAACTCGGATCGATTCACATGATCATTTCCCTAAGCATTGACTTGTAAAACTAATTTCTATAAATCTAATCCGATTGTTTTCCTCGCTTGAAAGTTTGTTAGACGAGTTAGTTTAATATCTTTGTTTTGCTCTACATATAGAGAGCCCTTCACTTGACCTGAATCAATAGATCCAAACCAAATATGAGTACTCTATCCTCCGAGCTTAAGGATCTAGAGGAGTTGACGTCAAATGCGAAGCAAATACAAGATGATGTGTTGGAGGAGATACTCAAAGTCAACGCCAATACAGAGTACCTCCGACGTTTTCTCCATGGGAGCTTTGATAAAGAGCTCTTCCAAAAGAACGTACCAGTGGTGAGCTATGAGGACGTTAAGCCTTATCTCGAACGTGTTGCTAATGGAGAACCTTCAAATGTCATTTCTGGCGAACCAATTACTAACTTCTTGCTAAGGTATGTATGTGTTGTCAAATTTACTAAAAGTAGCCTTATCATATGATTAATAACAAAGTACTTATGAGGAAAGCTTCATGTGTTGGTTTGGCTCAAGAACTAGTTTAAATTACTTTCTTAGCAACTTCTGAACAAGAAGCACTCGTTGTAATTTTTTTTTTTTAAATCTACTTTGACATACAATCCAAAAAGGTTAATAAAAAACAAAGTAATTAGTTTTTATACTTGAATATGTGATGCTTGTGACCTTCTTTGCCGTGAAGCTCTGGAACTACTGGAGGAACACAAAAAATCTTCCCAGTGAACAACAAGTTCTTTGAGAAAGTAGTATTCATCGATGCCCTACGCGCCTCCATTATATCCAAGTAACTCTTTCACACACAAATATTTGATATTCCCTTCTTTTTTAAGTGTGTGTTTGATTTTCAATACGAAGAATCAGATTCATATTCTTTGTTTGAAGGCATATCAATGGTGTCAAGCAAGGAAAGGTGATGATGTTTATTTCCACTAGGCCATCATCCTCAACTCGCTCTGGTTTGCCCGTTGATCCGCTGATGACGAGTTTCGTAAGGAGCAGTTATTTCAAGAACTGGTCTTCAAAACGGTTTACTAGTCCCGACGAAGTCATATTATGTGTAGACAACAAGCAGAGTATGTATTGTCATCTTCTATGTGGTCTTGTCCAGAGAGAAGAGGTTGTGAGTATGGCTGCTACTTTTGCTTCTTCCTTAGTCCAAGCAATCACTTTTCTTGAAACTCACTGGAAAGAGTTGTGTGATAATATCCGATCTGGTCATGTTAGCGAGTGGATCACTGACATTAGTTGCAAGGAATCTGTTTCTGCCATACTTGGAGGATCCAATCTTGAATTGGCAGATCTAATTGAGCAAGAATGCATCAAGAAGTCATGGGAAGGTATCATCACACGGCTATGGCCCAACATCAAATCAATTCAAGGCGTAGTCACAGGACAGATGAGTCAATACATCCCAATATTGGAGTTCTACTCCAACAAGCTGCCTCTCATCTCCCCTTATTATGCGTCGTCTGAAACAATTTTTGGAGTAAATGTGAATCCTCTATGCAAACCACAAGATGTGTCCTACACATTTATGCCCAACATGTCCTACTTTGAATTCATTACTATTGATGGAGGAAACAATGGTGAAATAGTTGATCTTGTGAACGTCAAGATAGGTTGCTCATATGAGGTCTTGGTCACAAATCATTTTGGTGAGTTATATATACATATATATATATATATATATATATGTTAAATACATATTCTCACTATTTTCTTTCTTGAGAGACTAATTTGTTTGTTAATTAATATTGTTGCTAGGCTTATACAGATATAGAATGGGAGATATTCTACAGGTGACTGGATTTTACAACAGTGCTCCTCAATTCAGATTTGTACGTAGAAAAAATGTTGTTTTAAGCGTACAAATGGAGGCAACAACTGAAGAAGATCTTCTAAAGGCGTTGAATCATGCGTCACTTGTTCTTGAATCTGCCGGATTAATGTTGATGGGTTTCACATGCTCTTCTGATATCTCTACTCTACCAGGTCATTATGTTCTTTACTGGGAGATTAAAGCCAACAACGCTAATAGCATCGTAAAGCTTGATGACAAAGTAATGGTGGAATGTTGTTGTGTAGTGGAAAAATCACTTGACATTCTTTACAGAAGCTTCAGGAGTAAATATGGTTCCATCGGAGCTCTAGAGGTAAGGGTGGTGCAACAAGGAACATTCGATTCTCTCATGGAATATTGCATCTCCAAGGGTGCTTCTGCATCTCAGTACAAGACACCTATATGCATAAACTCTCCTGAAGTTTTAGCAATTCTTGATGACAAAGTTCATGCTCGGTTTTTCAGCGATAGACTTCCTCCTCTCTGATCTACTATTTGAAAAACTAGAGCGTTGGATTGAATAATAATGGAGGGGCAAAGTCACTCGATAAGACTGGTTTATGCTTAGAAGAGAAATTTTATGGTTTTGTCTTTTGTGTGTCGACAAGTGTATGACTTTTGCTATATTCTTAATGTTCAGTCATGTGTTTGTTACATAAATGAAACATATTTATTCAAAATATTGCATGATTTGTGGGTATCTACAAGAGTCACATATAGTATTTTAAAAAGAAATATAAAATATTCAAAAAATAAATAGAAGAATACTTTAGAATACTTTTTTTTTAAAATAAAAAGGGAACTTTTATTTATAATATAGAAGTTCACAATAACATACTGTATAAGAGTTGATGGTTATTAAGAGATTTTTAAAAACTTTGAAAATAACAAAACGATAATTGAACTTTATTTATTAGCATGACGTTTAGTCCATTCTTTGGCTTGCTCTTCAAATCGGGAGTAGTTCTTTTTGAAGAGCTTTCCAATCTCTGGTACAAGAGGATCATCTGGATTTGGGTCCGCTAATAATGAAGTTATGGACAAAAGCACCTGATATTACACAAAATAGTAGTACTAAATTTACGGAAAAAAATGACTATAAATGTAATAAAAAGAACAATTGAATAATGAAAATGAACAATAAGAAACAAAATTTTGAACACATAAATCGATTTTAAAACCTTTTCAACGGTGAGAGGGGGACTCCACTTGTCTTTCAGAATGTCAAGGCAAATCGATCCTTGCGAATTGATATTTGGATGGTAAATCGGTGTCTTGAACGTAAACTGCAATAGTGATCAAAAGAAAAGAAAACCAGAAAACATGTTTAATTTGGTATATAACACAAACAACCTCTTAAATTGTAAAAAATAAAAAATGTATATAACCTTTGGTGGTTTAAAAGGATAATCTATAGGAAACTTAATGTCAATTTTAAACCCGCCACCAGCATAGGGACTATCCTTTGGACCCTCAATAATCGTATTCCAGTTGAACACATCGTTTGAGTCTTTACCGATACATATTATCAACAAATAGAATTAATTGAGAAAAAAATGATAAAAATACTCATAGTTGAGTAGTATATTATGAAAGAAAATGATGAAAATACTCAAAATTGAGTATATTATTTATTTAGATATAGAAATGAAAATACATTAGTAGTAGCCATGAAGAGAAAAACGAAATAAAGAAAGAGGAAGAAGAACTACTTACTAATACTGTACAAAGAATCTTTCGAGGACATATCCTTAAGTTCCTTCACAATTCGCTTCACTGCTCTTTCCTCCATAGACATTTTTACGATTAATAACCAATATGCTTTCCTCTTTATCAAACGAAATAACAAGTAGATTATTGTTAGTATGATTGTTTTGTAATTCGTGAAGGTTTAGATTCCAAAGATATTTGAAATAATTTGGCGGGAGGGGGGAAAGAAGTTAAATCAATCACTTACTTGGAAGATGTTGGTATGAAATGATTTGTGTACGAATCAAATGAAACCTCGAGCTTTATAGCTTCATAAAGCCGAGCTAATAAATGGCATAATAAATTATAAATCTCATGCCAAGCAAAGCATGTGGATGCCATCAATATTAATAAATTATTGATATCACTATTTTGAAAATGTGTCTGCATAAACAGAAATATATAACCAGTAATCTTTATTTCCAAAATATCGAAAAACTAAAAAATATTAGCCAACATAGCAAAATTAATAGAATTTTCATTAGCCAACTGTTTTATAAGAATTTATACATGTTCACTTTTTCAATGAAATAGAAATTAATATTTTCATGAAAATAAGATGAAAAATATTCTTTGTCTGAATGGAACGTTATTATTAGTTTTATGAATCAAATTTTCAACCCTTATTCAACTTTTTCGATAATATAGATAGATGATGTACTAATATTTTTAAACTCCATTGACCAACATTTTCACAAGTATGTACTTCCTTAAATTAAAAAACATGGATTAGTTGTACTCTCCACTCCTTTTCTTGTTTTACTGCGTAATCAAAATAAAACAAAAGAATAAAAAACTGCGTAATCGAAAATTTGTATTGATCCGTTTTGTAAAGAATCACGAAAATGTTATAAAATATATGGCCGATATTTGTTTGTATATTATTACCAGATATGACTATATGAGATATGTATCTATCAAGTTTAGGAAGTAAGGTTAAAAAATTGGAATTATGACATTATCGTCCAATGTATGTTAAAAGATGATTTATGTTAAAAGATGTCAAGTGTATCACCAGAGAGAGTAAAATCTTATTTATATATATACGACTAGTTGAGTATAAGGCAATGTCTATATTTACTTATACATTAATTTACCGTATATTTAGGACATTTAGTTTGGACAATCAAACAGGGAAAAAAAGAACCATCTAGCTAGAGAGAGGAAGAATCACGATTTGCAGTCATGTCGTCAACACGTTTAGCAATCCTTTGCATGATTTTTATTTCCCTCTTTGGTCTGCTCACATGTATGTAATAGATACAGATTTTTATTCTTTTGTTCATCGTTATAGTAATCAACTAAACTTTTCCAAATGATATAATTGTTTTTTCTAGGTGAAAACGTGGGCGGTTTCGAGGAGAGCAAGTTATTTATACCACCGTGCAGTCGAGGATATTGCGATTCCGAATGGCATCGCGATTGTTATTGCTGCGATGGAAAAGTGGAATACTGTACACCGAATAAAGAAGAATGTTGGGCTACGTGTGCTGTTCTTAATCCTCCTCCATCTTCTACAAAGAACTAAAAAAAAAAAAAAAGCTCTTGCGGAGTGTTTTTTATATACACGAACTTGGTGTAACTTCTTTATTTGCTTGCCTTTCTCAATTCCCTCCTTTTCTTTTTAGTTGTGGTTCTAAAGTTTTTTATTATTAAATTTATTTTACCCTTGATTAATATTATGCTTTGCTTGATATGAATACTTAATAAGATAAAAGAATATAGAGATAAAAGTGAAAAAACTGTAATAAATTTGCATTGAAAATACAAAGTGACAAGTAATATGAAACAAAATTTTAACTCTAGAATGAGAAATCATAAGAAACGAAGGGAGTACTGTAGTAAGAATAGCATGATTATGCGACTTCAACAATTCTTGTATTTAAGTTTAATAATAACTTTGAAAGTCTCATCGAAAACGATTAAATAAGAGCAAAGTTATATATATATATATATATATGTTTGATTTATGGGTTATAATAAGTGTGTAATTAAGATGATATATATGTTAAAAGATGTCAAGTGTATCAACAGAGAGAGTAAATTCTTATTTATATATATACGACTAGTAGATGTAAGACTAGTTGATAGACGACTAGTTGATATATCTACTCAATCATACGGTAACTTACAGTATATATAAGGACACTGAGTTTGGACAATCAAGCATAAAAAAAAAAAAAAAACATTTACAGAGAAGAAGAATCACGATTTGTAAATGATGTCGTCGTCGTCAACACGTTTTGCAATCTTTTGCATCATTTTAGTTTCCCTCTTTGGTCTGCTCAAATGTTTGTAAATATATACATAATTCTTCTTCTTTATTTGTTCATCGCTATTGTAATCAGCTAAACTTTTCCAAATGATATAATCGTTTTTTAGGTGAAAACGTGGGCGGTGGTTTCGAGGCGAGCAAGTTATTCATACCACCATGCGTTCGAGCATCTTGCCATTCTGTGTGGGTACGCAATTGTTATTGCTGCCCTGGAAAAGAGAAGTTCTCATTCTGTACACGGAATAAAGAACAATGTTGGGCTAGGTGTGCTGTCCTTCATGCTCCTCCATCTTAATTCTACAAAGAATTAAAAAAAAAAGGCCCTTGCAGAGTGTTCTTTATATACACAAACTTGGTTTAACTTTTTTTCTTTGCTTGCCTTTCTCAGTTCTTATGGTAAGAATAGTATGAGTATGCGACTTCAACAATTCCAATATTGTTTCGTAAATTTGAGAGCCTCATTGGAAAATATTAATTAAGAGCAAGATTCTAAAAGCACGCTCTTATTTTTTTCTAAATGATTAACTTAACCAGAGAAATAACATTAATATCACTTACTCCCTCTGTTTCATAATATAGGGGATTTAAGGTTTTTGCACTTTAATTTTGAGAAAATTACTTAATATAATCTCTTTTTTATAAGAAATAGCTATAGTAACCCATTTATATTTTTATTACTCATATAACCTATTAATCATTTAAGCAGTGATGTATAATTCCAGTTTTATCCTTTTAACTATAATTATTTCTTTAATTTCGTTTTTGTAAATTACACATAACTAATCATTTAATTTGAACAATAATAAATCAGTTTTAATTAATAAATAAATAAAAGAAAACTAAAATAAGAAATAAATAACTTTTAATTTTAAATCAATTGATTATTTTTATTTTATCAAATTTCATCGGCAATATATGGTCAAACAACAATTTTTTTTGTCGAACTCAATTTTTTCATTTATGTATTTATCATTGAAATTGATTCTCTATCCAATCTACTTCTTTTTATTTTTGTTTCTTTTGCACATTTATAAAATGTTTGACTATATGAGATTTCAGTTTGTAACTTTTTCTGAATTTTGCGAGAAAATATTTCATCGACTAAAACTTAATACTAACAAAACAACACAGAAAAATAACATATTAGAAATTAAAATTCAATTATAGTAGTAATTTTAGAAGACTATGGTGTAGTTTGCCAAAACTCATAATCTTAAAAAATATGTAAAATCTATCAAAAATATATTGAGTATGCTAATAAAATAGCAAACTAGCAGTGTAAAATTCAAGTCTATCAAAAATATCATAAAAAATAGAAGATTAGCATATTGAAATTTGAATATGCTAGTAAATTTGAAAGACTTTGATGTAATCTGCCAAATCTCAACAAAGTCTACAAAAAATTAGGCAGAGTCTACCAAATACATGTTGAGTCTGCTAATAAAATAGCAGATTACCAGAGTAAAAGTCAAATCTACCAAAAAGTAGAAGATTCACAGATTAAAATCCAAGTCTGCTAATATATTTGGAAGACTTTGATGTAGTCTGTCAAAACTTGACAGAGTCTACAAAGAATACGTAGAATCTGCCAATAAAATAGCAGACTAGCAAAGTAAAATTTAAGTCTACCAAAAATACGCATAATCCACCAAAAAAATGGAAGACTAACAGTTTAAAATTCAAGTTCCAGTAAATTTGGAAGACTTTGACGTAGTCTGCCAAAACCTCAACAAAGTCTACAAAGAATACGTAGAGTCTGCCAATAAAATAGTAGACTAGCAAAGTAAAATTTAAATCTACCAAAAATACGCAGAATCCACCAAAAAAAATGGAAGACTAGCAGTTTAAAATTCGAGTCTACTAGTAAATTTTGGAAGACTTTGGTATAGTCTGCCAAACCTTGACAAAGTCTACAAAAAAGAAGCAGAATCTACCAAAAATATGTAATGTCTCCTAATAAAATAACAGATTAGCAGACTGAAATTTAAATCTACTAAAAATATGCAGAATCTCCAAAAAATGGAAGATCAGCAGAGTAAAATCCGAGTCTGCTAGTAAATTTGGAAGACTTTCGTATAGTTTGCCAAACTTGACAGAGTCTACAAAAAAATATGCAGAGTCTACCAAAAATATGTTGAGTCTGCCAAAAAAATAGCAGACTACGAAAGAAAAATCCGAGTCTGCGAGTAAATTTGGAAGACTTTCAAAGGGTAATTTTGTAAAAAAACTAATATAAAATCTTCAAAATTCTTGATAGGCTATTTTGGCTATTTACAATATTTTATGGGTTATTATAGCAAATCACCCTTTAATTTTTGTACTTTTTGAAATAAAATTTTTTTTATCATCAATTCCAAAACATTTCAACCAATGACTAACAAATCTGCAGAATATAAATAATCTAAAGTAATAAAAACACATTTAATTTTACACTAAAACTCTAAAACCCCTTATATTTTGAAACAAAACTAAAACTCTAAAGCCCCTTATATTTTGAAACAAAGGGAGTATATGACATGTGTAAGATCTAGCCCTATATGCTAGACAATATATATATATAACTATAGGACATTCGAGTGTGGACAATCTCAAACAGAAAGAACAAAAAAAAAAAATAGAGGGAAGAAGAATCACGATTTGCATTCATGTCGTCTTCGTCAACACGGTGCCATCGAGACTATTGCGGTAATAGCTGGGCACGCAATTGTTATTGCTGCGATGGAAAACTCAAGTACTGTACACAGAAGAAAGAAGATTGTTGGGCTGAGTGTGCTCTTCTTAATCCATCTTAAGCTCTTGCAGAGTTTTGATGTGTAAATATTAGTAGTATATTTAAATGCAGTGCTGAAGTTTTGTAACACTGACTTAGAATTTGTGTGATCAAAGAAAGACAAAAGCGAGTGTACATATTTAATAATATAAGCCTCTCAGGCTCTCAGCAGAAATGAAATGGTCAGGTTTTACAAAAAAAACTACATAGAAAACATCATAAATTTAACATTCAAGAAGCATATATTTTGTCAAAGATCCTATATACTTCTCCAAGACAACTTAAACCGCAACATTGGGTGACGCTGGATACTCTTCATACCCTGTGATTCCTGTAATCCTAATCCTCGTGTTTGGCTGTAATATCAAATCATAAAATCACAATGTCAGTGTCATTATCTACAGTTCTTCGGATTCATCAGGATTACAACAACTAAACGAAACACTGTAATACAATATCTAGCAGCTAAAGATATGTTCTTGCGCAAACAGAAAGCGGATTTGTCAGCAATGGAATGAATACCTGTCGATGACCAATATTTCTACGGTACTTCTTCTTTGGCTTGTCCCCACAAGTAACACCTTGTTCAGAACAATCTGCAAAAGAAAGGAAGCAAAGGTGAAACTTCAGGAATCACCAACATTGTTAACATATATAAAATCTCTTCTTTCATTTTGGTTTTAGCAAAACACAAGCCACAATGTCTACTTATATTCCATAACTAGACCTGTTATAGACATATCATTTCGTTTGATTTTTTACATATCTATCATTTTGAATAACTCCTTCAAACCTCCAATCTCTTCCTCTGAGAGTCTCTCAGCGATGACACGTAAGGCCATTTTCTTGATCTTGTTCATTTGCGAGAGCTGCTTTAGTCTTGATAAGACAGCTGGATCGAGAGAAAATATACATATACATATATATACTTATGAGTTATAAAAAGTGTGTAATTAAGATGATTTATGTTAAAAGATGTCAAGTGTATTAACAGATAGAGAGAGAGAGTAAATTCTTATATTTATATATATACGACTAGTTGGTATATTTACGACTAGTTGTTATAAGACTAGTTGATATATCTACTCAATCATACGTTAACTTACAGTATATATAAGGACACGGAGTTTGGACAATCAAGCAGAAAAGAAAAAAACATTTAGAGAGAAGAAGAATCACGATTTGCAAATCATGTCGTCGTCGTCAACACGTTTTGCAATCTTTTGCATCATTTTAGTTTCCCTCTTTGGCCTGCTCAAATGTTTGTAAATATATACATAACTTTTCTTCTTTATTTCTTCATCGCTATAGTAAATCAACTAAACTTTTCCAAATGATATAATCGTTTTTTTTAGGTGAAAACGTGGGCGGTTTCGAGGCGAGCAAGTTATTTATACCACCATGCGCTCGAGCATATTGCCATCCTGAAGACTGGGAACGCGATTGTTATTGCTGCGTTGGAAAAGAGAAGTTCTGTACACGGGATAAAGAAAAATGTTGGGCTAGGTGTGCTGTCCTTCATGCTCCTCCATCTTCTACAAAGAATTAAGAAAAAGCTCTTGCAGAGTGTTTTTTATATACAAGAACTTGGTGTAACTTTTTTTCTTTGCTTGCCTTTCTCAGTTCTTATAGTAAGAATAGTATGAGTATGCGACTTCAACAATTCCCGTATCTAAGTTTAGTAACTTTGAGAGCCTCATTGTAAAATATTAATTAAGAGCAAGATTCTAAAGGCAAGTTCTTGTTTTTTCTAAGGAGCATGCATTACTATATTAAACACAAAAAAAGTTTGATTAACTTAATCAGAGAAATAGCATTTGTATCACTTAAATCACATGTGTAAGATCTAGCTTTATATTCTAGACAATATATATAACTATAGGACATTCGAGTTTGGACAATCTTAAACAGAAAGAAAATAAAAAGTTTAGAGAGAAGAAGAATCACGATTTGCAATCATGTGCAATCCTTTGCGGCCATGTTCTTTTTATAAATCGCAGCGGCTGCGATGGCGATTAAAATAATAAACGTAGATAGAGGTGTATTTGTGAGAAGGAGTCGCAGCTGTGTTATAAAAGGGTCAATTTTACTGGTGAGTTGCCGTTGCGACAGTCGCTGCAATATTCCAGCGACAGTTTCCCTCCCTCCTACGACACTTTATCTCTCCTGCGACTGCTCCGTCGTCATCGTTTTGCCTCTGCTGTGGTCGTTTTGCCTCTGTTACTCACTGCCGTCACTGTCGTTTTGATAAGTCGCAGCAGCAGCCGCAGCGACTTTGAAAAGAACAGGGCCTGCATAATTTTTGTCTCCCTCTTTGGTCTGCACAAATGTACGTATGTTTACATTTTTTTTGTTCTTTTGTTCATCACTATCGTAATCATCTAAACTTTTCCAAATGATATAATTGTTTATATTTTTAGGTGAAAACGTGGGTGGTTTCGAAAAGAGCAAGTTATATATACCAGTATACCACCGTGCCATCGAGATTATTGCGGTAATTCCTGGGTACGCAATTGTTATTGCTGCGATGGAAATTTCAAGTACTGTACACAGAAGAAAGAATATTGTTTTGTTGGGCTGAGTGTGCTGTTCTTAATCCTCCTCCTCCATCTTGTAGAGTTTTTATTAAATAATTTGATGTGTAAATATTACTAGTATGTTTAAATGCAATGCTGAAGTTTTGTAACACTGACTTAGAGTTTGTGTGATCAAACAATGGCAAAAGCGAGTGTACATATATATATAACAGATAAGGCATCCCAGCAGAAATCAAATGGTCCGGTTTTACAAAAAGAACTACATAGGAAACATTAGAAATTTAACATTCAAGAAGCATATTTTGTCAAAAGATCATATAATTTAAACCGCAACATTGGGTGACGCTGGATACTCTTCATACCCTGTGATTCCTGTAATCCTAATCCTCGTATTTGGCTGTAATATCAAATCATAAAACCACAATGTAAGTGTCATTATCTACAGTTCTTCGGATTCATCAGGATTACCACAACTAAACCAAACTAGTCTATGGGTGGGACCAATGTAATACAAAGAAAGCGGATTTGTCAGCAATGGAATACCTGCCGATGACCAATATTTCTACGGTACTTCTTCTTCGGCTTGTACTTGAAGACCACCACTTTATCATTTAGACCCTGCAGCAACAAAAGAGATTGTGGTTTTCCCAAGTTAGCAGTAGAAAAGACTGACACAAATCAGAAACTTAAGGAAGAGTTTGTATCGATTTACTTGGTTTTCGACTACGGCATGTACTGTGGCATTTGTAACAACTGGTTTGCCGATGTAAGTGTGCGTCTTTGTGCCCACAAGAAGCACTTTGTTCAGAACAATCTACACAAGAAAGGAAGCAAAGATGAAACCTTCAGGAATCACCAACATTGTTAACATATATAAATTCTCTTCTTTCATTTTGGTTTTAGCAAAACACAAGCCACAATGTCTACTCATATTCCATAATCAGACTTGCGGAGGAGAAGTTTGATGAATACAGATACTTGAAAGGAATGTTGATACCTGATCATTGACATTAGCATCTTTCATCCTCTGAGTGTAGAGATATCTCCCTGGAAAAACTATGTATTGGCGTCCACCAACCTGTTTAATCAAAGAGAAACAAACACTCAAACTAAATCCGAAATAACAACACTGAAACAATCAAAAGTAAGAGAAAAGAAGATTTGTAAACATCAAACTGTTCTTAATGATAAGCTCTTACTCTTAAAGTGTACTTATGCCACAAAGCACAGTCCCTCATGAGCATATCTAAATCAAGCAAAATGTATTCAAAGGAAACTCATCCAAAATCAACCAAAAAAAGTTGCAAATGCCAACGAATAATTCACAATTCGAAGACTTTCAAAGAAAACCAAAGTGTTCTTATCAATAAACTCTCACTACACAAGCCAATGGCTTTAAACCTAACTTTTAAGAGTAAACGCCACAAAACACAGTCTCTCATGAACAAATGAATTCGAAGTAAGCTCATCCAAATCAATCAGAATTAGCTGCAAATGCCAAATACATAACTCAAAATTGAGAATTTTAATTTGCAGCTCACCATAACAACAGCGAAAATCTCTTCTCGTTTAGGCTTCTCCTCCGCGACATCGGAGACAACCACAGCTTCGATATCAGTAGTCTCCGGCTCAGAAACGACGGCTGATTCAGCGAATTTCGGCGCGATGGGGAATGCAGGTCGAGAAGTCGAAGCAGGAGAAAGAAACCCAATCGCAGGTTTAGCCAGATTAACCGACGGTTTAGAGAGAGAACCAATGATTACGCTCGAAGAACGGCGAGAATTGACATTGCAATGAGCCGAGAAAGTGGAGCAGAGAGAGAGCGACGCTGCGGAAGACGCCATTTTTTATTTCGCCGGAGAGCTCTGAGCTCAAAACTTTGAAGCTCCGAAGCGAATAAATCGCAGAGTTATCCTATCCACTTACTCTTCAATTACCAATATAACCTTATCTTCAAATTGGCGTCATTTTGGAGAGAAAAAAGTAAGCCAAACCGGTAATAGCTAAACCAAAACCGGGAGAAATACAAAAATTCAATTCTTTGGAATTAATTAAAACAATTATTTTGAAGCAAAATTATCCATTACTACAACAAAAATTCAGAAAGGTTTACTCATCTACAAAAATAAAAAATTAACAAAACAAAACAGAATATTTTTCTTCTGTATTCTTTAGTTCCAAAACATACATATGAGAAATTAATTAAACTGAAATCGTAAAAGAATGGGAATGATGATGAATGAATTAGTCATTAGACTGTTGAGCATCATCAACTCCAAAAGCATCAGCAATATTGAAGTTCAAGTTCTTCATCATGGTTCTGCTTCTCCCAACAACTCCATCTCCTTTTCTCATCATCGCCGTAAACTCTGAAAAATCAATCTTCCCATCCTACCAAAATCATCACACATTCTCATCAGTCAAGAAGTAAAACAAAAAGAAGAAGAAGAAGAAGAAGAGTGGTTACTAGTTACTACTACATACATTGTCAAGATCAATCTCCTTGATCATATCATCAAGAGGTGTATCACACAGACCAAACTCTGTACAAGCTGACTGCAACTCATCAATGGTTATATAACCACTTCCATCTTTATCAAAATACGAAAACGCAGCCACCAGATTCTCCTCTCTCTCCATCTTGTTCATGTGTAACGTCGCTGCAAGAAACTCTCCATAGTCTATTGTCCCACTGTTGTCTATATCCGCCTGTAAACCAAACCAAAACAAACAAAAATGCTTCTCAAATCCATTTGATGTTAAAAAGAGAGTTTGGTTTCCGGTTATGATCATACCGCGTCCATAAGAGACTTGATCTCCGATTCCATCAGCTCGGATCCGACTCTCTTCAAACCGGCTTTAAGCTCCTCGAACGTAATCGTGCCGCTGTTGTCCGTGTCTATCATCTTGAACAGTTCCTTCAAACCTCCAATCTCTTCCTCTGAGAGTCTCTCAGCGATCACCTATGAGAACAATAACCACTTCTTGTTCAGAGAAAAATCAAGAAACAGATTGAAAACATTCAAGAAATGTATGTTCATATATATACCCGTAAGGCCATTTTCTTGATCTTGTTCATTTGTGAGAACTGCTTTAGTCTTGACAAGACTGCTGGATCGAGAGGCTTGTCTGGTGCCGCCTGTTCATCAACAATCCATGGGTGACCTAAAACACACATTCAACAGCAAACTAAATACTCAAAACACTCAACAATGTACAAGAAACAGAACAGTGTTTATACAAACTAAGAAACTTACACAAGGCTTCATGAGCAGAGATGCGTTTTTTAGGGCTTCTCTCGAGCATTTTGTTGATCAGATCTTTAGCAGCTTCTGAGATACTAGGCCAGGGGTCGGATTTGAAATCTAACTTCCCTTGCAATATCTGTCTAAAGATACCAGACTCGGTCTCCGCCCAGAAAGGAGGCACACCGCTGAGTAAGATGTAGAGGATCACACCGGCGCTCCACACGTCGATCTCAGGTCCGTAGCATTTCTTTAGAACCTCCGGTGCCACGTAGTACGGACTTCCCACTACGTCGTATAGATATTGTCCTGAAGCAAGCAAGCAACCAAAAGAAGAAACACTTCAGCGTTTATCAAATAAATGCATAACCATTTCAAGAAATGTTTATTTCAAGAATATATATATATACAAGAAACAAGAAATGTTTCTCTAACAAAGAAACAATGCTCAAGCAGCAAAAATTATAATTCAACAAAACAGATCATCAAATCTGAACAAACCCAAATCTTGTTATTTCGATTTTTTATTTCAAGAAATGAAAAAAAAAAAAAAAAATCTGCTTCCATCAAGAAACAGAGCAAGAACAAACCTGATTCAATCAAGAAACCAAACAAACATGTATCGAACAATGTATGAAGGAACCAAATTTAATTATAAGAACAGATACGAGCAAATTTGATTTGAGATAATGTTGAACAAACCTGGTTTGTAGAAGACGGACAAACCAAAATCGGTGGCTTTGAGCTTAGCGTCTTCTTTAGGGCTATCAAACAAGAAATTCTCAGGTTTGAGATCTCTATGCATGACACCAAGCGAATGACAAGCCTCGACGACACCAAGAATCGTCTTGATAAGCTTCACGGCCTCACGCTCGCTGAAATGGCCTTTAGAGACAATCCGATCAAAAAGCTCACCTCCTTCGCAGACCTCCATGACGATGTGGACGAAGACGGAATCTTCGTAAGTGCCCTTGATCCGGACGACGTTGGGGTGCTCGGAGAGGTGGTGCATGATCTGAATCTCGCGCCAGACGTCCTCGTAATCCTCGCGGCAGACGAGTTTGCGTTTGGGGATTGATTTGCAGGCGTAATTGGCGGAGGTTGATTTCTCGGTGCAGAGGTAGGTTGTGCCGAATTGGCCTTGGCCTAGCTTTTTGCCGAGGAGGTAGTGATCGCGCAATCGTGGTGTTTGGTATGGGAGAACAGTGTTTGATGGGCGTCTAGGGTTTGGTTTCTCCATTGTTGCGATCTTGATTTGAGAGAGAAGATGGTTGATGGTCGATGGAGATGATATTAACGGACTTTTTCGTTGTGCCAAGAAAACCAAAACGTTGTTCCTTGATTCCTTCCCTCTTCTCCAAATTTTGACTCACTCTTATAACTTAAATTAATGTATCACATTATTTTGTCTATTTTTCTCTAGTTGAAAATGCTTTGTTAAATTTATATAATGTGGCATTTCCTGTTATTATTTCTCTTGCTTTAAAGGTGAAAACATTCAGCAGCATACAGTTTTAGTAGCATAATGTTTTTAATTTTTTTTATATAATGTGGCGTTTTTTTACTTGAAATTCTGTAATTATATTTGTAACTAAACCTTGAAAAAATAGACTATTTGCATAATTATTTTGTTCATGTAAATCTATTTTACAATCACAAGTCTAGTGAATTAACTTTCTTAGTAAATATTGTTGTAATTTTTCTTTTTGTTTCAAGGTTGGTTCTATCAAATTCAACTTGACGCCAAAAAAAGAATATATTTACGACTTGCGAGAGATAAGTCGGATATTAACAGTTTAAATCATTCTCTAACTAAAAATAAAAATAAAAATAAAAACTTGAGGCCGCCCTACGTACGTAGGAGTAATTAAATAACCAAAGAAAAATTTATATGCAGCCAAAGTATACAATATAACAACACAATGTTCGTCCACAATAAAGTAAGACTATCCTTGAAAATAAAAAATTCAACTAGACATTAGCATAGGTAATGTTATTATTGATTGGTCGAGGCTAGTGTAGTGGGGTTGGGTCGTAGAAAGAGAAGATTGGTGGATAATGGAGAACACGTCTACATGACTTGGACCCACTTTATCTGCACGTCTCTTTCTTATTTGCATTCATTATGGAGAGACTTGTGATTCTGAATCCAGTTGTCTTATTTCTATCCGAATTTATAATGCGACACTAAATTATTACAAACTGGAGCAACACGTTTTGAAAATCAGTAAAGTTATCAACTATTGTCTGAATTCCGAAAGCAACTTGCGGAAAAAGAAGGTGTATTGACCATTTGACCTCTTCAAAAGGAGAAACATTACTGCTGTCTGCTAGTGCTAGGGATCGCTTTCGATGGTAGATTGTTGTGCACGTTGATCTATAGCATCATTGAAATTTTATATCTTGGTTCATCAATATAAAATTTGAGTCTCTTTTCACACGAAAACAAAATTTTCATACCCACACCAAATAAAATAAAAACTACGCAACCAAGATTTTCAAATTTGCGTTTGAACGAAAATATAACATTTTCATGTTAAATTCATTTTTTTAGAAGATTAAGAAGAGTTTGTCATTCCGAAATGTCTGATGAGAGTAAAATTTGAGAAACTCCAAAGATTAACAGCGTGAGAACATTTGCTCTTTAGAATCTCTGAACATGGGAATTTGACTCTACCCGCAAATGATTGAGAAAGTTAGGCCAAAGGCAAAGTTGACAAACAAAAGAAAATGCATAATAACATTGGAATATGGAGGTTATGTCGGGTGGCATTCCAAATTGGTGCACCAAAAGATTAAATAAAAAGGAAATATAAGTTAGCAATAAAAACAAACATTGGTCCACAGGTCTTGTTCCATCGCAGTTTCTTGCTTCTCCTTGAAGCTGTCGTAGGTTTTGAATTTGATCGTCGCTTCTCTTTGCCTCCCTCGTTCAGGTAATCATTTGATCTCTGGCTTTCCTCGTAGTTTTCGATGTCAGAAGCCTTGCTAGTCTTGCTACACTACAAAAAAAAGTGTGTATTACATCACTTAAAAAGTATCAGTTAATGGAACGATACTAATTTGAATCGTTTAAATAAGAAATGATAGAAAATATATGGTTTAACATCAATTGTAAGAATGGATGCAAATATTGACTTATTTTACATCAATTCCATAAAATTGATACAAAACTACATTAGTTTGCATCAGTTTAAATAAACTGATGTAGAAATATAATTTTACATCGGTTAAATAATTGACATGTTTACTAACTTCTATTAACATTATTTTATAAGTGATACAAAATTTAAATCAGTTTATAATGATGCTAACTAATATAATTACGTGAATAGACAATAATTATGCAATTTGACTTCAGTTTAAAACTGATGTAAATATTTAATTGTTTTGGATAAAAGTTTGAAAAATTTTACATATATAAGTGAAACATTTGATTGTTATTGACGAGTACTTTATCACGTGATAAACCTATATTAAACAAATCTTTCGATTTGACGAGTACTTCATCATATTTGTTTCCTTTTAAGTTTTGTTTTTGGGAGGATTTAGAAGATGTCTCAACATGCTGGTTATCTCGGAGGGTTTATGCATGACGAGAGTAATGTGGTGCCATCGTGTATTGTGGAGGTTGCTCCGATCCTTCTTGTAGCAAATAACGTAGAAGCCAAGAACCCGCGTGTTGCTTACTTATGTGAGTTAAAATCTTGTTAAAAAGTAGCTTGGTGATGTGATGAGAAATTTCTCATCTCAAACTATTAATAAACAATCCATGGATGTGTTTGCTTCTCTAAGGTCGGGCTTATGCGTTGGAGAAGGCAAACATGATTGATCCCACATCAAGTGGACGTGGTGTTAGCCAGTTTAAGACTGCTCTTCTTCAACGCTTAGAACGGGTTAATAATCATCACTTTGTTTTACTCTGGTTTAATTTCATTTTGCATGCCCATAATAAAAATATTTCTGAGGAATATTTGTTAAACTTTTGCAGGAGAATCAATCAACTCTTGCAGGAAAGCAAAAGAATGATACAATCGAAGTGCAAAGTTTATACCTGTAAGTTGATTTTAAAAAATAATAGATTCAAGCTTATAAGAGCTTTATTGAAATAGATGGAAAATAAAATAGCTCATAAAAGAGCATAATTCAAGTGCAAGAAAATCGAGAAACGAAAATTACTTAAGAGACAATCAAGATTTTAAAAGACTTTGCATTGATATCATAAGATAAGGAGAAGAGGGCTCACAATAGGCAACTCCCACTATAGAAAACTATATTGCTAAATTCAAATTTGTTTTTGCTTTTAGCGCTCAACTTAAAAGGGCATACCAAACTGCTGATGTTCTCTTTGAAGTCTTGAAGATTGCTAATCAGACAGAAGATGTGGAAGTGGCTGATGAGGTGAACTGATAGTAGATTATATATTATATCTGTAGAATTAAAAACGCTTACCTTTGTTATTATGCAGGTCTCTGTATGCAAATGGGAGGTTATTTTTGTTTTTCCTTTATTAACTGGTTTACCAGATTACTGGCTCACTTGTTTCTGTTCATCCTTTTTAACTTGGTAGATTTTGGAAGCCCACAAAATGGTCGAAGAAAGTAAGCAAAATTTGCGTGCCTTAGAGCCATCTTCCCCATGATCCTCCTGATAGTCAAAATCAAGCTATAAATGATGTTTAATTTGTCTTTTGAGTCAAAGAAAATAAGTATTTGCGCGTTGTTGCGTGCTCTTCTTTGTTCTTTTGATTTTCTTCTTGGGTCTTGTATAATGAATTCATGATGTGTATGTTGATTGCCACTCTTACCATTGCATGCCATCTTTTAAACACATGATGTTCTCAATATCACACATTTGAATGTGTTTTATATAAAATGATAGTTAATTAAAATTTAAGCTTTATTGTGAGTTTATCGATTAAGTTTACAAAGAAAAATCAAGATATTTGGAATGTTTTCTCACTAGTTGAATATACTAAGAACATTTTTTAGAAACTGGATCATGTTTGTGATGTAAATTATGTTAGTGTTCAACGAATTCTCGATTTGGAACTATCTAACTATCTGTCATACAATGACAGTACTCAAGAAACGAAAGTAGTCTATGATTTTAAATTTATGATATTCCGAAGTGTTAGCTACCAAAAACAGTAAGAGATACACGTGAACATATAGATTTATAATTAAGAGTTTAGCAATGTTATCATGAAACAACACTTGAGAGCAAGATCCATCATTAGAACCACACAGAAGAGGACATGACTTACTTTCAAGACGATGATGTCCACAAGACATGCATTGAATTCAAGTCGCACAAGCTTGTTGACTTGAGTGATGTTTTATACAGCTCTCTCAGTTTCCCAGAGTCTCCAGATCTTCCAGAGTTCTGAGATTTGTTTGCTCCTTCCGCAGGTAAGGATAACGCCAGCATTCGCTTAAGAACCAACTGCAACTGTGCCCAGAATTTCGAGTAGAGCTCCGAGTCCTCGGTTCTTAACGATTCAGCATATGTTTTGGAAACGTGACGGCCTTCGAGCAGGCGAGACAAAGCCGACTCGAGCATCTGAAGCAAAAAACAAGAATGATTACCACATTATGGTCAAATCACAGCAACAACCGAAATAAGCCAGAGGGGATTGATGTTGATGACTTACAGTGTTTGTCTGCCAGAAGTTTGAAAGGCTGAAGGAAAGAGCCGATCTTTCTATCAGAATCGTAAGGAACATGGAAGGATGATTCTCGGGGCCATAAAAGTCCGTCGACTTCTGCCAATTCCTATCTGCCAACAGAGCGTATTGCTTGGCTCTATGGATGACATTAGTCTCGGGTTTGGCAAGACTCTCCAAAAACCTCAAGCAGCACTCTTTGTGATACCGCGCTAACTGAAGATAAGCAAACGCAGCTTCCTGTTTGCGTATCTCCCCAAGAGATTCGTATAACGCCAAGGCCTCTCTTATTGCATCGCTTGCTGATACTTCATGCTTATCACGAGTGTTTTCTAACGTACTCTTCTGATGTCCACGAGCTGCAGCGGTTGTGTCTTCTTTCGCTAAAAGCATTCCAAATCTGAGATACGTATGAGCAAGCTGTGTGTAAACTTCCACTTTCAGATTCTCTGGAACCTCTTCAGTTGCAACACTGAGTTCCGTCTTCGCTGCAATGTAATACTTCAGTGACTTGCTGTATTCTAACTTTGCAGTCTCCAGAGATTGTTCGTAAGCATTTTTAAGAGCAGGATGAAGTTTCAGAGCTTCCATCTTCGGAACCATTTCTTCAGCTAAAGCTCGTCGTCCGTGACCCAAGTTGCAGTTGATTAGAATAACGTTGGTATGATCGCAAACTTCCTTGAATGCTGTTATAGCATCAGCAAAGGCATCTTCAGCTTTTTTTAGCTCTTTGCTCCCGAGGCGGTTCCGACCAAGTTCATTACATACCCAACCTTTCTTTCTAAGAACCGACTGAGACTCACTGCAGCCGCTTGGAAGCTCCTGCAATGCTCTTCGAGTCTCCTCATAACAAGTTAAGGCAGACAAGAGATTGCTTTCTGCATCATCAGTCTCAGACCGCTTGAGATACTTGAATATTCCGCCTTTTTTTGCTTCTGCTGGTTCCTTAGAGTTAGAGTCATTCTTTGTTCCCACTGATGTATCTTCTTCTTTATGGCTTCTGTTCTCAGCTGATACGTTAACACATTCATCTTCAACACTTCGTGAGAGCCTGCTGGTGACGTTCTTGGACTTCGATTTTCTATTTTGCTTTCTGCTTTGAGGCACAGTACGAGCACTACTTCCATTGCTGTTGCTGCTACTTGCGCTGCTTCCACTGCTTGCTCTGTCACTCTTACAGCTGCAGTTTACTAATGAACATGAAGCACAATTTTGACTGTACTCAGTTAACTTCTTCTTAAGCCGCTTTACTTCCTTCACGACTTCAGACGGCATTTTCAACTGTTTCTGGTTCGTAGATGTCTCCTCTGCTTTTCTTGAGAGCTCCTGACCTTTAAGAACGTGGAACTCAACATATACATCACCAACCAACATCCATACTTTCGCCCAGAAGAGACGTGTTGATGAAAGTTCTGTGAAACTGATATCCAAATCTTCCACTTGTGTTCTCGCACTAGACTTTGACTGAAGTGAAAGAGACTTGTTCATTGAGGAAACAAACAATGTCTCGTCAAACTTCTGCGGCATTGATCCGTATAGGGAGCAAGCTAATTCAACAGTATTCAAAGCTTGGTGCAACTGCCCATCCTCTTTGTAAGCTTCCCCTAGAGACAAATATGATTCACCAAGAAGCAATACGAGGTTCCACAATTTCCTGTCCAGTTTAGAGGTTGGGAGCCAGTTACGGATATCACAGACCTCAATACAATCAGGATCACCACATGCGCATTTGGAAATATCGACAGAAGGCAGTACATTACGAAACGCACCATCCTGCTCTGTAGACTGTAGTTGCCGTGTCCACCTTAGTGCCTTTATAGCTTGAGAAACATGGTGAACTGCAGCTAGTTTCGATGAAATTGGACTGATTGGAGTCTGAAGCAGAGGCGCAAGAGCAAGATCGATACTAGTATCTGAACTGGATTTCATGACAGAGCTTTCAACATCATGGGAATCTGAACTCTCTGAACTTAAGGGTTCCTTGCAAGGTAACAAATCTGCCTCCAACTTCGGTCTAACAGGTATTAAAGGCGACGAACTCGAGTAGTCTTTAGTGAACTTGTCTTGCGAGAAAACCACAGCCTCACTTTCATTGTCAACAACAGTAACTGGATCAAGTGGTTCCTCCTCTAGGTCTGTTATTTGGACTTCTCGTTGCACATTATTAGACTCAAAAGTCAAGTCAACTTCCTCGTCATTACTTAGAATAAGCCTTGCGAACTGCTCATGTGCATACGCACGAACAACCTATCAAGAATTCAAGAATCATATCACTAATGACTACTTATCAAAGGTTTAAGAAAGAAAAAAAGCAGCTCAATGACAATACAAAATCATCTTAGAGAGCATTACCAGAGAATTAGGCTCATCTAAGAAATTCAAACATTTTCTGAGGAACCTAGCACACTTGGTCCTATCATTCGGCACCTGCAATAGAAGCAAACTGTCAGATAAGCAGCACTTATCTTCTTATTCATATTGATGTTTTCATGCAGATTAACGCCATGTATCCTTACCACTGACAAAGAAAGCCTATGTCCGACACGGTAAAGAAGATTTCCTAAAGAAAACAGTGAGTCATTTCTCCCACTGTGAATAAAAGATGGCAATGGGTTTGCGCTGTCGTTGTCATCGCTGGCAGAATGGTTCTTTGACATTAAGGAAGAATCAAAAAGCTGAATCACATCTTCACCAGCACTTTTGTAAAGCTGAAAAATAACATAAGCCAAATCAACTGGAGTAAGTAATGACATTGACATCAAGAAGAGATAACTCCAACAAATGATAAAATAGAATTATAACGTTACCCAGTAAGCTCCAGGATCCTCTTTGCAATTTGATTGAAGAAACCGTAAAACAGCTAGGCCGTTTTGCTGAACAACATGAGGATTGAAGGCAGGTGTACCATCTTCAGAGATGCCTTTTAGTAAAAATATATCATCCGTTTTCAAAAGCTCATACCCTTGGACAACACCTTTCTTATGATAGCATATCGCTAACTCGGGCACACTGGCCATTACATTATCAAGCCAAGCTTCAAGCCAAGTTAAAGGTGTAACCTGTGTAAAAAAAAAAGAGAACAGTTAGTTAACAGAGAGTATATGCTGAAAAGATGAAAAAGCAGAAAATCAGTCAAAGAGTATAGCAGTAACCTTTTGGCTAACATCAAACAAGTGCAAGCTCACAGCCACATATTTTTCATTGCTGAACAGAAGCAGATCACTTCCCAAAAGCATGCGGAAGTTGTGGAATTGCCAAAACAGAACTCTCAAAAATTCATTGTTCCCACTTCTTCTATGCTTCTCAGATTCTCCGGAAGGCTTGGCCTTTTCACTGATTTGAGTATCTTCTCTCATCGGCTCACTAACTTTGTTTTTCTTGCTCTTCTTCGTCTTTTCACAAATAAAACCATCCTGTTTCATCTGTTTACTACTACTCCCTACTCGTTTGTCAAGTCTGTCGTCTGGAGTACTATCACTACTCTGTTGAAGCCCACGAGAGTTCTCTCCTGCGGGAAGAGACTGTTTCTCTACATCTGGGCGATGCGTTGGAGGGCAATCACACGCCTCCATTCTCACTGAATGCATAGCAAAGTTCAGAAACAAAGACTCATCAACGTTTTTGGTACATTTCGGCTGATTCTTTTGTCTCCTAATCAGTTTCTCTCCCTCTTCAACATCAGGTCTGCATCACACAAGACAATTCATAACATAAAACACTTCTCCTCAAAAATTTCTAAAAATAGGGAATTAAGTAAAAGAAGACGCACCCAGGGTTCAAGACGAGAGTCTGTCCAACACGCTGGACCGCTATGGAGACCCGAGCTTTCGAGTAAGGTATCTTAAAGATTTGCTTGAGAACGTCAACGGGCGCAATCACGTCTATCTCATCTCCGTATTCAACTAAACCGGAGACAGCAAGTGCTTCACATTTCTTGCTAAGGTTCGACGCAATCACGTTAGCTTCCTTAGATATATCTGTCAAACACACCACCGTAAGCAATTGTGAAGCACAAACACTATAACTACAATTAGCTAATCCACTAAAATACGCATTTGGAGACGCTAGAGGAAAGTTGGAAAAGGAGAACAAAAAAACTTTACCTCCGGTGATTCTAGACTTCACGGCGGCGAGGGGTAAAACCTTATCGGGAAAATCGGCTAGCAGAGGAAGCCGATTAAGATCAGTCTCCCTCGGAAGCATCTGGTACCTCGGAGCAACCACTCTGCAACAACAGTGAATAAATTTTAAAAAAGCTTCATATACAAAGTGAAATCAGAAGCAGCGTGAATGAAGAAGTGGGAGAGGAGATGAAACGAACGTTTCCTGAGATGGGAGGAGAGCGGAAGTGAAAGTCGGAAACGAGTTATCGGCGAGAACAGGGATGGAGCCGCAGAGAAAACCGACCGGTTTTGGAGCGACGATCTCCATCTTTCCGATGCACTGAAGGTCTCTGCAACCTTCGACGGAGCTCGGGAGATAAGGTAACGGCATCGGCGGAGGTTTAGGAGCGACCGATTGCTCCATTGTGATTCTGGGAATTTGTGTTGTTCGTAGCGAAAATTGATCTACAATCTAGCAAACCTGTGTGCTCTGAGTCGTAAGAATTATAGTTATTGATCTCGAAGGTTCTTATTGAAAAATATTTTAGCCAAATAAAAGAAAGGAATTAGGAGGTTATGGAAGACGGAGAAAAATCAGAAATGGTCTCCGGCGATCGATCTTTCGAGACTCTTTAGAAGAAAAGCCCCAAAACAGTCGGACGCTAGTCAAATACATTTACACTCGGATTTAATTACTTCTTTTACTTTTACTTTTACTTTTGTGAAAATATTTCTCAAACTACTTCTCTTTTATCACGTGTATTTGTATACAAACTGAACGGAAAGATCCTCAACTTCACCATTTTTGAGCATCTTATTGGTGCATTTTTGTGAATCAACTGATTACTTGTGTAGTTCTGTATATACTGCTTGATCTTTTATGTTAGAGAGCCAAAATAATTCATAACTAAAATGGAATAACCGTAGGTTTAAGATAGTGTGAAGAATCAAAATGATCATTAAACAACAAAGACAAAGAAAGATATTACTGTGAACTATTCAAGTAAGCTTCATGGCTGAAGAGCCTAATCAAAAGAAACAAAAAACATACCACAATGAAACTCTACCAAAAACTAGTCCTCTTTGTCTCTAGGCTTATGCTCACTGGCTTCACCTTCAGAGACACTCGTGGTCTGATCATCTCTTTCACGAGCCCCTGCACCGGTCCTGGCACGAGGAGGCTCCTCCACTTGGCTGAGGCTCCGTAGCATCATAATAACAGCAACAAAGAACACAACGACGTAAACCGACCGTATCCCGATCATCGAGTTGATAAATCCCATCAAAGACGGTCCTTTGATTCTCTTCTTCTCTGTTCTTCCTTCTCTATACCCCTCCAAGAACCGAGAGACCTGTGTCAAATGATCTTCCTCGTGACTAATGCTCTCTATTCCACTCACCTCATCATACTCCTCATCTCCGTCCCACACAACGATCTTAGGAAGCTTTGCCTTCTTATCCGCATGAAACGAGTCTGCAAACTCTTCAAACTGCGTCACACCAACGTACCCAAACACAAGGTCACGGTTGGCATGAGCAGCTGCTCTCAGCGCTTTGATCAGCTTATCCACGCTTCCGTGAGTTTCATCTTCCACTATCGTCAACACCATCTTTCTATCATCTTCTTTCAGCAGCTTCAAAGAGTCCTGATTAATCGGCAGGATCAAAGGAAGGAAGTTTTGTTTCACAAACTCCTCCAAGAACCCATCTGCAAACAAAAACTATACAAGTCAAGAAGCTTGTCACAACTCACAATCTATCTACTTTGTAAATTTCTAAGCAACTAACCTTCAAATGGTCCGTAGAAGACGCTACGCTCATCGTACGTTGGATGTTTAGCAACCAATGCAGGAGCCTTATCGAAATCATAGGAAACCATAACATCCTCTGAGACTTCATACTTTGTAACAGCAAACCATGCTTTTTTCTTGTACTTTGCACCTAATGATGATATCAACGATTCGTTCAACCCAAATCCGATGAACACAGGGAAGAATTTCCCAGCGTCTTCAACGAAGTCTTTAACGGATGAGTCTGACTCAAGAACCGCAACATCTGGAGCAACAAACTTCTTCAAGTAACGGACGAGTAGATCCGCTTTCCTTGGTCCGTAGTACTCCATTGGAACTCCATGGTTATAGAGCATGAGCGTTGGAAATGCACTGCAGCAACAAAAAAGCAGATCAACCAAATAAGCTTAAGGGAAACAAATCGAAAAGCATTAAGCAAAAGGAGACCTAAAGCTTGAAACTTTTAACACTCCTGACTCAAGAAATTTTCTGAGCATACTTAAGAACTCAAATTAGAAGAACACATACTCGATCTCGAGCTTTCGTGCGAGACGGGAATATTTGTCAGCGTTAAGCTTTGCGATGACGATAGGCTGCTTCAGTTTAGCAAGTATAGGAGCAGCTGCATCTAACTGCAACAGATCAAGAGGAGGAATCAATAACGAAAGCCAAAATCTTCCATTGAAACAGATCCAGATTGAAAGTATAAATTCGATGCAAAAAAAACTGAAAATTGGATTAGATCAGAGTAATCAGAAGCTAAATTAAGCAATCTTAGACCTAAATTCGAGGGGACGTTAGGGAATATACAAACCTCGGGGTTAAGACGCTTGCAATGACCACACCAAGGAGCGTAGAAATCGACAAAGACGCAATCGAAAGTGGAAATCGCTGAGTCGAAGTTGGAATCGGTGAGCTCAATTACAGTTCCGTCGACTGTGAATTGATGATCATCCGAAGAAGAAGAAGAAAGGGAGACTGATAAAGCTGTAAACGAGATCCAGCATAGTATTAACCCTAACGAACGCATCTCGATAGACGACGATCTAAATTCAGTATTCTGGATACTGCAGCAAGAATTTTGCAACAATAATTTCTCAGAAGTCTTGACGTTTATGAGAATCTCAAACTCCAGTTTAACATTATGTTCTTTAAAATTGTTAGAAGATCCTAAGTAAATACAAATCGTTATTGTGACCCCCAAACTGTGGTTTTTTGCTAAATCTCACCACTTACAAGTGTTGGCAAAGAATTATACTATATAAAAGTTGAGGCTATAAGCCTCTAAGAGCGTCCACATCAGCTTTTAAAAAACCAATTAAATTTTGCCAAATCAGCATTTTAATTTTAAAATCGAAAATTAAATAATTTTTTGAGAAAAAAATTACATTATTGTATTAAAGAATGGAAATTGTACTATTTTAAATTTTAATACTTACATTACGACACTAATTACCTTAACCCATTATTTTAAATAGTTTAATGGAAATTTAACATAAAAAGAGTTAAACTGAAAAAAGAACATATTATTGGAAAAGCTAAACTAATATAAAAGTTGAGGCTATAAGCCTCTAAGAGCGTCCACATCAGCTTTTAAAAAACCAATTAAATTTTGCCAAATCAGCATTTTAATTTTAAAATCGAAAATTAAATAATTTTTTGAGAAAAAATTACATTATTGTATTAAAGAATGGAAATTGTACTATTTTGAATTTTAATACTTACATTACGACACTAATTACCTTAACCCATTATTTTAAATAGTTTAATGGAAATTTAACATAAAAAGAGTTAAACTAAAAAAAGAACATATTACTGGAAAAGCTAAACTAACTAATTAAAATAAAAAGGAAATTAACAATTTAGCTATTTCAATGTTTGGCATTGCCTATAAATAGTCCTCTAAACTTTACAAGAGTTCTAAAGACAACCATATTCTTCAGAGAGAGAGAGAGAGAGAGAGATTATTAAAATAGCTATGTCTTTTTCCAGCTTTTCTGTTTCTGATCAGTTACGGCATCCTTTTATTTTCGATGAACTCACTAAAGGATTTTGTAAGAAAGAGCTGCTTGCTAGAGTCATCCATTCTGGGGAGACAAGGAATACTAAAAAAGAAGATCTGCTTATGAGATATGAACTGCTTCTAATTGATTAAAAGGTAACGGCACCAATATTATTTACCAATTACCAATAGAAAGTTAAATCATCATCAGCTTATAATACTCTTTTCTACCATAATCTATAATATATAAAAATTGAGGCTATAAGCCTCTGAGAGCGTCCACATAGGATTTAAAAACACAATATTACTGGTCCATGTAAGCATCTCAATATTAGGAAAGTTTCCAAATTTTAAATAACCAATAATATCATTCCACATCATTATATAAAATAAGGTTTATTTGTTAAAATTAATTAATCATCTTTTTATATTTCAAGAAAGTTTCCTAATTCCAAAATAACCAATAGTATCATTCCACATCATCATATAAAATTGACTATCTTAATTTGATTAGTCTACATAAACATTTACGTGATTAAAAAGAAAATTTGATTTTTAAATATGTAAGATATAAGAAAATTAAGTATATATGATTTTAAACAACCAATAGTATCATTCCACATAATTACTAAAATTAAGTAATTATTTTCCTTTTTATATTTTAGAACAGTTTATTAATTAAATACTTTAGAAAATAAATAAAAGTATATATTTTCTAATTACAATAAAAAAAAACCTTTGTCATGTAAATTGGTCATATTAAATTTTAAAAAACTAATATTATTAGTACACATGAGCTTATTTAACACTAATATTTTTTTTGCTAAGACAAGAACAAAAGATATGAAACCAAAAAAGAACACATAGGAGGAATAAAGAAGATCATAACCGAAGATGAGTGAAAATAAATAAAAAATCAAATAAGAATAAAAAAGAAATCAAAGTAGGAAAAATTACAGAAGAATAAATTTACAAAAAAACATAGAAACAAGAGTGAAGAAGGCAATGAAACCAAACAAGAACACAAAGAAATAATAAACAAGAGCAAAGACAAAGGAAAGCGAAGCCCGAAGAAGAGCAGAAACGAAGATGAGTGAAGATAAATATGAAACCAAATAAGAACAAAAAAAAATCAAAGTAGGAAAAATTGAAGAGACTAAATAAATAAAATTTAAAAACATAGAAACAAGAGTGAGTGAAGAAGGAAATGAAAAACCACAATGTGTGTCGATTAGCTTTTCTTCAAATAAATTTTATACTCCTAGAAATCCAACATAAATATTAGTATTAGGTTATCTACAATATTATTAGTTTTTGTAGCTAAAATTGTTAGACGTACAATTTATTTTTGAAGGCTTAGCTAGATAGTGAAAAAATTTCTACCTAAGATTAAAGAGGTTAATATTAAACATATTTACAAAAAGTATAGTCATGGAGAATTTAAAGCGAAGAACAACTAATGCATAGAAGAAGAGGAAGTTGGAATAAACATACTCTGGAGAAACGCAGCATTTTCGATAGAAAATATGAATCATAGAAGAAATAGAAATAAGAACCAAGAAAAGCAAAGAAAAAAAGGTTGATGAAGAAAAGAAAAGACGAATAAAACAAAGAACGAAAATATAAATAAAAAAACCCACATAATATAAAGCTAAACCAAGAAACCAAATAAAAAGATGAACCAAAGAATATGAAAATTGAAAGCTATGCTTAACTATATCATTATGATCGCATAAACTGAATTATTTGTATTATTATTAGGCATTGGTTAGTATATGTCTAAATATATATTTGTATATCTCTAACTTAATTTTATTTCTATGAATCTTTTACATTTTTAAATTTGGTTTAGGGTATCAGATAGTAAAAAAATTATTTTACCTAATTAAATTAAAGATTTCTAAAAAGGATAAAATCGTGAAACAAATTCCAGCAGAAAATAATCTAGAAAAAAAATAACAAAAAAAAAGTAAAACTCTAGCAACTTCGACCGTCTGAACTAATCATAGAAGAAACATAAGAACAATAACCAAGACGAACACAAAGAATATGAAGAAAAAAAAAGTGAAGACAAGAATATCAAAGAACTAAGACAAAAAAAAACAAAAGATGAACAAAGATGAAGAAATAGACCAAATAACGGAATAAGAAACCGCGAGAAGCCGAGAATGAATAAATATAAAAGGAATAAAGATGAAGAAGAAACCAAAATAAACAAAAAGAAACCAAATAAATAAGAATAGACCAAAGAAAAATAAACTAAGGACGAAAAATAAAAATATTGGTTCAATAGTCACCATGAACATGCTCTTGACGACAAAAGTTTAGGAATAAAAAATATTTAATCAAACTATTAAAATAGACCCGCGCATGCGCGGGTAAAAGACCTAGTAAAGATAGTAAAACTTTTGTGACTCGGTATGTAAATTAAGATCAACAAAAATAGATTAACTAGGTTTGAAGATGATAATCACACGTTCCATTACAACTTACAAGATAATATGAAGTTTTAAGTGAATGGTCAATCCATTCTTCATTGATATTCTTTTCCTTTCTTTTTTGTGCAAAAATCTTTATTGATATTCAAGTTATTGTTCTTTAAGCTCTCTCTAATCTCTAGTGAGACAAAATCCTAATCTGACTAATTTATGAATTCAGGTTCATCAATTTAAATCTCACCACCATGATAAGTTCATAACTGAAACCAGTATAAACAGAATTTAAGTGGACAAAACATTTTATTGCCACTTGCAAAAAAATCGAAAAAATAAGCTAGTATGGATAGAACCGCCTAGATAGAATTAACCAAAGGTTTCACTTCTTGCCTAAATCACACGTTCAAGTAGACCCCAGTCACTTGAAAAGTCATCTTGCCCAAATCACACGTTCCATTACAAGATAACATGAAGTTTTAAGTCAAGGGTCAATCTTCATTGATTTTCATGGTCTTTAAGCTCTAACCTACAATGAGATAATAAGAAAAAATAATCCTCAGTCAAGTTTTTTAAAACAGGAGTTAAAGATGAGAAGCTGGTGGTGGGTTAAGGAGAAGAAGAAGAAGCATGTGGCTTTGGTCTTCATAACAGTAATGATGATTCTCCAATTTCAAATGAAACGATGCGCGTAGGCTGTGTCGAAATTGAACGGATGGGTCTGTTGCAGCTCAAGTCGTATCTCAACTCTTTTAGTAGTTACAAAGATGAAAATATTCTCAAGTCATGGAGTGATGATGATCCTAAGAGTGACTGCTGCAACTGGGAGAGAGTAAAGTGCAGTGACGATATCGGTGGCCACACCGTCGGTCTCTCACTTTATGAAATCATGTTCGACTCGAATTTCTATCAACCTCATGGGTTTAATCTTACTTTGCTCCATAGCTTCCCTCAACTCAAAACCCTTAACTTTTCATATAATTGGTGCGATCACTTGTTTGATCCCATCCATGGTACGTTCTTACCTCTTTTCAAGGAAGCCACCAGTATATCGTTTCGATTTATCTCCTATTGTCGTGATAAGTTTTTTTACGGTTTCAGGTTATAAGAGCTTTCAGAAACTTGAGAAGCTGGAGACCCTAGATTTGTCAAGAAATAATTTCAACAACAGTGTTCTCCCTTTTCTGAGTGCAGCAAGGTCACTAAGGATTCTAAATCTTCGTAGCAATTCACTAGAAGGTGTCTTTCATCCGAACGGTAATCCTTCATTTGTAGAATTGTGTTTTAAATTATTATATTTATGTCTATACGTACTGAAAAGTGGACATGTGTGGTTAATAGTCGATATGTACTTGTTTTCCAAGAAAAAGAAAACAAACTAATGGAGACATTGGTGTGCAGGTTTAATCAACTTCAAGGAGTTGGAAGTCTTGGATCTAAGTAACAATAATATAAACGACTTTGAGGCTGGTGACGGTGAGAAGAATAGAAACAAGAGAGGGAAGATATTCTTGTTAGCTTGTAACATCGTTATTGATAGAAGAATATGTTGGTGCAGGGTTAATAAAATCGAAGCTGAAAACATTGCATCTTAGCGGTATCAGATTCTCAGACACTGCCCTGCTTAAAGGTAAGTCGAGTAGCATGGATTTTGCCAAATAACAAATCTGATTTAAGCCAAATAACATTTGTTTTCTTTTTGAGATCTTCAGGTTTGGAACATCTTGTAGAGTTAGAAGTCTTAAGCTTGGCATACAATCAATTCAACCACACTCGAGCTTATCAAGGTAAATGAGTAAAATATTCTCTTAGGAGAACTGTAATATCTTTATACCAAAATTATATTTGTGTTAGTGCAGTACTCAAGGACATGCCAAAGTTGCAAGAACTAGATCTAACTGGCAATGGATTCACCGACTTAGACAGTTTAGGTAAGATGATGATCAAGAGAGAAAAACTCGCTTGCTCTTAGCATAACTGTCATTTTTATTTAAAAAGAAATACTTGGTTGATTTATTCATCGATGATTCTAGTAAGAGTAAGAAAGAATTCTTTATTTATTTATCTATTCTTCGAAATGCAGGTTTAATGTTTTACGACACTAATTACCTTAACCTATTATTTTAAATAGTTTAATGGAAATTTAACATAAAAAGAGTTAAACTGAAAAAAGAACATATTATTGGAAAAGCTAAACTAATATAAAAGTTGAGACTATAAACCTCTAAGAGCGTCCACATCAGCTTTTAAAAAACCAATTAAATTTTGCCAAATCAGCATTTTAATTTTAAAATCGAAAATTAAATAATTTTTTGAGAAAAAATTACATTATTGTATTAAAGAATGGAAATTGTACTATTTTGAATTTTAATACTTACATTACGACACTAATTACCTTAACCCATTATTTTAAATAGTTTAATGGAAATTTAACATAAAAAGAGTTAAACTAAAAAAAGAACATATTACTGGAAAAGCTAAACTAACTAATTAAAATAAAAAGGAAATTAACAATTTAACTATTTCAATGTTTGGCATTGCCTATAAATAGTCCTCTAAACTTTACAAGAGTTCTAAAGACAACCATATTCTTCAAGAAGAGAGAGAGAGAGATTATTAAAATAGCTATGTCTTTTTCCAGCTTTTCTGTTTCTGATCAGTTACGGCATCCTTTTATTTTCGATGAACTCACTAAAGGATTTTGTAAGAAAGAGCTGCTTGCTAGAGTCATCCATTCTGGGGAGGCAAGGAATACTAAAAAAGAAGATCTGCTTATGAGATATGAACTGCTTCTAATTGATTAAAAGGTAACGGCACCAATATTATTTACCAATTACCAATAGAAAGTTAAATCATCATCATCTTATAATACTCTTTTCTACCATAATCTATAATATATAAAAATTGAGGCTATAAGCCTCTGAGAGCGTCCACATAGGATTTAAAAACACAATATTACTGGTCCATGTAAGCATCTCAATATTAGGAAAGTTTCCAAATTTTAAATAACCAATAATATCATTCCACATCATTATATAAAATAAGGTCTATTTGTTAAAATTAATTAATCATCTTTTTATATTTCAAGAAAGTTTCCTAATTCCAAAATAACCAATAGTATCATTCCACATCATCATATAAAATTGACTATCTTAATTTGATTAGTCTACATAAACATTTACGTGATTAAAAAGAAAATTTGATTTTTAAATATGTAAGATATAAGAAAATTAAGTATATATGATTTTAAACAACCAATAGTATCATTCCACATAATTACTAAAATTAAGTAATTATTTTCCTTTTTATATTTTAGAACAGTTTATTAATTAAATACTTTAGAAAATAAATAAAAGTATATATTTTCTAATTACAATAAAAAAAAACCTTTGTCATGTAAATTGGTCATATTAAATTTTAAAAAACTAATATTATTAGTACACATGAGCTTATTTAACACTAATATTTTTTTTGCTAAGACAAGAACAAAAGATATGAAACCAAAAAAGAACACATAGGAGGAATAAAGAAGATCATAACCGAAGATGAGTGAAAATAAATAAAAAATCAAATAAGAATAAAAAAGAAATCAAAGTAGGAAAAATTACAGAAGAATAAATTTACAAAAAAACATAGAAACAAGAGTGAAGAAGGCAATGAAACCAAACAAGAACACAAAGAAATAATAAACAAGAGCAAAGACAAAGGAAAGCGAAGCCCGAAGAAGAGCAGAAACGAAGATGAGTGAAGATAAATATGAAACCAAATAAGAACAAAAAAAAATCAAAGTAGGAAAAATTGAAGAGACTAAATAAATAAAATTTAAAAATATAGAAACAAGAGTGAGTGAAGAAGGAAATGAAAAACCACAATGTGTGTCGATTAGCTTTTCTTCAAATAAATTTTATACTCCTAGAAATCCAACATAAATATTAGTATTAGGTTATCTACAATATTATTAGTTTTTGTAGCTAAAATTGTTAGACGTACAATTTATTTTTGAAGGCTTAGCTAGATAGTGAAAAAAATTCTACCTAAGATTAAAGAGGTTAATATTAAACATATTTACAAAAAGTATAGTCATGGAGAATTTAAAGCGAAGAACAACTAATGCATAGAAGAAGAGGAAGTTGGAATAAACATACTCTGGAGAAACGCAGCATTTTCGATAGAAAATATGAATCATAGAAGAAATAGAAATAAGAACCAAGAAAAGCAAAGAAAAAAAGGTTGATGAAGAAAAGAAAAGACGAATAAAACAAAGAACGAAAATATAAATAAAAAAACCCACATAATATAAAGCTAAACCAAGAAACCAAATAAAAAGATGAACCAAAGAATATGAAAATTGAAAGCTATGCTTAACTATATCATTATGATCGCATAAACTGAATTATTTGTATTATTATTAGGCATTGGTTAGTATATGTCTAAATATATATTTGTATATCTCTAACTTAATTTTATTTCTATGAATCTTTTACATTTTTAAATTTGGTTTAGGGTATCAGATAGTAAAAAAATTATTTTACCTAATTAAATTAAAGATTTCTAAAAAGGATAAAATCGTGAAACAAATTCCAGCAGAAAATAATCTAGAAAAAAAATAACAAAAAAAAAAGTAAAACTCTAGCAACTTCGACCGTCTGAACTAATCATAGAAGAAACATAAGAACAATAACCAAGACGAACACAAAGAATATGAAGAAAAAAAAAGTGAAGACAAGAATATCAAAGAACTAAGACAAAAAAAAACAAAAGATGAACAAAGATGAAGAAATAGACCAAATAACGGAATAAGAAACCGCGAGAAGCCGAGAATGAATAAATATAAAAGGAATAAAGATGAAGAAGAAACCAAAATAAACAAAAAGAAACCAAATAAATAAGAATAGACCAAAGAAAAATAAACTAAGGACGAAAAATAAAAATATTGGTTCAATAGTCACCATGAACATGCTCTTGACGACAAAAGTTTAGGAATAAAAAATATTTAATCAAACTATTAAAATAGACCCGCGCATGCGCGGGTAAAAGACCTAGTACATCAGCATGACTTGTACTATGTTGATCTCTCACATAACAAGTTGAAAGGAGCATTCCCGACTTGGCTTGTGCAGAATAACACAAGACTGCAGACTATTTTGCTAAATGGCAATTCGCTGACAGAGTTTCAGCTACCTAGACTTGTTCATGGCTTACGAGTTCTTGCTATCTCAAGTAATATGATACACAATTCAGTTGAAGAACACATAGGGATTGTCTTTCCTAATATGAGGTATATGAACTTTTCTTCGAATCAGTTTCATGGAGCCATTCCATCTTCTATGGGTGAGATGAAAAGTCTTGAAACATTAGACATGTCTTCTAACGGTTTATCTGGGCAGCTACCTAAACTTCTTTTGATTGGTTGCTACTCGTTGGTTTTTCTGAAGCTCTCTAACAACCGATTCCAGGGGGACATATTTTCGGAGCATGCAAATCTTACTAGTTTACGTTACCTTTATCTTGATGGAAACAATTTCGATGGGAGTGTTGGAGAAGGTTTGTTAAACTCAGAGGAACTAATGCTTCTAGACGTATCAGATAATAGTTTTTCTGGCATGTTTCCACTTTGGATTGGTGGAATGTTAGGCCTCCAGTTCCTATACATGAATGGAAATCAGCTAAAAGGTCCTTTCCCTCATCAACTACAGAGTGGTTTGCTTAAGGTTTTGGACATCTCACACAATAACTTCTCAGGTTCGATAGCCAGGGATGTGAATTTTTCATCAACTCTCAGAGTATTAAGCCTACAAAACAATGAGTTTATGGGATCAGTTCCGGACAGTTTTTTCAAGGCTGAAGCACTAGAGATACTTGATCTGCGGAACAACAATTTTTCAGGTAATATTCTGAACATTACTGACGTGAGTTCTAGTCTGCTTGTTCTTCTTTTGCGGAATAATAGCTTACAAAGTCATATCCCTGAGAAATTATGCCAGCTGAGTAAAGTTGGTCTCTTGGACTTATCTCACAATAAGTTCAAAGGTGCTATACCATCATGTTTGGGTAACATGTCTTTTGGTGCAAAGGATTACGTTGGTATTTTGGATTTCCTTCCATCTCACGGAGATTTTCTTGCGGAGAATTCATACTTTCCAAGTTGGATAAATACATCAGCTCTTAACCTCTATGCAACAGAGATTGGTCCTGCATTGGACAAAGAAACTGATGTGGATTTTGTAACGAAAACAAGGTATGAAACATATCAAGGAGATTTTCTCCATTTTATGTACGGTTTGGATTTGTCAAGCAACCAACTATCAGGTGAGATTCCAGTTGAGATTTGGGATCTTCAGGCTATCAAATCCCTGAACTTTTCAAGAAACCGCCTCACAGGCTCCATACCATATAACATCTCAAAGCTCAAGAACTTGGAGAGTTTGGATCTATCCAACAATAAGCTGTATGGAAACATCCCTCCTGTGGTGGCCGACCTCAACAGTTTAGGATACTTCAATGTGTCATGCAACAACTTCTCCGGTGAAATTCCTTTCAAAGGCCATCTTGTAACCTTTGACGAAAGGAGTTACATAGGCAATGCTCATCTCTGTGGACTTCCTACTAATATCAGTTGCAACCCCAGTAGAGTTCCGAAGGCAAGTGCACCAACGCATGCCAAAGAGGAAGAAGATGATGTGATAGACATGGAGTGGTTTTACTGGACTTGTGGTGCAGTCTACATCTCCACATTCCTGGCTTTGTTAACGTTTCTCTGCATAGACACACGTTGGTCTCGAGAATGGTTTTATCGTGTAGATTTCTTCATTCGTCACCTTCAACGCTACAAGCGTTCCTCGTTATGCAACTGATTATGTGGGTCAGCCAAGATATACTATCTTACATTCTTCTTTCATGAAAAGATTATGTTTTGATGTTATTTGTGTTGTGTGTTATGCTTAACTTAAGACAATTTAAATATCTCATGATCGTAATGTATTGTTTGCTTATAATAGTACCACTAGCATTACATACTCGATTATGCCTGTTCCGAGAAATGTTTATGTAGAATATATCAAGTTGCAATGCTTAATGTATTGCTTATGTATAGTACTCCCACTGGACTAACATATTCGATGACGAAAAATGCTTTTGCGGTAAAACAGTACTGTAGTAATATAAATCTTGCATCTCCTCAAGCCCACGAATCTTCAGGGTCTTCACATGAAGTTGGGGGCTTGCCTTTAAAACTAAAATCACATGACTCTTCTTATGAACTCGAAGCCCACATGGATACTTTACCACTTCATGGATCTTCTCAATAAGATCTCCAAGGTCCACGTTAGCAATTTGTAAACGTGTCTTCACATTCCTTTTACAAATACAAAACCACATCACATTACAAGAAATCAATAACCTATGTGTTTACTCATTGTTCCTTTGTCGACATTTTAGAAACGAAATCACCAACAACAAAAAAAGAGAATCAAAGCAAAAAAACGAAATCAGTTCCTACAATAATAGTTTTCATTGCGACTCGAGCTAAGGTACTTTGTTTACTTCATGAAGTTACTTATGTCAGAGAAAACAAATTTGAAATCTTCCATGGAACACCAATAGTAGTCATTCTGATTCTTATCCACTCGCAAATGGTCAGTTTTTATAATTTATGGAATAAGCCAAATCATTTGTAAAATCCAAAACAAACTGTTTCGATGCATAATTAAAACAATAAGCAAACGCTAAAGAAATGGTCTCCGGTTATTATAAGTATCATATGATATACTAGTATTGTTTTCAGAAACGATGAAGAAAAATCGACAGACATTAGATTACATTTCATATTTGACAAGGAAACAAATATATAAAACTCGTTTTGGGGTCATTTTCGCAGAAATGGCTACTCAAGAAGACCAAATTATATTATCTATAAATCTATAATATTCGATGGACCGGGTGGATTAGGTGCACGTGATTGTAATTATAAAATCAATTCGCACGATTCACGCCACTGTTTGAATATACTTTTTTTTTGTCAACCCATTATGAATATGAATATACAATCATACATGTTACAACAAAGATATGTATATAATAAAACACGCCAATTACAAAATTCAATGCGGGTTATGCGTGCCTACGTCGATGATGCGTGTACTAATAATATCTTTGTAAAATATATTTTTATATAGGAAAGAAACATATTTTGATATTTCAGGTTATGTATGAATACTAATTCACAGATCTATGTTACAACTTACAACTAAAGATAATCATGTATTGGTTCAACATAGATCAGTGAGTTTAGAGAAGGAAAAACTAAAGATAATCATAGATGTTCGAAGAGAAACAATTTTTTCTTTTTAGATAAGAATTTCTTATGTCTTATAGTGGACAGGTCGACCCTTAACATGTTCCAACTTGTTTCTATTTTTTTAATGATGTAATAACATATAGGACATAAACAGTACATCTACTTATTATGCGTAGGGCAACAACCCAACATACTTGGTCCTTGCCACAAGAAACACGTTTTTTTTTTTTTTTTATAATACAGTAAACAGCTTCTTATAAATATTTTTTAAACGTTAAAGGCTGTTAAGGGTTTTAAAACTATTAGGTTGAGGAATTAAAAGCTTACGAAAAGGTTAGGCTTTTTAATGTTTTTGTTTATAAGTGTGAGGTCTTTATCCATTTCTTTACCATTACATAAATTAGGTCAAATAATTTTGGCCATGAAACTTTCCAGCTAAACCAATAAAAATCTGAGGTTATTGGGACTCAATTTAACAAATTAGTATTACAAAAGACATAGTAGGTTGAGGAACAAAAAAAAAAAAAAGATAAGAGATTTGACAAAATGGTTTGGTTTTTTCTTTGGGACCCAAATGCATATTTTTCTATCAAAAACCTTTTTGTTTCTTTCTAAGTGAGAATCTTAGTAGACAACTCAGAAAACACATGAAGAATGCAAAAACTTATCACTAAAATAGCTCAAGGTTTAAAACCACAACTTTTACCTTCGGCTCTTAGTCTTTCTAGCGCGTACCATTACCATATGCTCTATCACCCTGCTGCGACATGCGGGTAATGGATCCCATGAGAACTATAGGTCTATAGCTTCTTCTTTTTCATTCTGCTTAATCTTTTTGTATATTTTCTTTAATTCTGCGGTTACAAGTTTAATAATTTAGTAATACTACTTTGATTATGTTTAGCTATTTCTATCTGTTTTGGATTGGATCACGATTGTCAGATGATAGTGTTTCGGATTCCGGACCTCTTAGTCTTTGTAAACTAAACATTTTCTTTTACTTTTCATCAAGAATTTGCTTCCCATCACAAATACAATTCAGCAAACTTTTTTTTAGGACTTTTTAGTCCACTCTTTTATTTGCGCCGAGCCATTGATTATGCTATGAATTGATATTTTGACAATGGGCAAAAGGAACATGATGATGAACATATGCTTTTGTTTGCAACTTTTTTTGGGTATAAATGCTACTTGTTTATTCATCGACGTGTATTGCATTTTTCGTAGCTTTTCTTCCACGATATGCTATCACTAAATCTTAACCACCTTATAATTTATATCACTTTTTTACACTACAAGATAGCAATTTAGCCAATCGAATAATATATTCCATTTAAATAAATAGAACTTGTAACTTTTTTTCGAAAAACCAAACTTGAAATTCTTTTTTTGTCAACGATTTTATGACTTGAGAAATTACAAGCAACGATAGTAAAAACTAAAAACAAACAAATATTATTGTAGAACTTCTGATTCTGAAGTGGGAAATGGACCTCTCTGACGAAGCTTCCGGTATTAGATGACTAGTAGATGATATTAAAAATACATAGTTTATAGGTTTTCCATATTTCGTGTTGTTAATCAAACCTTGCTAGCTTAATCCCTTTTATCTTAATTGGAGTATATTTTGTTTTAAGAGAAAACAAGAAATTACATTATACACTTGCACTAATTTAAAATAGTTAGTTTCTAAACGTTCCAGAAAATGAGAGATTTCCTACCATCTTTGCTTTATTAACAATACATTGCAATGTTTACAATACAAAAGTTCAGAAAATTTGTTTCCTTTTCAAAAATGAAGAAGATAATGTCAAATTATGACTCCACGTCTGCACGTATAGATGGTCTATCTCGTAGCTATACTATATCCGTATTAATCTATTTCCTCCCATTTCTATATTTTTGTGACAACCATATTAGTTATTACATATTGACTTTATATTTGGTCTTCGATACGTCGTTCATATACTCCCATAAATAGTTTGTAAATCCGGCTCGGATATGTAGGTCCAACGCGTTTAGTATTTATCCACCCATATTTTCTTCAATCGTGAAAAGGAAAAAACGAGCTCCACGTTTCCATATAAAAACAAATAAATTACCACTTTTACAACCACCCTATTTTAAGTATGATTTGAAAAGTACCAAAATAACTTACGGATTTGTATGTTTTTTAACCTTTAGCAGGAAAATGCAAATAGTTCAATGTTATGGATTCATGCCACAATTGTAAACTACGACATAAAATATGATGGAGTATAAACAAATTCATTGTAGTACAATGGTTGGAATAATTACAGTGGGAATGCAGCACCAGATTTTGTTCTATCGCCACAATTTCAGTCACGGTTAATTGATTATTATGTAGTATGTTTTAAATGGCCAATATATTATGTTCTTTATAGGTCTCATACGGTTTTTGATTCAAGGTTCAAAGAAAAAGAATATTAAAATTAGATAGATAGTTATTTGTAATGTTAATATTATCCAAAACGGGTAACCGTATTATCATATATCTTCAAAAAGTGTGAGATTATATACCCTCTATGCATGTTTCTAAAAGAAAGGTTTTCTACTTTTGATTTTTGTTTCAGATTATTTTTTTTAGTTTATTTATTTCAATGCATGTTGTGTCAGCCAAAGATGATGAACTGTGAACTTAACAAATTTATTGAGATTATTGAATTATTAGTAGCATAAAGTTGGGAAATTTTGTAGGAGTATTTATATTCAAAATTTTAATGTCTGAAAGTTCTAATTTTTTTATTAATTCTGCTATCGATCAGAATAACATGAAATTTCCTTGAACTTAATTTTCTATTTAAGAAAACTTTAGGAGAAGAAAATAAATATATTAGTCCGATCGAGTACTATTGGAACTTGGGACGCCTCGAATAACCCTAACAACTTGGAGAAGAGATAAATATATTTAGAGGCTGTCAATTTCTCTATATAATTATAAAAAAAAAAAATCTACTTAAATATGTTAAATAATAATGCCTAGTAAATGTACTGTCCACCTAACACTTTGTTTGGTGTATCAGTCAGAATTACACCACAAAAAAAAACTGAAAACCGATAAATCAAGTTTTCCAAGACAAAAGTACAAACGCCAAATCAGACAAAGACTGTCATAACGTCGTCGTTTAGTCCACATAGAGTAGACTTCTCTTCCTTTTCACCGGTGATAATCGGTAAACTTAAATTCTTTCTATTCCGTTGAAAAACGCCGTTTAAGTTCCGTCCCCGTTCCGTTTGTCCGTCAATATAAATAAGCAGCTTCTGCACTCAACCTTTTTTTTTCCTTTTTTTCTTCTTCCCTCTCTTAGTCTCCCTATAAATCTCCCTTTCTCTCCTCTTCTCCCATTTCACGGTGACTTTCGTCGGAAAATCATCAACTTTTTTTTACTCCCCGACGAATTTTTCAGTTCGTCATCCCCGTCGTCCGTCGTCTTCGCCGGAGGTTCGATTTCTTAATCCTTTAATGAAAACAAACTCGCTCTGCTTGCTTCTGTTCCTGTTTCGTTTTCGATTCCGTTCTGTAGATTCTTAGATCTGGTTTTTCTTCATTTCGTTTTGCTATTGTTGACCAAACTTGACTGATTCTGAAAAGTTGACTCTGTGCTTGTCTTGGATCTTGATCTGTTTCTGTTTCATTTTCACGATTCCGAATAGAGCAGCATCAAATCGTTGAATTGTAGATGCAATGTGCTATTTTCTTAGATACTTATCGAAATGATTCCTTCACGGATTCGAGAGTGTTGTTTATTGGATAAAGTTTATTTCGCGTGTTTCAACAAACAGCAATAGTTTTTGTCTTTTTTTTTTTTTGATTAATTTTTTTAGGAATTATCTATTACATAAGATCAAGGTTGATGTTTTTGTCTTTGATTTTTAGATCTTGAACCGAGAGATGGAGCCACTTGGACTAAGAGCTGTAGGTTCACACTGTTCTTTATCGGAGATGGACGATCTTGATCTGACTCGAGCCTTGGACAAACCAAGACTGAAGATCGAACGGAAGAGATCGTTCGACGAGAGGTCAATGAGTGAACTATCGGCCGGTTACGGTATGCACGATTCTCCCAGAGGCAGGTCGGTGCTCGACACGCCTCTCTCTTATGCTCGAAACTCCTTCGAGCCTCATCCTATGATGGCTGAGGCTTGGGAGGCTCTAAGGAGGTCAATGGTCTTCTTCCGTGGCCATCCTGTTGGCACTCTCGCTGCTGTCGATAATACCACCGACGAAGTCTTAAACTACGATCAGGTAAACAATCGAATCAATCCCTCAAAACATTTAGTTGATTAGCTCATATCTCTTATATGTTAAATGAAAATGTTTAATGGATTGGTTTATGTCTCTTATATATTAGATGAAAACGTTTTAGTGGATTGGCTCATGTCTCTTATATATTAGATCAGGTTTTAAAGAATATTATCGGAATTGTAACTATGTTTTGTTCTGTTTTATGTTTTTTTTTAGACATGAAAATGTTAATCATGTCTCATATATATATTAGAGGCTTAGAGCATGTCTTAAAAAATATTGTCGGATTTGTAACAATGTTTTGTTTTGTTCTGTTTTTTTTTTTTTTTTCTTTTTTTAGGTGTTTGTGAGGGACTTTGTTCCGAGTGCACTAGCGTTTCTGATGAATGGAGAATCGGACATAGTGAAACATTTTCTGCTGAAGACGCTTCAGCTGCAAGGTTCGGAGAAGCGCGTGGACCGTTTCAAGCTAGGAGAAGGAGTGATGCCAGCGAGCTTCAAGGTGCGTCACGATGCTACACGTGGAATGGACCATCTCGTGGCGGATTTCGGTGAGACCGCGATTGGACGAGTGGCCCCTGTGGACTCAGGGTTCTGGTGGATTATCCTTCTCCGCGCTTACACAAAATCTACCGGAGATTTGACTCTCTCGGAGACACCAGAGTGTCAAAAGGGGATGAAACTGATACTGTCTCTGTGCTTAGCTGAAGGGTTCGACACGTTCCCTACACTTCTTTGTGCTGACGGATGTTCCATGATTGATCGGAGAATGGTAAGTTAAAAGACATTCTTTATCAAAGCTTTAGTCACATTAATACATGTTTGGTTATGAAATGAAAGTTGTTTTGAATCTTGAAGGGTGTTTATGGATATCCGATTGAGATCCAAGCGTTGTTCTACATGGCACTGAGATGTGCCTTGTCGATGATGAAGCCTGATGGAGATGGCAGAGAGTTCATTGAGAAGATCACTAAGCGACTTCACGCTTTGAGCTTCCATATGCGTAACTACTTCTGGCTCGATTACCAGCAGCTCAATGACATTTACAGGTACTGTTTTGCTTTAGATGTTAATATCATTAACCAAAACACAAACATACTTAAACACTCATACAACTTTTTCTTGTTTTTAAGGTACAAGACGGAGGAGTACTCGCACACGGCGGTGAACAAGTTCAACGTGATGCCTGATTCGATACCGGAGTGGGTTTTCGACTTCATGCCTCTCCGGGGAGGCTACTTTGTGGGCAATGTAGGACCTGCTCATATGGATTTCAGGTGGTTTGCGCTCGGAAACTGTGTCTCCATTATGTCTTCCTTGGCCACTCCAGATCAGTCCATGGCCATTATGGACCTTCTTGAGCACCGTTGGGATGAGCTCGTTGGCGAGATGCCTCTCAAGATCTGTTACCCTTGCCTTGAAGGCCATGAGTGGCGCATCGTCACTGGCTGTGACCCTAAGAACACTCGGTGGAGCTACCACAACGGTGGTTCTTGGCCAGGTCTGTTTTCTTTCCCTTGAGCTTAATACGTGTCAAACAATGGATTGGATTTCTGACTGCTTTTTGTTGCTTCTGTTGAAATGTACAGTGCTGCTGTGGCAGCTAACAGCAGCGTGCATCAAGACGGGAAGACCGCAGATCGCGAGACGCGCGGTTGACCTGATAGAATCGCGTCTGCACAGAGACTGTTGGCCAGAGTATTACGACGGTAAGCTTGGGCGGTACGTTGGGAAGCAGGCGAGGAAGTATCAGACTTGGTCGATAGCAGGTTACTTGGTGGCTAAAATGTTGCTTGAAGACCCTTCACACATTGGTATGATCTCTCTGGAAGAAGATAAACTGATGAAGCCTGTTATCAAGCGATCTGCGTCTTGGCCGCAACTCTAGAAAAACCGGGTTCTGTCGGTTTTTTGGGTCCGGTTTTCTGTTATTTGCCACGGTGTAATTTTTTGTTTTTGTTTGGTTGTTTGTATGATAATTGGAAACTTGTGGGTGGGGGGAGGAGAAAGGGACATAGACTTTTATTGATTGCTTCTTTCTTGCTTTGCAAGTAAGAAGAGAAAATGGGAAAAGCTCGTTTGCCGTTTTGTTTCTTTTCTCATTCAACATTACGTTTGCTCGACAATCTGCGGCCATTGAAACTGTCTCTACTTTGCTTTTTAATTTGTGGGTTTCTTATTCAAGGAGGCTAATTACAACAGCAGCAAAAGAGATGTATGTCGATGAGACTAAAGCCCAAGAAAAGCCTTGAAAACCCATGTATTCTAGCCCGTATTATGAGGTCTTTCCAGCATTAGCATCACATACATACATGTATATGCTTTATGAGACATAAGAAAACGTAACTAATGCTGCGGTTTGTGCAGCATCTTCCCCATTTTCATGAAGTATCAAGTTAATCTTATTTGCCTTTGGTGACAACATAAAGCTTCCTAGCTCCTTTCATTTCTATTTTTGCTTATGAATAAAGTTTTTTGAGCTATTTTTATTTTATCTAAATATGCTCATTTTAAGCTTAAACTTTCTTGTTTTGCATTCGCTGTCAGTAAGAATCAGCAACAATAAAATAATTCTCTTATCCCGTAGTCAAAAACCTAAGCAAATTAGTAAACATACAATTTAACAAGAGATTTCTTCAGAGACACGAATTCTAAATTCTTGTAGGTTGAATCATGCGAGAATTGCAGAAAAAATCACGCATCGTCACTTCCAATTTAAGTTATCCTATAGTATTGACATACAAAAATGTTTTTTTACCTCAACAAGGACATTGTCGCTGCTAATACAAATACAAATAATTTCTTTGATTAAGGTTATGAGAAGGAAATAGATTTAAGTCATATCTAATTTCCCTTGTAATGTAACTGTAAATGGTATTTTCAAATGGTTAATTATCACAGTAATATAGTAACTTTTGAAGACTCATTGAGAAAACACATATTATAGTCTTGTAAATTCAGAATTTACGTAACGTAACTCTTTTACCTTTTGAAGTGAAAAGAGACAAGACAATGGACCGTGGGAGGATCCAGAGTTTCAGACTAAACATCACGTTTTTGCTCACTCACTTGTTGTACTATTCTACTCTCTCACTCTTGACTGTATTACTGATTTCTGTTTTTTTTCACTGCAAAAGCTTACACGTGCACCTGTCTCACCATTTACTTTTTAAAGAAAACTCAGATAGGAGCCAGAAATTTTAATACTGGTTTGGTTTCATTTTCATTGTGCTCGATGGTTTACTTCACGGATTTGTGAACGTTGCTGGCAAAAAAAATTGTTTTCCATGTAACTCTTTGATTTCAATCCTTTGTTAACATCTTCCCTCATACATTTACATATATCATCGTAGGCTGAAATTTGAATATCTGATTCTAAGACAACTTTTTATCTCTAGATTGAGATGCATAGGTTTGTTAAGAAAATGGTAGTTGAAATGAATAATTAAATTATATGTTACCGATATCTTTGTGGGTTTTTATTGGCGAAATGGAAAGAATTGAGGCGTTGATTATCAGTCTCATCATTAATAAAATAGTGGTCCTTATCTTCCAACAAGTCTTTCATCATTCCGGTAACAAAGACAAAACAGAGAATTGAAGAAAGAGACATTTGTGTTATTATCAGTAAACTATTGTAAAATACATAATTAAAACACTATTATATTAGAGGTAAATTGGCTCCATTATTAATTTTTTATTGTATTCTTTTGCTTTCCCCCCATAGAACATTCAACGTTTTCCACCGGAAAATTCCATGCAAATCCAACCTAAAAAGCCAAAAATATACAAGAAAACCAACAAAGAGATCCCTACAATATATATATTGCAGTAAAAAGCCCCAAAACTGTATTCTTGGACATTCCACACCCTATATCATGTACTCACTTGCAACTTCACCTAGTCAACGAAAAGATGCAAAATAATTACAGTAGGGAAAAAATCTTAGAACAAATTTAAATACAAGATTGTGATCACGGTGGAAACCATCATCATAATACTATATGACATTATGATCCACAATACTACATAATTATCTCATATATTCAATCAATAAACTAAAATTATCAAATTCTACTATTATACTTAACATCTATCCCAATAATATATATTGTACGAAATCTTTATTAGTGAACTGTGTTTACCATACATATTTAAAATCTAGTCAAGGGTTTAGTATGAGACCCTTTAGTTATCCACAAGACCACAACTCTGCCACATATTTTGACATGTCACTTACCGTACGGACTCTTCTATGTGTGGGGGGACAAAATACAAAATTAGATAAATATGAGATAAAAGAAAGAATGTTCATAACGTAAGGGTTTAGAACAGAGTTAACTAAATCTATCTGGAATAAGTGTGATAATAGCTAAACAAAAAGCTCAGTGATCATTAAAATATTAAGTTATTAATCTCTAGTAGGAGTATCAAAACCTAGTGGAACTCCAATATTTCTAAGAAGAAAAAAAAGTGAGAGGTCTCTCTCTTTCTACTAAACAACTTCATCTTCTTCCCCTCTCTCTCTTTCTCTCTCTCCAAAAGACAAGAGTCAAACACAAAATTCATAGCCCCACTAGAAAAAAATAATACCCAGAATTCTCTACTGAAGATCTCAGATGAAAATGGGGTTTATATAAGTAAAAACTAGAACAAGTTTTGTTTGTTAGTTAATTCCATTTTCTGGGTTTTTTTTGGGTATAATTTATAGTTTTTTATATGCAATGGAGTCCCACCAGAACAACAACAACAACCAGAGCAACACAGACAATCATCATCAGCAAACCACCGGTTCGGCCCAGCTGGTCCCATTCATGGGACCCAACTCCGGTTCGATCTCAGCAAGCACCACCACCACAAACGCCGTAAGAGGAAACACTAACTCCACCATCTCCGCCACCAAAACCACCGCCAAGCGGCCGTCAAAAGACCGTCACATAAAAGTAGACGGACGTGGCCGGAGAATACGTATGCCGGCTATATGCGCGGCGCGTGTCTTCCAGTTAACACGCGAACTGCAGCACAAATCGGACGGCGAGACGATCGAGTGGCTGCTCCAACAAGCGGAGCCGGCGATCATCGCGGCCACGGGAACCGGAACCATACCGGCGAATTTCTCAACTCTCAACGTCTCTCTCCGTAGCAGCGGCTCCACTCTCTCAGCTCCACCGTCAAAGTCAGCTCCTCATTCTTTCCTCTACGATGGGACTCAGAACAACGGAAGGACGGCTCAGAACGCTGCCGTTTTCGGTTTCCAGCAACAGCTTTACCATCCACATCAGATCATGAGTGATCCTCATTCTCTCCCTAAACCATTCCGTGAAGAAGATCTCTTCAAAGATCCTAATTCACTTGACCAAGAACCCGGTTCAAGCTCGCCTAAACCCGGATCCGAAGCTCCTGTTCAAGAACAAACCCGGTCAAGGACGCAGAACATGATACCACCGATGTGGGCGGTGACGGCGCCGACAGCAGCGTCAACAAACGGCGGTAGTGGGTTTTGGATGCTCCCGGTCGGAGGAGGAGGAGGTGGTCCGGCCGCGCAGGATCCGTCACAGCACATGTGGGCGTTTAATCCGGGTCATTACCCGGGTCGACTTGGGTCGGTACAGTTAGGGTCTATGTTAGTGCAACAAGGTCAACAATTAGGGTTAGGTGTTCCAGAGAGTAACAATTTGGGGCTATTTTCCGTCGGAGGAGGAGGAGGAGGAGGAGACGGTGGTTATGAAGGTGGAGGCGGTGGTCGGGTTGGTCTCGGAATGAGCCTTAAGCAAAAACCTCAACGTCATCAGCAGCATCAAGCGAGTGACACTACCGAAGACCAAAACCCTACTATTGTTGAGTCTCCTTGAAGTGTGACGTCATAATTTGTCTACTTCATTTTTAGTAATTTTCTTTTCAAAGTGTGAATGTGTGATTTGTTGCAACTTTTGTTGAGGATTACAATGTTAATATGGGTTTTAGGGTTTGTTTTTCGGGATTGCCAAATTGTTATCTAAGAAAATGAATCTCTAGATTTTTTTTCCTTGCATAAGTACCCTTGAATAAATCGAAGATAAAGCGAGTTTTGTAACTAGTGTTTTTTATTGTACATAAAGCATGGCACTAAAGATTAGTAGATTATTCGAATAAATGATGTTAATGGACGAAACATATAAATAAACCTTCTTTGACCTTTTTTCATTGTCATAGTCTCTTTTTCAATATATAACCGCTAATATATTTGAAATATTTCGAATTTGGTCACGGTTTGTCAAAAAAGCAAGGAATATGAATAAAATATATGGTGTAGAGATAAACTTTATTGAGTGCATGAGCACCACATGTTTGGATACAAATGGATTTTCAGTTTTATTTTAATTTAAAGACAAACAAACTATCATACTTTTGTAATATCTACTGAAAATTTGTCCACTTGTGGAGCAACATGGACACGTCAGAGAGAACTGTCGGAGGAATCATTCCAGCGTGTTAACAATAAACGTCGATTTTCAAGATATGGTTTTGTGTGTTTCTTAGATTCTTTGAGCTCAAGTCTTCGTGATCATTTATCGGATCATGTTTCATTCGTCGATAAGAGATGAGATTCCGAATGGAGAAACAAAAAACGTTTACGTGTGTATTGTAAGTAAGTTGTAACTTGTAACTTGTAACCAAATGTTCTGGATCTTTCTATCTAACCTCTTTTAATAAAAATTCAGCCATGAAATTTTGTTGATTTCCAAAAATTACACTGAGAACTTTGTGACTAACATCTTGTAAATTTCGAAGTTGGTATGGGAATATAAACATTTTGAGTGCAACCAGATTTTTTTTTTTTTTTTTTTTTTTGTTAAAGAGTGCAACCAGATATTATGAATCATAAAAGAGAATTAACAAAAATAAAAATGCAAACCATGAAAATTACAAGAACGAGAGATATCACACACTGTGGAAAATTCTGAAGATTTAAGAATGAACAAAAAAAAGATTTTATAAAGGGTGTAGGCTCAGATAATCTGTGAGGCTATGGCTTTAGTGCCCTGGGCTCTAAAGTCAAGATGGAACGACCAGCACTGTCCTTAAATGAAAAATAATTGAATTGGAGCAATACGAACATGATAGCTTATTTTCTTTTACAATAACAATAATTTTAAAAAGAGTAGGGTAGAATCTTACACCAATGTCACCAAAGGTCGAGGAGCTATGTTAATCCTAGTTGCAGCTATGATGTACCAAATCGATATAAATCAATAAATAAACCATGTTCAAAAGAAGGCCCTCAAAACAACCACTACACTAAACTTATACACAATCTAGGTCCATTGTGAGCACAAAGATGCTACTAGAAGGGGAGATAACATTAATGTTTTTTCCAGGGACACACAACTCAGACTTCCAATTCATAAAGCTAGCAAGTGATATTGATTGAGGTTTACCCAACATTTTCAGTATCCCACCTGACACCGTGGCAATGGGGCATGAAACTCATGTCGTTAGGGTTAGTCGGTGGTTTTTGCTTTCCTCTCCGGTACTAGTTGGGATACTTTCCATCTTTTCGCATCAATGATAAGCGGAGTTGCACTTATTTATATTAATGTAGACAACAATTTTTGTATGTTACTTTGTTCATGTAATTTTCGTTAATGACCATGCTTAAAAATTTCGAAGTAATTTTTATTACTAAGAACATCTCCAACCCCATGCTAAATATGACATATATGCTATTTTGCTATAATTTTTGCTCCAACCCAATTCCATATGCTATTGCAAAATAACATCATGCTCTTTTTGCTTCTATATTTGGCATGAGATTATGCAATATGCTATTTTGCCATTGAACTTTTTTATTTATAAAATAGTTCTTCAATTTGTAATTACTTTTAATTTAACAGTTTAATTATATTGATTATGATTTATTTAAATAAATAAATAATACTCATAACTTTTTCAAAATATAAATAATATAACCATAATAAACTTCAAATTTTATTTTTTAAAAATACTGAAATTCAAAAAACATAAAACAATAGGTTAAAATCTTTGTTTTCTCTAATTTTTATGTAATACTCCCTCCGTTCCATATTATTTGATGTTTTGGAGTTTTCACATAGATTAAAAAATCATTAATGTTTAATTATTAGTGTATTACTTTTTCATTTTAAATAACTACTACCCAATAAAAACCATAGAATTGTCCTGAAGTTTACATTTTTGTTGCATTAACTAACCAAAAGTACATTTAATAGTCTAAAACATCAAGTAATAAGAAACAAGTAAAAAAAGCTAAAACATCAAATAATATGGAACGGAGGGAGTATAATGTATTTTGTTTTAATATTTATAATAATAAAAAAAATATAATTCTGGTTGTTTTTGCAAAAAAAGAAAAACAAATGATTCACTTTGTAAAATTTGAAGAAATCAAGTAGTTTTAACAATTAATAATAAGTTGGAAAAAAATTATAGCATGATATATGGCATGATGGGTTGGAGAGAAACCCAATGCTATTGCTATATTTTTGCCATTTGCAATAACATATGGCATGAGGGTCTAATATACGAAGTAGTTCTACGACCATATATCAACTACATTTATGTGCATGATTTCTAACGTTTATTTTTATGTTAATTTTTTTTCTAAGGGTTATTTACTTACTTATAACAAAAAACGTTGATTAAAACATTAATTCAAGTTTGTTGCCAAAAAAAAACATTAATTCAAGTGTAACATACGCATATAAAACTATGCCACATAATTTTCATTACTTCACAACAAAGACAAAATGAAGATAATTGCTTTGTTTTTAGCTCTTTTAGTTCTTATCTCATCATGTAAGTGGTTTTTTTTTGTTGTTGCTAATTAGGATAAAATGTATAGTATTTAACAGTTTAATATTAATTTCACAATTCAACCTTCATTTCGTAAATTTTATAGGTGTAATGAATATTACGGCAAAATCTAATTTAAAAGAAAAAACTCATTCTTCAAACCCAGCAGTAAGCCCTTCATTCGATTTTCAAATAAAATATCAACTTCCATCAGGTGCACTTCTTGGAAACTTAGCTTCTCAGTACATGTTTTGGTGTGGTGATTGTGAATATCATTGCATGAGAAAGAATAAGTATACAATTAAATGTGTTAGAGGATCCATTTGTCAATGTTCTGAGCGCTCTTTGTACCCCACTCCAGATCTCTCTCCAAACCCCAAACTCCAATTTGGAGTAAAACCTCCTTCAACACATTGAGTAATCTCATATTTTACTCTATTTTGAGTTTTTTTTTTAATAATATAATTCTTATAATTTTAAATGATTTTTTAAAAGTTATAAATAGTTGTTTGACACAGAAAGTTATAAATAATTAATTTGATGATGATTTTAAGTGATTTCACTTCAAACATTTTCTTTTGCTATATTGATCATCGCTCCGAATTGAGCAGGGACGGCTCTCTCATATGAGCAGAGCCGTCCCTGAGAATCTTGAGGCCGCAAGCCAGAAAAAATAAATGGGCTGGTTGTGAGGGAGAATCAAACTCACCGCATCTAAAGAAAGTGTAATCAGCCATAACTATCTCTTCTAATGACATATTTTTGCAAAATATAGGGCCGAAATATATATAAAGATTTTCGGAAAAAAATATGGACCGCAAGCCCAAGCTTGCTTTGCTTGGGGTCAGGGCTGGCTCTTCATATGAGGTCTCTTCTTTCATGGCAACATCAACATCATTTTTTGATGAAGTTTGACGAATTTGATCTAAGATGATAAAACTTTTCTAAACTCAAATCTATGAGACACCATAATTAGAACATGAAATGGAAATCATGTGCTGGCCAGTGTAACCTTTACCCTGTCTGATAATGTGATCACTAAAGAGAGAAGATTTGACCACTTCTTATCAAGCTCAGTAATTTCCCAAACTATCAAAATTTCACTGTTTTACCTGCATTTTCGGCAAATCAAGGGTAAACTTGCAAAAACAAATTCATTTCGAGAACCGAACATTTTTTAATGTACCATACCAATTTTCAAAATACTTGACCATTCTCGGACATGGAGATTTGAACTTGTGACCTTGAGGCAAGCTTCCACGTAACGCTTGGTGAAATGAAATTTGTTTCTCCTTCCTCCAAAAATTTGCCCGCCAATCTCTTCTGCGTCGCTTCGACGAGGGTTTCATTCTTCCACAGAGAACCACCACAAAACCACTGAACCTAAAATTCAGACTTGATTAAATCCCTTCAGCGGTGTCTACTATCTCATGCGAAATCGTGAGGGACTGGGGATTTTCAGAAATCTACACTAAATTATTCTGAAAGAGAGAATCAAGTGATTTCCCCGGAATGGGATCTGCGATTCCTGTAGAAATCTTCGAAGACGACGGAGTAAGTCGCGAAAAATTACCACTTAAATCTCTTTCTGGGTTATTGAGATTTCGTTGTCTAAAGAGATTCGTTTTTTGATTTTTGAAGTTCGATTGGGAAGCAGCAGTAAGAGAAATCGATTTGGTTTGCCTGCAAAAAGCCTCAAATGCATCTTCTTCTTCGACCCATTTCACTCCTCCCCCTCCTCCACCGATTCCAAAGCCTAATGTCACTAAACGCCCTCCTGCTAAACGACAATCTACTCTCGATAGTTTCGTCGGAAGACCCGAGCACAGACCTCCTTCTCCGCCGGAGAATCAAGTTGCTTCCGACCCGAATTTCGACGCATTCGAGTGTGGTGATAACAACAACGATAAGAGCCCCTGCGTTGGGATTGATCCTGAGACAGCTAAAACTTGGATTTATCCAGGTTTGAACAAGTTTGTGATTTTCCCCTTTTTTTTGTGTTGTTACTAGAAATTGACATAATTTAAATGGTTTTTTGTATCTTACTTTGTGATTTTTCAGTGAATGTTCCTCTTAGAGATTATCAATTCGCTATAACAAAGACTGCTTTGTTTTCAAACACATTAGTGGCTTTACCAACAGGACTTGGTAAAACTCTTATAGCTGCAGTTGTTATGTATAATTACTTCAGATGGTTTCCAGAAGGTAACAAGTGTTCTCACTTCTTTCTCCATGAAAATAGCTTCTTGAATGAAACCTCTCAGATTCGAAGATGTTCTTGTTGATTTTTGGTAGGTAAAATTGTCTTTGCCGCACCTTCAAAGCCGCTTGTGATGCAGCAGATTGAAGCGTGTCATAACATCGTAGGAATACCACAAGTATGTGATTCTCCAATCTGTTTATGCCTTTTGTGTCAGAGTCTTTGATATGTTTTTGAGAAATGTGGGTTAAATTGACTGTTAGGAATGGACGATTGACTTGACTGGTCAGACATGTCCTTCGAAAAGAGCTTACTTGTGGAAAAGCAAACGGGTTTTCTTTGTTACTCCGCAAGTGCTAGAGAAGGATATACAGTCAGGAACGTGTCTTACTAACTACTTGGTTTGCTTGGTGATTGACGAGGCACATCGAGCTTTAGGGAATTATTCTTACTGCGTTGTAGTTCGTGAGGTTAGTAACTTGCCTATGCGTTTCTTTCTCTGAATGATCAATGTGAAGGTACCAACTAATGATCTTTTAACTTTTAGTTGATGGCGGTACCAATACAGTTGAGAATACTGGCTCTCACTGCAACTCCTGGATGTAAGTGATTGACATTTTCTTTGTTGATCGGTTGTGATATTTCCTCGCTTATTATTAACCTTGGATGTTATATTTCAGCAAAGACGCAGGCGATTCAGGGTATCATTGATAATCTGCAGATATCCACACTTGAATATCGGAATGAGAGTGACCATGATGTTTGCCCTTATGTCCACGACAGAAGAGTAGAACTAATCGAGGTTCAAGCTGGTTGCTGTGTTTTTTTTCTGAATTTGTTTGCTCTCCAAATGCATCTCTAATAATTGTAGCGTGTTTCTGGCAGAGCAGGTTCCTTTGGGTCAAGATGCAGATGAGGTATCTAAACGTCTGTTAGATGTTATACGTCCATATGCAACGAGGCTTAAAAAATTCGGGGTTAATCTAAGCAGGGATTGTCAAACTGTATGTTACTCGATCCCTTATACTGTATCTCTTTTTGGCCACTAGCTTCATTGCTCACAGTTTCTTATCCACGCAAACGTCAACTCATGTTTTGACAGTTAAGTCCACACGAATTACTTATGGCAAGGGATAAGTTTCGTCAAGCACCTTTACCAGGCATTCCCCATATAAGTCATGGAGATGTAGAAGCTTGCTTTTCAGCTCTTATCACTCTTTATCACATTCGTAAGCTTCTTTCAAGTCATGGAATAAGGCCAGCGTATGAGATGCTTGAAGAGAAATTGCAGCCAGGGTATGCTCTTACCTTCTGCTTTTCATTGGGTTTAGCTATTATAGCTTTTGATATCGATGGGATTGTCAAATACGTTGCTTTAAGACTTATCACCCTTTGCAGGCCATTTGCTAGATTGATGAGTAAGAATGAAGATATTAGAAAGACGAAGCTTTTGATGCAGCAAAGATTGTCAAATGGAGCAACAAGCCCAAAATTGTCGAAGATGTTAGAAATTTTAGTTGATCACTTCAGTATGTTTTCTTTTTAAACCATGATCTGGGGTTGATGTTAGTTCTTAGCTGCTAACCTACAACTGAACCTTGATGTGATTTTATTTTATGGCTGCAGAAGTGAAAGATCCAAAGACATCACGGGTCATTATTTTCTCAAACTTCAGAGGAAGCGTAAGGTCTGTATAATTATTGTTTGTGTTCACTTGTTTACTCGCCCATCACCTTTCTTCGTTTTGCATTCACCTGACCTCATTCATCTTCAGAGACATAATGGACGCATTAAGTAATATTGGAGATTTGGTCAAAGCAACAGAGTTTATTGGCCAAAGTTCAGGTTTGTTACTCTGATGTTTATCTGAAACTTTTAGGTTACACGAAAGTATCATTTATAATTGTTACTGTGTATGCTTCATGTAGGTAAGACACTGAAAGGGCAGTCACAAAAAGTTCAGCAAGCTGTTTTGGAGGTAAATGAAAACTTAACTTTGATTTGTTTTGGAGGTAAATGTATGCTTACACAGTTTCTTACATGCTTTATCCATTTTTTTCAACAGAAATTTAGAGCTGGTGGGTTCAATGTTATTGTTGCAACATCTATTGGCGAAGAAGGCTTGGATATCATGGAAGTCGACCTAGTTATATGTTTTGATGCTAATGTATCCCCTCTGAGGATGATTCAACGCATGGGAAGAACCGGGAGGAAAAGCAGTGGTCGAGTTGATATCCTTTCGCTCGCTTAAGTTTTGCACTTCTCATTGTACCCTTCATTACATATCTTTGCAGTGCCACTAAAGCAAATTTGCCATTCCTTGACTAGCCTTTACTAGTTCTTGCTTGTGAAGGGTCAGAAAAGAACAGCTACATGCGGAAGCAAGCAAATGGCCGGTCTATTAATAAACATATGCGCAATGGAGGAATGAATAGTTTTAATTTTCATCCTAGTCCAAGAATGGTAAGAGCTATTAAAACTCTTTCTTAATTAAAACTTGTTTTCCTTACTTTGTTGCTTCAGTTTTGAACTTCTGTTTAACTTCATATACACATGTCATGTGTTATTATAGATTCCCCATATTTATAAGCCAGAAGTCCAGAAAGTTGAGTTTTCAATCGAGCAATTCATTCCGCGTGGAAGGAAACTACAAGATGAGCATGCCACTGAGGCTCCAGCTTTCACGAAAAAGCTTACACCTGCAGAGACGGAGATGCTTGCCAAGTATTACGAACCAGATGATGAAAAGCTGAGAGTGTCCTTGATTGCTTTCCCTCACTTCCAGACATTGCCATCTAAAGTGCACAAAGTAATGCATTCACGTCAAACAGGCATGCTAATTGACGCGATGCAGCATTTGCAAGAGCCAACCTTTTCAGAGCAAAGTAAAAGTTTCTTCACTGAGGTGTGGCTCATAATCCTGGTATTAAATTTGGTCTTTCCTTGTTTTCTGTGAGGTTCCTTTTCACTGACGTGGAGTCACTTTCTCTAATAGTGTGGAGCTCCTTTGGATGAAAGAGAGGAGTTTGACACAAGTCTGAGGGTTGCTGATGATCCGAAAGGTAATTGTAGTCTCAATTATATTGCCAAAGTAAAAATTCCAACAGTCTCATAGATCTAATTTACTCTTAAATCCAATTAGCAGGAGATTTGTAGGCTTATAAGCTATTAATCAACATATACGATAACAATGACCAACAGAGTTTATTTTGGGAGTTACTCTCTGCTCTGTTTAGATAGTATGAAAAAATAAAAGTGTTAAACTTAGTTCTTGAAATCTACTGCAGATGTATAGCATTATGTTTACATAAGCTATATCTTGTCGTTTTATTGACTTGTTATTTCTGTTTCCACTTAAAGGATGGATCAAATAATAACTGAAGTGCTAAGTTTCATGTATCTTCTGCATTTCATACTTCTGAATTTCAGGCCTTTCCACGTAGTTTTGAAACACATCCATTATATTGTAATTATGTGCAGATTTACCCTCTTTCGGTGATTTGGAAGTCAACACATCACAGAGAAAGGCAAAACAAGTTGTTGCATCTCCCACAAGCACACTGGAGGCTACAGAGAAAGATTTCGAAGAATCTTTACCCACACACCATTATCTTTTCAATTCAGAATGTGCATCGGTTGATACTATGGGGAAGGTTTTCGTCATGCCGGTTCCTCTTTCATTCTCTTATAATGTGCCAGTGTCAGACTATATGCCTTTGGCTGAAACAAAACATAAACATTCTTGCCCGAATAGATCCGACATTAACTTTGTTCCGATAGAGGCCAACGAGGAATCTTGTCAAGATGATATTTCGGGCAAGTTAAAGCAAGGATTCTTGTCAGACTGTGCCAACGAGATACTAGAGACTCAAAGCCTTTTGAAAAGGCACAACACTAATGTGGATGAGGGAGATGTAGCCAGTTGTGCTGGAGAAATTATGATATTATCAGATGAAGAAGACTGTGAGGACTTGGAGCTTAGTCCAAGGCTCACTAACTTCATCAAGAGTGGCGTTGTTCCAGATTCACCTGTTTATGACCAAGGTTAGTCTTATCTCTTGAACAATTAGTATGTGGTAAGAGCTACTACCTGACCATAAGAACCTATCATGTTCTAATAATTCTGATAACATCTTTAATGCTGCAGGAATTGCAAAAGAAGCAAACAGAGAAGAAGACCTTGATCTTCTTAAGCTTTCTTCACCCACGAAGTTCAGTAATATAATGGCGGAAGAGCCTTGTAGCCCTGTGACAAAGGTTCAACATAAACGCAGCGATTATCACACTACTTCTACGACCAATGGATTCAGAACTCCTCAGAAGGAGGAAGGTTTGGCCAGCGGAACAGAATGCTTGGCTGTTTCTCCCATTTCTCAGGAGTGGAGAACTCCCTTGGCGAATGTCACGAACACAAACAGCAGCGCTAGCAAAGATTGGCGGCTGAGTTCTGGAGAAAAGTCAGAAACTCTTCGACAGCCTCGCAAGTTGAAGAGACTACGTAGACTTGGAGATTGCTCCAGTGCTGTCAAAGAGAACAACCCTGGTATTGCGAAGGCAGACCGTATCAGATCTCGTTCTCGCAGTGAAAAGCACATTAGAGGTAACTGGTTCTCAGTTTCCCTAAACATCTGCGTCACTTGAAAGTCTTGATGTGCTGAGAGAGCTGAAACACTTATCACATTGACCTGTTTGAGTGATTGTTGCTCTGTGTTTTCAGGTAACAAGCAGATGAGAGTTGATACTGATGCCAGGGTCTTCATTGACGCAGAAGCTGAGTAAGTTCTTATCTAATCTAAAAACCAACATCCGATTGTCTTTCTTACTTTCACATAACAAGAGTACCTTTTTCCTAAATCCAGAGTTGATGTTTAGTTTGTTTCAAATCTCTCTATCTTGATCAGGGTCTCTTCGGAAGCAGAAATGTCTGCTGATGAGAACGAAGATGTGACGGGCGATTCATTTGAAGATAGTTTCATAGATGACGGTACAATGCCTACAGCAAATACTCAAGCCGAGTCTGGTAAAGTTGACATGATGGCTATTTACAGGTATGTATAGAATCAAAAGCAGTCTTTCTTCTATTGTAAGTAAAATGGTCAATGGAGCTTACTAAAAGTCCTTCCACAGACGCTCTCTACTCAGCCAGTCACCATTTCCGGCGAACTTTCGTGACGTAACCTCATCAAGCCCGAGCCCCTATTCTGCTGGACCCTTGAAGAGTATAAATGAGAGCAGAAGCGAATCAGATAAATCGTTGTCTTCTCTTCGAACACCAGAAACAACAAACTCTGCCTCAAACCAGGATGCAATGGTTACAGGAGACTTTTCGGTGGTACAAATCTCATCAGAGAGCAGGAAAAGGAAGTTCAGCTTCTGCAACTCGGGGGATGTGCCTGTGATTAACTTGGAAAACAAGTTTGAAGCTCATGCACAAGCCACAGAGAAGGAAAGCAATGCAGGTGCGTTACAGTATAACGATGTTGATGATGAAGATGACGATGCATTCTTCGCGACACTAGACTTTGATGCCATGGAAGCGCAGGCAAAGTTGTTATTGTCGAAACAGAGGTCGGAGGAAAAAAAGAAAGAAGACGCAACAACGGTTTTACCTCATCAGGGCGTGCAGAGGAGTGATGGTTTGGAAAAGGATGCGCCATCTTTTGATCTTGGTTTGTGGTGATTCTTATGCTACTAAGTTATGTGTATAGAATGACATTTGGATGTATGTTCGGTAAATTTAATTTAACTAGTCATAAATATATATCAGTGATTAAGCGAAAAACACCATCCAAAACTGAGTCTCACCCGACCGTTCTAAATACTTGAGAGAGATGAGAGAGAGAGAGAGAGAGAGAGAGAGAGAGAGAGAGAGAGAGGGTACTGTGCTTACGAAGATATGTTGAATATGTTGAGATCTGGGGAGAGACACAGCCGACAGAAGCTGCTGAAGTGGATGATTGGAAACTAATTAGAGGAGGAAGAAGAATCTAAAGACAAAGTGGTACTCTTTGTGTATACCAAAAATGGGTCAATCCAGATGTAAGGAAAATAAAAAGCCAGAGAGAAAAGATAGGATTGGTGAAGAAAAGCATAAATCTAAGAACTATAGACTGCAATAAGAACAGAGCAGTTAAAAAAAGTTTGATAACCTACTACTTTCAACAGTAGGTCTAGTGATATTGAACAAACAAACGGACAGAGAAAAAGACCAATCAAAATGATAACCACTTCTTGCAACAGTAGGTCTAGTGGAACAATCAAAATGATAACCAACTTCTTTCAATAGCTTGTTCAGACATCTGAAAAGTAAACGTACATTCAAAAGGCTAGCTAAAAGTTGCTTCGAATTATATCCAAGATATTGACATGTATTGATTAACAACCACCCAAGTGTTACTTGCTGGCTTTGAATGGTAAACAAATTAGAGTAAGAAGGTGGAATAAAAAAGTTTGATATAAAGGATCTTGACCCACAAAAACTTATCACCTCTTTTATATGGAGTAAAGTTTTCAGCTGAAAAAAAAAAATCACTTGATAGGTTTACTCTAACTTGCTTACCATTCACACCCGCTAGTGTCTAGTTATACCGAGTCGAACCAATGTATCAGCTTTGTCAATGCTCTCTTGTACCAACCAGTTTCCAAAGCTGTTCATAGACAACGAGGCGAACTTTCCCTAGAGTCTAAAAAGGAGATCAGTAGAGAGCATGCTCTGGAGAAGATGACTCCTGAACAGTAGAAACAATATATGAGAAACAACATACTCATGAATTGGAGGAAAAGAGAGAATCAAAGATCTCATGTTCTTATTCCCATTCTCATTCTTTGTCAATCACAAGAAATTCCACCATATGTCATCAAGAAGAGGTTGTGATGAAGTGAGTTAGAACAAAAAAACGGAAAAAATAAGGTTATTAGAGTTCCAACACTGCATTAAGAAAACTCCCAAAACCGATTTGTTTAGTTAGTAGAAGACCATATACCTAAAAGAAAGCAATGAGCTGGGAGACAAAATCATACCCAAATTCATTCGCACTGATTGTGCACTGCGCTTGCTAGAAATAGTATAACCAAACTTACATCATAAGGAAACATAAGAGTCATAAAACAGAACTCAAATCGACACACGGAAGAGCTGTCGAAATGGACTAAAATTAAACGATACCACAATATAATATCACCTACACCAGTAACACCACAATGATACATACACCAACTAGACACTAAACCAAATGAATAAAAAATTATGATTCTGTAGCTAAAGAAATAGTTGGAAACGAAACTAAGTTAAAAGAGTAATGACAAGAACTATATGGTTTGAAGGTTTTTTTGTCAACTTGAAATCAAACTGGAATCTTCTGATAACTAAAGGAGGAGATACAACATAAACTTCATATTCCTAAACTTTAGGACGATTAAAGAAGCAAAAGTATTGAAACAAAATTAAGCAAGCTAAACCTTTTTGGTTTCATCTAGGTGTGTGTTTGGTTAGATTCGGTTTATGGTTAGATTCGGTTTATGATCGGATTGTGTGGTTAAAGAGAAATAGCTACTACTAAACGTTTTTGAACATTTATTGCAAACGTTTATACATATATGATGAGATTTAAAACCTTTTTTTATAATATTCTTTTTTTCTTCAAAATTAAATGGAAGAAAACAATCTCTATACAGTACTATATGGTTCTTCAAACCTCAGACTGAAAAAATTAAAAATAAAAATACAATGGCATACAGCTATAACCACAACCAATTAAACATATAAATTAGATCCATAATATAACATCCGAAATTTATTTATGATGACTTAAACAGCATCCAAAATGTAGTAAAGCCTTAAACAACACCATAACAAACTTGTAAAATACTGTTCCTAAAACAGCATCAAAAATGTAGTAAAGTCTTAAACAACACCATAACAAACTTGTAAAATATTGTTTCAAGTAATGCTTTAAGCGAATTTGGGCTTTCTTATCGGATTTACTACATGCTCGAGCAAATAGTTGTCCCCTTCAGCGTATGGATCCTATATAAAACACATAACCACAAAAGAAATTATATAATTAGATCAATCAAACGTGACACTTCCTAAGAGAAAAATAAAATATATAAACTGGAACAAGTTATGTGCCTAAAATTGATATAAAAACAATGACACTATAGTATTCAGAAAACTACAATATTTTTCCTTCAAATGCAAAACAAATGGTAGAAAAAACGTTTCACAATACTATTTCAAAAAAAACAACTATAGAAACAAAGTTGAGATTTCTATGTGGGTTCTAACGGTATAAATTATCTTAAGATTTTTTTTTGTTTTTTCAAATAAGTAATGTTCTGATTAAAAGCAATTTACCTGAAGGAATGACAGTGGAGGGTCCGCCAAATCCGCAACACCACGGTCCTATGTAATCAATGTTCAAACATCAATTATTTTCATGTAATTTTACATAAAAAAAGAGAGTAAAGTACAAACAATAACATCTCAATGATAGAGACTAAGCTTACCTGATTTGTAATGTTCATGTCCGGAGGAGAAAAATACATTTCTGAAGTATCAGCAATCAATGGTTCTATATCAAAGTCGCCCTAACAAATCACAAATTAGCTATCGTTTAGAATTTTTTTCAATACTCACACGCACATATATACTTTACACGAAAGTGGTGTAAGGTATAAACAAAGATCTATTTATGATAAAACAAGACTTACGTGATTCATAGTGTTCATGGGCCAAGGAGGAAACGTAAACGAACTAGCAGCATTATCATAGTTCAACATTTCTTCACTGTAGTAACCCTTCAAATAAATCAGAGTATGTATAGTTTAGAATTTTTTTAATCCACAAACATATATGCAAAAATTATTCCAAATAGATACGACATTACATGAAAGTGGTCTAAGGTTCAAACAAAGGTCTCTCAATAAATACTAGAAGCGAAACTTACTTGATTTGTAATGTTGATGTCTTGAGGAGGAAAATTCACTTCCGTATTGACAGCCATAGAGTTCAATAACTCTTCGTTGCCCTTCAAAGTTCAAACAAAACGTAGATTATGTATGGTTTAAAAATACTTAACCTAGACACACACATATATATAGAAGCGAGACTTACCTGATTTGTAATGTTCATGTCTTGAGGAGGAAAATATATTTCCGGATTGACAGCCATAGAGTTCAAGAATTCTTCATTACGGTTACCCTTCAAACAAATCGTAGATTATGTATGGTTAAAAATCTTTAATCCAGACTAGAGCTCGCACATTTTATATTACAAAAAATTGGTGTAAAATACAAACAAAGATCTCTGCATGATAAATAGGAGACTTACGTGATTTCCAGTGTTCATATCTTGGAGAAGAAAATCCATTTCCGAATAAGCAGCATTAGGGTTCCATTGGTTTCCAGTAAAGTCACCCTACAAACAAATCATAGATTATTTATGGTTAAAAAATCTATCCATACACACACACACATATATATATATATATATGTGGGTATATACAAATAAAATAAGATAAACATGACTTACATTATTAAAACTCAAGGTATCAATGTCTTCAAGAGGATGAGCAGCATTAGAGTTCAACTGGTTTCCAGTAAAGTCACCCTACAAACAAATAATAGATTATGTATGGTTAAAAAATCTATCCATACACACACACACACACACATATCTATATATATGGGTATATACAAATAAAATAAGATAAATATGACTTACATTATTAAAACTCGAGGTATCAATGTCTTCAACAGGATGAGCAGAAAGCATTGCCTCCAATTCAAGAAGATCATGATCAGTAGGCTCCCCAAAATTTATACCCGTCACTTCATCTTGAAACTGTTCAAAACCATGCACATATAAACCAAAATATTAACTTCACATGTATTTTTTAAGAAAGTTAAATTAAGATTAGATATAAGGAAATGTACCTGATTCTGATCAAATTGTGAGTTGACTGTATTGGAAAAACCCTCATTAGGGCCATGATGATCATTTAACATGCTGGGATTTTCTTGTACGGGAACTACATCATCAGTTTGCGCAACGAAATTGTCATGTGACTGATCCCTCTCCTCCAAGAACGACGATAACGATGCAGAAGGAGACCTCGAAGTTGAGCTTCCATGGTTGCTGATGTTGTTATTGGGATTCCAATTTTGGCCAACCACATTTTCACCAAGAGATCCATCAGCATTACCACTACCATGAAGTCTAGTTCCACCAACAGAGCCGTTGACATTGCCATTACTAGAACCACTACCAGAATCAGGAATTCTTATTCCTCCAAGAGAATCAGTATCATGAAAACTCATCCCACTAAAAGAGCCATAATCAAAGACGACTTTTCTTTTACCAGAAGAGCCATTACCAAAGACTCTTATTCCCCCAGAAGAGCCATTTCCATTCTCAACATCAGTAGCACGAACTCTTACTCCACCAAGCGAGCCATTATCATTATCGTTGGCATTACTAGTACCATGGACTTTTACTCCACCAAGAGAGCCATCATCCAAGACTCTTCTTCCACCAGAAGAGCTACTGCCAAAGACTCTTATTCCACTAGAAGAGCCATTTCCATTCTCAGTATCAGTAGCATGAACTCTGACTCCACCAGGAGAGCCATTACCATTATCATTGGCATTACTAGTACCATGGACTTTTACTCCACCAAGAGAGCCATCATCATAACCGTTAACTCTTACTCGACCAGATCCAAGCAAATTTCCATATTCACTTATTCTGTTCCCATTGTAATTACTACCCACAATCTCCGTACTAAGATTAGAGTTCATGCCCAAACCCTCGCTTGTTGTACCGTATTGCCCAAACCTAGGAGCTTGAAACTCTGAAGATGTCTCGAAAATGCTTCTCCTTGGCTCCTCCATTAAAGGCAACATACCATTCGAAAACTCCGTAGGCAAGAAGTTGGATTCGGTGTGACTCAGATCATAGGTGGGCCTACGGTTCATGTAAGTGATAGAATCACATAAACCAACATTTTGGTTCACCATGAGGCTAGATTGACCTAGGCTTGTGTTGTAGTTGTAAGTGTGTGGTGGGTTGATGTGAGAAGATGATGTCAAGTCGAAGTTTGAAGTTCTTCTTGACATCTGTCTTGTGCCTTCTTCATTGACTTTTTGCGAAAATTGTCTGTACTTCTGTGTAGTTTCAACAATTTGAACATTGTTAGTTATATATTCTAATTATAATCAGCATGAATTGAAATAATGCATAAGAGACACATCTTTAAACTCCCTTAATTTGACTAGATAGATTTTCTTTAAATCTATACCTTTTATAAAAAAAATCTAAACCATAAGATCATACAAATAGGTTTTAAAAAAAAAAAAAATTTAAAAACTTAGGTTGGCTAAATTATTAATATATATATATATAATATTTTTTAATGGTAAATACTATTCAAGAATTTCGAAAAAGTGAAAGTTGTAGTATACCCTGTACTTTCAATATCTTTTATTATACATATAAAAAGTTAACCTCATTTGTGAAACAAAAACATTAAACACTGAACAAAGATGACTATTTTCTAGATGCAAGGTATTTAATCCACAATAGCATGGATTCAGTGCTTTGAAAATGTGATTAAATGACATATGGTTCTGACTTTAAGCAATGTTGATAGAAGACCAAACCTGTAATTTGCTGGCTACATGAGATCGTTTTAGGCCTTTCACGTTCATGTATTCCACAATCTTCTTCGGCGTCGCCTCTTCAAACACGAAGCAGAAGATAGAACATTAGTAGCGAATACAAAACCTTCTTGTAAAACGAAGTAGTGAACTATGGATGGTTTAATGAAAGGGCACACAAGCAGCCTTTTATAAGGTGCAGCTATAAAATAATAAAAGCTTAATAAATTCATCTTCTTAAAGACCTAATTTCTATGTTATCATCGAGCTCCGACATAAGAATTTTTTAAATCCACAACCAAATTTCGACTACCACGAGATATCTGATATTCTGGTTAACCCGTCGTTGCATTATAAACATTAATCGAACATGTTTTTGTGTTAAAACATTAAACGAACATGTGAAAAGGTTAATCACGAACTTTCAATGATTACAATCAAGACTAGTATGTGTAAGAAGGCTTGCAAAAAAATAAGACAACGATACCAGTTCGAGCAAATAACCTTAAACTCCTTCTCTCATATTTTTCTTAGTTATCTTTATAGAGTTAATTCAGATTAAGATTTCACTTTATTTTAAATTTACTGTAGTCTTTCATGTATTAGAAATACAGCCTAGAAACACATTCACAAAATATTTTTTTCAAATGTGAAAGTAATATTTCAATGAACACAACTCACATAGGCAACTCCAAAACTTACAATCAAGATCGATGTGTGAGATGGCTTGCAAAAAGAAAGATTACCAAAGAATCTGACCAAACAATCTTAAATACTTGTTCTAATCTCTTATATCCACTATTTACGTGGTTCAAATATAAATTATTCATACAATTAAATATGATCATTTCTCATGAACAACTAATAATTAACACAAATAATATAACATGTGAAAAGATAAGATCTGAAAAACGGTAAATACTTACTTTCGACACCCAAGTGTTGAATGGCTTTGAAAAATAGTTCCTCAAGAGTTTCAGTCCATATGGTCTTAGGTTTCTTTTCGTCTTCTGGTCCCGAATTTCCAACATTTGAATATGTCCTCCGGATTCTTCTTGAACAATAACCTGTATATATCGTTTTAACATGTATCGCATCTTGTTATATGGATCTAAGAATTATAAAACATATCAAGAACCAAATTTTATTAAAACTACGAGAAGGAGAAACAACAAGACTTTATAAATTGTTCACATCGATATGAAATTACCCTTCATCATGTATTTGAAAGCATCATGCCATATGAGCTCATTTGGTTCGACCTGGTTTCTCATAAAGCCCATTGCGGCCAAAGTCTCTTGCGCAATTCCATAGTTCGTACCTGCGGAAATCATTGTAATAAACATTCAAAAAAACATATAAGAAAATCTAAAAGAAAACTATAGCATCAATTCAGACATCAACAAAAAAATAAATATACCCTGCGTTAACAAAGAAGACTGCATTTTGCTTCTAGTTATTTTTTTTTTGCTTTTTTCTTTGATACACTGACCTGATACTCTTACTTCACCATGTTTATATATTGCTGATACACATCCTTCTAAGGAATGCAATGGTTTACCTTTTCAACAATTTCTATATAATTATCAAGTTTTCTTTTTTTTACTCACGTAGCTGTAGTACGGTGTCAGTGGATATGTGTGTACTGTTGTATAAAGAAACAAAAGTTACGTGTGTACACTATTACCTGTATAAATTACCTTTTTTTCTTCATTTTTGGCTAGTCACAGTTTTATAAAAGGATGCTGCGGTTTATATAGAAAGAAAAACAGCGTATTCCCTATTTTAGGTTTTGTTTTTTTCTATAAACTCTTCCCTTAATGCTTATCTAAATTGTTTAGAAACTTCCAGGAAGAGTTTAGAAAAAAGTATTTACTAAAACTAAAATACAGCTAATTTCAGCTACATGAACTCTTCTGTTCTCACTAGTCACTATCCATGAATTTAACTTCTACTCTAAACTTATAATTTTTTTTTTTAACTGTATAATTTAAATGAAAAAGGAAAAACAACGTATTCCTTATTTTAGGTATTTTTTTCTATAAACTCTTCTGTTCTCACTAGTCACTATCCATGAATTTAACTTCTACTCTAAACTTAATTAAAAAAACAAGAATTTAACTGTATAATTTAAATAAAAAAGGAAAAACAACGTATTCCTTATTTTAGGTATTTTTGTTTCTAAACTCTTCCCTTAAGGCTTAAGGTTTATCTAAAATTGTTTAGAAACCTTAAGGATAGAAATTTTATTTTTCTAAAACTAAAATACAGCTAATTTCAGATTGTTGAAAATATATCAAATTTTTTTTATTCCGTTCTCCGTGTCACCATCCATGAATATACTCTAAACTTAATAGTAAAAAAAAAAGAATTTAACTGTATAATTTAAATTAAAAATCTAAATTTAAAGTCCTGGAAAATAATTAGAAATCTGAATTTGGGCCAGGTTTATTGTGGACCTCGAGCCTCAAACCTTGACAAAGAAAGAAACCTAAGAGGTTCTCTTCGTTCTATTTGCGCCGCCCAATTGCTTCTGCTGCTTCACACCCAATTATCCGACGATCTGCTCTTTCCCGGCGGCGTGAAAATGGTTGAGGCGAAGAAGACGAAGAAGTCCCATGAGGGAATCAACAGCAGATTAGCTCTGGTGATGAAGAGTGGCAAGTACACTCTTGGTTACAAATCTGTTCTCAAATCCCTTCGCAGCTCCAAAGGTAACAAAAAATTGTTCCTTTATCGATTCGATATTATTTTTATGGTTCGTCTTCGTTGAGGTTTCGTTAAGACTCTGTTTGTTATGTTATTAGGTAAGTTGATTCTCATATCTAGCAATTGCCCACCGTTGAGGAGATCAGAGATTGAGTACTACGCAATGCTTGCCAAAGTTGGAGTGCATCACTACAATGGCAACAATGTCGATTTGGGTACTGCTTGTGGCAAATACTTCCGAGTTTCAACGCTTAGCATCGTTGATCCTGGTGATTCCGACATCATCAAGTCTCTTCCTGGAGATCACTGATTAGGATTCGGTCGTCGACTGTTATGTTTTTGTCTTTCTGTCTCTTTGCTTTATCAAACTCTTTGTGTTCTTTCAATGTTTGGTTGTTTTTTTTAGTTTCTAAACTCTTCCGTATTGTTTATGAAAATTTCGTCTCCATTAAGAATGAAAGACTCAATTTTTATTTGATTCGTTGATAAACCTCATGAATCAATCATCAGATTAACATTAGAATACACGAGTCAAACAATTCGTCTTGGATGATCAAATCAGTGACATGTGAGCCAATACTAACAACTACACAAACTCATAGCAAATTTGAAACGTGGGATGCCATATAAAACTATCAAAATTAAGAGTTTAGACAACCAATTATATCGATTGATTTATGATTTATCAACCAAACATACTAACGAAATTAAAACCATGTCGCATTTTCACGTTATACCTCACAAAAATATATACTGGTCTGATCGAGCTAACGAACCAAACGATGTTACATCTTGGTTTTGAAAAAGCTGCCCGATTGATCCATCTTTATTATGATTGGGTTTCGAAACGATTTATAGAGACATTGGAGATTCCAAAAAAAAAAATAGTCTCATGTTTTCTACACCGATAGAAAATGGAAGTTCGTTTGTTTCATACTGAAAACCACATAAATTAATTCCCTTAGCCAAACATTCGATGAGTTCGGTGTTCTAGCTGTCCGTATGTCCGTATCTATTTTTGTAGCAAGGATTTGCTTTCTTGAATAATCCTAGACGAAATTACAGGCCGTGAAGGACCAAAGAAGTAACCAAAACTGCACGACAAAACACACTTTAAAATGTTGTAGTAACCTTTTAGACATTTTTTTAATAGTTACATCATACTCGGATGCCATGTTCTTTCTTTTCCCATGGGAAAACAGCTAATAATTCATCATATCAAAGAGACAAAGAGATAAAATAAAAAAAATTCCAAGATGAAACCGAAGTTATGAACATGGTTTCACAAATGGAAAAAATAAAGATAAATAACGATCAAACTTATGACAAAATACATAAAAGAATACAAACTTCAATTTCTGAAAATCTTCTTGAACACCATCTAAATTCAATGAATTCAAAGTGGATGTGGTTCCGGGTCTGAGAAGATATACAGAACCTCGTGGTAACAAAAAAACAAATTCAAATGAAAGTTTTAGATAGGGCTCTATGAAATAATGCTAAGTGTTTGTATTATTATTGAAAAGGGATGGGCAAAAGATTTGTTTGTTTCTCACTCTTTTTCATTTACTGTGACAGGCTGACAACTCTTATGGGTTCCACTCATCTTCATTTTTGTTTTGGCCAACATTTCCACACATGTTTTGATCTGATGACCTTAAAAATTGTCTAAAATGTCTAAAACACTGACCCAAATCTATTGTTTATGTATTTATTTACGATACATATTATATAAAGAAAAAACTAGCTAAAACTAAGTTCCTACTGATATTCGTATAATTTTCAAATCAGAGTACCCCAAGTACTACCTAGCTATATTTTCAATCAACATTGGTATTAAGTATATCGCCGTTGGGTTATTGGTTGCACGTTAGTTATGCAGTTTTTAATTTATTCAGTACGCTCATATATAGCAATCCCTTGGATATATCGTAAATCAGTATTTTAATGTGACCATGTGTATCTCAAGTTAGTTAATGCGATATAAAATCCCAAAGAATCAAATTCAAATCCGAGGTGTTAAAAAACTAGAGATAATTTGCTGGATAGCATCTTTTACTTTTTCTTACTACTTCGACGATTAGTTTTGGATTTAACAATCTATATACATGTCATTTAATGCAGAGAAGCTATTTAACAATCAAGATACAGTAAAAACTCTATAAATTAATACTCGTTAAATTAATAACTTGATAAATCCATAAAATTGAATAGTCTCAAATTAAGTTTTTGATCCAATAATCTCTCGATAAATTAATATTTCGTTAAATTAATAAAATACAACATTATTAATTTATAGAGTTTCTACTGTATTATTCAACAGGACATCACCTCTACCTATTTAAAACCCCTCGTCCCAACTAATCTCTTTGATAACTGAGAAAAAAACCAAAAAACATGGAGTTAGGAAAATCAATAGTGAAGCAAAATGACGCCGTGGTCAGACTTGCGAAGCACGTCATCACGACCGTCTCCAATGGCTCCAACGTTGTCTTCTCACCGACATCAATCAACGTTTTGCTCAGCCTCATCGCCGAGGGTTCCAGTCATGTCTCCAAAGAAAATATTCTCTCATTCCTTATGTTACCATCGACGGATCACCTCAATGAAGTTCTGGCCCAGATCGCCGACCGCAGCGAGACAAGTGATCTGCGCTTGTATGCGGCCTACGGTGCCTGGATAGACAAATCTTTCTCCTTCAAACCTTCTTTTAAAGAGATCTTGGAGAACTCCTACAATGCTAAATGTAGTCACGTTGACTTCAATACTAAGGTAAATTGTTCAAATTTGTGTCAAAAATAATAGAGTATATAATATATTATTGAGTTGTCCTTGATATGAGATTATGAGATATATAATGGTAATATATAATAACATAATGTTAAAATTAAATAATGTCAACTTTGCTAAGAACAACATTGAGATCTGTGGAATTATTCATTAGGGCTTCAACGGCTTCACTTTATAGTGGTGATTTTTGATGGCCCACAATACTTGGTACACAAGATATACAACTTGCTCTCCAATATTCTCAGCTAGGGTTTGTATATTATAACAATTTTGGGGAATGATTGGTTTGATCGCTTATTTTGAAGCCTGCTGAAGTGATTGATGAGGTGAACACATGGGCTGAAGTCAACACCAATGGACTCATCAAGGAGGTTCTTACATACGATTCCGTCGCGGATATCCGTAGCAGCTCACTCGTACTAGCAAATGTAGTGTACTTCAAAGGAGCATGGAGCAAAAAGTTTGATTCAAAGTTGACAGAAAATATTGATTTTCATCTTCATGACGGCACCTCCGTGCACGTCCCTTTCATGACCAATCGTAAAAAACAATACCTAGAAGAATATGAAGATCTACAGGTTCTGCGAATCCCTTATGTAGAGGATCATCGTCAATTTTCCATGTATATTTATCTTCCTTATGAGAAAGACGGATTGCCTGCACTGCTTGAGAAAATAGTCTCGGAACCAGGATTTCTCGATAACCATATTCCACTCGAACGTGTAAAGGTGGGCTATTTCAGAGTTCCAAAGTTTAGCTTCTCTTACGACTTTGAAGCTTCAGGTGTTTTGAAAGATATGGGGTTGACTTCACCGTTTACTCCTGGAGGAGGAAGTCTAACTGAGATGGTTGACTCGGATAGCAACAGGGAAAATCTCTACGTCTCGGAGATTCTTCATAAATCTTGTATTGTGGTGGATGAAGAGGGAACCGAAGCTGCAGCTGCCTCTGGTATTAGAGATGCGTTGCTTTGCGAAGTTCCAGATTTTGTAGCTGACCATCCATTTCTGTTCACGGTGAGAGAAGACAAGACTGGAGTGATTTTGTTCATGGGTCAAATTCTTGATCCTTCAAAACACTGATGGGTATACTAGGTGGTGTTGGGGAACACATTCAGCTATATGTTTTGTTTTTTCTTTGATGGGACTGTATTCCATTTTTTTTTGCTTTGTTTGCTTTGTTGGTTGCAATGTGACTGTTTACCTTGACTTTTAAAAATTTACCGACACTTAAAATAGAAAGACAAAATGTTACAATTTGTTGCCTTTACAAAAAAAATTTACTTATTACAGTATGAACAAAATAGCTTTGAGAAAAAATTATTAGTATGAACAAAATAGCTTTAAAACACGTAAAGTATGTTTGAGTTTTACTTTAAAAAACGCTAACTAAAAGGTCAGCCCAATAGGCCCAAAATGCTGGATACTGAAGCATCACACCATTTTTCACTCTTGAGTGTCTTCACTCTTAAAATGACTAGAGGTCACTGAAGCATCACACACTCTTCACTCTCACAAGTCTGCAATTTCCAAACCCAACGGATTCATCTCCCTCGCTCGCACTTCGGTTTGTCTCTGTTCTTCATCTGTCACTCTGCGTTTTATGCTTGAATTTTCTTGGATATTCTTAGGGTTTTTTTTTCCTTCACTGTGTTTTCCGAGAATGTTGATTATAATCTGTGTTTCCTTAATTCCTACGCCTACAAAATCAAAATCGTCTCTTGAAAGTTTTGTTTTTCTGAAGTTTTGTCTTTTTTTTTTATTTATAATTTTGTTGTTATGCAGAACAGTTTCCACAGAAAGAAAGCAGATGGGTGACAGAAGGAAATCGAAACGGACTCGTTCAAAAGCCTTGAAGGAAATGAGGTTGAAAGAAGATGCGATAAGCGAATTACCTGATCCTCTGATATGTCAGATACTTTGTCATCTTCCCACAAAGGAAGCCGTGAGAACAAGCGTTCTATCCACCAGATGGAAGACTCTCTGGCTATGGATTCCTCGTTTAAACTTGAGTTTCGGGGACAGGTTCTTCGATTCCACTAGGGCTTCATGCCTAGACGAATTCCAGGTACACATTGGTAAACATAACGACAAGGTAGAGGTTGTTACCTCTCGTCTCGCGTCATGGATTGATGCTGCCGCTAAGCGTAAGATCCAACATCTTAGTGTTAGGTTTCTTTCGAATACCCATAAGAAGATGCCTTCAAGCCTTTACAACTGTGAGAAGCTAGTATCTTTAGACCTACACACGGTGGACTTGGCTAATGGCGAGTTTGTTTCTTTACCTTGTCTCAAGACTCTGTATTTGACTGATAACTTGTATCCCAATGAGGAAACTTTCGAGAGACTCGTCTCGTCCAGCCCTGTCCTTGAGGAGTTAGTGATTCACGGAGATTTTGAATCTGATGCAATAGTCTTCCGGGTGCGCTCTGTGTCTTTGAAGAGCCTAATTGTAAGTAAGTTTTTGTTTGATCGGCGTGTTCGTGGTTTAGGAGTTGTGATTGATGCTCCTCGGCTATGCTTCTTGAGAGTCGATGATAGCTGTTCAGAGAGTTATAAAATAGCCAAAGTGGATTCCTCACTTCTCAAGTTGGATCTTTCTCTTGGGAGTTATGGTATAAGGACCATGGATCTTTGTTACACAAGGTTGGCATCAGCGGTACGTAGATTTCGTGGTTTTGTTCCTGTCATGTCAAAGGTTAGGGATATGACATTGTCGGCGCAAATGTTCGAGGTACATTTTTGGTATTAAACATGTACATTTTCTGTCATGAAAGTTTATGACACACATTCTTGTTCCAGGTTTTGTATGAATACTCGAGATCAGAACCGCTGTCTCGGTTTGGTTACATGTCCAGCCTGCATCTCCGTCTATGTGTGCCCCAGTATCAGTTGTTACCAACCGTTCTTGAGAGCTTCCCAAACTTGAAATCACTCGTTCTGGTGATGATCTGCTTTGCTTTACCCTCACGCTATGTGTGTTTGTGTGTATCTTCATTGCGTTTTAACATTCTTTTTATATCTTCAGGCATGCAGAGATGTCTATTACCAGGTATGCAGAGATTTCTTTAACATAGAGGATGAAGTCTGCTTTTCATCTGTGCCCGAGTGTTTGCTATCATCTCTCGAGTTTGTCGATTTCAAAGATCCGGTCGAGGGATATCCTGCTGAAATGAAGCTGGTTAAATACTTGCTCAAGAATTCTGCTGTCCTCAAGAAGCTCACTCTACGTTTGGAGGAATCTAGTTCAGCAAAAGATGAGATCTTCAAGAAACTCCTCAAGATCACAAGAGGCTCTACCCAATGTAAAGTCGACATACTCTTGGTGAAGAAGAGGAAACAGAGTGAAGAAGTTGTTTAGGTTTATGGTTTAATGTGTTCCTCACCATTTGTGCTTGCTTTCATGAAATCTTGTCCTTTTTGGTGATTTTGTGTAAAGACATTGATGAAACTGTGAGGGTTTCTTTGTGTACTTTTGATATGGAAACGATTTGTGAGAGCTTTTCATTAACATTTTACTTTATTCCTTCCCTCAAAGTACTATTTAATCATAGATTACTAGCATCTCAAATTATGTAAACTCGTTTGATGAAAAACAGAAAAAGAAACACACGTAGATTAAAATGAAACCATAGTCAATATAAGCCGTCCATTAAATAGATGATTAAATACAGACCAAAATTTTCAACAAATACAACAAAAGAGAAAAGTGGTCATTAAAACGCTGAAAGAATGTGATGTACAGACAAAATTTTCATATCAAGAAATCATAGATTCCTCGAACATAAGACATTGAACAGACACAAGGCCAATCAGATCGATTATCAACAAATCATACTAACAAAATCAAACATTGAACAGACACAAAGGCCTTAATCTTATACGATAATAAGTTTACCTCACAAATACTAACAGACCCAAGCCCTTATCTTTCAGCCCAATACGCCCAAAATGACTAGAGACTGAGAGCATGTTTAATGGGGGAAGCTTAGTGGAGCGCTTAGGCAAAATATAAATCAAAATCAATTTTAGACGGAGAAGTCGACGCTTATTGAAGCAGAACAAGCGCCGGTGCTCACTGCCACGTGGCAGAAAATGATTGGTTGTTGGTTAATGAGAAGAAAAAAAAAACGAATTTTCTCATTTTTCTCTTTCGTTTCTCTCTCCTCCTCCCTCTCTCTTCTCCGTTGCTCTTCGCTGACGATTTGGCTACTCGGTGATTCAAAGGTTTCATCGATAAGGGTGGAGATCCTGAGAAGGTTCCTTTCTCTCGAGATCCCTTCTCTTTTCGCTTAGATTCTATGACGGTTTACCTCTATCAAAATTCGATCTGTATCTGTTTTTTTTTTTTAATCTTACTTGGGTTTTTAGTTTGATTTCGATTTTCCGATCGATTGAGCGCTTGTTGAGTTTTTAATCTCAAATTTCGATCCGATCGGAAAAGTATGAGTTCTAGGTTCACTCGATTTCGTGCTGTGTTTCTCTTAAATCAAGACAATTTTGAGCTTTGATATACTTAATTGTGATGGTATTGTGTAAATTTGTGATCTTGATTGGAATAATTCATACATGTCATTGCAGTTGAAAGAGCTAGCTCAGGCTTATGAAGTTCTTATTAACCCGGAGAAGAGAGAGATATATGACCAGTATGAAGTAGACACACTCAAGGAAGGAACGGGTGGTGGAGGAGGTGGTCATGACCCATTCGATATCTTCTCATCCTTCTTTGGTGGTGGGAGCCCGTTTGGAGGTGAGTGTCTCTTGGACATTCTCTACTCTGATTTGAATCTGATAATGCAATCGAGAATTTTCTTGGAGAATCTGCTCACAAATTGAATATACCACTTGCATGCTCTTATCTTCCAAGTTTAATCCAAAATAATTAGAGTTCACTTGTTTGTTTTCTCTTTTACTTCTTTGAACAAGGTTGTTAGTCATATTGATTTTCGTTTCTTTTCGTTTGCCATATTGCCACTTGGTTTGTTTCACTTCTTTTGGTTGCTTCATATCCAATTCATAAGGTGATATTGTAATATGTATGCAGCAAGGAGATGGGAAGGACCGAAGGAGGAAGCCGGATGGAGTTTGATAGAGCCGCGTAAAGGTGTGATTCACACAATGTAAAGCTAAAGGAGATGAGAGAAAAGCTGAAAGCAGCAAGACACTGGACAACTTCCGCGGATTGAACGAGAGTTTCTCGGAGAACAAGGATTGAAAAGCCAATGTGAGTTCGATGAGGGAAGTGATCGTTGTGGTGTGATGAAATTTTGGTGAATTCTGATGATGTGCTTGAGCTTGATGACAGAGGGACACCTCTTGATGTTCCTTTAGACAATGGTGAAGCCACTAGAGATGGAGATGAGGAAACAGAATTAAGAATCGATCAAGATGTTCCTACAAAGTTGAGAGTATACCTTGTTGATGCTTTTGCGTTATGACACATTCAGAATTCTATGTATTTCCTGCAAAAAAAAATTATCATTTTTTTAAGTACTCCAATAGGATTCTCCCATTAAAGCAGAAAAAACTACTAATGTTTAATAGGGGTGCTTAACACAACTTTAATAATAAAATACTCTATAAGCACCTATGTGTTAAACATGCTCTGAGACATCGCACCATTCTCTCACTCTTCTTTCACTCTTCAGTCTTCACGCATCACGAGATTACAATTTCCAAAACTTACTGCTGATTCATCTCTCTCTCTCTCTCTCTCGCATTTCGGATTGTCTCTCCTATATTCGTTTAGGTATTCTCTTCGTTAACCGTTGTTTCATTTCTTCAACTGTGTCTCTGCGTTTGTGCTTGAATTCTCTGGAATAAGTATGTTTAGATTACCATTCTAGGGTTTTTCTCTTGGCTGGGTTTCCCGCCAATGTTGATAAAGTTGATTAACACGTACAAATCGTCTCTTGAAAGTTTTGTTTTTTTTGTCAATTTTGTTGTTATGCAGAAAACAAATGGGTGACAGAAGGAAATCGAAACGGATTCGCTCCAAAGCGTCGAGTGAGACGAAGTTGAAAGAAGATAAACTAAGCGAATTACCTGATCCTCTGATATGTCAGATACTTTGTCATCTTCCCACAAAGGAAGCCGTGAGAACAAGCGTTATATCCACCAGATGGAAGACTCTCTGGCTCTGGATCCCTCAACTAAAACTGAAAACACGAGAGTTCCCAGATTTAGACGCCTTCTTGAGTTTCGGCAACAGGTTTTTCGATCCCACTAGGGCTTCTTGCTTAGACAAACTCAAGTTAATTATTCATGATGATTATGAAGAAGAAGGTGTAGATGTTGCCTCTTGTCTCACATCATGGATTAATGCTGCAGTCAAGCGTAAGATCCAACATCTAGATATATTCTATGAGATACCCACAAGCCTTTACAACTGTGAGACACTGGTGCTCTTAAAGCTCTTCTGGATGGCCTTGCCCGATGCAGAGTTTGTTTTCTTACCTTGTCTGAAGACTATGCACTTACAACATCTTCGGCTGCTTCCTAATGAGGCCACTTTTGAGAGACTTATCTCATCATGCCCAGTCCTGGAGGAGTTAAGAATTGAGGGAGATGTTATGTCTGATGCAATAGCCCTCCGGGTGAGCTCTAGGTCATTGAAGAGGCTCACTATAATGACACCCATGTCTGACGAACTTGGTGGTACAAGAGTTGTGATTGATGCTCCTCGGCTTTGCTTTTTAACCATCTACGCTAATTTATCAGAAAGCTTGATAATAGCTGATATGGATTCACTTGTCAAGTTAACTCTTTGCCTCGGCTGGTTTGGTGGTGGTTTGCCACCAGCGATAAGTTGGTTTCGCAGTTTCCTCCCTAGGGTTTTGAAGGTCAGGGATATGACAATGTCGTCGGAAACATTTGAGGTATATATATATATATGTCAAATTTTGCTATTGGACTTGTGTGTGTGTTTCTGACCTCTTTCTTGTTCCAGCTCTTCTATCACTACTCGAAATCTGAACGGCTGCCTCAGTTTGGTTACATGTCCCGTCTGCATCTCACTCTCTACGTAAACCAATTGGAGTGGTTACCAACCGTTCTTGAGAGCTGCCCAAACTTGAAATCTCTTGCTCAGGTGATGATCTGCTTAACCCTCTCGCTATATGTGTGTGTTTTTCAGTCTCTATGATGAGTATTTATGTGTATCTTTTACATTGCGTTTTAACCCCAGGAATGCACTGATGCCTATAATTATAATGAAGCTAATGAAATCTGCCTCTCATATGTGCCCGAGTGTTTGCTATCATCTCTCGAGTTTGTTGATATCCAAGATCCGAGCTAGGGATCTCTTGCTCAAATGAAGCTAGTTAAATACTTCCTCAAGAATTCCGCTGTCCTCAAGAAGCTCACTCTACGTTTGGGATCTAGTTCAGCAAAAGATGAAATCTTCAAGAAACTCCTCAAGATCCCAAGAGCCTCTGCCAATTGTAAAGTCGTCATACTCTTATTGGTAAAGGATTGAGGGGAACAGAGTGAAGTTGTCTAGATAATCGGTTGATGTAGTAGGTGTAGGCTTTCATGTGTTCCTCACCCTGCTTTCATGGAATCTCCTTGTTCTTCTCTGTTGATTTTGTGTCCAAGACATTAATGAAACTGTGGATATGAAAATGTGAGAGCTTTTCATTAACATTTTTCTTATTCCTTACTCCAAAACACGTCTAAGTCCTAAAACTGTTACTCAGGATTATGAAGAATGTTTCTTTCATATCCCTGACTGTGTTTGTCCAATTAAACTTGTAACAATACCTAAAAACATATTGAATATTATCATCTCAAATTAAGTAAGTACGTTTGATGGAAAAAAACAACATGTCGATTAGAGTGAAACCACAGTCGTTAAGACGTCCATTACAACAAAAACGTTGAAAGAATGTTATGTACAGACAAAAATTTCATATCAAGAAATCTTAGATTCCTCGAACATAAGACGAACCAAAGAAAAAAACATGATACAGGAAACATGATACAACATATATAAATATATAAGTTACACGTATAATTGAAGTCATAAACAAATTGTCGTACTTTGCATTGTTGATGTTGAACAGCAAGAATCAGGTTTAGGCTGGATCTGTTTCCGGTTCGGGGTCAGGTTCTTTACACATGCAATCTGGCATTGGGAACGTGTAGAGCGACGCAGCCGGTTTCCTTAACTCGACACCCTTTGCATCATTGTGTCTAAGCATATCTTGCATCTGTTTCTTGAAGTAGTCCCATCTACAAAACAAACCATCCAAACCGAAGAAATTGCTTTCAGTTCGAGGACTATGAGTTTAAGGTATGTCAAAAGTTGATTACCTAATGCTCGGTTTATCGAAGAGCTGGACTAGTTTCCGCTTATCCGGTTTGATTGTCTCGGCGTGGCCTTTGTAAAGGTAGCGACGGTGACCTATCAAGAAATGAGGGAAGTTTCCACCTTGTGTGGATACAAACACTTCACTGTGTAGGCATACTGTGTAGTCAAGAGCAGCTAATCTTGATGAGTGTCCCTACAGTTTCACAAAAAACCATTTCAAAAATTCCCATCAATATGTTCCACACGCAGTTGCGTGTATATGACCATTGCCTAAATCATAGCGTCTAAAGTTCCAATGAGTAAAGAAATTTATGTTTTGAGTACCTTAAACGGAGCAAGTTCCTCTGGACTAGCTAGAGTATCTTTGGTTTGGAGAAGAGGAAACATTTGCCTAAGAGGAGCCATATATCTGTCAGCTTTGTAAAGGTTTCCGGCAGCAACGTAAACTAAGGTGCTGTTGTTAAAACCCATGCCTCTTAGCATCATTCCGACCTATAGAGAGTGATGTTACCTAAGTAAAGTTAATTGTGATTTACAGTCACTAGACAGGATTTAAGATTTACAGCGATACCTCCAGAGGGGTTAAAGGACATTTGCCATCTATGCGGTTAGCACCAGGCCTAATAACTCTGCCTCTCCTCCTGAACTTTCCTTTCCAACCTCGTTCCCGGGCCATGTCCATTTCTAGCTTCTCCGTTTCCCCAAAGTCATATTCGCAACAAGAGAAGGCGACCATGTCCTTTTGCAAGAGAAGAAAATTATGATAAAGAAACGAGGGAAATAGAAACTAGGAATTGTAATAATAAGGAATTGGGTGGAGTTATATAAACCATTTCGAAGCGGAGATGAACAGAAACATATTTTCCTCCGCTCTGAACACTCTTGGTAACCATCCTGTTGACCATTTTCTCTGCAAGCAGCCGTATGGGCTCTGCAAATCTCAATGCTTCAAAGTTTGCTAAGCATCTGAGCCCTTGAATGTGTGCGGGAACTGCATGAGCTAACCTGTTGGAGAATGGAGCAACACGGACAGCCCTAATGAAAGAAGCAAGATTTAGTAAGTAAATCCTTCAGAGTGTGTTTAGGTCCCATCTTTTCCAATTCAAGAAGCAATCTCATAAAAGGAGACCTATCAATAACCAAAATCACATCATGGAGTTTTGATATGAGCAGTCTATAGAATACTTATACTAATTTTCACCGATACAACTTTAAAAAAAGGCTTATCAAGAGCAAATACCCATAAGCTATCTCGTATTAATAAGATCGTATAAGTAGACACAAGTTCTAGGAAGCAATACAGGGGAAACGGAAAAGAACAAACATACAGAGAACAAACCATTTCTTTCGAGACTGAGACGACAGTTAAAAGGAACACGAAAAATGTAAGTGAATGTCATACCCCAAACGCAAAAGTTGTGGTAGCACCTTCTGGAGATAATATGCCGGACTCGACCAAGCCTTTAATCTCAAATTAACAATACTGCTTATATTGTAGTTGTACCGCTCAAGCATGTCTTTTGGGAGCTCTTTCACTACTTTGACGTTCTTACTAAGAGCATATATGAAGAAGTCTTCATCAAATATATCGCCAAATTTGCTGTCACCAGCACAAAAACAGGAAAAATAGATAAACCAACATGTAAGTAAATCATGCTACCATAGAAACCACTTGGTCTGAAGATTACAAACATTTTGAACTTAATCCATCTCTAAAGCTACAAAATTTCTGTCAAGAACCCAATTCCATGATCAAAAACCAATAGTAACCTGGAATCACGCCATACACTGTTATAGTGAAAAATCGGAATGACAAGAGTCGCATTTAGTAGTCCAGCCACAGCAACTGCATCACATATCTGCAACATCAAGATAACAAAATCCATCTCTCAAAACAATGATAACAAAAACAAAAATCCCAGTTTGAAGCCATGGAGAGAGAGTAAAACATACTGACAAGCGTTGTTGATTCAATCCACCATTCGCTTCGATGATAAAGTAACCATTAGAATTCGATCCTGCATTCAAAATCACCTCCATAGTTACGAAACTACTCCACTCACATAAGCAGCCAATAGAGGAAACTCGAACCTGAAGCAGAGACGTTAGTGCTGATACATGGTTTCCAAATGCTCTTGATTCTTGGCTTCCATGCTGTCATCAGCTGCATTCATCAGCAAAACCACTCAGAAACTTCGATTGATTTCGTCAAATCTGAAATTTTCCAATTGACAATTACCGCATTGTGACTGCTTCGATTGGAATCAGCTTCCATCATCGGCCAAAGCCGCTTGAATACTTTAGGGCTCCGGTAAACCGAACCCGGCGGACCTCGTCTGTACACAATCCCAACGCCGTGGCGGAGATCGAGGACGGTGAACCCAAACGAGCCCATAAATAGTAACATCCCGGCGATGTAGAGAATAGGCGCCAACAGTAACACGCCTTTCCGTCGGAAAACTATGGAGAAGAGTAAGAAGACGAGTCTCTCTCCTTTCCCTTGCTTTTCCGATTTGTAAACAGTTTTTCCCCTGCTGTGACGAATTCGAGGAGAAGAAGGAGGTGACGCAAGAGATCGATTGATTCCGTTGCCGTTGCCGTTGCCGTTGCCGAGACGGCTAAGTCCGTGCATGATATGATCTGAAATCTTCGAGCTAAACCCTAGAAATGGAGAGTGGAGAAGAAGAAGATCCGCTAGATTTGGAAAGAGAAGGTAGTAGCATTGTGTGTTTGTGTGTGGTAGCTTCGTTTGCGTTCGATGTGGTAGGAGCCAAGTGGTGGGAACAAATTTAATTGTTTCAGTAAAATCAACGCCAGAAATAATAAATAAGAAATAAAATGGTGGAAATTTTCTCGAGAAAACAAAAAAACAGTGAAAACGAGAGAGAGAGATAGAGAGAGAAGAAGAAGGTGGAGGAGGAGAGAAAGAGAGTGTGCGTCGTTTCGAGCAATTAAACGAAACCACGTGAAGAAAGCAGTGGCTATCTTCTAGGCATTGAGAAAGAGAGTGGCGCGTGAGATTTGTGGATTTGGATTTGGATTTGGGTCTGCTTTTTTCTTTCTTTCTATTTTAGTTTTGCTTTTTCAAATGGTCCATTTTTTTTTTGTTAGTGGTCTTTTTTTTTTTAATATTTATAAAATCGATTATTAGTTTTGACAGTGTAATAAAGTAGAGAAAATGAGTCCGTATTTAATTTTTTCAATTATCTTTTGCTAAAAGAGAGACCATATATTTGATTGTATGTTTTTTATTTGCTCCATACAAAATGTTACACAAAAATGTTGACAGTTGTTCTCCATGTCATAAAACAATTTTTTTTTTTGTTTAACATAAAACAAAAAATTTCATAGGACTATTTGCATTATATAGAATTTTCTCTTCAAAATGGACTTTCGAAAATTTGAGGGGCCATTGTCAATGTTTCAATGGCCTTCGCCAACCTTAGATGGTTGTTAGAGACAATAGAAAATATCGATTATGGATGAGTTAAAAGTGTAAAGAAATAGTGATCTATTTAGAAAACGTAAGAGATAATGATGCTGCTGAGAAATTACTAAATAGGTTCAGTACAAAACATTGAGAGATAAACTTGAAAAAGAGAGAACGTACGTTCATTCGAAACATATATTTATTGAGTGTTCTTGGGGAAATAGACAAAAGAAACCGAGAGAAGCACTGTACCTTTGGGGTTTGATTAACATCTTGTAACCTCTGTGAACGAGTGGATTCCAAGAGAAAGATTTGGGCGAATGATGTAACCCTTATTTGGGCCACTAAATCCTCACAAAGTGGCATTAAAGCAAATCTTCTTTGTTGTTGGTTTTGCAAAGGTACTCTCAACCGAGGAAAATTTATTCAAGGAAAAACTCATGATGGCTCACTTGGATATTCAGGGCGTGAGCCAGAGTGGATTGGGTTCAAATTCAAGCTACTGCATATTTTGTCATTTGTATTTTAAACAAACTAATATTGTATAATCAAAGGAACACTTTATTGAATCATGTTAAATGTGACGAAGGTAACTGCAACAATCAACATTTTATTACATACGAGTTTAATAATTAAATATAAGTAATTTTCTTATAAGAAATAGTTCAAAATTTAACAAGTAGGATAGGGAATACTACAAGCCCCCAAAATTCTGCGAGCAGTTGCGTCGGTAAGATATTGACCAACAATTGGATTTTTGATGTAATCACAAAAGCACGATTGTTGTTCTTTCAATTTTCCGCAACATTCTGTTGTTGGTTGACTTCCGGACATTACTGCTGGTAAGCATGGTTGAAGTGCTGTCGGGTCACATGTCACTGCTTCAGTCGGTGCCAAAGTCAACACAATGACTATCACAAATGCAATGGAGGCTAATGTTGTGAACTTCATATTTTGTACCTTAGTGACTTCCTTATCTTAATCTTTTACTTTATTCTAACTTAGTAAATGTTTGAGGCTCTGAGTTTGAAGTGTTGATGGTTTGAACTATTATATAGATGGAGACTCCCAGTAATGTGTTTTTTTTTAATTAATATTGTGTTTATTTCATACTTATTCAATACATATTATTTTTTATAGTTATAAAAAGTGTAGAATCTTCAATTGAAGAAAAAGTATATGTATATATTCATAATAAAATGAAAAGGATTAATATGCATGTATATTTATTCCGGATTTGTAAAATTACTAATTTTATAGAGATTTTGTAAGAAGAATGATTTCAAATCTCTACAAATCTTCCCAGATTAATAAGAAATCAAATCATTCTGATAATAATAAAATAAAAACAAGAAAATATATAGAGAGAGGAAAATCGGAAAAATATCTTAAAAGGTTTTTATTACTTCCATATCTATATTAAAAATATTTATTTGAATTCTTTTAAGAGATTTCTGAAGGATTATACTAACTTGAAAACATATATACCTACAAATAAAAGGTCTGTAATACATTTCTTTGTGTTAAAAGAAATTCTAAAATTATCAATTCTATTTTTTTTATAAATGACAAAGTCTTGATTTTATATTTATTGTTATTATCCTCTATTAGATTATGCTCTATACTTCTGTTTTAGAGAAATAATAATCAATATTTGTAGAAAGTTGAATATATGAATTCTAAAAGGATATACAGATCTTCAAGTGTGAAATCTAAAAAAATGAAAAGTAAATTAGCAATACTGTATACTGCTTTATATATCTCTCTAGATATGAAAAAAAAAATTATGTAAAATATTATGATAGACAATGTGAAACTGAAACTGATTTTGTTCCATATTATTTCAGATTTCAATAATGAGGGGTGCCATACAGTTAAAACTGAAACGCTTTCAAATTGTACTGACTATTGGTTTTGGTTTTGAATTGGGTTTAACTCGGATTCATAGTATGTTCGTGCCAGAATCCATAATTTTTATTGGAAATTCTTTTCTAGTGTCCAAATTCCAAAGTCACATTTTTGGAAGTCTTCAAGTGTAAAAGTGGCACCTCTCAAACATCTGGGAAGGAACAATCCAATCATTGACACCACTTTCAGAGATGTATGTAGTAATGGTGTATTATATAATAATTTGAAAGTAAGCAACATCTAAGGTATCACCATCCTCAAATGTTCATCATGGTTTTCGCCATTTGTTGTGTAATAAATGTTTGGGCCACTAAATTCTCACAAAATAGTATTAAAGCAAATCGATCTTCTTTGTTTGTTGGTTTTGCAAAGGTACTCTCAAGCCAAGAATCATTTATTCAAGGAAAAACTCATGGCTCACTTCGATATTCAAGGTGTGAACCAGAGTGGATTGGGTTCAAATTCAGTCTACTGCATATTTTGACATTTGTCTTTAAACAAAAAAAAACTAATGTTGTATAAGCATAGGAACACTTTGTTGAATCATGTTAAACAATGACGCATGTAACTGTAACAATCAACATTTTCTTACATACAATTTTAATAATTAAATTTTAGTAATTTTCTTATAAGAAATAGTTCAAACTTTAACAAGAAGGATAGGGAATACTACAAACCCCTAAAATTCTGCGAGCAGTTTTGTCTGTAAGATATTGACCAACAATCGGGTTTTTAATGTAATCACAAAAAAACGATTGTTGTTCTTTCAGTTTTCCGCAGCATTCTGTCGTTGGTTGCCTTCCGGACATTACTGCTGGTAAGCATGGTTGAAGTGCTGTCGGGTCGCATGTCACTGCTTCAGTCGGTGCCAGAGTCAATACAATGACTATCACAAATGCAATGGATGCTAATGTTGTGAACTTCATGTTTTGTACCTTAGTGACTTTCTTTATCTTAATCTTTTACTTTATGCTTACTTAGTAAATGTTTGAGGCTGTGAGTTTGAAGTGTTGATGGTTCGAACTATTATATAGATGAAGACTCCCAAAATAATGTGTTTTTTAATTAATATTGTGTTTATTTCATACCTATTCAATACATATATTATTTTGTTATAGTTATAAAAAGTGTAAAATCTTCAATTGAAGAAAAAGGTAAAAATATCTATTCATAATAAAATGAAAAGCATCAATATGCATGTATATTTATTCAGGATTTGTAAAATTACTAAGGGCCTGATTGGCATGTAGGCTTTGAGGGCTTTAGAGTTTTTGACAGCCCTCACACTTAAAATTTCACCAATCACACTTTAAAGACTTTATAAATTTTAAAAGTCATGAAAGTCTTGTTAACTGTTTTTCTTCTTTGATTATCTCTTTTTCTCTAAAGCCACGAGAAGTGGCTTTCACCACTTAAAGTTTCTCTCTCTTCAAATAATTTATTTCTTTTTTCTTTTTTCTTCACCCCAAATAAACTAAAATCTATTTCTGCAACTATTATAATTTTAAAACAAATATTGTTTTCAATAATTGATTACTATATTTTATTCCACTTCTTTTAAGATCCATTTTACCTCATAATTAATTAAATTTGAAGTTTAGTTTTTTACATCTTAATTACAAACAAAATAAAATAAAATTTCAATTAAAAGACTAAAAAATTTATTTGTTTTGCATATTTATTTATTTTACATAAAATCTTATCATTATTTATGTATAATTTTAAAAAATATTTAAAAATAAAAGTCACAGTTCTTACAGCTTGTTGTTACCAATCAGACTTTGAGAAATATATAAACTAACAGTCACAGTTCTTACAGCCAAATTCTCTACAGCCAAAAGTCACAGCCTAAAGCCTAAAGTCACAGTCCTAAACAATCAGGCCCTAAATTTGTAGAGATTTTGTAAGAAGAATGATTTCAAATCTCTACAAATCTTCCTAGATTAATAAGAAATCAAATCATTCTGATAATAATAGAATAAAAAGAAGAAAATATATAGAGAGGATAATTGGAAAAATATCTTAAAAGATTTTTATTACTTCCATATCTATATTAAAAATATTTATTTGAATTCTTTTAAGATATTCTGAAGGATTATACTAACTTGAAACATATATACCTACAAATAAAAGGTCTGTAATAGAATTCTTTGTGTTTAAATAAATTCTAAAATTATCAATTCTATTTTTTCTTATAAATGATAAAGTCGTGATTTTATATTTACCGTTATTATATTCTATTAGATTATACTCTATACTTCTGTCTTAGAGAAATAATAATCAATATTTGTAAGAAAGTTGAATATATGAATTCTAAAAGGATATACAGATCTTCAAGTGTGAAATCTAAAAATATGAAAAGTAAATTAACAATACTATATACTGCTTTATATATCTCTCTAGATATGAAAAAATTATGTACAAAATTATGTTGACAATGTGAAACTGAGACTGATTTTGTTCCATATAATTTCAGATTTCAATAATGAGGGGCGCCATACGGTTAAAACTGAAACGCTTTCAAATTGCACTGACTATTGGTCTCGGTTTTGAATTGGGTTTAACCGGGATTCATAATCTGTTCGTTAATATGAACCAGAATCCATTAATTTATATTGGAGATTCTTTTCTAGTGTCCAAACTTCAAAGTCACATTTTTGGAAGTCTCCAAGTGTAAAAGTGACCCTCTCAAACATCTGGAGAGGAACAATCCAATCACTGACGCCATTTTCAGAGATGTATGTAGTAATGGTGTACTATATAACACTTTGAAAGTAAGCAACAGTCTTTTACATCTAAGTTATCACCATTCTCAAATGTTCATCATTGTTTTCGCCATTTGTTGTGTAACAAATGTATGGGCCACTAAATTCTCACAAAAAGTGGTATTAAAGCAAATCGATCTTCTTTATTTGTTGGTTTTGCAAAGGTACTCTCAAGCCAAGAATCAATTATTCAAGGAAAAACTCATGGCTCACTTGGATATTTAAGGCGTGAGCCAGAGTGGGTTCAAATTCAGTCTACTGCATATTTTGACATTTGTATTTAAAACAGACTAATATTGTATAAGCATAGGAACACTCTATTGAATCATGTTAAACAATGACGCAGGTAACTGCAAGAATCGACATTTTATTACATATAATTTTAATAATTAAATATTAGTAATTTTCTTTTAAGAAATAGTTCAAACTTTAACAAGTAGGATAGGGAATACTATAAGCCCTCAAAATTCTGCGAGCAGTTGCGTCGGTAAGATATTGACCAACAATTGGGTTTTTGTTGTAATCACAAAAACACGATTGTTGTTCTTTCAGTTTTCCGCAGCATTCTGTTGTTGGTTGACTTCCGGACATTACTGCTGGTAAGCGTGGTTGAAGTGCTGTTGGGTCGCATGTCACTGCTTCAGTCGGTGCCATAGTCAATACAATGACTATCACAAATGCAATAGATGCTAATGTTGTGAACTTCATGTTTTGTACCTTAGTGACTTCCTTTATCTTAATCTTTTACTTTATTGTTAGTAAATGTTTGAGGCTGTGAGTTTGAAGTATTGATGGTTCGAACTATTATATAGATGGAGACTCCCAGAGTAATGTGTTTTTTAATTAATATTGTATTTATTTCATACCTATTCAATACATATTGTTTTTTATAGCTATAAAAAGTGTAGAATCTTTAATTGAAGAAAAAGTAAATGTAAATATTCATAATAAAATGAAAAGGATTAATATGCATGTATATTTATTCCGGATTCGTAAAATTACTAATTTTATAGAGATTTTGTAAGAAGAATGATTTCAAATCTTTACAAATCTTCCCAGATTAATAAGAAATCAAATCATTCTGATAATAATAATAAAATATATATATATATATAGAGAGGAAAATTGGAAAATATCTTAAAAGATTTTTATTACACCCATATCTATATTAAAAATATTGATTTGAATATATAGTTTTCTTTTATGAGATTTCTGAAGGATTATACTAATTTGAAAACATGTATACCTACAAATAAAAGGTCTGTAAAAGAATTCTTTGTGTTAAAAGAAATTCTAAGATTAACAATTCTATTTTTTCTTATAAATGATAAAGGCTTGATATTATATATATTGTTATTTTATTCTATTAGATTATGTATTATACTTCTGTTTTAGAAGACATAATTTCCAATATTTGTAAGAAAGTTGTATATATGAATTCTAAAAGGATATACAGATCTTCAAGTGTGAAATCTAAAAAAATGATAATTAAATTAGCAATACTATAAACTGCTTTATATATCTCTAGATATGAAAAAAAATGTAAAAAATTATGATAACTTGACAATGTGAAACTGAAACTGATTTTGTTATATAATTTCAGATTTCAATAAAGAGGTATTGCACTGACTATTGGTTTAAATTTACCAGGTTTTGGTTTCGAATTGGATTTAACCGGGATTCATAGTCTGTTCGTGAATACGAACCAGAATCCATTATTTTTTATTGGAGATTCTTTTTTTTTGTTAAAATTGGAGATTCTTTTTTAGTATCCAAACTCCAAAGTCACATTGACGCCATTATAATGGTGTAATATATAACAGTTTGAAAGTAAGCAACAGTCTTACATCTAAGTTATCACCATCCTCAAATGTTCATAATTGTTTTCGTGAGTGTATCTATATAGAGCGGTACAAAAAAGGTCCAGAAAAAATGTTTATATATAGTAATCGAAACAAAAAGACTTACAAATTACAACATAACATGAAAGAAATGTCTCTTGGCATTAGGATTCTCTGACATGCATGTAATAAATATAGAAATATAAAAGAGGAGAATGTGAACAGCCACATTCTGATTTACACGATTATGCTTCACTCAAAGACTACAAACACCACTGGGTTTACCTAATGATATATGGACATTAACAAATAGTAATAAGAAATCTTATAGAGCATAATGTAATGGGTCCAGATTTTCCTAAATCATATTGCCAAGGCTGCAAACTGAGATTCAGCTTCTTGTGTTGCATTTGGTCGGTATTTGTTGTGTCGGTTCTGCTGCGTTTGTGGCATTTGTTTCTGGTTCTGTTGTGGTTGTTGTTGTTGTTGCTGTCGTCGAAACTTTAGGTTTCCTATCTCTCTCTCTAGGAATTGTTGCTCAACTGTATCAACCATCCAAAATTACAATTTCACAAGAAAAATTAATATTAAGATACATATTTTGATATTTTCTATGAGTCAATTTAATTAAAAAGATGACTTACCGTGTTTAAGCTTTTGGATTTCTGCTAAACTATCCATACGTTGTTTTAGAGCTCTATTTTCCATGCTAAGCATGATTAGTTGTTGATCCAAGTAGTGAATGGCAGATGACATTTCACAGCCTTCAACCTGTTGATGAAGAAACATCCATAATGTATAATTTATTAAAGTGTTTTATATATTAATGGAATTAAATAAAAGTTAAGGAATATATGCTTTCAAAAATCTTACTTGTAGCACTTGGATTGTTCTTTCGAGATCTGATATGTACTCAAGCCTCCTCAGACGTGCACGATGAGCATTTTGACTACATTTTTTAGTGATTTAAGCATTAGATGATGCGACTAAGCCAATGAAACTCATCAGAAATTTGTGTAAATGATTAAACACAAGAACAAGAGCCCTTACTGTTTGATACGTTTAGAGTCAGTCTTTGATCCAGGAGCATCAGGCTTTGTGGGAACTCCTTCTTTCATTTTGTTTACCTGCTTTTCAGCTGGTTTCGACGCTGCGTTACCTACTCTATTTACAGCTCCCCATGACACATGGGTATGGAGATTAGTCCCATTTGCGTTAGCCATTTCCCATCCAAACTTTCCAGGTTTTTCATAAGGGTTACGCTGCCACATATCATCATGACGATTATTAATGCTATGGTCTAGCCAAGAAGGACCAGCAAAATGACTCTTCATAGGGTCTTCCTCTTGAAAAGGCATGAAAGCTGAGTCTAAGTAAGCAGATGTGTCACTAGCTGAACGCCTATGATGGCCCTTGTTCATCTTAGGTGACGCTGGCTCGCTTAGGAGCTCATCGAGCCAAGCTGGTTGCTCTTCTAAGAGAAGATTATCTAAAGAAGCACTGTGGTGATGCATAATATTTGGAGAAGAAATACTTTTTCCTATGGTTCCAAAATGTCCCGTGTTTGACAGCTTTCTTGAATCTTCCATTCTTCAAAAACCTAGAAATGTTTAGTCAAAAAACATGTTTCAGTTAACTAACCAAAGAGTGTTTATAGACAATATTGAACAAGAGACAGTTGTTAGGGACAATAGATGATCCTGGAAATTTGAAGAAGAAAAATGTTTGAATATGTTTCTAATTCAAGATAAGGACGTTAACGTTTGTTCACTTTGGTTTCTCATAAACGAAACACAAAGTCAGAAAAATCCCTCTCATCACTAGGAGTCATATGAAGCACAACCTTTATTAGGTCACAGGAAACGTCACTATATAGACCAAGACTGAATTCCATGGAAATTTAAACTCTCATTTTAATCCAAAATAATGACAACCAAAGACACAAAATTCTTCTTTTTGTTTATATGGTTAATAGTCTTTGAAGAAGTTTTGGACCGTAATCCATACATTTTTTCCATCGGGATTTAAACATTTAGGGTAAACCCTTCCCAAGAATCTATCTAGGGTTTCTAGGAAGCCGAACCTAGGAAAGATCCTAGAAACACCATTATAGCAAGAACCAATCGGTGAAAAAGAAACTATCATATGAAGAACAATACAAGAATACCTTGTAGAAAGGACAAGACGTAGGAGACGCGTGATTACCAAACCTCCTGCGAGGAGGAAAATGGCATCTCCCGCGATAGATATCTCCTTCTCTGTAGGTCTTGATCACCTCTCTCCCTCCTCAGAATGCAAAAAAACTAAGAACAAAGTTTTAATCGCTAAATAGAGGAAGACGCCAGATCAAAACAACTCATGTTGATGGTTTCCATAGCGTGCTTTCCGTAGAGACATCCATTCTTGTCATTTTCTTTATTTAGTTTATTATGTTTTCCATTTCCTTAAATAGTCTCCACCGTTGTTTTATGTACACAATATTTTCGATTTGTATTTTTTTTTTACCGGAACTAACCAAACAACAGTAACCTTAGTTATTTTTATATATTTTAACCATAGAAACTTATTTATTGTACACACACTAATGGGAATTTAAAAGTTTTAAAACATTGGTGTTTGTCTTGCGGCTACATCAAGCAACCAATAATTAAGCATTGGCGGTTCTACTTAAATATAAAGGAGGCGTAAGCTCATCGCTGCAATAGTCGCAAAAACATCGAATACTCTCTAGATATTTCTTTTCTCCTTTGCATCTACCACCTTTTGCTCTCCTATTTTGCCTGCAAGTGACATAACAAAGTGATGGGAAAAACGGTTCCGTGCAGGCACGGGAAGCAGAAATTTCATAATCCATTGGGAAGTATTCTTGAAGGCACTCATCTCTGTTGGCTTCTACCTTTGGTGTTTCTATACAAAGCAAACATTGAATTAAATATCATCAGAGGATCGGGAGAAGTTATAACTCTCCATTTACGTATAAATTAAATCACGTACGAGTTGATACATAGAATTTTAAGAACAACAAAAGTCTTGCGACTATAGATACTTATTTAGAGATCTTACTATAACCAACTAAAGGAATATGCTAAAATATTACAGCAAGTAATATTTTGGCTTACCAAAGAGAACTAGGATGAGAACGAAGAGGAGGGCTAAACTGGAAATGGACTTCATTGCCTTCGCCGTAGTGGAAATGTTTCAGTACTTCGTTGCTATTTATCAACGATCTAATTATAGCGTTGGGCCTCTGTCATCGAATTATTGTATATCGTTTCTCCAGCTCATGGTCAATTTTTTTTTAAGAATAAAATTTATTATAGATTAATTAAATGGAACACATTTTCGATTCCGGAATCATTTTTATATTTTTTCATAAGTTGAGCACCAACCGAAGACTAATACACCATGTCTTACGCACTTTCAATTAACAAAACATTACTGCCAAACGTGGATGATATAAAAAAACTCGTTATCTTACAATTAAAAAACTAATACATTCATATATGTTAGATTATTCTACATCTTTTCCTCAAGTTACATTATTATGTATATACTAATACATCAAGTATATATGAAATAAAAAAAAATTCTTGAAAATGATTTGTTCATCTTACAATTTATTGAATTTGATTAGTGTAGCCCAATATTTTATATTTTACATGTAATATGGGGTCATCCTAACAACAAGCCGTGATATATCTATCCTAAGTCGTCACATACGAACATTTTAAAATGCTACACTCGTTATCATATGCGTGACACTGTAATAATGTCCGGAATTCGTTAATTTTCCATATTGGCCGGAAACTCGTTGACGGTTGGTTATGTAAAGGAGTTCCTTTTCTTTTACGTACGGGAAACTAATCAAGCCACAGTTTTTCTTAGATTTTTTTTTAATAACCATAGAAACTTATTTATCTTACACACACTCATGGAAAATGTAAAGCTTAAAATATTGGTGGCTGCTGCTTCTGGTTGCGGCTACATCTAGCAACCACGTTTTAAGCAAAGGCGGATCTGCTTGAATTTAAAGGAGGGGTAGGCTCAAAAAAAAAAAGGAGGGGTAGGCGATCATCGCTGCAATAGTCGCAAAAGCATTGAATATTCTCGAGATCTTTCTTTTCTCCTTTGCATTTACCACCTTTCGCGCCCCTTTCTTGCTGGCAAGTGACATAACAAAGTGATGGATTATCCGGTTCTGTGCAAGCACGGTAAGCAGGAATTTCGTATCCCTGTGGAAAGTATTCTTTAAGGCACTCATCGTCGTTGGCTTCTACCTTTGGTGTAACTACACAAATGGAAAAAAATTGAAACAATCCAGAGGATCGGAAGAAATTATAATTCTCTAACTACGTACAATTCACGTATAAGTTGAGACGTACAAGTTTAAGAACAAATAGAGTCATGCGACTTTACATCTTACAATAACCAACAACGAAAGGAATATGTTAACAGGCTTACCAAAAAGCACTAGGAAGAGAACGAAGAAGAGGGCTAAGATGGAAATGGACTTCATTGTCTTGGCCGTCGTATCTGATGGTGAAAAAGTTTCAGTATTTATCGTTTGTAAAGCTCATGGACTCATGGTCAAGTTGGTTTGAATTTTTTAATATAAAACTTAATATAGACTAATACTGATACACCATGTCTTACGCACTTTCAATTAACAAAACATTGCTGCCAAACGTGGATGATATAAGAACGACTCGTTGTGTTACAAATAAAATACTAGTACATTAACATATTTCATATGTTAGATTATTACATCTTTTCCTCAAGCTACATTATTATCTCTATTCCCATTTATTTTATATGCTGGAGGAACCAAAAAAGATATATATATATATGTAATATAATGTATTAGAAGATTAAATTTTTTAAAAGAAATATAAACAATTTTTAAATTTCATTATGTTTGAAAGTTTGAAACATAAAAAGTGTATCTAAGCTCAACGTGACCATTAGCATACACTTCAAAAAAATGATTCTAAATCATATATATTGTTGTGTGAAAGAACAAATCAACAACAAAATCATTTTAATTGTTGTGTGAAAGAACAATCAACAACAAATTCATTTTTTTTTAAAGTTATAGCGAGAATAACCTAATCTAACTTTCTTTAAAAAAATATCATAGTGAGAGTTGTCTTTTTCAACTAAAATCGATTGAAAAAAATCTGATTGGTTAGGCCTGTCAATCGGATTAAACCAACCCCACATGATCCGTTCTACCGGGTCATTTGGTTTTTTTTTACCCGTTTATAATACGCATCCCCTACAAGTTGCGGATACCCGCAAGTAACCCACATATATTTAAATAAAAAAAACTAAATATATTTTATAAAAAAATATTCTATATGATTAAATATACATCTAATTTTCTTTTCTGAATTTGGAAAAAAATATGACCTAATTTAGAAATATTACTTAAGATATTTGAAAAAAAATTGTAGATAAATATTACCCTTTCTTAATTTTTTAAGTTTAATTTCAATTTAAAAAAACAATTGTGGGTAACCCGTCAACCCACGAGATATAGTAGTTAAACCCGCATCCGCCCTGTATTTTTGAAATCCATGTCCCGCATGATCCGCTTCTTTTTTTATGGATTTTTTTTATCTGCACCAACCCCACGACGGGTTAAATGGCGAGATCTGCGGATATGGTGACAAAATTGACAGGCCTACCAATGATGATCGTGATCCCATAATTTTTTTGTCTGATTTTGTTTTTAAATTTTATTAGATATTATTCCTAATTAGTTGGTTTTCTTTTTTCCCAATGAATTGTGAGATATTGTTTATTTTCTTTTTATTATATTTTTTTATTGTAAATCATGATGCTAATGCTTGCCCACCCACCCCAACTCCCTTTATCTATAAATATTGGTAACACAATTCTCTTTGTGTATCTCGAATCTTGTTAACACTTTTTGTTTCATTATATGTCTCCTTTTGATACAAATTTAATGGTTTATTAGATCTTGTGGCTTCACCGGATCAAGAACAATGTCTCTTACTAAAGCAGAGAACGTTCGAAAGATGGAAGAGCTACTGAGCGGAAATGAAGACGAGAAAAATTAGTTGAGTTTGAGTTACTATAACCATTTTTCTCGTTTTAACTCTGCTAATTCTTGCCTCTTCTTAGCTTTTTCTGTCTCACTAAAAGACATATCAATCTTGATTCAGTAACTCACTGCCACAAAACAAACAAGATCTCATCTATCATTGGATTTGTATCCCACAACGTCAAAAACAGGATGACAATACATTTTTTTTTTCTTAAATATGACACTAATGCTTGCCCACCTACACCAACTCTCCTTGTATATCTCGAATCTTGTTAACTCTGTTTGTTGATCCTTTATCTATCTCTTTTGGTACAAGTTTAATGGTTTATTAGATCTTATGGCTTCACAGGATCGAGACCAATATCTCTTAGTGAAGCACAGAAAGTTAAAAAGAAGGAAGAGTTACTAGGCGGAAATGAAGACGAGAAAAATTAGTTGAGTTTGAGTTACTATAACCATTTTTCTCGTTTCAACTCCGCCAATAGCTCTTATCTCTTCTTAGCTTTCTGTGCCTCGGTAAGAGACACATCAATCTCGATTCAGTAAATACTGCCACAAGATCTGATTTATCGTTGGATTTGTATCCCACAACGTTGAAAACAGGATGCATCACCAACTTAAAGTTTTTTGGGGCCCTTGCGCAAAAAAAATTGTGGCCTTTTTTTTAATAAGTTTTCTTTTATAAAGGTATATATCTAAAAATATTTAAAAACAAATTATTGTATAATATTGTCTTTTAATAAAAATATTAGTTTTAAAACATACTCCTCGCGGAGTATTACCTTTTAGTCTAAATTGGTTTTAAAGTTATTATTTTAAAAAGTTGAAAATTTTGGGCCCTAATGTGATGGGCCCTGGTGCATCACACCCATTGCGGCCTTGCCCCTTATGTAAGCCGGCACTGGCTGGACGTCTGCAAGGTCGGAGGAGTCGCCTTGCATCACATGCATACACGGCCAAGGTTCAATATTGCAAGGAAACTGATTCTTTTGATGAACAAGCAGGCGAATTGAAAAGATAAGATAGGAGAAAGAGAGATATTGAAACAAAAATGTATTTACGAAATTTGAAATATATAGAAAAAATTGTATTTCCGATATTTAAAGGTAAAAAATGCATTGATAGAGAAGAAGAGTGGATAGAAAATTAAAAGGAGATGACCCATAATATAATGACTGCTTTAATAAAAAAAAAATTAAAATTAAAATACATAATATCTCGTAGAATTGGCACGAATACTCTAAACCCTAACAAAACAGAATTTAGCTTTAACATATGAGAACCCAAAAAATATAAAACAAAAAGAAAAATTCAGAAAGAAACCGAACTGAATAATTAAATATCCAACTTTGTTCGTGATTACGAAAATAAAAAACTACACTTTTTGTAATACTGATATATCATGAAAATATATGCTATGCATTTTGACTAAATTAACAAGAAAATACATAAATTTAACAAATACCGAAATTAACGAGGCAGTTGAAAAAAGAGGTTCGATTGTGGAGAGAGAGAAGAAGAAAAAGAAAATTTCGACAAAATCTGGTTTAAGTGTTTATAGAGTCCAAAGCTCAAAGCATTCGACAAAAAACCATCTCAAAATTCGAAAAATTATAAGGTTTCTCAATCTGTGCGATCCCAAATCGTGAAATTTCAAATGAACTCTCTACCATCGACGGCGAATTCCGACAACGGCCGCCACGAAAACGGCGAGACGAGCACCGGAAACGGTGTAAATCGAGATCTGATCCTACACTTCTTAGACAAGGTCCGTCTCTCAGCTACTAAACGAGGCGATTCCAAGGAAGAAGACGAAGGCGAGGAATCGCCGACGGAGCTCAATACGGTTAACAGCGCAGGCGGGTTTCTGATTGTCTCTCCCGATAAGCTTTCCGTCAAGTACACGAACACGAATCTACACGGCCACGACGTCGGAGTTGTTCAGGCTAATAGACCTGCTCCGTTCAAGTGTCTTACTTACTACTTTGAGATTTTTGTGAAAGACGCTGGCACTAAAGGGCAAGTCGCCATTGGTTTCACTAAGGAGAGCTTCAAAATGCGGAGACAGCCCGGGTAAAAGATTTTATCTTAGCTTATTGGATGAGGTTTTGGGAAGAATCTGAAATGAAAGGACTTTGCTTTGTGGCTCAACTGAAAAATTGATTCTTTGATTTAGCTTGTAGCTTTGATCATTGTTGCATTTAAGGTATGGTTACCATAGAATTTGAGCTTCTTGGATAAGGTTGTCTTCTCTAAGTTGATTTACGTTCTGTAGAAATGGTTTTGGGAAGAGTCCGAATTGAAAGGAGTTTCTTTTTGGGGCTCAGCTGAAAGGTAGATTCTTGATTAGTTACGGAACAAGGATGCCTTTGATAGAAGTTATGAGGTTTTGGGAAGAATCAGGATCCAAAGGACTTTGCTTTGTAGCTGAATTGAAAACTAGATTCTTGATTAGTTATGAAAATGGATGATGGTGGTGCTTCCAAAAGAAGTTGTGCCATCATAGTTTTCGCTCGTAGCTTGGTCATTGTTGCATTTAAGGTATGGCTTAGAATTCTCTCTGTTATGTTTAGTTGTGGGAAGAATCCGAATTCGAAGTACTGTGGCTCAATTGAAAACTAGATTCTTGATTAGCTACGGATAAAAAAGATGCCTTTGATAAAAGTTATAAAGGTTTTGGGAAGAATCCAAATTCAAAGGACTTTGCTTTGTAGCTGCATTGAAAAGTAGATTCTTGATTAATTACAAAAATGGATGTTGGTGCTTCCAGAAGAAGTTATCCCATCACAGTTTTCGCTTGTAGCTTGATCATTGTTGCATTTAAGTATGGTTTACAATAGAATTTGAGCTTATGTGGCTGTCAAATTTGTCCTGTTGGTGGATTTCACTTCTTGGATGAGGTGGTATTCTCTCTGTTATGTTTAGTTCTATAGGAGTGGTACTGGCAAGTATCCGCATTCAAAGGACTGTTGCTCAAATGAAAACTAGATTTTTGATTTAGTTACTAGAAAACAATGCCTTTGAAAGAAGTTAATGAGGTTTTGGGAAGAATCCGAATCCATAGGACTCTGCTTAGTAGCTGAACTGAAAACAAAATTCTTGATTAAGTACAAAAACTAAACTTTGCTTAGTTTATTGTTTCTGTTTGTAATGGTAGGTGGGAAGTGAACAGCTGTGGGTATCATGGGGATGATGGATATCTATATCGAGGAAAAGGAACCGGTGAAGCCTTTGGTCCAACTTATACTAAAGGTGATACAGTTGGCGGTGGTATAAACTACGCTTCACAGGAGTTCTTTTTCACGTAAGAAAGATCCGTCCATTTTCTTGCTGCCCTTTTGATTTGCTCTGTTTGCGTCTGCTTTGTCTGTCGAACCTGATGACATCTTTGATGCCAGTAAAAACGGAGCACTTGTGGGGAAAATCCCTAAGGACATAAAGGGTCATCTATTCCCCACTGTAGCTGTACATAGCCAAAATGAGGAGTATGTTCTCACTTTCGCTTTGATAATAAATATTAATTCCCTTACGTATTTCCTTTGTTGGCTGCTTGCTGTCTTGAGTTCCACAGGCTCAGTAGAAGTTACTAACACGATGTATTTTTTTTTTTCTGAAATTCTGCAGGGTTTCTGTTAATTTTGGGAAGGAGAAGTTTGCTTTCGATGTTAAGGTAAGAGAAAAATCCTTTACATGGGAAATTGTATATAGACTCGAAAGGTCTCAGCTATTTAAGTGGAGATGGTGTAATCAGGATATAGTACTGTTGTAGAACATATTAATAAGTATGCTTTATGTTCATCATTGGTACTGGGGTTAAAGAAATCTCTGTCAGTGGTCCTCTTGGTACTTATTGCACTCACATTTGCTATTTTATGTGCATCCTCTGATGTTCCTGTGTGATCAAACCTCAACCAACGCATTATACATGTTTACGACCTGACTCTCTCCATTACACATATGTTTGAAAGAACGTTTTGACAAGGGGTTTTACCCTCTTTCTGTGTAATTAGGGGTATGAAGCATCAGAGAGGAATAAACAACAAATGGCTATTGAAAAAATATCCATTCCTCCAAATCTCGGTTATGGGTGAGTACTGTGTTAACTGAGTTGCAATTCTCGGTGTGTGTACTAGACAGTGAAGTGGTGACAAGCTTTCTGGTTTATCTGAAGTTTTATTTCCTTTTATCATTAGGCTTGTAAAGACCTACTTGCTACACTATGGATATGAGGAGACACTAAATGCTTTCGACCTTGCTACTAAAACTACAATTCCTCCAATCCATATAGATCAAGAGATTGCTATTGACGAGAATGATTCAACTTATGCTTTGCATCAGAGAAAGACTCTTAGACAGGTATCGAACTTGTTCCTATTCAAAACCAAACTAAATTACTGCTTCTTTGGTTTAACGCTTTACTAATCCTTCCTTTCTTTGTTATAGCTTGTCAGGAATGGTGAGATTGATGCTGCTCTGGCTAAACTCCGGGATTGGTATCCCCAAATTGTACAGGTGAACTGAGATCTCCTCTCATATCGCTTGCTTCACATTGTTGAGATAGTGGACTCTTACTCAGCTGTCCTTACTGCAGGACGATAAATCGGTGGTTTGTTTCCTCCTTCACTGTCAAAAGTTCATTGAATTAGTACGGGTATGCTCTTCATTCCTTACCACTGGTGTTAAACCTAGTAAAGATAAAGAATGCAAAAATAGAACCTCTTCACCGAGTATCAAGTCTGTATAACACATTGAGTTGGTTCCATGGATTGTTATTTGTTTTTTGGAAAAACATGTAATTAACAGGTTGGAAAACTCGAAGAAGGTGTTAAGTATGGCAGACTCGAGTTAGCCAAGTTTGTTGGTTTAACCGGGTTTCAAGATATAGTCGAGGTACTATTGTCTCCTTCAACATTATTCAAGGAAGATCATGTTCAAATGAAGAGGTCTTATGAACTCGATTTTTCTTGTTGATTGTTCAGGACTGCTTTGCTTTACTCGTGTATGAAAAGCCCGAGGAATCATCTGTTGGTTACTTCTTGGAAGATTCACAGAGGGAACTTGTGGCTGATGCAGTGAATGCAGCGATTCTATCAACAAATCCAAATAAGAAAGGTGTGCAGAGAAGCTGTCACTTGCATTCCCATCTGGAGAAATTGCTTAGACAGCTAACCGTGTGCTGTCTGGAAAGGAGGTCACTGAATGGAGACCAAGGCGAAACGTTCCGGCTTCACCATGTTCTTAACAACTACAGCACAAGAAGATGAAATCGGTTTAGCCACAGAGCATATCTTATGAAATCTCTGGTTTGTTTGGTTGGTTGTTCTCGTCATAATTGGCTATTGTTCATACCTGTGTGATATCATCTTGTATTTTTATCTTTCTGTTCTGTAAAAAGAAGGTTTAAGAAAGGGGAAAAAACAAAACTTTACGACTATGAAGATGTTCTGTATTTTTAGTCAGATAACACGAAGATGATAAGAAAAGAATGAAAAGACAAAAACGAAGATGTAATATGTTAATTTTCTATTATTTTTGTTTTACGACTATCTTAACTGATATTTGGGATTTATTTTGAATCCCAAAAAGAAGTAAAAGAAGATAAGAAAAGTTATTGTAAGAGAGAAGATATGTGACTGATTTGGTGCAACATTTTGGATCTAATTTGAATTCCTAAAAGAAGTAAAAGAAGATATAAAATACTATTGTAAGAAAGAAATATGTGACTGATATGGTGCAAGATCCCAAGCTCATAATCTTCACATTTATTGCTGTATCGGTTGGTTTATTTGGGGGAAGAGTTGGTGTTCACACTCGAATGATGTAAAAGAGAAGTGGCAGAAGAATTAATTCTCATATTCTTTTCCCCCTCATATATTTTATATCTAATGGAAGAATTTTTGTTTTTGTTCATATTGATATATTTAAATTGTGACTTGTGAGTGTAGTAGACTAATATGTTTTTGTAGAAGTAGATACCAAAACTATGTATAACTATAGTAAACATATTAGCTCAACCATAACTATGAACAAAAAAAACATATCAGTCTACTATACTAATATGTTTTTGTAGAAGTAGATACCAAAACTATGGATGCAAAGTATTAAACCATATGCCTAAACCATTTGGCATAGAAGAAAGACATGAGAAATGTATGATCTTCAATTCAAGGGACAATTTTGATGATGAGTGATTTACTTTAGATGAGTAGAAGAACGTTCCAAAAGGAATTATGTGAAAAAATGAAGGGCTTCGTATGTGGACAATTAGCTTTCTTGAATAAATAAATATGCTTCCGTTTCCTTTTTTTACCATTTTTTTTTTTTTTTTTTTTTTTGCTTGCAAAACCACAAGAAGAGCCTAACATTAAAAATCAAGTATTTGTTTTTACCAATTTTTAACCCTAATTAAATTCCATATTAAAAACCTGAAATAAAATAAAATTATACATATCACATCTCTCTCTCCAATCCTTTTTTTTCAATTCGGCCACTTGTTCATCAAAATGGTTCAATCCTTTTGTGACGCTAACGGTGTATGCATGAGATGCAAGGCGATACCTCTGATCTTAACATGCCTCTCTTCTCCTCATGAAATCTTTGCATCCACTTTATTACAGTGTTCTAATGAGGATTAATTTCTCTGGAGCAATTAGAACACTTCTATTGTACCAAAAAAAAATAAAAAAATTAGAACACTTCTACAGTAAGGTGGAAGCAAGAGTTCTAAAAAGGAAAAAGAAGCAGGAGGCATGCCAAACTGAGAGGGGTCGTTTTGCATCACATACATATACCGACAATGTCGTAAAGAAACTGAGTCATTTGATTAAAAAATTAACCAAATTGAAGAAAAAGGATTAGAAAGAGGAAGAGACTCAAAAAAGTGTTTTACGAAACTAAAGATATGAAGAGAGAATTGTGTTTCCGATATTTAAAGGTAAAGAACAGCGACGGATTGCTTAAAAATTGAATATTAAAATAATTAATATTTTGTATTCAATAGAATTAAGAAAAATTACCAAAAACAATTGGAAAAAAGAAGAAGGAAACTAACGTATTAGGAATAATATCTCGTAAAACTGGAAAACAAAATATGAGATAGTCGTCGTAAGCTTTTGCTAGTTAGGAAAAGTATCTCATCCGATTTTTGTTTATTTGAAAAAGACAACTACGACTATGATTTGTTTTTTTTTCAAGTTTAAACCACCCAAGATAAGTAATTCCAATTTTATTAGATAATGATATGCATGATTGTATTTTGTTTCAGACTTTTAATAGAACTTAATTGGATTAAAAAAAAGTAAAAATGTTTTTACTATTAGTCTTATACTTTTGCAAAAGAAATGCAAGCATATATATTATTTTTTAAAAAGCTAATTGTATCACATACGAAGCTCTTCGTCTTTGCTTTCTCCAAGAATTTACTTCCGAAAATTATTATACTCTTCTAATGTAAATCACAAAATTAGCATCAAAATTTTCTATAGATAAGCTCATGAATAACAACGACGAGGAACCTGTAAATTATCAGAGGATGAAGTTGAAAACGCAAGTGTAGATGAAAAATCTGAGCTTACCAACATTGAAGAAGAAACTTCATTGTTGACTAAAGAAGTTGATGATAACCGAGGAAAATGATGAAACTGAACGCTAACATAGAAGTTTTCTGCTTTTGTGGTCGAATCTAGCATGAATTAGATAGATGACAAACAATATATGATGGTATAATAATTTCATGTTCGATTCTTCATCTGGCTTTTTCATTCAGATGCTCATGCTCCATTTATATGAATCAATTGGATGTTGTTTGTTCTTTTCATCTTCTTCAGCCAAGATAGTTCGTCCATCTGATAAATGAACAATACTGACTGAACCATGTGGCTGAAGTATTTGGATGAGAATGAAAATGAACAAACGACATCCAACTACAATGAAGTTTTTTTTTTTAATTGAATGTAAAATTTTATTGATACAAAAAAACCTTTTATAATGAATGCCACTGTTTCTGAAATCTAAAAATATATTAAAATTTTATGGATTACAAAAAATATAAACTTGCAAACCACGTTTGCATCCCTTGCTCATATCTCTTGTCATCCATGTTCCATATTTGAATCTGTTATGAACCTGCTTATCAATATAGCCGAGTGTGAGGGGTATGTGGTTCACCATGAGCCATTTCGTCCCCTCCAAATCCAGTAAATGGTGGTTTGAAAAACATATCTTAGTATGAACAAAGAGATCATGTCAGTCTATTAAAAATTCTGAAATATGAGCAATCAGTCTATTAAAAATTCTGAAATATAGTTGACCATGAAATAAATATTTTTTTTATATAAAAAAAAATGTCTATTACTTAATGCACATGGCTACAACTAGCATGACAATTTTTAGAATGGTAGCCAATGGTCACAAATGTAGCTCTCTCCGAATATTCTTTTATTCGTTCAGAAATTTTCTTGCACTAGTCTCTTTTGTCCACCACAGGAAACCAAATCAGCTCCTTCTTTTACCCTACCAAAATTTGATAGTTTTATGCAAATGATAATATACAACAAAGATTTACTTACACCGATCCCTCCTTGAGCATAAACTGGTAAACACTAAACGAAAATTAGTTTCCCCCACTTCTATAAGAATATACATCTTTTTATTGATTCTTTAAAACTTTTCTCCTTATTGTACAAAAATTTTACAGCTAAAATTCATACATCAAATATTCTATTTTTTTTCTAGTTCAATATATAGGATCATGTTTCGAATTTTCGAACAGATCATCATCATTTATAGATTAAACAACAAAAAATACATATATATCAATCCTAAAGGAAACATTATTGTTCTTCCTTAGGTTTGCATCTGCACCTCTTCTGCTGCTCTGTCAATTCCTGAATCCATAAAACCCCAATAAAAATTTCATCAAAACGCAACTTTTCGATAGTTTATTCTTGAGACATTTCCCTCATTTTCTATGCTAAATTTGTGTGCATATATACGTAGATAAACCTGGATCTGGCTTTGAAGAGCCTTCACATACTCCACAGCTTCTTCTAACATGTCTGCAGTGTTGGTTTGCTGCAACAAAAAAGATAACCAAAACCCAAAAACTCGGCGTTATAAACTTACCTTATCAGAAACCTCAAACGTGATTTAAAAGTTCCATTAACAATTATCAACACTTAACATCCATTTTCCTTTACGGCTAAGCTTACTAAGAGTACTTAAGCTTTAAGCATGTATATAATCTTGGACCCGTTCCGTCACTCTTAATAAACCATCCAAGAACATTGCTGTAAAAGAAATTTTACCTTATCCATGTTAGGAACAAGTTCTTGCAACCTCCTGATCCGATCACTTATTCTGGTTCTCCTCACCTAAACAAAATGATTTGAGAAAAAAATAAACTTAAATAACAAAACAAGAACACCAACAAACCAACACAATGCGTCAAAGTATCAAGTACATACCCTCTCTGCGATACTTCGAGGATGAGTTGCACAACCACGTTTAGCACGAACTCTACAAGGAACCGAATCTTCAAGAATCTTATCCATGTTCATATCCATCATTCCAGATATCCCACCACTCATTTGCTCTTCTTTCTATTCACAGAACAAAAGAGAAGAGTTAAGTTATCCATATGCACACAAAGACTTAACAACAATATAAACCATTTTGATGATATAACATCAAAGATGGACTAATCTAGAATGTTTTTGTTTGCCAATATACAAACAGAAACTTAAAATGTATTATTCACTTCACAGCCACAGCAAAAAGGGAAAAAAATAAAAACTGCAACTTGCTGGGTTTTGTTACAAACAAATGCAAGTTGTCAAAATTAGACAAGACTGCTCTTTTACATCTTTCTTGTCTCCACGACTGAAGATTTCCAAAGACCCAATTAAATTATGAGTGTATCAATCACTAACAGAACTCAAGTCAGAGCCCAGCATTTTGACCATACAAAATCCACACAACTTGACAATAATAATGAAAAAGAAGGTTTTCGATTCAACAAAGGTTCGCTTTTTTCGGGTTAAATCTGAAATTTAAATCTAATTTTAAGACTTACCAGCTGAGAAGAGAACTGAGCTTCGATTTCTCTCGACCGTTTACTCGTCGAAGAAATGTCAACGTTCGGCGACATGTAATCGTAACTCGCCGGAATCCCAAAGTTTGAAAAAAACCCATCAGTCCCAGCTCCGGAGCTACTTAGAAAATCCGCCGGAGAGCTGTTCTGTCGGTGAAACCCACCTTGGTGGTTGTACAATCCCTGCTCAACGGGACTCGGGAACTCGAACGAGTCACGACTCGCTATCCCGGTTGAGTTTCCGGTGAGAAGCTCTGTTAAGCAGAGGTTAGGTTTCAAACCTTCTTCTTCATCATCTTCGAGTAGGGTTTCAATCCAAGTCGCCGGAGCTGAACGGATCCGAGACAACCCACTTCGACTAACCTCTCCTCCACCTCCGCCCCCACCGCTTCCACCGCCGTGAGTGGATTGCATCGGATTTCACCGGCACTGTCTCAGTCGGTGAATTGAATTCCCCGCTTTTTTTATTATCGCGTTTTTATTTTTTTCAGTGGAGACAATTAGACAAAGCCACAAAAGTCTCCTCTTTTTCGCATTTTCTTTCTCTGTGTTTTTTTATAATTAAAATTTTATAAAAAATTTCTTGCAGCAGACCAGATTGTTCTCCGATTGTCTTTCACTTAAATGTCTTTTGTTTTTCTCGAAAATTAAAAGAAGAAGAAAAAAACTTACCGTGCGCTTATTTTACACGGATACATAAACCGCGTCGTTGGATTCAGATAGTTTGTTGACTTTGACTTATATTGTACGGTGGATGAGTGCGAGATCCCGTGAGGTGTATCGCATTGAAACAATCATAGCTTTTACGTCACTGTTCTCCTTTATTTTTCCCTCTTATATTTTTGGTTCAGTGGATATGGTTTTAGTTCATTATTCGTCCAGTTGCAATTGTAGCGCGTGTATTCACCTTCCAAGGCTAGACGAACCGGAGGCATCACCGGGTTAGAATTAGACCGATTTAATGATAACAAAAAAATGTGAAAAACCAAAAAAGTGAATTAAACCTTCGGGAGATTTGACATCATAGTAATATGAATTTCGGTGCTTTCCCATACATGTATGAATCAATTACAATACTAGTTAAGTAACATAGTTAAAATACAAGACCATCTTATTATATAAAGCTGGATGCGCGCGACGTGGTTGCGACACGTAGGATTTTTATAAAATATAGGATCGCGACATGTGTCACTTTTAAGATTATGTCCGTTAAGATCGTGACACGTGTATTAGGGAAAAAAGAAAAAAAATTTTTTTAAAAATACTAGAAATAGGATAATTAAAAAACGAAATTTAATTAAAAAAAACGAAATTTAATCTATTTTATAAAAAAAAAATTAATATTTGTCATATCCTAACAGAAAAAGGTTTTCCCATTCATCAAATTTATATTATCCAAACACATATTATTTATAAAATAAGATTGAAAATAATGTAATAAATAAAATCCTATTACTACATGGAATAGGTACGTAAACTAAAATTCCTATATCTGCAAGGAATATGTTATATGAACACCTATAAATACAAAGTTACAGTAGTCTCTTTTTTCTCATTCACAAACTCATCAAAGCAAATTCATCAAATTTCTCTGATTCTCTTTCTCTAATTTAAAAATCATGTCTTTGAATGTTCAAGAAAACAGTGAAGATTATTTGACTCTAGGTCAATTGGATCGAAATCGAAATTATCGCCGTACTATAGTACGTGTTATTCGAAAGTGGGAAGTTAGAAATCCAAAAGAAAATAATATTCTTATGGGAGTTGAGCTTCTACTACTTGATGAAAAAGGTTAGTAAGAAAATATATAATTTACAATAAATTGTTACATCCATTAAGAAACGGAAAAAAACATATTCCCAATACAAGAAGGAAAAAAAACAATATATAATAAGTTACACCCTTCATGATTTAATTGTGTTTATATTTTGTTTAAATTTTCTTTCTTATTAAGAAATGAAAAATCATGTCTTTAAAAGTTCTAGATATCAATGAAGAATATTTAATTTTAGATCAGTTGGATCAAAATCAAAACTACTGCCGCACCATGTATAATATTTGATCAGATTATAACATGTGTTAACACAAGAAAATTAGAAAAATTTAATAACAAAACGAAAAATTGTAAAACAACTAACTAATAATGAAAAGAAAAATTTATAATGGTCCGAGGCAAAATAAATATTATAAAAGAAAGAATATAAATAGAAAGCTAACAAAATAATTATCAACAGCTAACTAATATTAAAAAGAAATTTTATTTTGGTCCGATATTCTAATTTTAAATAGTTTATTTTCAAATTTTTGTTAGGTCAAAAAATATTTAAAAAATTGATTTCATCAACTGAAATCTCTTCGATGGAATAATCAAAGTTTCACGTATTAATTAGTCCATCAGATTTAAACACATGTAAGTATTTCTATATTAGATAAAAATAAGATAACACAAATTAATTCATTTTTCATATCATGAATTCAAAACAAATGTCAATTATAATAAAAATGTAAAAAGATTACTAATCTTATTTTATTTAGTGATTTGTTATCGGGTTTTTATTATTATTCTACTTACTTTTAAAAATGATTATATTATGTTTAATAATTTTCCAGATTTATTTCAAATTTAAATAAACCCGCGTATACGCGGGGCCTAATCTAGTATCATATGATCCATAATCCATATGTATCATTATTTCAATATCATTAAAAAGGGCTAAACCCGATCAAACTTGGTCAGACCATATGTCCATATTGAATTAAAAGCTTTTTTTGGATCGATCATCGGTCCTGTTTAAAAACATTGGTTTAAAATTTTAACGAGATTTTAATGAATTCTACCCAAATGATATCTTAAAAATTATGACTTGGTTCTTCACATTTTTCAATGAATTTTTAATTAAATAATTTTCAAATGACATCATTAACCATGACTACCACGGGATATGGATGTACATTGTACATTTTAATTTTTTATGGGATATAAATAATTATGTGGAAGGCTCAGTCCAAAGAGTTCCACAAAACGGTTACCATTTGAGTTTTGAATAGAAAATATTTTTTAGTCAACAAATTCCAATAAAATGTATGGGAAAGAAAGTGAATCAAGTTAAAAACATTCCTAAACAAAAACCAACTTTGATATTTGAATAGAAAATAAAATCTAGTCAACAAATTCCAATAAACTTTGTGGGAAAGAAAGTGAATCAAGTTATAAACATTCCAAAACAAAAAAGAAACTTTGATAGTTGAATAGAAAATATAAGTTATTCAACAAATTCCAATAAATTGTGTGGGAAAGAAAGTGAATCAAGTTAAAACCATTCCAAAACAAAAATTAACTTTATGGAAATTAGCAGATTGAATAACACTAGAAATTAATTGTTTTTGTCAAATAAATTTCCTTATTGAATAACATTAGAGTTTTAAGGAAACTTAAATCAATGCATTCAAATTTAATTAGATTACTTCGTTGAATAAACCCCACCCCCACCCCCTTAAATCCTCCCCGTGATCCTCGTTAGCATCAGTTATTAAATCATCTTCATAAGACCTACAAAAATCACACCAAAGATCAAAACCTTTTTCTGCAATACAATTCGATCAAGAAGTTTTTAGCTTTCACAATGGCAAATACGAGTTTGTATTGCACAAGAGAGGAGATCGAAGCAAACTCTCCATCGAGAGTCGACGGTATCGACATAAAGCAAGAGACTTTTCATCGTTGGTCTTACTCAACATTCCTCCAAGAGCTTGGCCAGAGACTAAAAGTTCCTCAGAAAACAATAGCGACATCGATCGTCTTATGCCAACGCTTCTTCACTCGCCAATCACTCGCGAAGAACGACGCGAAAACGATCAGCATGATCTGTTTGTTCATCGCCGGAAAACTCGAAGGGTCGCCGAAGCAGGCGGGTGAAGTCATCGCCGTCGGTTACAGGATTTTACACAACAAGGAGCCATCGAGAGAAGCGTACGAGAAAATCAAGGGGAATGTGTTCACCGGCGAGAAGCTCGTGCTCTCTACGTTAGGGTTTGATCTCGAGATCGAGCATCCTTATGAAATAATGTTTGATTGGGTTAAGAGAACGGTTAAGGTCGAGAGGGACGCTAACAGATTGTATCAGGCTGCGTTGAATTTCGTCAACGACGGTTTAAGAACGTCGCTGTGTTTACAGTTTAAGCCGAATCAGATCGCTGCGGCTGCTCTATATCTCGGTTCGAGCTTTGTTAAAGTGAAGTTGCCGTGTGATGGTGAGAAAGTGTGGTGGCAAGAGTTCGACGTCACGAAACGTCACTTAGGGGAAATTAGTGACCAGACGCTTGCTGTTTATGAGCAAGACTTCTTGGTTAATGTTAAAGATGGTGCAGATTCCAAGACTGGTGATGGTGGCTTATGGAAAGGTGAGGTAAAGCTGAGCAAGGATGATGAGAGTAAATCTTGGCAGGGTCTTGAAGGTTATCAAGATCGTAAGGGAAGTTTCATGAATGGATCTGATAAGTCTAGACATGTTGCTAATATACTTGGTTATGTACCTTTTGAGTCATTGTAAAAACTCTGAGAGATAAAGGCAAAGAGAGGTTGGTTTCTGTTTGGATGGACATTGGAAGTGTAAGAAGAGTGTTCTTCTGTTTTTAATGTTTATAAACTTTTATTTATCTGCAAAAGAGATGAGTTTGATCCCTTTGAATACAGTAAATCCTGTTTCTTTTGCATGACATCTTCTAATTCCATGACAGTGTAGTGCACCAGTTCCATGTAATCCTGTTTGATATGTCAACAAACGTTCGGATCTGTCACCACCATTGGACTTGATTGTTTTGGGCTTGATCTAGAAGACTATATGATGGATCATGTTCTTTATCTCAGAGGAAATATATATATATATATATATATATATATATATATATATATATAGGGATGTTAGGATTTGGAACTAATCCAATGGTCATATCTCAAGATATGCTTCGATTATTGAAGACTGATCCGTTTGGCGTCAAAACGTAGCAATTCCAGGAGTGAACATCTCATCGATTAGACTATGTGGTGTATTAATTTATCAGCAATGCCTCAAAAACTCACTGTCTCAGAAAACAACACGGGTCGATCGATCTATTTGATGTAAAAACTGATAATTATATGTTTTTGTCACAATTAAAATCCTAATCTCACAAATACACTGCCACCAAAGAGCCTACTGTTCTTAGTTTCTTACAAAAATCAGTTTTTGTTATTTGTTACGTATTTTGTAAGTGAGACGAAGATCTCATCCCATATCTGTGATTTGGAGAAGTTTTGGCTCTTAGTGCTATTGATTTTGTTTCATTAATCATTAATCCTAATCTCTCTTGTTGGGGACTAGGGGTTTTCAAAGTGGAATTATAGCATGGCTCAATAGATAGTAAATTTATGAATAGAGTGGTTTATCTTGATAAGTCAAAGTTATTGATCATTAAGAAATTGATAACTGTGTATTATTAATGAGTCATTAATGACGTAGCAATTTCAAATTAAAAGTAAATCCAAGGGCTAATGAGGCTTATTAATGAGGGAAGAATCAAACAGCTGACTTCTTGGCGTTAGGAAATAACGAAATTAGAGCGTATATGAGATGGGATACGAGAAGGACGGTACTTGTTGTCAAGCCACACAGCTGTTCCTTTTGCCTCCGCTATAAACTATTTTTGTTAAATACCAAAAAGATGTGATTTAGAACACTAGTAAGCTTAAAACCCAACATAAAGGCTTGATGAGAGCAACAAAGTTATTAACCTCATGATTTGGAAGTTTAAAAATAAACTGTTCAAAGTGAACGCGCGCGATGGATATCCCTGATATCCTTGATTTCACCACAAACTTGTTCCCACTCTGCACAAAGAAACCAAATAACTATATACATGTACAAAACGTTGACTGATTAAAAATATTTGAACGTGACCAATATCCTAGTAGAAGAGGATCAAAAATTACACGTAAAGGTGCAAGGAACTTTATTGTCAACTCAGATATCGCCATGGCTTCACCAGAACTGGATACTTCATCACAGTTGATACCGATATTCTCCAGAAACTCGTGTCGGCCTTGGTATGAAAACATGTCAACAAACAACAGTACGTTGGTAAGAATTTATAATCTGAAGCAGTAACATTTGGCAACGAAATAAACTAACCGTGTTGGCAGTAGTTTGCATAAACTGCGTTGTTCACAACACCAAACTGATCCAATTCATAATCTCGAACTTTAAGTTCAATCTCATGGAAATCACTCACTCTGCCATATGTAAATTTCAATAAGATTGTGGATCCGAAGTATTAGAAATTACAAAAATGAAATTTAGAGATATCATGTATATATACCCTTTGCCTCCTTTGAGACTGAGACATGTGAGAGGTTTGAAGGCACTTGCCTTCCTGATAGAGGGCTGCCTCCATGAACTGGGAAACATCACATGCATAGTCGGAACTGCCATGCCGGTAGCTTGAAACATTTCAAGCTAATTGGAGCTAATTGGTTTGGGAAAATTGGTTTCAGTCAACACATATATTTATAGATAAATAAAACTAGCAATCTAGTCCAATACTATACACCCACCTTTAATCTGATTAATAACGGCCACATTTTGACGCCACTGCTCATCAGACAATAATTGCTTTACACAGAAGCATATTCAGGTGGGTGGCAATACAGTTTCACAGATACAGAAATGAAACCTGCTTAGATAAGTTAATCATGTATACAATATTATATAGAAAATAGTTATAGTAATTGCAAAAATTATCACATAATGAGCTTATTATCCGCGCCATGGATGTTCCCAGGAAGAGAATTCTCTATACAGCATGACGTAACAGCACTAAATGACGACACAAGTGGAGATTTAGTAACTTGCGGCTGAAGCAACAATTATATCAACAATGGTGGACCAAACCATTAACTTAAACTCTCGGGAAAAATAATGACGACCAAAGTAAATGTGAGATGTTGCTTACGTTGATTAACACTCCTCTCCACGTGATCAACAAACTCCAAAGGTGGGAGAAGGAAACTTGCGGCTCAAGCTATCACGACACAACATGCTCACAAACGTAAACTCTCGGGCAGAAAATCACGTGAAGAGATTCAAGACTTTACTCACTTTGACAACTTATGGAGAGAGAGAGGAAGCTTGGAGCTTAATTAAGGAACAACAACAATGGAGATTATCAACATCACATATCTCGGCAAAAAAGGAGCGTGAACGGTTAAAGATGGTGCAGATTTAAAGGTTGGTGATGGTGGCTTATTGAGAGGTGGCCAAAAACAAAGCAAGGATGACGAGACCAATTCTTGTCAGGGTCTTGAAGGTTATCAAGATCGTCAGGGAAGCGTCATGAATGGATCTGAATATCTGATAAGTCTAGACATGTTGCTGGAATACTTGGTTTTGGACCTTTTAAGTCATTATAGAAAATCTGAGAGATAAGGTTTTGGCAAAGAGAGGTTTCGGTTTAGATAGACACTGGAAGTGTTAGAAGAGTGTTCTTCTAGTTCTAGTTTAATACGCATAAACTTTTATTTATCTGCAAAAGAGATGAGTTCGTCACCTTAAATCATATTTTCTTTGTATGACCTCTTCTAATTCCTCGACAGTTTAGTGCACCAGTTCCAAGTCATTTCTCATTTCCTATGACTTATTTTCTTTGTCCACTTCAATGTGAATTTACATAGACATTTTCAATTAGATATCCTGTGAAGATTTTAACTCAAAAGGGGCTATATTTTGAAAGAAATAGGTGTTGTCATCAAGAAACATGTTTTTCACCTTTTTATGAGTGCAAGGGTTTTTGTTTTGGGTTGAGATCGGACTGATAGGAAGTAAATAGACTTGCACCACAAAGAAAACAGTCAAGGTCACTCCGTGACTCCGAGATATATTTGATTTGATGAAGTAAATAAAATTTCGTTGTTCCTCTCTCTCAAGTCTCAACAGCTTCACCTCTCCGATATTGACTCCGTTTCCTAATCTCCCTATACTCATCGCATCTCTCGAGTCCTTAGATTATCCTCATCCATTCATATCAGCTCGAACGTCAGCTCCAGCGTACGCTCGGATATATGTCACCGCCATTGGCTAATCCGATAACATCTTTAGCCGCTGATTATTGAACTATGGAACTTGATGATCTTATTGATACAGAGATGTGACGCCTTTATACAGAGTTACAGAGGTAAGATAAGGAAACGAGAATATACAACAATGAATGAGAATATACAGAATGATATGTTGCGTGGAGAGGAGAGTGATTGGTGATACGGTTTCCATATCTAATACGCCCCTCAAGACGGAGTACCGGTGGTGAGTCCGATCTTGACCGCAAGTTGTTGAAACCGTGATCGAGGCAAAGGCTTGATGAGAGTGTCAGCTAACTGATCAGCAGAGGTGACATGAGCCACTTGGACCTGTCTTGACTGTACCAGATTTCTCACAAAGTGGTAGTCAAGAGCTAGATGTTTCATTCTAGAGTGAAAGACGGGATTTGCTGCGAGGTAGGTGGCACCAATGTTGTCACAGTAGACAGGTGGCGTTGGTGATGGTGTGATGCCCATTTCAGTGAGAAGAGACTTGATCCAGATAACTTCAGAGACTGCTTCCGTGACTGCTCGGTACTCTGCTTCTGTGGAGGAACGAGATACGCCTTTTTGCTTCTTGGATGACCATGCAATGGGATGTTTGCCGTAGTAAACAATGTAAGCCCCAGTAGATATGTAATCATATTTGTCGCCACCCCAATCCGCATCTGTGTAGGCATGAAGTGATGGAGCATTGGTTTTGGAGTAGAATATACCTTGTGATTGAGTACCCGAGAGATATCTTAGAATCCGTTTGACGGCACTCCAATGGATGTCAGTGGGTTTGTGCATGAATTGGGATAGTTTGTTGACTGCATAGGAGACGTCGGGGCGTGTCAGAGACAGGTATTGGAGGCTGCCAACCAAAGCTCGGTATTGTGAAGGATCCTTGAGTTGATCACCGGAGGTGAGTGTGAGCTTCGTGTTGGGACACATTGGTGTGGGTACGGATTTGCAGTCAGTCATGTTGTTCTTGTGTAGCAAATCAGCAATGTATCGACGTTGAGTGAGGAGAAGACCATCAGGAAGATATTGAGCTTCCATACCTAGAAAGTAAGAGAGAGTACCCAAATCTTTAAGCGAGAATCGATTGGAGAGAGAAGTGATGAACTTGTCAAGGTGAGGTTGACTGTTTCCTGTGAGGATAATGTCATCAACGTAAACCAACATGTAGAGGAGAACGCCATTGTTGTTGTAAATGAAGAGACTTGCATCAGCCAGCGAGTTAACAAACCCATATTGAAGAAGGAAGGTGCGGAGCTCATTGTACCATGCCTGAGGGGTTTGTTTGAGACCGTAAATCGCTTTGCGGAGCTTACATACGGCCTGAGGCTCATCCTTATTGACAAAACCCGGAGGTTGAGTCATATAGACTTCATCATCGAGTTTTCCTTGAAGAAAGGCATGGTTGACATCAAATTGTCTAATCTGCCAATTTTTGGACACCGAGACACTTAAGACGAGTCTGATAGTGGATGGTTTGATGACGGGGCTGAATGTCTCGTGATAGTCGATGCCGGGGCGTTGATTGAATCCTTTGGCAACAAGTCTCGCTTTAAATTTAGAAATCGCACCATTGGCATGCCTCTTGATTGTGAAGATCCATTTGGAACCCACAATATTCTCAGCAACAGTAGACGAGATGAGATCCCACGTATGTTCTCTGATGTGGTTGTCTATTTCCTCACACATAGCAGCTCGCCATCGAGGATCTCGAAGCGCTTCAGCAACCGATGTTGGGACGACTTCATGAGATTGATAAACGATAGCACTTAAGTTGAGCTTTTGAACTGGTTTCTTTTGGCGATTGGACTTGCGTGTTGGTGACGGCGGAGCAGGCGGAGGTTGAGTTTGCTTTGGGTTTGCTGGTTGATGGGAATTCTCGCATGTCGATCTGAGAGATGTCGACGGAGAAGAAGTTGGTCGTTGTGGTTGTGTTTGTTGGGTCGGATGGGCTGTATCCCATTGTTGGGCCTGTTGTGTGGATTGGTCATCAGATGGTGGGGCCTGTTGAGATGATTGGGCCTGGTGTGAAGGTTGGGCCTGTTGTGGCAGAGGAGCTTGTGGGTTATGCAGGATTTCAATTCCAGGGGAAGATTGAGTCTCCGGTGGTGAAGGGGATGATGATGGAGCAGCTACGAGCACAGAAGAGACCACTGGTGTGTCAGCTTGTAAGTGACCTGCATCTGCTAACTCATCAACTGAAATAGTCGTTATTGGGTTAGATATTGAAAATGGAAAAATGTACTCATGAAAGACGACATGTCTTGACGTATAAATCCGAGAAGTTTCTCGATCCAAGCAAAAGTACGCACTTTGCGTGGTTGAGTAACCGAGAAAAACACATGGCTTGGACCGTGAATCAAGTTTATGTGATCCGTACAGTCGTAACCATGGAAAGCATAAACATCCAAAAATACGTAGTTTTGAAAAATTTGGTGGTTGCCCAAATAGCTTTTGAAAGGGATTTTGAAGTAAGAGATTTGGTGTGGGCATTCTATTAATGAGATATACCGCAGTGGCTAATGCATAAGTCCAATATGATTTGGGCATTGATGCGTGAGACAAGAGAGCTAGCCCGGTTTCGACTATATGCCGATGTTTCCGCTCGGCTATGCCGTTATGCTCAGGTGTGTGCGGCGGAGTAGTTAAATGTGATACACCATGTGTGGAGAGAAAGTCTCTGAGTGCAATAAATTCCCCTCCATTATCAGTGTATAGAGTTTTAAGCTTTGATTGAAATCGATTTTCAACCAACGCTTTAAACTTGGTAAAGACTTCATACACTTGTGATTTTTGTTTTAAAGGGTAAAACCAAGTGTATCGTGTGAAATGATCCACAAAAATCACATAGTACTTGAAGTTATCTACGGATATAACGGGAGACGTCCACACATCCGAGAAAAGAATTTCTAATGGTTGTGAGGATGTTAAAGTAGAATTGGAAAACGGAAGTTTATGCATCTTATTAATAGAACAAGCACCACAAGGCTTGTGAAATAAAACGTTTGAAGACAAAGATAACTGCAAACTTGAAATCATTTTTTGTAAAACAGAGATAGCAGGGTGGCCTAATCTAGAATGCCAATCAGACATTGAAGTCTTAACAACAGACGCATAAGCTAGCGATGGAGGCTTGCTCATGTTGTGTTTTGGCCATTCATAGGTGCCATCTTTAGGTTTGCCTTCCAGTCGAAGCGCCCCCGTAGTCAGGTCTCGCACCTGAAAGTAAGTTGGTGTGAAAGTAACAGCCACTCCATTAGTAGAGCATAGTTGAAAGACAGAGATTAAGTTTTTATCTAATGATGGAACACAAAGAACATTATTAAGTAGGAAAGGGACGTGTGAAAGAGGGAAGAGATAAAGAACCAGTGTGTGAGATAGATTGAGCGGATCCATCACCGAGTAAGACATCATCACCACCAGTGTATGGAGAGTGTAGGGCGAGATTGTGAAGATCTGAGGTCATGTGATGAGACGCTCCGGTGTCGACCAACCAGGTAGATGAATCAGAGTTTGGAAGCATTGCAACGTTGGCTCTTGGTTGCCATGTTTGAGTCGGGTGTAATGATTGCCACGCCATGTTGGGAGGTGGGGCATACCGCTGCGACGGGGCAGGTGCAGCTCCACGCACTGTGTCCTTTTTCCCCACACGCTTGACACCGACCATTGTATGGGCGTGAGGTGTGGTTGGTACCACCACTGGAGAATTGTCGATTGTTGTTGTTGTAGTTGTTGTTTCGCCAGTTGGTTTGGTGTTGTTGTTGACGTGGGCGTACATCAGCTGCGTTTGCAGTGATTGGAGCTACAGAGGATGTTTCTTCCTTGCACATTATCATGGCCTCGCGATTGAGGAGGCGCTCATGGAGCTCGGCAAAGGAGATCGGAAGATCTCGGCCATTGATAGCATCAATTTCTGGTTTGTAATCTTCACTGAGACCTGCAAGAATTTGCTCAGTAAAGTCTTCTGGATCGACAGGCTTCCCAAGTAGTGCAAGATCATCGGCTTTTCCTTTGATGATGCGAAGGTATTCGCTAATCGATTTTGTGCCTTTGACACATGTTTTGATTTGAAGTTTCAGTTGTCGGATGTGGCCTCGGGTTGGTTTGCCGTAGGTTGTTGCAAGGAGAGACCAGATCTCTGACGTGGTGGTGGCTGTAGATACCACGGATTGCACGGGGAGAGAGATCGCACCGATTAAGGCACTGTATAGGAGCCTGTCTTGGCGTCTCCAAGGAGCATGATCGGGATTGGTGACTGATTGACCATCGACCGTTATTGTTGGTGAAGGAGCGGCATTGGTTTCCTCGAGAAAGCCATGGAGTTCATGTCCCTCGAGAAGTGCCTGGATTTGCCTACTCCACATCACGTAGTTGAGATGTGTGATTTTAGTAACATTGACCATGTTGATATTGATCAAGGTGGTTGACGGGTTGGTGTGATTGAACACAGTTGTGTTTTCAGCTCCGGAATTGGCACTGTTAGTCATAGTTTTAAAGTGAGGGGAAAAAAAAAAAGTGATAGACAGAGGAGAGAGTCAGAAACAGAGAGACAAAGAAGAAGAAAAGAAAAAGAGAACGGGTATTATGTCCGTTATTGCTCTGATACCATATTGAACTATGGAACTTGATGATCTTATTGATACAGAGATGTGACGCCTTTATACAGAGTTACAGAGGTAAGATAAGGAAACGAGAATATACAACAATGAATGAGAATATACAGAATGATATGTTGCGTGGAGAGGAGAGTGATTGGTGATACGGTTTTCATATCTAATACTGATGACGCCACCAACAAACACTACCGATAAATTATTAAAGTACGTACAACCCATTACTCAGCCTAAAACTCAACCTGCACAAATCTAGAAGGCCAAAACAATCAAGCTCAACAGCAGTGAGTCATACATATCTTATGTCACAAACGACAAAGGGTGCAAATATAAATGAACAACTAGAATAAGAAAAATATTGATTGATGGTAATATGGTATAAATGATTGGAATAATGAGAGTTAGCTACTCTTTCTCGGAGGGACCCATCATGTGAAAGACAACATAAAAAGTAGAGGTGAAAATTATTCTAATCTAGTTTCTCGATTTTCTGTGAAAGATATAAGTGACATCTCCTACTTGTTAGGTAGACTATACAAAATTTAACCGTCAGAAGTTTTGTATTAGATGAAGGACATTTTACCGATGGATCATGTTCTTTCCAAGAGAAAATATATATAGGGAAGTTAGGGTTCATTCCTATTGGTTTGGAGCTAATCCGATGGTCATATCTTAAGGTATTCTTGATTATTGAAGACTGATCCGTTTGGCGACCAAGAGTGACACCTCAACCGATCGATTAGACTACGTGGTCGATTTATCAGCAAAGCCTCATAAACTCATTGTCTAAGAAAACAACATGGATTGATCGATCGATCTATTTGATGTAAAAAATGATAATTATGTTTTTCTCTTAATTAAAATCCTAATCTCACAAATACACTGCCACCAAAGAGCTAGCCTACTATTCTAAGTTTCTTACAAAATTCAGTTTCTGTTATTTCTTACGTATTTTTTGTAAGTGAGAAGAAGATCTCATCCCATCACTATGATTTGGAGAAGTTTTGGCTCTTAGTGATATTGATTTCCTTTCATTAATCATGTTTGAATAGATCCCTTGTTGGGACTATAGGGTTTTCATAGTGGATTTATAGCATGGTTCAATAGATAGTAAATTTATGAATAGAGTGGTTTCTCTTGATAAGTCAAAGTTATATAACTTATATTCTCATCTAGATCTGATCATTCATGCATATTTCCTTTTTGATCATTAAGAGATTGATAACTGTGAACTCAGTCATTAATGACTTCAGCTTGCATACTACTTAAGTTGTTGTTCTGATCTGATGTCTGATGATCCTAGCATTTTAACCTACGAGAACTGAGTGACTGAGTTAGGTGAACAATTGAACATGTCAACACATATGCATTCATAAGAAGTTTTTTCAAATACCAAAATCAATAATTATAATTTATAATTTATAAAAAAAAAATTTGGTATCATCTCATTTATTTGTCTTGTCTTCTTTAGGGTGGATTTGTAACTGATATTCAGAAAAGGAAAAATTATAGTGTTTGCATAATGATGTGGGATCCATATAATTAATTTTACTGTGTTTGTGGACATATGTATTCACAAAGAAAACAAAATTTAATATTTCTTGATTAAAACCATATTATTGTCCTTTTCCAGCCGACTGTACGACTGGACTAACGAGGTTTATTACATGAAACCATGATAATGTGGGGAAGAATCAAACAGCGACTTGGCTTTTAGGAGATAACGAAATTAGAGCGTATATGAGATGGGATACGAGCAGGACGGTACTTGTTGTCAAGCCACACAGCCGTTCCTTTTGCCTCCACAATAGGCTGTTTTGTTATATACCAAAAGGATCTGAATTAGAACACTAGTAACTTAAAATCCAACATAAAGGGTTGAGGAGAGCAACAAGGTTAACCTCATGATTTGGAAGTTTAAAAATAAACTGTTCAAAGTTAATGCGCGCGATGGATATCCCTGATATCCTTGATTTCACCACAAACTTGTTTCCACTCTGCTCAAAGAAATCAAATAAATATATGTACAAAAAATTGACGGATTAACATTATTAAGCGTGACTAATATTTCAGTAGAAGAGGATCAAAATTACACGTAAAGGTGCAAGGAACTTTATTGTCAACTCAGATATTGCTAAGGCTTCACCAGAACTGGATACTTCATCACACTTGATACCGATATTCTCCAGAAACTCGTGTCGGCCTTAGTATGAAAACATGTCAACAAACAACAGTTGGTTAGAATTAATAACGTGAAGCAGTAACATTTGACAAGGAAATAAACTAACCGTGTTGGCAGTAGTTTGCATAAACTGCGTTGTTCACAACACCAAACTGATCCAATTCATAATCTCGAACTTTAAGTTCAATCTCATGGAACTCACTCACTCTGCCATATGTAAATTTCAATAAGCTTGTGGATCCGAAGTATTAGAAATTACAAAAATGAAATTAGAGAGATTATGTTATGTATACCCTTTGCCTCCTTTGAGACTGTGACATGCGAGAGGTTTAAAGGTACTTGCCTTTCTGATAGGCGGCTGCCTCCATGAACATGGAAACATCACATGCATAGTCGGAATTGCCATGTTGGTAGCTTGAAACATTTCACTTTATTTATTGATAATTGGTTTGGGAAAATTGGTTTCAGTCAGCATATATATAATAAAACCAGCAATCTTGTCCAATACTACACACCCACCTTTCATCTGATTATTATATATAAAAGAGTACTAGAAAACGTGGCCGATATAACGGCCACATTTTGACGCCACTGCTCATCAGACAATAATTGCTTTACCCAGAAGCATCTTCAGGTGGGTGGCGATACAGTTGACAGAAACAGGAATGAAACGTGCTGAGATCAGTTAATCATGTATACAATAATATCATATAACAAATAGTTATAGTAATTGCAAAATTTATCACATAACGAGCTTATTATGCGCGCCATGGATGTCCCGATAACAGAATCCTCTATTTTCTCCATATTTAGCACACAGAGACATACATAACTGAATTCTCTAACTTATACTTCTGTAGTTACATACAAAACTACCGGCTAAAGTTAATCCCAAATCCCGCACAAATGATTCTCTTGCACAATACCAACACCGGCAAACACTTTAATAAAATCACTCAACGTTTTCCATTTAATAATCTATATTACTAGGTTTATTAATCAACAACAGTGCCACGAGCTAATATTTATTTAGTATTTTATAGAACTCTTATTAATTAAGTGCAAACAATAAATACAGTATATTCCTATCGATAGATTGTAGGTATGCATGCATTAACAAAAGACTATTCAATCTAGAAGCAATATATCACGCAAGTCCTAATTCTAGGGCTGAAACGGAAATGGAAATAACATCTATGATCAAAACTAACTCAGGGAAGAAGAGACAATAACAAGGATCAACGATGACCTAACAGCACTAAATGACAAATGGAGATTCAGTAACTTGCGACTGAAGCAACCAATATATCAACAATGGTGGACCAAACCATTAACTTAAACTCTCGGGAAAAATAATGACAACCAAAGTAAATGTGAGATGTTGCTTACGTTTACCAACACTCCTCTCCACGTGATCAACATGCTCACAATCGTAACTTTCGGGCAGAACATCACGTGAAGAGATTCAAGACTTGACTCATTTTGAACGATGACGTAACACTAGAAAATAATACCAACGACAACTTATGTAGAGACAGGAAGCTTGGAGCTTAAGGAACAACAACAATGGAGATTATCAACATCACATATCTCGGCAAAAAGGAGCGTGAACGGAGACAAGGAGAAATAGATTCGGAGCTTACCGAAATGACACGATCAATGATGATGATGACTCTGAGCAGTAGATCGGTGGCGGCGGCGGACAGTGGCTGTGTGATCAAGAAGACTACGTGATGGGATAGCTTCTTGTCGGCTCCTTCTCACGGCAACAGCACCACGGAGATCACTGGCCGGCTTGGAGTCACGCGCAGAGGCGATTAGCTGATCAGAAACCGCGGTGGCCAAGCTGACGAGATTTGGACAGCGGTTCGGCGTGACGGCAAGGGTTTGTTAGATTTGTGTTAGAAACTTAAATCAAACCAAAGAATGGAGTCTAACAGGATGGTGGCAAATAGATCCAATGGGAACAGTTCAAAACGTCTTACCCGCATGTTCATTTTGAAGTCAGAAGTTTGGGTCGTGTCGATTGTTACAAAATGATTGGTAGCTACACCAAGTATAGTCCACTAACACATTCCAATTCAAACATTGTACTGTCATTAAGAAATGGATTTACATGTCCACCAACAAACATCGTTATGTGACCATCAAACTGACAAAAGATAAAACAATGGAAACAGATTCAGCTTTAGCGATTAGTTTGGATTGAGACGGCTTATAAGCAAATTAAACAGAACTGAAATGCAAAGTCAAATTCTAAGGCAAAAAACTATGGAGCAAGTTTTGTTCTTCAGATATGTCCTTGTGCTTTCCACTTCTTCTCCAAGATATCACTAACCAGGAGCCGGAGATTGCAGCTCGGCGACAACTTTTTGTAGGATTTGAACATCTCCACGACACAGTTAAACAATTCAGTGTTTCTAAGCTGTGTAGGTTCATCATCTTCAACGAAGACGTCAAACCTCTTCAAACACGGAAAAAAGTCCAAGAAATGCTTTATCATGGCCATCTCTTTCATTGTTCCTTGAAAATTATGAATCTCTATCCTATTCACTGGACAAGACTTGAGTGAGGCTCCTCTGTCTTCCCGAGAAATGCAGGGACAAACATCCCCACATTTATCAGTTACATCGTGTATTAGACCCTGAAAACATAGAAAGGAAACATATAAGGTTTACATAATCTCTAACACATGTTACATTCATGGTCTACAATTCTTACCTGAACGGTGATAGTTTCTAAACGCGGACAGTTCCTTAGAAGAGCTGGCATTGCTTGCCATCCTCGATCTTCTTCACCAACAACACCTAAGATTCTGACGTTGTTGAACACAGGCATGATTCACAGCATAGAGCAAGAACCTGAAAAACAAGAAGTAGACATTAATGTTTCACAAGAACGAGACCAGAAAGATTAACACATTAATAGAAAAGCTGACCTCTATAGTATCAGCACTTAAGTCAAGTTTCTGAACATTTTGTATGCCATTCATGAGCTTCACCGCATTGCCAAATTTGAAAACATCAACATGAGCATCATCCTCCTCTAACAAATCATTATCTGGCTCTCTTAGTCGCTTGACGTGATCATCCTTTATAATAAGATCGATTGAAGCTTCAACTATTTTATTCATATTAACTAATGGATAGTCTTCCGCAACCAAATCAATGTAGATCAAGAAAAGCAGATTTGGAGTATCAAAAGAAACGCTTATCGGATTCACAGAACCTTCATAACCAGCTTGGACATCTATCTTTATGAGGCTTGCACTTGACACGGTTACATTCATTTCATTCCACTCCATGTTATCAACTCGCAATTCCTCAAGAGCAGGGAAAGAAGGAATAAACTTCTCAGAAAACACCAGCTGCGAGTACGAGTCGAGATCAAGACTTTTAAGCATGGGTAAGGAAAATGAATCCGTCGTCGTCCCCCCAGGGCACCACCAATCAAGATACTGTTCACTTCTTAACTTTAGCTTAACGAGTGTACTACTGAAGAACAACTCTCTAGGCAGACGATAACCATCATTTCCGGTATCCTCGTCGGAAACATTAGTGAAGAGGTCAAGCTCAGAAACACCACGCTTCAGGACATTGCATATCCAACGATTCACAATATCTGGATGGACACGAGTTAGGCACTGTAGGGAGAATTTCTTGATAGGAGAATCACCCTGCCTAGCAATTACACTGTCCACGAAATCGACGAAGCTCTGTCTGATCTCTGCCCTTACTCCTTTACGAGCTTCAGGACGGAGAAAGTCAGTGTCATCAATGTCAAGGTTAGGATTGAGTTTCCACAGATTGAGCCATCTCTCTGAGAGAACCGAAGTCACAGCAGCATCCTTCGTGGGAAGGAAGGACAAGATCTGATGAAGAAGCTCGTCTGGTAAATTGCTGACACGATCCATCACAAGCACCAAGCCAAAAAAAAAACAGTCCTATAAGCTAAACACCCCCAAATGTAACAACTTGTCCCTGGAAGAGAAGGGAAGAGACAAATGTAAACACAGTTAACTATGCAAATTGTAATCCAGCAACTTAATAACAAAAGCTTTGAATCAAAATCCATAACATAGAAGCATAGGAGATGAGTAATCTGTCAGCAATTGCCTCGTCGCAGTCACCTAGATTTAGGGTTTTCAGTGAATGTGTCCAATGAGAAGAGATTGGTGAATATAAGCGAAGATGTTGAAAACCAATTACACCCAACGGAAGGTAGAGGAAAAGTCTGAAGCTTTCAATTGGAGAGAGACATGGAAAATTCAATTTTAAGAGGAAGAGATGAGGAAATGAGGGATTTATCTTTGATAGCGATACGTCTCCACTCTAAGAAAGAAAAAATATAACATCGGAGAGAAATCGATGATAACAATCAAATCAAAGTTCGTCTACAGAAACCGAGACAATTATATCTCCAAATCGCTGCGAAATGGCTAAGAGAGAGATAGAGAGATAGAGAGAGAGAGAGAGAGAACTTGCCTTGCCTGTGAGAGACAAAGAGAGCGAGAGAGACGGAGAGGGCAGGGATTGAGAGAGAGAGAGACAGAGAATCTGAGAGAAGAAGAAGTGTGGATCGAAGAAGGGATTGAGAGGGAGGAGTCGTCAATGCTTTAACCCTATCTGATTATCGTAGATTGAGAGATCGCTTTAAGGCGAGCCCGTTTTCTTTGTCTTGCTGTAGGACCCAATTTTTCAAATTCACAATAACCTTAACGCGCTATAAGAAGGTTTCTTATCAGCTTCTTCATTTTTTTTTTGTTTAAATTATTTTTATTTTACGCTATCTAGTATCTACTTGGTTTGGTGAATACCCATACAAAGTTCCAAACCAAGAAAATTTTACTTTGTTTTAATATGTTAACATTTATATATTTTTTTCCGCTTCATACATTATTCAAAATCAAAATATAAAGATAGGCCGTCCCGTAAAGAGTGCAAAAATAATTTCATTAATATAGATATTTGAATCGTTTTAGATACTGAGATTATCGATAAAGATAAAATTTGTATATCTTTCAATATTAGAAGAACTTCAGTTTCTGATTTCATCTTTCAACTCCTTACTATTAGTTTTTGTTACATGTTTATCAAATGTTTGTTACGATTGTCTCTCAAAACGAGCACAGACACATAGTTTACCTTTTATCCATGAAAACTCCTAGCACCCGAAACTAATCTACTAGGAGTCTTTAAGTAATATATAGGTTTTGCAGTTAATAAAAAGTTATATTATCTTGGATGGGCTTACGAACCCATAACCGATCTCAAACTCGAACTGAAATTTGTGTATATAGCTCTAATCAAATTTCAATTTGTATAAAACGTAACAGAAACCAATCTATGTTTTCATTGTTGAGAACGAAATAAACTAACTGTGTTGGCAGTAGTTTGCATAAACTGCGTTGTTCACAATACCAAACTGATCCAACTCACAATCTCGACCTTTATGTTCAGTCTCATGGAACTCACTCACTCTGCCATATGGAAATTTCAATAAGACTTTGGATCCCAAGTATTAGAAACTACCCTTTGCCTCCTTTGACACTGTGACATGCGAGAGGTTTGAAGGTATTTTCCTTCCTCATAGGCGGCTGACTCCATTAACAGGGAAACATCACGTGCATAGTCAGAACTGCCATGCTGGTATCTTCACCTTTTTATTGGTAATTGGTTTGGGAAATTGGTTACAGCCAGCACACACACACACACACACATATATATAAATAAAACTAGCAATCTTGTCCTAGAAAACGTGGCCACAATAACAACCACATTTTGACGCCACTGCTCATCAGACAATAATTGCCTTACATAGAAGCATCTTCAGGTTGGGGAGATCACTTAATCCTGTATATAATATCATACAGAAAATAGACTTAATAGTTATAGTAATTGCAAAATTGGCCAGAAAACAAACTTATTGTATATGTATATACAGATGTTCATGTTGATATTTTGATACAAAATAGTTTCTATACAAAAGGTATGTTAATAAAATATATAACAAGAATTTGTTTGCTATGAAATTATGTTAACACATTCTAAAAATAAGTAAAGAGTATAAAAAAGGTTATAAAGAGTAAAGACAAATATCGCACATCGGATGGAGAGTAAAGAGTACGTAAAAACCTTTTGACTTTTGTTATAAATTAACCAAGGAGAAGCAGAAAGAGGAGGCTGTGCGATTAGGAGTTGATATGTCGATCTTTGTAGCCGAAGAAATGTTTCTATTATCTGATGACATAGGATGTATGTTACTGTTATGTTGTTATGTATTGTATTCAAGTATGCAGGGAACAAATCTTATAACGGTCCTTGTTAGAGCAGAAATTAGCACAATTTCCTGAGCCCGTCACAATTAATAATACTATGTAAGCCCGGCCCGCTTCCACTTCCACCTCCTCAAAGAAAAGGAAGTACTTGGAGAAAAAGACTACATCCAAGAAAAATAGAAGGAGATCAACGCCAAAGAAGAATATTTCCAAAAGAAATATGGAAGAATATCTTGAGGAAGCCAACCTCCTCTCCATATAAATAGAAGACCCCCTATTCCTTGAAGACATCCACAGCATCATCAAATCATCCACAATCACTGAGAGCAAAGAGGCAAAACCCTAGTTATAATTCGTCTTTGTTCTTAGCTTCTCTATTCTTTTCGTATTCGTCTCGTCACCTTTTCGTCGAGACGAATCACCCCTTGTACCATCTTTGTCTTTGGTTGATCTAATAAAGAGTCTCTCCTAAACCTCACATCTCTTATCTTACTATTATTGTGTGATTTTGAGATCTAACAATTGGCGCCCACCGTGGGGCTGGAGAAAAAACTCTGAAAAAAGTCAATCAAGGTTCAAAGATGGCACCTCCAGCTGATGATCCCAGCATCAGAACAGGCGGACTGCAAAGTCAACTCGGCGCAGATGGAAACCCCATCGTCCATCCCGTCGAAGTCGACGCGACCAACGGTCACGTCAACCCTCCGCCGCCACCGGTTCCTGACGTAGAAGCTCCCGTCACGACCGCCGCGTTAACCGCCGCCATGCAAGGCTTTGCTGCTCAAATTGCTTCTCAATTCGCCGAGATGCAAGCTCAGCAGCAAAAGTACAACGACAAGATCGACTCCCTCCACGTCACCAGCGACGGACGAGTCATCCCGACGGGACGAACTCTCTTCCAGACGCCGACAAGAAGCACCGCCGCGACTGGCTCCAATGCCGCGACGAATGGTGAGAAAGACACCGACCCGGAAGTGGCCAAGCTGCGCCGCGACCTCGACGCAATCAGCTCCAAAGTGCACGACGCTATCAGCTCGTCACCCGAGATTGCCAAAATCCTCGCCGAGACGAAAAGGAGTCCTTTCACTCGTCGCATCGCCGCGATACCTCTAAAGGATCAAACGGCTCTCCGTCTTCAGTTCTACAACAATGGCGACGATCCTCGAAACTGGCTAAGAAACTTCGAGATGGCCATGAGAAGGCAAAATATGCCTCCCCCGAAGAACAAGACGCAAACTACTGTCAAGTGTTCATCGAGCACATGAACAAAGACGCGACGAGCTGGTTTTCGAACCTCCCTGCCGAGACCATCGACAACTTTGATGATCTCAGCACGGCATTCATGAAACACTTTGGCATGTTTATGTCAAAAGGCAGCACCAATCTTTTCACTATGGCACAGGGAAAAGATGAGTCTCTTCGCAAGTTCGTCGAGAGATTCAAAACAGCAGCAGCAGAGCACTCAGACATCCCTGACGCGATAGGAATCAAAGCTTTCGAAAACGGGCTTTGGTTCGAATCAAAGTTGAAAGAGAGTCTGATGCTCGACGAACCCGCAACCCTCCAGGACGCTTTGCACAGATCCCAAAAATACGTCTGTGTTGAAGAAAGCAAGGCGCACCACTCAAAGATTCATGGAATGACGAAGGAGTCATCTCGGCACGCATCATCTCGTCAAGATTCATCTCATCAAGAGTCATCTCGTCAAGAGAATAAAAGGAGGCCTCTAAGGAGTCTTTACACAGGGCAGCGACGAGTCCAAATGGTGCAAACTCCATGGACGAACCGATCATACTACAGAAGAATGTAGGCGCATCAACAGCATGATACTAGAGTACACAATACTCCGCAAAGCCACAATGATGCTGAACGCCGCGACGAAAATCGACGAGCTGCAAACCAGCGCCAAAGTAGAAATACGACGCGCCAAGATCGAGACGACGACGCCGAGAAGAACGCGCCTGCATCACTCCCTCACCAAGATGATCTGCCTCCGCCGCCGAAACGGCAAGTCCGATAAACATCTCGGCATCAAACCGGTCTCAAGCACGAGACCGAGAAAACGAACTACGAATGGCTTGATCCCGGCATGGGTACGTAGGCAGCCTTTCCAAAGGTTCAGCTATACCCCCAATAAAATTCTATAATCCGTCTGACGAGATGAGCATTGTAAAATTTTATTCACCTCCAAAGGCACACGTCGACGTTCTGGCCAAACCTCTCGACAACACCGATCTCGTCATCACACGAGATCGAGCGGTCTCGTCATCACACGAGCCCGAGAAAACACCGATCTTGTCATCCAAGATCGAGCGGTCTCGTCATCACACGAGCCCGATAAAACCGGTCTCGCCAAAGCGCGAATCCGAGAAAAACATACGGACTGATCATCCATGAGGAGTAAGCCGACGCGAAGCCGTCGCGTCCGAACCGATGGGAATGCCTTCAGACTTTGGGGTGAGCCCGAAAGGTCTGAGGTCTGAAGGACGAAATCGAGCGGTCTCGTCATCACACGAGCCCGATAAGACACCGATCTCGTCATCATATACGAAATCGAGCGGTCTCGTCATCACACGAGCCCGAGAAGACACCGATCTCGTCATCATATACGAAATCGAGCGGTCTCGTCATCACACGAGCCCGATAAGACACCGATCTCGTCATCATATACGAAATCGAGCGGTCTCGTCATCACACGAGCCCGAGAAGACACCGATCTCGTCATCATATACGAAATCGAGCGGTCTCGTCATCACACGAGCCCGAGAAGACACCGATCTCGTCATCATATACGAAATCGAGCGGTCTCGTCATCACACGAGCCCGAGATCTCGATCATCTCGAGAAAAAACCAATCTCGTCGAAGCTCGAATCCGAGAAAAATCGTCACAGCAATCTATTCTCCTTGACGAGACAAAAGAGTCATCTCGTCAAGTCCGAGAGAAATTATCAAAAGCATATTCTATTTGCGGACAAGATTACGTCACTGTACTCTTTTCCCTTCTTATGGTTTTTATCCCATAGGGTTTTTCCATATCAAGGTTTTAACGAGGCAGTGCGGATCTAAAGTCAATAACGCAACGCAGCATCACGTCAGCGCAGCATCGCGACAGCATCGGCATCGCGTCGGCATCACATAGTTATTATTAATTGCTCTTGAGCTCCTCTTTTATACATGAAGTTCGCCGAGATTAAATTGCATTTATCTCGCCAAACTGGGGGGGACTTATTGTTAGAGCAGAAATTAGCACAATTTCCTGAGCCCGTCACAATTAATAATACTATGTAAGCCCGGCCCGCTTCCACTTCCACCTCCTCAAAGAAAAGGAAGTACTTGGAGAAAAAGACTACATCCAAGAAAAATAGAAGGAGATCAACGCCAAAGAAGAATATTTCCAAAAGAAATATGGAAGAATATCTTGAGGAAGCCAACCTCCTCTCCATATAAATAGAAGACCCCCTATTCCTTGAAGACCATTCAGAATCATCATAAGCATCCACAATCACTGAGAGCAAAGAGGCAAAACCCTAGTTATAATTCGTCCTTTGTTCTTAGCTTCTCTATTCTTTTCGTATTCGTCTCGTCACACTTTTCGTCGAGACGAATCACCCCTTGTACCATCTTTGTCTTTGGTTGATCTAATAAAGAGTCTCTCCTAAACCTCACATCTCTTATCTTACTATTACTGTGTGATTTTGAGATCTAACAGTCCTGTGGTCGGAAGGGTGTTTTGTGTTATCTGATGACATGCGTTCACGAGGCTAAACTAGCAACACATCACACATGGCACTTATAAAACATGATATTTAGCTCCAAGCCTCTCCAACACAACACTTATGTTGTGGATTTACAATTTTACTTATGAGTCTTCTGCACGAGCCATTTGTTAGTTAGGAATAGGATCAACACATATAACTCTCTAAAACGCGTTATCATAGCATGCGTGTTTGGTTATTTGGATATTAGCTTTCAAGAAATCATCATGTAGTGTACTCTACAACGGAAAAATCAGACTTTAAAGAAGTAATTCATAAAAGTAAACGTAACCAAAAAAAGAAAAAAAAAAAAAAAAGGCACATGAGGACAGCAAAATCGAGTGTATAAAAGTCAATTAAAGTCTTTTTAGAAAGACAAATCACAAAGTCATGTGCCTTCGCTGCTCTGTGATATTATTCCCACTCATTACCAAATCGTACATTACACGACGACTTCTTCTCCTCCGTCGAATCCGGCCATGAATCGCCACGAGCCGTCGTCGTCGCTATGTTGACCGACGCAATTTGGCTACGCACGCGACGAAGCCGCTTCGTCTTCTTCCTCATCTGCTCTCCTTTACTAATCCCCCTCCTCTGCGCATCCATCCCTCTCCTCTGCGCCGCCGAGATCTTCAGCCGCCTCCGCAGTCGCCATCCATGGTTCGCGAAATCCGCCGATGAAGATGATTTGCGGCTCCGGAGATGTGAGGAAGGATGCAATTGCGGCGGATTTGGACCGGAAGAAGCCGGATTGCTTCAGAGATACTTGGAAGATCAGTTGATTTTGGTTAGATCCGTTTACGATTGCGGCGAAGGAGAGCAAGATCAAGATCCCGATCGAATTATCGTTCCTCTCTTATCGTAATTTGTCTTTTTTCTTCATAGATTTGAAATGTTTATGTAGATGAGTGAAAAAATGGAGACTTTACTATCACATACTTTCAAATTCCGATCAATCGAAACTTTTAGCCTTCTTTGTCTCTTTGATTTCAAATTTTTTTCCTGTGAAACGAAATCTAGATTATTACATTGTTGATATAATTATTAATTTTCATTTCATCATCGCCACTAATTAAGGACCAGACCATTCATTTCATAATTGTCAACAATATGTTTTCCAATAATGTTGATTTTATCGTTTTCAACAAAACTTGGAATGTTTTTATTTTTCCTGTAATGAAATTTGAAGAGTGGAAAAGATAAGAATTTCTTGCGTTGGGTCAGATCAAGGCCCACAAATTAGTGGGCCTAGTGTGTTTACACCATAAATCACTTTCCTTGATCATAATGGTGTAGAATTATGGTTCCTCTCTAATCGTAACTTTATTTGGTGTAGATTAAAACTAGAAATTTGTTTATATATTGAAAATCTAAATCAACATTTATTTTTGAACAAAAAATTAAGGGAAATCTAAAACAACACTTAAACTCAAATGAGAGTAGTAAACTTATAAATCTTTGGTTGTATTACTTACAAAATGTGTGTATTTTAGAGTTTTATGTTCTTCTTAAGTTCGATATTGTAACTTTTTAGTTAGTTTATTAATTAAGTTTTATTTAAATCGGATCCGGACAGCTAGATATCTACAAGATTAATCAGAGTTCTTATTAACGGAATGTACACAGAACAGAGGAAATTATTTGTTCTCAAGCAGCAAATGATGATGTAACCAATTCCTCATGATCGCAAACGCTTCCTCCGCGTCTCTATCATCTTCCGGCGTCTCCGGGCGGTGAACAAAACCGTGACCTCTTCCATCAAACACCACAACCTTTGACCCTTGACCAATCTTCTCCTCAATCTCCTTCAAACCCTCCACTTGACAAAGCGGGTCTCTATCTCCGGCAATGAACAAGACCGGGACTTTCACGTCTCCGGCCACCGCCGAGTCTATTCTTGTACCGTAGAAAGAGACGCCGGTGCTGAAGTAACCGTTCTCGTCGGCGGCTAAAACATCCACCACGCGTCCACCGCCGAAACAGAACCCCATCACTCCTAGCTTCTTGGAGATCCCAGCCGCTGCAAATTCATCAACCATCCATTTCGTCAAGGCTGTTGTGTCTTGTCGGATCCGGTCCGGGTCTTGTGTTCTTCTCCATTCCTCGTATTCGGATTCTGGTCTGTTCTTCGACCATGGATCACCACGGAACAGGTCCGGTACAAGAACACTGTCTCAAAACATAAACGTTAATCTTCAATTAAGTTTGGAATCAGAGAGAGAGAATATAAAATGGAGAAGATGGATACTTGTAGCCATTGCAAGCGACGCGATAAGCGAAATCGCTTGTGGAGGAATCTTGGAAGCCGAAGACATCAGAGAGTAGAAGCAATCCAGTTCCGTTATTGTTCTTTACCGCCGTTAACAGGTGAGCTTCAACGCCGTCAATTGACACTTCTGCTCTGTTAACTAGCTCACACGCTTCTTCTTCCTCTTCTTGGTCATCGTCTACCTCCACGTTAACGGCACCGTCAGAAGTCTCGAGCGCTGAAATGTTCTTCATAGACCGTCCTCTCCGAAAGCAGCTAGTGACAAGTTTTCCGCTCTGAGAAAATACAAGATTGAACGAATCAAGAATTATAGAGAGAGGAGCTAATTAGTTAAGATGCAGAGTGGAGGGAACGTACAGAGGAAGCGAGAGGTGAGAGGCTCGAAGGAGGAAGACGGTAGCTGGTGTTGCGGTTGGACAGTGGTCGTGCTCCGGTTTTAATGGAGGAGGAAAGAGAGGCCAAGGACGCAGCCATTGTAGCCTTGTAGCTATCTTTCCAGGATCAATGGACTAAAACTTTTCTCTATAATTTCTTTGGGTATTTGATGATGTAATATCAAGAAATAACAAGTGGACCAATAACAAATCACCATTTTCTTTTGACTTTATTGTCCACTCACTTCAAGCTAAATAGACCTTCTTGGGCTCAGTGACCAATGGGTTTCAGAGAAGACGGCCCGGGTACGCTGTGCATGATCCGACACCAACAAGGCAACAACTACCACTGCTCTTCTCACCTTATGTTTGCTCAAATGTGTTCACCTTCTTTTCACTACTCTATACCCTACTTGTGTAATAAAGTATTCTGTCTCTCTTGACTCTAGTCATAGATGTATTACGTTTTAATTAAGTTTGATGAATCTTTATGAGAAAATAACCACATATATATAATTGAATATAGTTGTACAAAGAAAGTAGTTGAGACATTTTATGATTCGATAGAACAAGAAGTAAGTAGTGAATCACATTTAAAAATAAAATCCTCATTTATATTCTTCATTCCATTATCTCTATAAAGAAGGTAAATGCATCACTCAATTCCACCAACTCCATCTATAAGGGAAAGTAGAGAAACAAAGCAACGGGAGAAATAATGGTAGAGGAGGAGGTTGAGGTAGACGTGGAGATAAAAGCTGCGGCTGATAAATTCCACATGTTCGTCGGAAGATCACAGCATGTGTCCAAAGTCACTCGTTACATTCAGGGATGCGATCTGGTAGAAGGGGAGTGGAGCAAAGTTGGAAGCATAGTCTTGTGGAAATTAGTTTTTGGTAACTACAAGGTTAATATATCGTTGTGTTTCTTTGAGGATTTTGAGCTCGTTTTTTACATCTTTAATTTGTTAACGCGTTTTGGTGCAGATGGAGAGGCAAGAGTGTCGAAGGATAGGATCGAGGCGATGGATTTTAAGAAGAACGTTGTTCAGTGGAGGGTGTTAGAGGGACCTCTGAAGAAAGAGTACAAGAGCATCTTGAAAACTATGAAGGCGAGCCCTAACCAAGGAGGACCAGGAAGTATGGTGAAGTGGAACATCAAGTACGAGAGGATTGATGAGAAGGTTTCTCACCCAGAGAGACTGCTCCAGTTCTTGGTCGAAGTGACTAAAGAGATTGACCGATACCTCTTATCTGAGGAATAGATGATTCCTTGTGTTTTGTATGTCTAATATAAACCGCTTTGCTCAACTTGATGAATATTGTGATATAATTTGATACTATGGAGTGTAAATTATGTGGGTTATATTTATAAACCACTATGCATTCTCGGTTGTATGTTTCGGAGAAGAAATTCCAACAAGTTCTGCTTTTTGTCAACATTTCGAGTAGCTCTTTATTTCTAGTACCTGCAGGCTTCTTCATCCTTTTAAGTGTTTTTATAACCCTTTATGGCATGGACGCATGGTGATGAATAGTAATAATTTTTTTTCTCGTTTTAACATTTTGAAGACGTTATTTCGTTACATTAATATTCATTGAGTTTTAAATTTTTCCAAAAGTAATATCACTATATATATTTTGGAAATTTTTAATATAAGTTTTGAATGGTGATAAGAAAAAGTAGAGGAGCAATGTATTTATCATTATTTGTCAAAACAATTACACTGTATACAAGTAATTTTTTTATAGAGTTACGCCATTTTGTCACTTTTATGGTTACACCCAACTAAAAGCTTCTTATGTGAAAGCTAATTTTACAACGTGAACTCGTGTGCCCATCTTTACAAGCGACCCCGCTGATTTTCGTTTTTTATCCCTAAATAGTTTGGTCCAACAATTTGTTCGATACTCAAATAATACATATTTTAGCAGGTACGTCAAAGAGAACATTTAATCTATTACTATAACTATATAATGAAATAAAATTTGAACAAGCTAGGATTGAGACAAAATTATTTTAGTCCATATTTTTTTCGATATCCTAATGTATATGACACCTATTCCTTTTTTAATAGAAATGATAGTTTGGTGATACCCACTCTTTAGTTTGGTCCAATTGATTATGTCCGTTTCTGCAAATGCAGTACTCTTGTGTTTCTATGAAAGGTACTTATACAAATGTTATACTCTTGTGTTTCTGTGAAAGGTACTTATACCACGTGAACTCGTGTGCCCACCTTCATAATTTAAATATCGTCTGATTAGCTGACGAATTGCATCAAATTGGGATTACCCCGTTGGCTCTTCAAAATACATTTTCTATTAGGTATGATATGCGTGATTTGTCTTTACATTTTTTTCCTTAAAGCTACATTTATATTTTTGTCTCAAATTCTTTTCTGTAACATCTGATTATTACTAATTAACCGAATTTTACATAGGAATGGGATCATAAGAGTGATAGTACATCAATCTAGAATCTACATGGAGCATATTACATGATCATATCGAAGAAATAAATTTATACGCGATTGAAAAGTTATATATAGATATATCATATATAACATGATACACGCAATTTACATAACATGCGATAAAGACATTTTTAAAAATGTACGTATTCTTGTGTAATAGCCTGACCATAAGAATGCATGCAAGAATCAAACGGCGACGTCTTGGCATTGGAAGTGAGCGAAGTTATAGCGTACATGAGATGGGATACGAGCAGGACGATAGTTCTTGTCAAGCCACACAGCCGTTCCTTTTGCTTCCAAAATAGGCTGATTTGTTATTTTACCAAAAGGATCAAAATCAGAACATAAAAGCAAAAAACAAAGGCTTGATAAGAATAAACAAAATTAATTGACCTCTTGATTTGGAAGTTTAAAGATGAACTGTTCAAAGTAAATGCGTGCCCCAGATGTCCTTGGTATCCTCGTTTTCACCACAAAATTGCATCCACTCTGATCAAAGAAATCAAATAAATATACCTCCAAAAAACTGACATTATAAAAGGTGAACAATGATCTAATAATAGAGGAATTACACGTAAAGGTGCTATGAACTTTATTGTGAACTCTGAAATTGCCAAGGCTTCACCAGAACGGGATAATTCTTCACAGTTCACACCGATGTGCTCCATAATCTCGTGTCGACCTTATTATGAAACATATATAACAAACAACAACAGTTGGTAAGAATGGGATATAATGATCTGAAGTAGCAACGCTTGCCACCGGACTAAACTAACCATGTTGGCAGTAGTTTGCATAAACAGCATTGTTCACAACACCAAACTGATCCAATTCATAATCGCGAACTTTAAGGTCAATCTCATGGAACCCACTCATTCTGAAATATGGAAATTTTAATAATATTATGGATGATAAATATTAAATCACTCCCTTTTATTAAAAAAACCATCAACTAGAGATATGATACATTAACTCTAAAAAACCCTAAAAATTATAAAACTAAAAACTTAAAAGATAAAATTATTAAATACCAATATATTAAATATATGAGATCATTGAGCTCTTCAGAATCAGGTATGAAATTCTAGAACAATGAATTTTAAAGCGAAATCTATAACTATAAAGATTTTCACAAGAGAAATATAAATGATTTGAAAGATATTGTGTGGTACCCTTTGCCTCCTTTCAGATCGAGACATGCGAGAGGCATGAGAGTCTTTGCGCTCCGGAGAGGCTGGATATGCGGTAGTCTTAGCAAACAGGGAAACACCAAAGGCATAGCCGGAGCCACGGTTCCGGTAGCTTGAAACATGGCACTTGTTCAAGTGCCGATATGCCCAGATGTTATGAGTAGTTGACAACTTTTGTTCGGTTTATGAAAAAATATGGTATCAATCATCATATATAGTTTCCAACAAAACAAGCCATCTTCTCTCATTCTACCAACTCAGCAACTACAAAAACATATTTTTTAAGAAAACAGAAAAATTAGCTTTAGTTGGTAGAGGTGAGCATATATATGTATGGTGATGGTCCAACTGTCCAACTATCAGAAATATCACTATAACCAAAACCGGACAGAGTTCTCAACAGAAGTTCATTTAACATAATAAAGAGGCGTTGGATTGGTTTTTTCATGATAAAAATTAACCAGTTTTAATTGTTATAAAATTTTGAATAATATCAAAACCCATGAATTTTGAGAATTTCAAGACAAGATTAAAAAAAAAAAAAAAAAAAAAAAAAAAAAAAAAAAAAAACATGTCAACACGGAATCAAGCATTTTGCTCAGTACTCCCTCCGTTGTTTCATATTAGTTGTCGTAAGATTGTCTACTTCGGTGTATATTTTGGCAAGAGAGGTACAAAAAAAAAATTGGCATCCCATAATTAACTGTCTTTAGGCTTGACTGAGATAATGCTATATACAAAAAAAATACTTCTAAACAAAAAAAAAAAAGATTGATAGTTCTGCTCAACCTCTTACCGCAGGTTCATTTTATTGATCTTCAGTTTCACTGTAAACTTGATCATGAGTTGAGGATTTTGCTGACGCCCAATATCTTCTCCCCTGTTAGTTCCAACATCAAATTATCAGAGACCTCGCACACACAAAAAAGGACAAAAATGTTCATTAGGGACCATATCACATACCTAAGATGTCAACTTCCAGCAGGGAAGCTTCTAGGTTATCTTCCTTTTTCTTTAGCTCAGAGCGAAACTGTCTTACACTGGTTATAGTGTCGACGATGCTCTGTTTCACCTTAGCCAACTGAAGTGTGACAGAGCAAGGTTGAGGGACTCTTCCTTCTGCTTCCGAAATAGTCTTCTCCAACATGTTGCAACTTTGGAATCGAGCTCGCTTGTGTATCTGAGCCTCGGTTTCTGCTGGATCAGCTTCTTTAGATGAATTATGAGCAAGTGACTTCTCCAGGTTTCTTATCTTCTTAGGTCCACAGCTTTTCTCAGGGTCTACATTGTGTGTATTCTGCTGAGCGACGACTTCATTTTGCTTCAAACCAATGAAGGTCCCTTCACATATTGAAGCAACTACACTACAGCACTTATCTAAAGAGACCCCCGATGATTTCACAGCTTCATTCAGATACGTTTTGAGCTTGATAGCACAGTTAATTAGAACTTGTTCTGCCAACCTCCGTGATACTTGGGGAATCTTCTACCAAGTTATGAGAGTTAATTAAACACAAGAAGAGCATTGGATAATTTCTCATATAGACATAGTATTTAAGAATACGAATTATACCTTATCATCCTTTTTAAGGTGACTTAGAATTGGTGAAAGTAACCCTGGAGGTATATCCTCGCTTTCTTCTAAAACAAGGGTCATAATGATCTCCATATGTGAATAAACTATCATTGGATGGTGATCTCTGAAAAGAAAATTGATATAGTACAACAAAACATAAGAAACACACAATAGACCAGTCATGAACCTGCATTAAGAGAAAGCACATAAAGCTAAGTTGCACATGATAAAGTCCATCGAGTGAGATACTTGCAGATTAAATTTAGTCGATAAAAAGTAAGGAGTTGTTTTTCAACGTCACAAATTCCAAATTCTATAAAAAAAGGAAGTTATTAACTTTTACGGTTGTACCTTAGAGCCTTGAGAAAATGTTGGAACATATCAATAAGAAGTGCATCACAATCAAGATCCAGCATCACAACAGGTACTCGGTGCAAAGCCACATTTTTAAGGATCGATGTCCTTTTAGAATATGAGCGATTAGATTTGTTAGCTAGATGTTCAAACGATGATACAACCAACCCGAACACTTCCTGCGCTTGAGTCAAAGATATCATTCAGTGATCAAGCTTGCATCAAACTACATTTGCATACCAAAAAAAGAAGGAAAAAAGTACCCTCATCTTGTCATCATCGTATGGAGCGTTTGGAGCAGTTATCCTCATAATCTCGATGATGCAGGAAGCAACAGCAACTCTCACATTGACATTCGAATTCTTGAAGAGTCTTTCAGAGACTAATGCATTCTTCAACGGAGAGAGCGCTTTCTGGGTTGAGTTAGGAGGATCCTGTTCCACCTCTGGCAGGGAGAGGCAAAGCTTCTGCAGTAATACACAGGAATTGTCATCAAACACAGGTACCAACACATTCACACATAAATCACCTAAAAATACTAGAAACACTAGAAATCCACAACAAACACGAAAATATTGAAGGAAGAGCTCACGTCGAGAATCCGAAGAAGACTCGGAACTGAGGAAGGAAGTGCCAAGTGGGTTAAGAAGCTCTTCCCCAGCTTCCAGAAGCTTCTTCTCGAGGTCATTAACAGAAGCAGACATGACTCCTTCCTCTTCCTTGACTGCTCTCTCTCTCTCTCTTCGTCCGTATTTACTATAGATTTCTCCAGACACTAACTACGAAAGAAAAATACAGCGTATCTGCGCGAGGAAACATACTGATTAGGGTTTTAAGAAACTTCCGAATTAGGTCACTCTTTCATCTTAAATTTATTGTCAAATCTAAATTCCTTTTAAATGATCAATTTAAGTGTGTATATCTCTATATATAATGTTTTTCTAATTGGATTTTACAATTTAAACCTCACCGCTGTTGAGAATCTTGTTGATTTCAAGTACCTTCTCTTCTGTCAATTTCAAGCATAAAAATGTTAGCAATGTAGAACCAAAATATAGTAGTATAAGAAAACAAGTTATCTAGAAAAAAAAAATTCTTCATAGTTGACACCGATGTACTCCATAATCTCGTGTCGACCTTAGTAGGATGATCCCACGACGTAGAAACGACGTATTCAACAAACAACTATAGTTGGTAAGGGTGCGATATAATAATCTGAAGTAGCAACGCTTCACACCGGACTAAACTAACCATGTTGGCAGTAGTTTGCATAAACAGCATTGTTCACAACACCAAACTGATCCAATTCATGGTCGCGAACTTTAAGGTCAATCTCATGGAACCCACTCATTCTGAAGTATGGAACTTTCAATAAGATAGATAATGCTATCTTCAAAAAATACTTCTAAACAAAAAAAAAGATTGATAATTCTGCTCAACTTTTTTTTTTTGGTAAATTAAATTTTATACCAATTTTAAATTTGTGACAAAAGTTACAAAGATAACAAAGAAAAAGGAAAGACCAAAAACTACAAGACAATGACGAAAATACAACATCAAACAAATAGCAAATGAAAATACAACATCAAACACACAACAAGGTAGGCACACACCAAGACTTACCCACAAGATCTCCAACTTCTTAACGCAGATCCATTTTATTGATCTTCAGATTCACTGTAAACTTGATCATGAGTTGAGGATTTTGTTGATTCCCAATATCTTCTCCCCTGTTTGTTCCAACATCAAATTATCAGAGACCTCCCACACACAAAAAAAAACGGACAAAAGCGTTCATTAGGGACCATATCACATACCTAAGATGTCAACTTCCAGCAGGGAAGCTTCTAGGGTATCTTCCTTTTTCTTTAGCTCAGACCGAAACTGTTGTACACTGGTTAAAGTGTCTACGAGGCTTTGTTCCTTTGTCTCTAGCTCAGAGCGAAACTGTCTTACACTGGTTATAGTGTCTACAATGCTTTGTTTCACCTTAGCCAACTGATGTGTGGCAGAGCAAGGTTGAGGGACTCTAGCTGGTTCTGCTTCCACAGTAGTATTCTCCATCATGCTGCCACTTTCGACTCGAGCCCGCTTGTGTGTCTGAGCCTCAGTTTCTGCGGGATCAGATTCTTCAGATGAATCAGCTTCTTCAGAATGCTCCTGGTTCAATCTCCGCTTAAGTACACCGGTTTGCTCAGGGGTGGATTCTTCTGCTACCTCTTGTGTATCCTGCTGAACAACGACTTCATTCTGCTTCAAAGCATTCAATGTCCCATCACATATTGAAGCCACCACATTACTGTACTTGTCTAAAGAGACGCCCGACGATTTCACAGCTTCGTTCAGATACGTTTTGACCTTGCTAGCACAGTTAATGAGAACTTGTTCTGCTAACTTCCGTGATACTTGGGGAATCTTCTGCAAAGTTATGAGACTTAATTAAACACAAGACGAGCGTTGGATGATTTTTGATATAGAAATGTCATTTAAGAGTACGTATTATACCTTATCATCTTTTTTAAGGTGACCTAGAATTGGTGAAAGTAACCCTGGAGGTATATCCTCGCTTTCTTCTAAAACAAGGGTCATAATGTTCTCCATATGTGAGGAAACTCTCATTGGATGGTGATCCCTGTAAAGGAAATAGATAAAGTACAACAAAACATAAGCAGCACACAATAGACCGGTCGTGAACCTACATCAATAGCAAGCACATAAAGCTAAGTCGCACATGATACAGTCCATGGAGAGTCAGAAAATGTAAGGAGTTTATTTTGTTTTATTACGTCACAAAAATGTATGGTTGAATACCTTAGAGTCTTGAGAAAATGTTGGAACATCTCAATAAGAAGTGCATCACAGCCAAGATCCAGCATCACAAGACATATTTTGGCAAGATCCACAGTTTCAAGGATCAATACGCTGTTGGTATATGAGGGACTAGATTTGTTGGATAGATGTTCAAACGTTGATACAACCAACCCGAATATTTCCTGCGCTTGAGTCAAAGAAATCATTCAGTAATCAAGCTTGCATCAGGCTACATCTGCATACCCAAAAAAAAAAAAAATTACCTTCATCTTGTCATCATCGTATGGAGCATCAGGAGCAGTTATTCTCATAACTTCGATGATGCAGAGGGCAACAGCAACTCTCACATGGACATTCGAATGGTTGAAGAGTCTTTCAGAGACAAATGCATTCTTCAACGGAGAGAGTGCTTCCTGGGTTGAGACAGGATGATCCTGGTCCACCCTTCTCAGGGCGAGGTTAAGATCCTGCGGTAATACACAGTGGAATTATCATCAAACACAGTACCAACACATTCACACATAAATCACCTAAATATACTAGAAATCCAAACAAAACACGAAAATAGTGGAGGAAGAGCTCACGTCGAGAAACAGAAGAAGACTCGAAATTGAGTAAGGACGTGGTTCAAGAAGCTTTTTTCCAGCATCCAGAATTTTCTTCTCGAGGTCATTATAAGAAGCAGCCATGACTCCTTCCTCTTCCTTGACTTCTCTCACTCGCTCGTCGTCCGTATTTACAATAGATTTCTCCAAACACTAAATACAACGTAACGGCGCGAGGAAAAATACAGATTAGGGTTTTGTGAGAATTCCGAATTAGGTCCCTCTTTTATCTTAAATTTCGAGATATTGTCAAAATCTAAATTTTCTCTTTATTTTTATTGACAAACCTAAATTCCTCTTAAATAATCAATTTAAGTGTATACATAATGCTTGCAAATAACAATAAAATAAAAATGAAAAAACATATAATGAAATTTCAAAACATATAACTCTTTACAAATGATTTTTTTATTCAAAACAGTGAAACTTAGGAATAACACAAGTTAGTATGTAGTTAAAAGAAGAAATATTGTTTCCACTCAAACCCTCTTTCGTTGAACGAGTTGAAGATATGAATGGGCGTTTGAAAAAGTCTCTGCTCCATTTCCTCCTAATCTTTAGCTTTTACTTTTAAACCTCACGGCTGTTGAGGATCTTGTTGATTTCCAGTACTTTCTCCTCTATCAGTTTCAAACATTAATGTTAGCAACGTAGAACCAAAATAGTAGTATAAGAGAAATAGTAATCTAGCAAAAAAAAAGTAAATAAATGATCATCACCGTTCGTTCAAATCATACCTAAGACATCGATTTCCTCTAGTGAAGCTTCCAGATTTTGTTCCTTTATCTCAAGTTCCGACTTAAACCGTCTTACACCACTTAACGTATCCTTAAGCTTCCAGATTCTGTTTCACTTTTTTCATTAGATCAGAGACGGAACAAGGTTTAAACGGTTCCTTGCGCCTCAAATTTTCTAGATCAGGACTCGATCTGCCGCGAGAAGATCCTCCTTCTGAAGAAACTCGAGCTTTCTTTTGGACCCGAGCTTCTGTTTCTTCTTGAGCCACTTCTTCTTCATCCCTTGATGCTTGAGGTACTTGTGCTGTCTGAATACAGTTCATTTTGAAAACAAAAGTTTTCACCTTTATAGCTTAGCAAAACAAAAAAATTGCATCACTCACAAGGTGTATTTGTTTAGTTTGACCTTAGCATTGAAGCAGAACTTGAGCATAGGAGTTGTGCCATTTTCTACAAACTCCAACTTGAAGGAGTCTCCAGTTTTAAATCTATTGGCTTTACAAAAACTTCTCCAACCTTCTGCCAAGTAAAAAGTTCCTTGCTCATCGGCAGGAGTCAAGTACGACGGCCACTTTCTTCCATTTCTGTCCACTAGAGTTATCTCTCCTGCCTTCTTGATCCCATTCTCTCTAGCAAACGTTCGCGAAAGACGCTACACAAACCATCCATAAAGTAATACAAGAAAAATATGCTAATTTAATTAACCCTAAACCTAAGATGTTAAAAAACTTACAAGTTGACCTGCCTGGAGCATGTAAGGCTTAAAGGTAATTGTCAAAAAGTTGTTCTGCTTCGTTGAAGTAGTACTCTCTGAGCATTCACTGCTTGATTTTTCCGAGAGATGATCTTTTCCATTTGCTTTGGAACAGTTTCCTTCTGGAACAGTAGCGGAACACAGTTGTAGCAAAGGCTTTGTCCCGTTTCGGACAAGTTTAAACCTGTGGAAAGATCCAGCTTCTAGCACATTTACGAAACAGAAGTCTCGCCACCCTCTTCTGATGCAAGCCTGGTCAACTGATCTGTTGTATCTCAGATCAAGAGTCCATGATTTTCCATGATGATTCATTAGATCAATCTCACAGCTTCTCTCGTTCAGGCCATTCGATCTCGCAAAGCCTCTTCACAGAGACTGCAAAAGCGTTACGACAATATTAATTAGTGACATGGTTTCAAGATTATGCTCTCGAAATATGAAAAGAGTAGGAGTAAAGAGTAGTAACCAATGTATCTCGGCTTAAGTTTGACGACGTGACGTGTGCAACAAGATAAGAGCTTTCTGAGGGAGACTCTGTCTCCTTTCTTGGTTCCATCTTCGACGCAATGTTCTTGGAATCTGAACCATCGTCCCGTATATCATCTTCCTCAGACTCAGAGGATATGCAATGCACCTGAAAGAAACTGCGACCGGAGGGTGTGACGTGGAAAACCATGTCCCCCTTGTCCTTGAAAACCAAAACGTCGTCATCTTGAAGACAGTGTACTGTTGAAAAATCTTCCCAGCCGTCGGCGAATCTGCGGCCGTCCAGTTTCACTTCCCAGGTTTTGTCCGAAGTCAGTTTCAGTTTCATGGAATGATGTTTACCTTCTAAGTGAATAGAAAAAAACGCAGCAGGAATCATCTGCAACAACAACAACAACGAGGATGTATAGATTTTGTTTTGTAAGTTGTAACAGCGAGACACGAATAGAGTAAAGAGAGAGAGGAAGTGTAAGTACGGGATTGGATTTTTGTCCATGAAGACATATGACGAATGTTACTGGATCCGCCATTGTTGAAACCAACCTTAAGATTTTTGTCTTTTGATCTTCAAGATTTTGTCTTTCAGAATTCTCTTTGCTGGGATTTTATTCATCATTCGAGACTCATTAATTAATACTGTAATAAGAATTAAAGGCATGCTCTTTAATACTTTACATGCAACGGTACACTTCTCCTTGGAACCATTGAAAGAATTCGTAATTAACTGCATTAACATTAAATGTAAACATGTAGTACTAGGTCTAACCAGATTGTAACTGTAGAAAAAGTTTACATTAACACATTAACAGACCATATTTCTTTTACAAATTAGCCTTTAAGGATAAAGTTGTCACAAGGCTCATGTCATTACATTATCTAGATGGGCCATTTCTTCTGTAAATTTGAAGAAATAATATCCAAATCACAGTCGAGTCAAAGAAACTGGATGTTCTTTGACTGTCTATAGAATATACATTTTTCTTGGCTGTAACATATATTCGCTAGTATGGCACATTTACAATGATAGAGACGACTTCTTATACATAGTCTCTAACGTATATCCAAAGACTGAATTGCGAGTTTGGCTGCAATTGAGGAAATGTTCTCTTTGATGAGTCCCATTGAGAGTTCTAACCTCTCTACTGTATCTTTCATATCCATTGCCTTTAGTTTCTCTTGTTGTAACCTTGACACTTCCGACTGCGTCGATCCTATAAACCGGAGATTCTTTGCTATTAACAATGCTAAAAGAGAACTCTCTGACCCGTAATTTGTTAAACACAAGAGAGAAAGCATATGAACTTACCGGAAACCGGTTGAAACGCGACGAATGATAGACGTTCTTGAAGGGAAGGAAAGAAAGATTCGTCACATTCTACCGGTGGCTCATCTTCAGCCCAATTCAGGGAGTTAAAGAGACGAGTTTGTAGCGGCGAGTCTTCTGGAGCCTGAGAGATAATCCAACACTTTCTACTTATGAGAACATAATAGTGAAAAAAGATCTTTGTCAAGATTTTGTCTTTAAAGTAAGTTTTTGCACCTTAAGTTTGATCTCCAAGCTATTGAGATTCTTGATTGATTCCTTCAGCTGAGAGATTCGTGTGGTTATTTCATTGCTGCTCTCATAGCTCAAACGATCTTGTATCGGCCTGACCTCACCTGATAAATAAGGATCTGCCTGAAACAATAACCAAAATCGGCTTTGATCATATATAACAAACCAAACTATCACATTTTAGTGTTTAAACCAAAGATTACTTTACATATACATTTTCTTACCCCTAAGAATCTTGAAATCTTGACGCGACCAGCGCCTCTTATCGACACAAGTGCTCCAATGTCTAATCTCTCAATCTGCAATGTGTTGGGTTTTAGCTTGATCTCAATTCATGAAGAACCACATATAAAAGATGAGATTTTCTTGAGAGAAGAAGCTTACGTTTTCAATGAGAACCAAGCAGCCGTATCTAGCAGCAAAAGATGCTTCTGTTGCTTTCTCGCTAATCGAAATAGGATCGAGAATGAAATGAACAAACATGTTCTTCTTTCTTTTCATCGACTGCAGATAACCCAGAAACAGAACAGTCACACACAAAAGTGAAATCCATAGATTTTTTTTTTTAGAATCCATAGATTATTATTACCTCATCAAGTAAAGCCAAGTACCTTGCTTCGTACAAATGCAATGTTTTGCTCTCTGTCGGGACAAGAACCTGTAACCATAAGTTAAAACCAAGAATTCGAAATTAAAAAAAAATTCTGAGATATTATTTGGTTTGTTGTGCTAACCTCGCTCATGCTGAAAGGAAGAAGAGGAAGATCGAGTGATTTTGCGACTATTTTAAAACGGTGTCGTTTCCCTGCGCGGACATTGCTGCTGCTTCCGAAATATGAAGTCGACGGGATTCGAACCCGGCCGAGATTTTCAGTAGGGGAGATATAAGAAGAAAGAATCGACGAGATTAAGGTGGAAGTCATCGGGGAAAAACGTAAAATCGCAGTATCGAGAGATTCTCCATTTCTCCGCCAAGCTCAGCCGTAAGATACCATGGTGAAGAAGATAGGTTGTGGGGCCTACTTAAAATATCCGGTTTAGTTGAAACTCGAAATTTAATTAGACCATGTTACCGGTTTAGTTTTTGATTTCTCCGTCTAGTGATTTTTACTTTTTATTTCCTCCTCACATGAGACTATTTTTTTACAGTAAAGCTATTTACATTTACAGTAATTCTTATGCCACAAAGATTTTATACATTGGAGAATAATATTCGAAAAACTTTTCTCCGAAAATCCAAATCACAATCATACTCTACATGCTTGGATCCACTTAGAGACTGTACGATACCATCGAGATTCGAGAGTCTCGGTTATAATTAGTATATACCTACATGTAATTATTGCTTCCTACTTACGCCACATCAATTTCTCTATAACCTAACCTTATCAGTATGAGAACTATTTAGCTTGATTATATAGTCCACAATTTAAGACGAGACCATCTCTCACCTAAGGCGGTCACGTGACCCTTCTCCAAACTCTTTCTCCTTACCTTTTGCTGACTGAAGAGAGGCAGCCTGGAAAGAAAAAGAGAAAGAAAGAGAAATGGTCCGTCGACTATATCGGCGTCCATAAGGAAAACCTCTCCTCTCGCTCCCAACGCTACCGCTCCTATAGCCTCGTCTTGAACTCCTGGCTTGTGGTAACGTCCTTTGGCTCAATTGTCTCCTTACCTCTTCTGGTAACTGCAATGTGAATCTGTCTAGATTCTCTCCTAATGGGACCAGAGAATGACCCGTCGAATGAGATCTTGGGAATAATATCTCCCTTATTCGCCAGTTTGATGACCCTGTGGACCTCGATCGAGGCGGTCTATTGGCTCCGTTGTTATTGCTCCATGTCAATCTATCTAGCAAACGTATGTCTGGAGATTCTAATACACTTCTTCGCGTGTTTCCCGTTTCGAGATCCATTTCTTGATTGGTATGTGGACGTATAAATGGATATGGAAAGCTCTGATCATCACTTCCCGGTTTGGGAGCAAGATTGGCGCGGCAAACGGGACAAGTGGAGCGAGAAGAGAGCCAGACGTCGATGCAGTCAGCATGAAATGCATGGCTACAAGGAGGCATCAAACGCAACGTTTCATCGTCCTCAAACTCGTTCAAGCAAATGGCACATTCCACGCCACCTTTGCCGATCTTTAGCCCTTTTACTTGTGAGTAAAGAAAAGACGGAAACGACTTTACGACATCCTTTTCAAGTCCACGGCTTGTCCTTCTCGTCCGCGGTACATGAACTCCATCGTCGGTGTCAGAGCTTGTTCCAGGAGGAGATGTGCTTGTGTATTTATAGCAAACGCAGCAAGCGAGCATGCTGAATAAGAGCGTGAACATAAGCATCCCAATGATTACCGCTGGTACCTGGTTTGGTCTTACTTGCCGACCATTTGGATCGATGGTTCGAGGCTGAGGTTGGCTTGTGGCTTGGAGAACAAGCAACAGTAGGTAGACAGCACGATGACGTGGCAGGAATGGAATCTTTCGGATTGTCATGATTAGAAGGGAACTTCTTTTTGGCTGTGAATCATCTCTTGAACTCTGTGTTCGAAGGTAGGGAAGAAGTCACAATGCAATAAAATAGTTATTTGGGTGAAGTGCTTGTCACGTTTGATCGTGACAGAGAGTCTTAATTATATTATTAGGTTTAAATATTAACTTTGCTGGGTCGTAATGATTGGTTCGGCTTTGTTCATCTGACGTTTTGACTTTGAAGAAGTGCAAGCCACTTTTCCCTCTCTCTCTTCAACTAACTTGTTAGTTAAGCAACTTGACCTTTTCCAACAAAATATTTGTTTTGACCTAGTCTGATGAATTAAAAGTTGAAAACGATAGGATATCAAAAAATAATCAAAGGTTTTACGATTCTTGCACCTTTTCGATGAGTGTTTTTTTTAGGGCGATTGGCAATTAGGTAAGAAAACTTTGCGAACCTTAATTGTAGTGTAAGCTCATGCTGTTTCATTGTGAATACAAAATTCATTTATTTATTTTTGTTTCTCATTTCATTCCCTTCTACATTCAGATTTTGTCCCAATAAACTTTCTGTAAATGTTAACCACTTCTTGACGTATACACTTAGACAGTAAGATCAATTTTTAAGATATGCATGTTTCAAGCTCAAATGAATATCGATCATTTATTGGTTTTAAAAAAAAAAAAAAAAAAAAAAAAAGATTATCGATCATTTGCGTTGACGCCATGCATAAGGATCTATATTGAACAAAGTTGGTTTTAACATTTGAGTACCAACTGTCATTATATATTGAACTAAATTTAACCAGTTGCACGATTGAGATGACGCCATAATGATCTCTATTCATTTGAGCTTGAAACATGCGTATCTTAAAAAATTGATCTTATTGCCCAAGTGTATACGTCAATAAGTGGTCAACATTTGTTTAGAATATTTGGGACAGTATCCGAATGTAGAAGGGAATTATATGAGAAACAAAAAAGAAAAAAGAAATGAATTTGGTATTCAGAATGAAACAGCATGAGCTTACACACGGGGGCAAGAAGTGATAAGCTTTGCCCCTTAATTTTATTTCGAAGCAGAAGAAACTTGAACATAAACACATGTAATGTTCTCACACGGAATGAAAAAAGAAAAAAAGGTTACACTTGGGATTTTTGTGGGGTTATATCAAACATTTTCTTTGTAGCAATGGCAATGGTTGTCGCTTCCTTCAACAACTCCTTTGCAGACAGAAAGAACCCCGTATTTGGCTACGCAACAGTTACAGCAATCTTTATCTGAACCTAAGAATGGTGCGGACCCGCACTCCTCGGAGAACACAGGATTAATGCATCCAAGCGCAAGGCATTTAGCGGCCTCGCTCTTGAGGATTCCTAGATGTTGACGTATTAATCAAGATTAGCAGCACAATATAATTATAAGAAAATTCAAAGTATAATAGAGAACTTCGTTATATTAATACCGGTTGAAGCCATCACGAGGACAAGCAAGAGAGCGATGAAGCTGATGGACTTGAGGTTCTTTGCCATTACTTTTCTTTTTGTTTCACTTTTGCTTAAAGTTTTTGTATTCCTTTCAATGAACTTAACTTTGGTGAGATATATCCATATGTGTTGTAATCTATTTATAATCAAAATTTTGTAACCTTGTTATCATTGTTTAATCCCTCCAATTTTCGTTTTGATTTATCCAAGTTCATAATGTCGCCACAATGGTGCATTGCTGTCTGTGTCATTTTATTTTTATTTTTTTCAAGTCTTTTTTTTTTTTGTGCACAACTGATTTTATAAATCAAACTTGGGTTACACCTCTCCAAGGAGGGAGGAAGAGATCCAACATAAGAGTTGAATCTAGAGTTACAATAAGACACCACCAAGCTAAAGTAGGAGAAAGAAAACAACAAGATAAATTCAGAATAACCACAATGGATTGATTCTTCCTTTGAGATAGAAAGGGAGGCAGAATTTCCTGAACACAAGATTCTGGTACTAAATTCGTTGCCTGAAGCTAAGGGCACACCACCAAAAGAGGTAGACTTGACATCAGCTTTCTTTAGACCCAAGACCACAACAATATGATCATAAACTGCTTGCTCGACTTTAGCCATAGACATAGCCATCGATGCAAAGCTTAACGATACTCCCTCCATAAAGGAGGAGAAGATTTTCGGTTTCAAAACCGAGAACAGTTCACCTTTCATATAGAGGATCAATGCAAATGTAAATCGCATACCTCTCATGAAGGACGGTGAGGAGGAAACTCGTTCCCGAAGAGAGACATAAGTTTCCAAATAGCAGAGCTTTTTTGGTAGGGAATTCTTCAAAACAGAGCTAGCTATGGGCAGAACACGGACCAAGTCCAAGATTATACAACGCCGGACTAATATAAGCAAACTGACGAAATCGGGAATCCAAGATCCCGATGTCCCTTCACCGGCGAGGAATAGGACGTGAAACTTCGATTGGGCGAAGCTTAGACTGGTGGAGGATGATTGGATGACGATGGTTAAGGAATTGGGGAGAGTGAGCTTCTGCAATTTGACTCCAACGGAGCGTAGATCTAGATCGACCAGAGAGAAAAGACTCAGCAGGGAGACTGTGGAGGGATAATAGCCGTGAGGATGGAGGAAAGGCAAAGTGACCAGAAGATACACGTATGGAGACGCGAAGAATAGATCCGGCGGTTGAGAACTGACCAGCCTAGCTGAAGGTGGAGAAAACGAGATGGAGCGAGAGTAGAACAATGGTCGACCCACCAGAGGACAAAGGCATGACCGTGAAATAGACGGATCCGGAGGTTCCGGTGGAGGATTCGGCGGAGCCGTAAAGAGACTCACTCGGAGGTGAGAAGATCTCAGCGCACGGACTGGCTGCCTCGGTAGAACGACGAGGAGAAACACGAGCTCCGTCCTCAAGAGCTCAGGAGATCCCATCGATCCGACTACCAAAGCGACAGAGCAGCAGAGAAGCGAAAAAGTTCGAGCAGATCTCGTCAGCGGTGGAGCCACCGACGGAGAAAGTGACAAAGCCATCAGACGCCAAAGTGGAGCCCGGGAAAAAGGAGGAGGAGCTCCGATCTCAGAAGGAGAAGAAACGCCGGTGAAGACGCTCCATCCCTGAAATCGGAGCTGACGACGGCTGGATGCGGCGGTCTTGGTTTGTGTGCCTGGGAGAGTTTAAATTAGGGCGAACTCGATATTATTCATACTCTATGGAATATATTTATTTTTTTCAAGTCTATTCGTTTTGTTTTCCAAGTGTACAAAAATAATCTAAAATAATAATTAACCAATGGAGAAGAGGTGTCGCAGAACTCGAGCTCAAGAGCACCATCCACTTGAACTAGAGCTCAAGAGAATGCTTGACCTGCCTACTAGGGTATATATAGATCTCCATTCTCCAAGTAATTTCTCTATTTTTGTACAAGTGAGTGGTGCTCTTCGAGTTCTGGGACACCTCATCTCCATTGGCCATTTACGAGTCATGTCAAGATCTAGTCAAATTCACTCACCCAGGGTTCTATTATTTTGTTAGCTTCCAACCTGGTTGCTGCGCAGCTGGACTCAGACTCTCCCATCGTCACCTTTTCACTATCAAGCTTTGATCTTCGTATTTGTTTCAGGCTTCCATTTCGTCAAGTTGTAGTCGATCGACTTCTTGTTTCTTTTGTGTAAAGTCTTTTTTAATCAATAAAATTATTTAATTTCTTTTACGCATATTGCTTTGTGTTGCCTATTTTTCTTCGTAAGAATTCTATATGTTGTGATGCATAGTTGATGATCGGTATATATAGGCTTTATCTTTGTTTTTTTTTTTTGGCAAAGATATGTCGGTAGATTAGTTAAGTACTCTATAGTAAGATTTACAATACCGCTCATAATGAAATTAACAGTATCATTAAAAAAAAAAAAAAAGAGTGCGTAGTTTATAAAATTTGACGTCCGACGACATGAATGCAATGTTGCTGCCTTAAAAAGGCATAACATCATTGTTTACCGACCTAAAAGTTAAAAACAAGTGTGGTGTGTGGATTGGACTAAGACTAAGTGACTAACGCCATTAAAGTAAGACTTTAGATTATATCTTGAATTCTGACGTCAAAAAGTTTAGGTAAAAATGATAGATTTATGTTCGTTTTGCATGTATTATTAATGGCTATTTGTCTCGACCTTTTAGGTTCACGAGGCATTTATATTGTCAAAACGTTACATATTCTCATCAACAACAATTACTTTTTCTGAGCTATTCTTAAACGAGAATTGGCTAAAACTTAAACAAAACTTACATTTAAAAGGCTAAAACTATGATTACAATGAAACTTGTTTTATCACTACTCTTCAGCAAGAGATGTCACGAATAAAAACATGTAAACTTTTATCTTATATTTTCTAAAACTGAGTATCGAACGAGTACGAAAACGAAAAGGTCAATATTTTTGACCTAAGTGAAGAAAATAAGAGAAGAATCGGTCTGACACGGACCCGTTCCTACCAATTAACATTAAACGACAAATGTTCCATTCTAGAAACAACCACAAGTGTCTCTCGACTCCTTCACTTTCCTAACCAAGGAAATAAGAAAATTTGTAACAAAATATCATTCCAACAATATGGTAATAAACATCATATAACAAAGTATTAGAAACTATATATACGAAATCTTATATAAAAAAATTAAATACAAAAAGGACAAACAATGAACCCAGTGAATACTTCTACTGAATCTATAACATTCTACATGAACAAAGCAGCGACAAAGAAAACTCCGACTAAAGATCCGGCAACGTTCATTGAAGCGGCGTTCGGAGAGTCGGTAGTAGGAGACATAGATTGAGCAGGTCCAGAGGGAACATCTGTGCCAGCTGGAGCTCCAGCAGGGGAGAGAGACGTCGGAGGAGCTGGCGGGGAGGTGGTGGTGGTCGGAGAATCAGCCGGGGGCTGACTCACCGGAGCGGTAATAGGAGTTAATGAAGGCGGATTGGTTACGGTTGAAGGTGCTGGTGCGGAGGCTCTTGGAGATTGAGCCGGTTGAGGAGTGGCGGGGAGAGGAGATATGGTTGGTGCTGGTCCCGGAACCTGGGCGACGGCGGAGTAGGCAACGAGAGTTAGGAAGAGAAAAACGACGACGGATTTAAAAACCATTGTTTACGTAGTGGTGATGGCAAGATTTTTGATGTAGAAAGAAAAAGCTTTTTACGAGAGCTTAGTAAGGAAGCCTGATTATACTGAATCGAGACAAAAATGGCTTTATATAGCGGAAGGGTTGTAATTTCTTGGAAATTTCAAAGCTAGGTTTTAAGATTTAGAGTTATTTTATTTTTAAATACTCCTTCAGTTTTTTATTAAAGAATTTTGTAACATTTTTCTGGTGTTTGGTAAAGATAAAATTTATAGGTTTTCAATACACTTTTTATTGACTAAATAAAAAGATTCAGATTTCAATGTCAAAAGTTATGTTTTTTGGATTTCTATTAGTTTAAAATTCTAAAAAGTTGTTCCATTAAAAAGATTTATACACTTATGATTATTATTGAACTTCAACTTTTTCTTAATAGGTGTGAAAATCTAAGAAAATTTATTAGAATCATAAATAGGAGTACATAACAATTCCAACACCATCCCTTTTTTAATTTGTTTTAGACAATAGTATAACCGAACATGTGTTGTATAACAATCCTTTAACAAACAAAAACATGTGTTATATAACTATTTTTTCATATTTTTTTGCTTAAGAATTAAGATGTAAAACAATTTCTTGCTAAAAATCTAGTTTAAATTTTACATTTAATATAAATATTTATTTTAATAAGTCAACTAGCTTAGATGAGATGACCGTCGGACGGATTTGGTGAGTCTTCGCCGACCCCAACAATTACAACGCGTTATATTTGTCTATTCGATAAACTCTAGAGAAATGTCAAATGTGCGACGTTCTACTAATGCTGCTAGACTTTTCCTTTACAAAAACGAATGTTAACCAATTTTTATTAGGGATTATCAGTTAACCGTTAGTAATCTGAGAGAAAAGTTGTGGTAACGTTCTATTTAATATGGTGTGCTGTGTTACGTGTACTATATCGTACTGTATTATTTAGTGATCAAAACATATGAAAATAGTACTGTACATTTTACTACTAAGTCTTACCCTTTTTAACTGTGCTACTATATACTATTGTACATATTACTAAAGAAAACTGTACCACATAAACGTTTCAAATTAGCGATTTCTGCTTTTTGTGTGTTACCTATTAGGTTAAATAAACGAGAAGTTCTCATATCTTTTATTTTCTTGTAGAGCTTCATAAGTTCAAAACCAACAAAACAACCCTTTTGACGGGACGAGGAAACTTTGTAACAATAATGCCAAAAAGTCTTGAAAAACAGTTTAGACAACACTAATACGACGTAACGTATTACAGGCATGACCTACTCGAGACGAAACGATGATATGACAAGCCGACCCAAAAACAAAATAGATAAGTCAGCAGGAAGAAGGTAGATCTTGAAATATCGAAGAACAATCAAGATACGCGTATTTGAAGGAACATAAATAATCAACCCTCTCTTTCAATAAGTAGAAAATGATATAGGTCGAATTTCAGATCGTATATAATTGGATTAGGGACATTCTAAGCAGAAAGCAAGATACGATAAACATCCCACTAAATACATATTGTTAACCGGGTCCTCGTGTTCTGGTGGTAATGGAGCCTCAGCTGAGATGCCCGCCATCATGAGTTCGAGTCCCCGGCCACTCGGGCTGCCTTAAATGGTAAGAAAACGTGGACTGCCGTAGACATCGTAGGATTAGTCTTGGGTCTAGAAAGCCTTTGGATCACTCACGGTTATCAAAAAAAAAAAAAAAAAAAAAAAATACATATTAAGAAAATCAACTCAATAAGCTGCCGTCCGTGTTTTGTATAGTTGTATTGTAGTGGTACGTGTTCGACCTCAATTGTGGGCTTGACTTTGACGGACTCTTCTTCGATGCTCGCAGTAAGACTCGTGTCAATATATCATTGGTTGTTTTGGACGTAAAGAGACCATGCGATGGTCGGTGTGATTAGGAGAAATGGTTTAAGTTTTCAACACTTTCTTCAATTTTTCCCATTTAGGTAGGGTCAAAAGATTTGTTGTAGGTTTAGTGTTTTGTTTTCACGGAAATTTTACACTAAATACATATACTATTAATAGTTCTTAACCAATTCAATATTTTTAAATCTTGAAATAGGAGATGATTTAAGTTTCAAAAACGATACGACGTACTATGATGCTACGTTTCGATTTCTGTTTGGTTACTTCGTCATTCCACAAGTTCAATAATAAAAACAAACTGCATTTCATTTATTAATTAAGAGTTTTCTTCTAAATATACCTTTTCAATACTAAAGACTACAGGTTTCTTACGAAATCTTTGGATCAACAATTTGATCTTCTTGTCAATTTAGGGAATTCACCATCTTCATAGTCCAATTTGATGGCGAGAGTATTGGGCTGGACCTTTTGTTCATGGACTACTGGGTTAGACAAAGTTTTTCAAGATCATCCTACGAGGTGTTTCTTGTACCCTTGTAAGTGTAACCATATATACATACTATGATACTAATAAAAGAACATTTTATAAATTGAATAAAGTTATATTCTGGCAAATTCAGACACATATTTAAATCGGAAATGATAGAAAACAAGTTAATTATTTGTAGATCGATAAAGATGGAAAAAAAATAACTAGCATGAAACACATACTTCTTTGGATCGACGCAGTCCATGGAGTTTTGAAAAATCCAAACATCTCAGAGTTGTCGTTATGTTCAAACCTTTAACTATCAAAAACCATATATTATGGCATCTTTTATGTATTTGTTTATTTGGAAAACGTCGGAATAATAAAATCATGGTTGTATGTACGTACAAACCAAAAGAACTAAAAGTTATATGTATTTAAATATATATAAAAAATATATAAAATATAAATGGAGTGTGTATATGAATGACAAAGTTTCGGACTTTCTGCGCGCGCCTACCAAACTTGGAATTTTCTAGTCATTTCAACTGACCCGTTTACACTCAATCATAGCCGTTACTAAATCCTTTTAACACATCACAACCGTTGATTCTCCTTTTTTCCTCGAGCCCACACGACCTGTCAACAAAAAACTACAAAAAGCCCCATCTTCAAAGTTTCCCGGAAAATCCCGAGAAACCTCCAACGAACCACCATCAAATCTCATACCCAGTCACTTTCTCTAATTTAATTTTATATAAACACTTAATATTACGTCCACCAACCCAAATAGATGAAGAAATGGCTAGCTTGAGCACGAGCTTGCTCGGAATAGGAAGAGCCTACTCGAGTAACAAGAAGGACGTGAGGAGTAAAAACGCAGCGTTTTGTAAGAAGCATCCAAAACACAGGCAATCACCTGGTGTTTGTTCTCTCTGTCTCAACGAGAAGCTGTCTCTTTTCATGAAATCAACTTATTCTTCTTGTTCTGCTTCACGTCGACGAAAAGCTCGTCAAATCTTATGTTCTTCCTCAACTACTTCATCTCTCTCCTCTTACTGTTCGTCCTCTGCCTCTTCTTGCCCGTCTCCTCTTGTTGATCGGCGATGCTACTTGTTAATGGCTGGAGGCAGCGGCAGAGAAAAAGGAATTTCGTGGATGACTAAAAGCCGATCTGTGGCTCATAAAGTGGATGATGAGCAAAGAAAGAAGACGAGCAAAGGTCGTTTCTTTTTTGGTTTGGTTGGTACAAGAAGAGATAATAAGAGAGTGTTGTAGATTGTTAGATTTGATTGTTCTTGATTCTTTTTTTTATATATATATATATATGATGCGTCTCTCTAATTCTTTCATTTTATACTACGTATAGACGACTAGATCAGTTTGGTGTTTTGAGCTTTCATATTCGGTACGTACTGCAAGTAAGAAAGCTTCTCTATTTACATTGAATAGAAAGAGAAAGAATTTGTCGTTCAAGAAAAAAAAAAAAAAAAAAAAAGAGAAAGAATTTTGCGTTTAACCAAAAAAGGAAGAATGAGAAAGAATTTTTTTTTTTTTTTTTTAACGAGGTGGTTGTGTAGTCTTATATTATTTCGTATTATTGTCGTTGATATTCCGAGTTTTTGGTTTGCTGGTAACATAATACAAGACATGTTTGTAAACATAGAGATCAAGCGGAGTTTTATTTTATGTTATGCTCCTGTGATTAAGAACAATAGAGTTGTTATTTGAATCATGACCAATATAATTTTAAAATGGAGAATTTACATACTTTATTACAAAATGGAAAAGTGTTAAAATCAATTTCGGATCAACTGTCTGATCCAATCCTAAGCAAAACGAAAGAATACAAACAAAAAATGAACCGTCTGTTGTACCATGATTTAAATAGATTCATAATGCAATTGTATGCATCTCAACCGAACTATTTTGCATTTAAACCAAACCAAAATACAACTTGTTCCTATTTTAAGGTAAATATTCTTATGATCTAAAACAACGTAGTTATTGTAGTAGATTACCCAATAATGTAAACCAAAAACCGGCCGGTTTAGTAGTTACCAAATGAAAAACACATGCATTGTTTTTGGTGGATTTAGGAACATTGGAACAGTAGGAGGAAGCTATGTGCTTGATAAAAATACTTTTTCAAGGTAAATAATTCAGTAAACACCTTTCAGTTACAATGAATTATCGAAGCAAAAGAACATGAACTTTCTTTTAACTTGTAATGAAGAATTACATTTGTTTGAAAAACGAAGACAGCAATACGTTTGATTTGATTAAAAATTAAAAATGAAACATTACTTCAAAAGCAGGAAAAAAAAAAAAAAAAATTAAAAGAGAGAGGCAAGAGTAATGGTAAAAAGCCTTAAGGAAAATACTTGAAAAATGAGATCTTCAGCTCAGGATTCCGCATTTTAAGCCTCCCTAGAGAAGGAGGTCCATTCTCCTTTAGCGAAACGATATCCGTTGAATTATCGCTAGGATCAACACTAGTACCACCGAAAGCAAACTTGTAAACTTTGTCATCAGATTTCTTGATAGTGAACGTGCTGTCACTGGCTGACTTTGTTCCCATCAAGTGTACCATGTGCTGGCTGAAAAAATCATCCCTAACTTGCCAAAACCCGGTCTCATTACAGGCACTTGGAAATGCGAACTTAATGTTAAGTTCCGTTGATACGCGTACGACAACATCAGATGATAACACAAACATAATCGGTAAAGGGTGTATTAGAAATGATGATGAGGTCTTGGTAAATACCGCGGTTTCTGGACTTAATGAGTGGAAAATAGGAACTAGAGGGACCTTGAACCGCGAAATATATGTTCCTCCAATCACTTCAGTTTGCGCAAAATACCAAGTGTTGGGCTTAACTGGGCTCCCCCAGAAATCAAGAACTATTTCGTTCTCACCAGATGTTGTTTTTGCAGCGAGTAGGAAAGAGATCATCAGCGTGATTATTGCACCTGTTTTCATGTTTTTGTTTGTTTGAATTCTAAGGGTAAACGCTTGCTACAATTTTATAGAGATTTTTAGGAAGACATGATCAGCTCAACTATAGTACCCACAATTTTCTTTTCTTTTTTTCTTTGTCTTTTACACTCAACGTCTTGCACGTTCTTCTTAAGCTTCTAAACATTAATTATTTTCATGAATTACAACCTGGATCACTGACGTCCCTTAGTTTTGAGTGATCCAAAGCACATTTGGATATATATATATATATATATATATATATATGTGGCCTTCTATAGAAATAATAAGGGTGAAAAGTAACACTAATAGAGTAATACAAAAGTACTTTAAGAATCATTGAATACTGTTCATATCATGGTTTTAGGAGGCTAAAGATTCATACTTGTAACCACGTTGAGAGTTTAAGTACGTCAATATGTATGACATTTAACTAATTTATATGAAAGGATAAATTATTTTAAGGGTACCATAGTTGAACTGATCATATGTCCTATATAAAAATCTCAGTCACTCTGGTCATGACCTTAAAAGCATAATCAGCACAACAATCGTTATTTCACAGAGCAGGAAATAGATCATCAATCGCAATGCGATTATTGTGCCTGTTTTCATCCTCCTCTTTTTGTCATATGATCAGTTCAAAGATAGTGTCCGCAATTTTATTATTTGTCTTTCATACTCAACGTGTCGCACGTTCTTGTTAAACTTCTAAACATTTGTTCTTTTCATTTACAATCTTGATCTAGATTACGATCGAGACAATATGCGTGTACGCCACTTGTTAGTACACTTTAAGAAACAAACACGCTTCATGGCCCTTTATATATTATCAAGGTGGTATCTATATATAAATGAATATAGTCAACTAATAACGGCATGATGAAGTCTACCAAGATTGTAACGAAATTAAATAATAGTTTCAATTCCGACCAGAGTGCAAGATAATAACACTACAAGTAATACTAGTCGTGAAATTTAATTTTATAGAAGTGTTTGGTTGTAAAAATTATGTAAATTCAATGCTAAATATATGGTGTATACTTGAAGACTTATCAAAGGGTAGTAGTAAGAGCATGCTCTAAAAGAAACGGCTCATTGGTTGTAGACACAACGACAAACCATTCTAGCATCCCCCAAATCTCCCCTTTTTGCCGTCTATCAATCGCAATTTCTGCACACCATATTTTACGGTTGACATACTCTTCCCACAAAAGAACCAATTTTCCACCATAATCCGTCAGTTTGACATGACCACTACCAATTAACCTAGGCCATATAATATCCAAACCCTTCAAAGGTTTCCATACTTTTTCTCTGGAGTCATACCAATCGATAGACCTTTTATTATTCAAACGGTAGAACACGTTCTCTATCACACAATGAGCTGATGATGATCCCCATCCTAAATTCATCGCTATGTCTTCCACTCTCCATCTACCTCTATGCAGCTTGTAAGTCGCATCCGCTTCCTTGGACCTCACGTAGATAGTTCCCTCATAACTGATGATCTTGTACTCAGCGCCTCCGCATATCTCCTCGCTAGGGATCTGCAAAAACTCCCAGGTTTGGGTCTTTGTATCAAAAACCTCCATCCAATTCGTTGGATCAAGATCTTCGCAGCCTCCTGTTACATATATTTTCCCATCAAGGGCGCAAGCAGAATGGAACCCACGGCCCAGCCGCATGCTTGGGGCCTCACGCCATTTGTGAGAATGACAGTCCATTATCATGACGCTAGACGAAGCAGTACCTTTCATTAACCCGCCAATAATGTATATATTAGGACCAACCACTTCCCCCTCAGACCAAATGGCGGATGGAGAATCAAGAGATGAAACCGGGGCCAATATCTTTTTGGAGCTATGTGGTCTCCTACAGAGAGTGAACCAACGTAGTTGGTTAGATTTGGCGGGGTAGGGCTCGCGTAGCCTTAAGCACACGTAGAGACAAGTCTCGGTACGCCCTAAGAGGGTTCGAGTCGCGTAGAGCTCCGTTGAAGCAAGAAGAGAGCGGAATCTCTTGGATACTAAGGAGATAGATGGGTAATACAGTCTTGACACACGGGCTAAGCAGTTAAACAACAAATCATCAGGAAGCATCAGAATTGCCATCCTTCTTCTTTTAATAGGTGGCTCTCCTCCGTTCATGGTTATGGATCAGCTTTTCTCTCCTAGGGTTTAAGGTTGCTTTTCACTTAAGAAAACCAAAACCCTAATCACGAAATCAAAACCTTTACTTAAAGAAGATCCTAAATTCTCCCGATAGTAAAACTAATATTGGAGCTCTGAGTAGTTACGAGTCTTGAGATCAGAGAGCTTGGGTTCTCCGACCTTATACATTACCTTTTGTTATGTGGTAACAACTCGAATTCTCTTTGAATCTTCATTCATTTTATTATATTTACCTTTTCCTTTCCCTTCATTGGCTTTCTGTATTCCAAAACTGAAACAATCAGTGCCAACAAAACGCGCAAATCAACAACTATAACTCATATTGGAACTGAATGTTACATTGTAGCTATAATAAGAACTTCTGAGACTACAAATTATTCTCCATTTCATACGGATGCATAAGTTAAACAAGACATAAAACGTGTGTGTGTCGTCATGCAACTAAATATGAAGAGTACGTGTGGCCGTAAAAACTAAACTTATCTTACAACATCTTTTACAACTTCGCTTTGAGCTTACATCGATAAACTAGTAACGATTCACTTCTAGTAGACTCCTTTCTACGGTTAATCGAACAGAGCATTCATGTTTATTGATTGTAGGTGCTTAAATCCGCGTGTGTTTCCTTGTAACGTTGTGCGAGGTATGTCGAACATTTGATCGCTGGATATCTACACAAGCATCCAAAACCATTATTAACATTTGTGTACCACTCCATAAGGTCACATTTAATACAGAAGCTAAAGTCTTACTTGGGAACGTTGCTTTCTGATTTGCATGTCGGGAGACACTCCACAAGACATTCATGATTCGGTTCCACGAAGAACGGAATCTGCGTTCAAAAGAAATTTGATGCAATGTTATATACATTTCAAAACACAAAAGTAATACTGTTGAGAACATTACAAGCAAGAACAGAGCATATGGCTAAAAACATGTCCATAAAGATTAGTAAGAGCCTTACGGAATATCGTTCTTGACCGTTCCCAAGAACTCGATGCATCGTGGATCTGTAATGTCAAAATGCATATGAGAATATTGCGAGCTACAAAACATGACTTTCACAAATCACAATCACTAGCTGGTATAGAAGTATTACTTGAAGAAGCCATTGCTCCAACGTTCAAGCATATCACCAAGATTCACTATAAACGCTCTGTAAACAGAGAAAACACATAAACCCACCAATGAACAATAATACTAAGAAAGGAATATCATTCTCAAGGTTAATGGATGATAGATCCAATGAAGGTTCTTTATAATACCCTTTAATCGGTGGTACATACTCCCACTTCTGCGGTTTGGCGTTCTTATCTTTACAAATCTGCCATCAAGATTTAGCAATTTCTCATAACTAGTCTTGTAGTGTCAAAAAGGTTGAATTGCAAGATACTGTGCTGCTTCAATACCTGGAGTCCCATAACACCATCAGTGGCTAACAGAGTCATCATTCCGAAATCAGAATGTGCTCCACATGCATATATTCCTTTTGACGGATCAGAAATCCCTGAAAGTAAAGAAAAGAAGACAATGAGATTTAACATACAGAGAGCTTAAGTACTCATAATCCTAATCCTCTGTGATCTTCATAAGAAAACTATATTCACCTTGATAGCGCAGTAATCTCATAGTTGCAATAGGCTTTCCAAGCATCTCCTGTGTATCAAAGTAATTCACATCCAAATCAAGTGCTAAAGCCAATAATCTTGCAATATCCTTAGAAACCCTCCTGATAACAAATGCAGAGAAAGCTTAAATTAATCATATGAGAAGACAAAACTTTCTGTGAAATGCTTTCTTGTTTTCAGATTGTCAAGAACACAGATAAAAATATTCTCAATCAGAAATTCTTAACCACCAAAGATTGAGACTTACAATGCTTCTTGATGATATTTCTCCATGGTTTCTCGCCACTTTGGTAAAACATCTAGCACAAAAACATCAAAATCAAATTCAAAGAAAATTGAATAAAAAAAAACAAATTCAAAGAAAATGGAAGTTAACAAAATCAAAACAAAGGAAACAGAAAAAAAAAAAAAAAAAAAAAAAAAAAAAAAAAAAAAAAAAAAACACAAACCAGAATCAGGCCAAGGGTTAGGTCCATAAAATAGTTTATCCCAATCAGGATCATCTTTAGGAACTTCGATACCAATGTAATAACCTTCTTTGTGATCTCCTATAGATTACAAACAAATAAAAATAAAGATTAATTTGTGATCAATCAATTAAATAAACTATTTGATTGAATCTGGTCAAACGAACCAGTGACTTGATTTTCAGGATCTAGAGTTTCATCAAGAACAGGTGTATAGCCACGATGCTTCTCGTTTCTCAGAACTTTCATCTTCTCCTCCAGAGGAAGAGCGAAAAACTTCTTGCTCTGCTCGAAAACATCTTCCATGAAATCTTCGTTTATTCCATGGTTGATCACATAGAAAAATCCACAATCCAAACATGCCTGAAACAACAATTGGAATCAATTTTTATTTTATTTTAAAAATTGAGAGTGATTAAAGAAATGGAGACGGGACCTGTTTGAGGGAAACAACAGAATGATGAAGATCATCGTTGGCGAGATCGATGCAATTAAGAGATGAAACTTTCATTGTCGAGTCTTGCAGCTCCTCCTTCGTGCGATTCTCCATCTCTCTCGCTTGGGAAGAAGGAAAATTATTGTTGTGTTTGTTTTTTTTTTTTCAATCTTGACCTCAGGAGTTTTATTTATTTATTTATATTGCAGCCGCCACGACAACAATCGATTTCACGGTCGTAAAACGAATTTGGTAATAATTAGATTCTTGTTGCTTTTGCCACTTCCGTTAACATCGTAGAAATCTCTCAAGTCGGTCTATTCGCCGTACACTTGTGTCTGATAACTCTGATGATTATTACACGACCAATTTGTTTTTTTTTTTTTTTTTTTTCAGTGGCAGAATAAAGTATTAAAAATTTGCCATTTTGATGATATTTAGATTTTTTGGTGTGGCATGGGCATGGCCGGATATTCGAAGACAAAACAAACAAACAAAAAAAAGTTATTTTTTTGAAATCCCACCTTTATTTATTTTAAATATTCGAAACGAAACAAATCAACACAACCATCCAAGCAAGTGCTACTAATTTTAGGATCAGCTGATTCAGTGAACAGGCAGCTTAAGGAAATTGAAGTATCACTTCTCGTAGGGATGATTTTGGACAAAATTGATATTGATTTGGATATTTTGAAAATTGGACGACTTTCATGTAACAAATGTTTATCTTCAGATTAAGAACTTCTCGTAATTGAATGTTGCTCAAAGTTGGCCTCAAAATAAAGGACGGTGTTATCTTTCGTACCTAAGCGGTTTCAGAGCAATCCATCATCAGTTAGATCAAAACTTATTCTCGAAATCCAGAAGACTGTCATGTCTAGCGTCAAATCTGAACAAGCTGAGAATTGAAGCATGGTTGACTGATCAAGCCCATTCGACCATGCCCCACTCTACCAATGAAAACCCATCGACTGATATTCGCAACAATAAGAAAATATTTAAGGTTTTTTTTCAGATTCATCCTAATTTATTGTGAATTTGACATTAGGTGGGTTTCTCAACTATATTACATAACTTTTCAATAAAAACTAATTATATAGATAATATACATTGATAATAGAATAAGATTTCGGTCATCCAAACTATTTGAAAATCCTTATGAAATTATTATATATATATTACATTTATTATATTTACCATTTAAATATTCTTTCCCTTGTCGCCATTTATTTTGCTTCATTTGCTTATGTTTTTTGTTTTTTTTCAGCAGGAGCTGTGCTTGAACTGCTTTCTCCTGTCTTATTAGTTTCTTCAGCAGGAACTGTGCTTGAACTGCTTTCTCCTGTCTCATCCTTTTTGTCCCCAGTAGACGATTCAGTAGACATATCACTGTTATCAATGAGATGTTATATACAAATATTATCACGTTTTTATATTCAATTTTACATATAAAATTTTGAGCTTGTTGTATTATGGTTATATGACTCATATTTATTAATATATCCATAATTTAGATCACAATGAAGACAATGAAGATGAACATGCCATTTTTTTTTATCATTATTCAACCTAAAGGAATTAGATATCAAGAAAATGAATAACTATTACAGTATAACATTTTAAAATAAGCAAAAGAAGACTCACATCAAAGAGAAAATGAATTTGGTTTTTTTCCAATCTAATTGGATTAAATCGTCTGTTTTCAAACCTCTTGCATCTCTGAGGTTTTTCCATCCAACTCCGATATTATAACCGTAATTACCATTAAAGTTTACCCAATAGGAGTTGCTACCATCTACAACTTCCACTTGAATACCCTTTCGTGGCATCGTAATTCCCATATCCTTTAGTATGTTTTCGGCTTTCTTTTTTGGTAAAGTCAAACGACATAAAGTAGAAACATCTTTGTTTGATAATTTTTTTATTATCGTCAAATTTGAATTCATTTTTGAAATGTTATAGGAATATAACTAAGAAAGCCTTCTCGAAATATTTGAGGAGTCTGGAGATTATGACACAACACATATGTTTATATATTGTTTTTCGGGATCTATATATATTTTTAATTGTATTAATTAAATTAAAAACAAATCTTTCAAAATTTAATTTTATGGATATATTTATAAATTTTCAGATTTTATTATTTTCTAGATTTACAGATTTTAAGAGTAAGTTAATTAATATTATTTTTATTATGCTTTACTGTAGTTACATTTTTTATAATGACTGCTGAAGCCATTTACTATTTTTTTTAATTACAAATATCTTTAAGAAAAACTGTATTACAATGGTTTTTAGTCCTTACTTTTTATTCTTCTAAACTGTATGTATTAGATCTCTTATAACATCTTTGAAACATAAACACTGTCAATATTGTAATAAACACTCTAGAACTCTTTATGTGGTACCTTATATTTTGACATTTATATTGCTGTACTATTACAATAACTCAAATTATCTTTAACAATTAAAATTTTAAATTTAATAACAAGAATCTAGTTTTTCAGGTCAATAACAAGAAGTCTAGTTTTCTTGTCATTAACAAGAAATTAATTAATAAACAACAATTTCTTTGTATAAGCATTTTTAATAAATTGTAAAGCCACAATATACAAAATTTCATAATATACATTAATTACTAACCGGTGCATAATTAACAATATCATAATTACAAATAGATTTAGTAAGAGTTTATTGGTCAAATAACCAAAAATGGAAAAACATTTAACAAAGTAATAGTCATTTATTTAATTTATTTCAAAAATTTCGTGTGGACAAATGCCTTGAATTGTTTGTGTATATAATATAGCACATAATTTCATGATAAGAAAGGCTTATCTTTTTCCAATAAATCAATTATATGGATATATTTTCTAGATTTCCATCATTGTTACATCTGTGTAGGTTAAATTAGCTTCAATTTATTTATGTACAAACTTGCTTTTTAATTCTTTAATTTCCAATTTATTCCCAGACATAATCTAAATTTATTTCAAAATCTAAAAAATTAAAATTTATTAATATTATCACAATTTTACTTGTAAAACATCTAAAATGTGCATTAGGGACCTTATATTGTTGACATGTATATATGATTTTTAATTATTTACCTTTTCACAATAATTACTAGCTCCCCATGAGTTTAAGTAGTTATAATTTTCTGAATTGTAATACTTTAATAACAATAAAAAATTAGTATTCAAATATAAAAAGATTATATATATGATTTTCCTAATTAAAACTTACAAGTTTCCACAAAAATAAAAAAAAACTTATAACTCGACCATAGCATGCATTTTAAAATTTTGTAAATACTCGATCATGATATACTTGAGTAGTTTGTACTAATTAATGCCATTGTTATTTAACCATCCAAGTCCAAACCTGTATGTTGCATGTGTAGTTTCCTATCAAGCAACTAAAAAAGAATGGTTAACCTATTATAAGAGTTTATAACTAAAAATTTGTTCCAGTTTTTTTTTCTTTTCTAAATTACAGCTGAAAGACCGATAGCAGGTTCTAAGGTTCATTTATGTCCAATTGAAAAGAAAATGCTCGATTGTAGGCAACTATCGATATAAATAGCTTTTAGTTTAGGTTCGTGGCAAAACTTATTTCATGTAAATAATTGTAGAGACCATGTTGGTTCTATTATGATTACTAATGTAACCATCTTAACTTTGACCCCAAAAAAAATGTAACCATCTTAACAAGAAGCTATAGTATTTGTTTGGGGAAAGGTAAAAGAAGAAAGAGTTTGCACCTACTACCTAGCCATGTTTCGTATAATCTTTTCGTGTCGATGTTTTCTTATCAGAACACACAAAAAAACCATGTCGTTCAATATATATATGTCAATCTTCTCATTACTACCACATCTGAAAGATCTCATGCGTCCTTGCTACAAATGTTCACGTATGTTCTAGTTATGCTGATGATATAGATCAATCATACTTCAGTAATACGATGTATAATTCAAGGCGTAAATAGAGATTCTATTCCGACCTAGGATTCAGTTTCTTGACTTCTTGCTTGGATTTACTCTGATAAATTGATAATTTGTGACTATTGAATCCGGAGTGAAATACAAAAAGTAACGAATACAAGTTTTCATTTGGGATTAACTGAAACCAGAGTAAACAGAGAGAAAGTATCCAACTCGAAAGTAGTGTGTAGTGGGTATGTGAATTGAATTGCTTATGCCTTGGTAATATGCTCGCTGCAAAGAACCTGAGTCAAAGGTAAATAGTGAAAAAGAGAAATCAGCCAAATGTTTGTGCTACAAGAGATTAGAGATGTCAACGCCTTTTAAAGTGCTTGACACGTAAAACAGGATAAAAATTTCATGAAACTCATGCGACATATATGTGTTTTCATAATCTTATGACAACCGCAAACAGAAAAACGTTGCACCTTCATGTGTGTTTGGTCGGCACAAAAAATCAGAAGGCAACATAAGTAACTAAGTAAGTCAACATATCACCAAAATAAACTCACTCGTGGCAAAGTGAATGACAAACTCAAAAGTTTCAAGTTCATAAAGCGACCTTGTGTTTAAAGGTAAGACAATCATTTCCGGACATGTGAAATCGAATATGTAGGTGTAATGGCATTATTATAATTTAAGCAATTAATACATTACGATAACAAAATATAGAGATTGTCTTAATATAAACATAGCCCAACACAGATAACATCAAAACATAAACTTTTGATGAAAGAAGAATGTAAGATAGTGTACCTTGGCTGACCTACAAAATCAGTTGCCGAAAGCAAAACGTTTGTAGCGCTGAAGATGATGGATGAAAAGATCTACATGATAAAACCATTCTTGATACCAACGTGAGTCTATGCAGAGGAAGGCTAACAAGGCCAAGGATGTGGAGATGTAGACTGCACCACAAGTCCAATAAAACCACTCCATGTCTATCATCACATCATCTTCTTCCTCATTGGAATGTGTTAATGCATTTGCCTCTGGATTTTTTGTGGGGTTGCAACTGATATTTGTAGGAAGTCCACATAGATGAGCATTACCTATGTAACTCCTATTATCAAAGGTTACAAGATGGCCTTTGAAAGGGATTTCACCGGAGAAATTGTTGCATGAGACATTGAAGTATCCTAAACTGTTGAGGTCAGTCAGCACAGGAGGGATTTTTCCATAGAGCTTATTGTTGGATAGATCCAAACTCTCCAAGTTCTTGAGCTTTGAAATGTTATATGGTATGGAGCCTGTGAGACGGTTGCTTGAAAAATTCAAACATCGTATGTTCACCAGATTTCCAATCTCAACTGGAATTTCACCAGATAATCGGTTACTCGACAAATCCAGACCATACATATACTGAATAATATCACCTTGATATGCTTCATATCTGTTTTTCGTTAAAAAATCCACAACGGTTCCTATTGTGAAAATAATACCACGCCCTTCATCGTTGGTAGCGGGGTTAATAGCTGGTATGTAACTCCAATTTTGCAAAAATTGAATGCCTGTTCCAATAAATTTGGTTTCCCATTGCATTCTATCGTCATCTCTTTCGGTACCAAAAGACATGTTACCCAAACATGATGGTATAGCACCACTAAATTTATTGTGAGATAAATCCAGGAGACCAACTTCACTCAGCTGACATATTTTCTCAGGAATATGACTTTGTAAGTTGTTATTTCGCAGAAGAAGAACACGTAAGCGAGACATCTTGCTCATAGTGTTCAGAATCTTTCCAGAAAAATTGTTGTTCCGCAAATCAAGAACTTCTAATGACTCAGCTGTAAATAAAGTGTCCGGAATATCCCATAAAATCGTTGTTTTGTAGTTTCAATTGCTGAAGAGATGAAAAATCCACATTCCTTGGTATTGAATCCAGAGAAGCTATTGTGTGACATGTCCAAAACAGAAAGCTGTAGACTCTGTAGTAGCTGATGAGGGAAATGACCTTTTAGCTGATTTCCCCTCATGTATACAGAAGAAAGGCTTGACATTCTCTCCATCCAAAATGGAAGCGTGCCAGAAAAACTATTATCTGATAAGTCTAGAACCACTAGCTTCTTTGAATTCAACAATCCCTCTCCAATAGACCCAGTAAAATTGTTCCCATCAAGTAATAAGTCATATAAACTAGTGAGATTTGCATGATCTGGAAATATTTTACCTTGGAATTGGTTGTTGGAGAGCCTTAGAAATTCCAATGAGTAGCAGCCACTCAAAAATGTTTTAGGTAGCTGCCCTGATAAACCGTTAGAAGACATATCCAATGATGCTAGAGTTTTCATCTCTCCCATAAGATATGGAATGGTTCCATGAAAATGATTTGAAGAAACATTCATAAACCTCAGCGTTGGAAATACCACCCCTATATCTTCTTGAATTGAATCATTTATCATATTACTCGAGATATCGAGAGATATTAAGCCATGAACAAGCCTAGGTAGCTGAAGCTCTGTCAACCTATTGTTATTCAGAAGAATTGCCTCCAATCTTGGGTTATTCTGCACAAGCCAAGTCGGAAATGGTCCGGTCAACTTGTTATGTGAAAGATCGACATAGTACAAGTCATGCTGGTGAAAAAGAAAGCCAGGAATCGTGCTGCCAAGAATGAAGTTCTGTAACTTCAGTATCTTCAACTGAAATAGTGGAACCCACGAGCTCTCAGCCTGAGTTTGGATCAAACCAACTTTTGATGACAATGTGAGTATTGTGAGCCTTGTTTGATTGACCAGTGAGTTGAACAAGAATGAACCATTGAAGTTATTATCAATAAGGAACAAGTACTCAAGAGCTGATGGTAGACCAGACACAAATGAAGATAGGTTTCCGTTCAATTGGTTGTTCGATAGATCAAGAGTTCGAAGGCGACTTAAGTTACCCAGACAATTAGGCATACTTGTCAAAGCATTGTTTTTTAAATCCAGCTTTTGGAGATTCATCAACCCGCAAAGCTTTGAGTAGCCTGAAATAATTCAAAATGAGAAAATTGGTCGGAAGAGGCTATGAGTTTTGACGATTGGAGCAAGCAATGTGAAAGATAGTGAATGAACGAGAGTTTAGGAGAGATCAAATGATTTTTAATAGTTCACCTTTGTGGGCCGACGACAATTGATTATTTTGAAGATCCAATACTTGTAAAGAGGATGGAAACACTAAACCTGCAATTGGAAGATATAAATTAATACTCAATATAAGTGTTTTTAAGGTTGTTGCACATAAATTGAGAAAATATGTTAAGATTTCTGAAATACTTCTAATTAATACATCATACTCTCTCCTTTAATAAGTGTCATTTAAGCAAAATGAGAATTCAATGTATTTGGATATATTAAACTTAAAATAACACTTATTGTTGTCCAGATACATCCAGTTATTATTGTTCATATACTATTTCTTCAAATGACACTTATTATAAAACATAGGGAGTAGTAAAGAATTCTGGAATGCTTAGGAGTCCGTAGTAGTAACGAATATATTCAGCAAACCAAACAATATTAAGAATCCTTATCACAATCTGTTTCTATTATATTTTCACTAACCAACCAAGATGATTTAGTAATATAATTTAAACTTATCCTTATCTGATGCTTCTGACGTCTATAAAGTTAAAAACCCAAGTTTAGAGCAAGCGAGTTTTTCTCTTGACCACCGTCTTACCTAGGCTGTCTAAGTCGGTGAAATCATTGCCGCTTAGATCAAGTTCTTGCAACTTTGGCATATCTTTGAGTACTGCACCAACAAAAATATCATTCTTACTATATATTCAATTTCCTGTCATAATATATTTTATTTCTTTACCTTGAATAGATCGAGTATGGTTAAAATGATTGGATGCTCAACACTTCTAACACTACAAGATGTTCTAAGCCTGGAGATCCCCAAAAAAAATGTATAATGATTAGATTTAATACACATATTTGGCTAAAATCATATTGTAAAATCCATGCTAATCATATCGACTTACCTTTAAGTCCGGCAATGTCTGAGAATTCGTTGTGTCTAAGATCTAATTCTTTCAGCTTTATTTTTCTTAACCCTGCACAACCATATTATTCTCTCATTAACATACTTTTTTTCAAGGTGCGTGGAAAAAAAGACTGATCATAATAAATAAAAACAAATCTGTTATGGCGATTCTTACCTTGAATAGATTGGATGGGGTTAAACTGGTTGAATGCCAAGCTCAAGACTTCTAACTCTACAAAATGTTCTATACCTGGAGATCCCAAAACAAAAGTATTATGATCATAATTGGCTAAATATCATATCTGTAATATCACTTCAAGAAAAACAGGGCTGTTTCTGATGGAATTACGACGAATTTGGGAGGAGAGAACAAAACGTTTCCGTCCAACACAGAATTTTCGTGTAGGTTTGAAATCTTATACACGTTATGTTACAGTCCCTGCTACTAGACTCACCTTTAAGTCGAGAAGTGTTTGAGAATATGTTACTGCTAAGATCTAACTTTTTCAGCTTCGTTTTTCTTAACCCTGCACCACGATATTACTTTATCATTAGCTAATTATGTTATATAAGCCAACAAGAAAATATCTTCACTCTTCTCACCGTCACCAGCCTCGAAGTCGTGTAGACTATTCAAACTTAGATCCAATTCTTCCAATTCCCTGAAATTATTTAAACCTGCGCACCAATGTCTCCAGTATTAGTCTCCCTCTAGTGCACACATGTCCACTTTTTCTTAAGATCTCAAAAATTGATGAATTCAAACACATATGGGGGAGTAAAGCTTTCCGATGTGTTCTTCGGGTTTTTGTGACATATTAAGGGAATCAGGATTACCTCTCGGAGGAAAGATACCATCCAGTGAATTTTTAGCAAGCCTTAGAATCCTGAGCGACCTTAATTCACTTTACACTGTAGTTGAATTTATTATAAGACAAATCAAGGAACTCCAAGTTCTGGAGTCTCTGAAAGCTCTTATAACCTGAAACGATTAAAAAAAAATGTATTAAGGCTTGAGAGGGAACCAATATTACATCACGTGTTTCGGCCCAAAACCTTGTGGAGAAAAAAAAAAAAAAAAAAAAAAAAAAAAAAAAAAAGGTCAGAACTTACCATGGATGGGATCAAACAAGTGACTGAAATCATTCAATGACAAGTCAAGGGTTTTGAGTTGAGGGAAGGTATGGAGCAAAGAAAGATTTAAACCACAAGTTTGATCCAAGCTGAGGGACGTGAGTAAACTAAGTGAGAGGTCGACGATGTGGCCACCAATAGCATCACTGCACTTTATGCTCTCCCAATTGCAGCAATCACTTGTAGGATCATCATCAATCCATGACTTGAGAATATTTTCATCTTTGTAACTACTAAAAGAGTTGAGATACGACTTGAGCTGCAACAAACCCATCCGTTCAGTTTCCACACAGCCTACACATCCTTTCATTTGGAATTGGAGAATCATCATTACTGTTATGAACACCAAAGCCATCTGCTTCTTCTTCTCCTTAACCCACCACCAGCTTCTCATCTTTATTTCCTGTATTTAAGAAACTGAATTAGAAACTAGACAGACTAAGTATTTTATTTTTTATCTCAGTGTAGATTAGAGCTTAAAGTCCTTACCATCTTGGGATAGAATTTTTCTGTGCTCAAAAGAACAAGATGAAAAACAATGAAGATTGACCCTTGACTTAAAACTTCATATGTTAATGGAACGTGTGATTTGGGCAAGATGTCTTTTCGAGTAATTGGGTCTACCTGAACGTGTGGTTTAGGCAAGAAGTGGAACCTTTGGCTACTTCTGTTATGATATTTGCAAGTGGCACTAAAAGATTTATTCACTTAAAGTTTTCTTTTGTTAGTTTTAACTTTTAACTTTTCATAATGGTGAGAATTATGAATCTATGATGATGCTCAAATCCCTAAATAGCCTGAAATTAGTCAATTAAGAGTGTAAGAAAACAGAACAAGCATCAACCCCATCTATAAAACGGAGTAAGTAGATGTTTTCAGTTGTTTTTTTGTACTATATCTTGAACCATTATGATACATTAGGTTTGTTAAAATAGTTTTGTACTATATCCTGCACCAATCTATAAAGTTTCGCTGGGCATCGATTGGTCAGACGCTGAAAGACCTAAACCAAACGGAACAAATACACAAAATCCAAACCAAGATTTTGTTGAGATCGACCTCATTACTTGGCAATTATTACAAAGGATCATGGATTTTCAAGATTCTAGTTTGGAGGAATTGGAACTCGATCTTCTTGTACAGCATTAGCATGGTGAGTGTAACTATTGGTTTTTTTTTAAAGCGTGTTCTGCAAGCATATTGATCACAAAAGTAAGATCAAGCTTGTTAAGGGTTAATTTGGGTTAATTTTGCTACGTCACGAGTCCAGTGGCAAGAGAAAATCTTATTACATTGGTAAATTTTTGTTATCACAGTGGATCGTACTTCCTTTTCCTCTCCCTTCTCCTCTTCTGATTTCACGATACTTGTGACACGAATGCACAATGGTGTCATCTTAGGTTACTAGGTGGCAGGGCCGGCCCTGAGCATACGCAGGGTAAGCGGCCGAGTAGGGCATCCAATTATTAGAGGCATAATTTTGTTAAATTTTTTCTTAAGATGTATAAATATCATTTACAAAGTTTTAACAAGGGCATATTTTAGTTACTTAAATTTTTCTTAAAGATATATATATATATATATATATATATATTATGTATAAAGTTTTAACAAGAACATATTTTTGTTAATTTTTTTTAAAGGGGTTTATATATGATTTACAAATTTTTAAAACCTTTTTAGTGATATTAATTTTTATAGGGCATTTGTTAACAAATACCTGCGATCTACCATGTCACAAGAAAGGTTAAATGAATTGGCTTTGTTATCGATCGAGACAACTATGTTGAAAAACTCGATTATGTGAGTTTAATAAATTATTTTGCAGCTCAAAATCCAAGGAGAGCTATATTTAACTCATAAATATAGCCATAAGAAATCAGTTTATATATTTTTCGCAAACTATTTATAAAGTGGGAATTGTTTATTTAGAACTTGTTTATTTTATGAAATTTTAAGGGTTTTTTTATATATTTTTACTGTTTTGTGATTTTGGAAAAAGAAAATTGAAAGGCATACTTTTTAGATTTGAGTAGGGCATTTAAATTCATTGAACCGGCACTGTTAAGGTGGTTGGCGCTACATAAAAATGCAAAGATTTGGTAATCTCAAAACCTTGAATTTTGAATATATTCGTCGGATATTAGTGAATGGAGTAACACACACGTCTGAATTCCTGGTGATGATAGTGATGATGATCGTGAGCTGGTGATCTCATACTAGACCACCACTATTTGGATCATGAAGAATTTACGTCATGTCCCTTTGCTTTTTACTACTAGACCACCACTATTTGGTTATATATTGCACTAAAACATTAACTTCTTGCAAAAATAAAACATCTAAAGTCAAAACGTGGAAATTGTTTGATCGTCAAGCATTTGTCTTGGTACATTTCTCTATACTGACCATATCGCAGTTGAATGCTGTGATGGGCGAAGATAGGTGTGAATAAATCATATTCCGTTAAATCAGCTGGTTGGGGAACTAAAGGAAACATTTTCTAACTCTTTGGATCGAATCTTATTGGTTCAACTAATTTTACTATAAGAAAAATAAATATATATAATAAATTTGGACCACCTCATTTAAAGAATCCAACTAACATACACCCACCTTTTATTATGTCGCTCTATTAATAACACCGAAAGTCCAAACCAAACAAAAAAAGCATGAAAAGATCTTAAAGAAACACAAGTCGTCGTCTCGAAAACCATAAGGATTACAAAAAGAAAGAAGATCAATGGAGGAAGATTACAAAAGAGTGATTAACATTACAGTCATTGGAGTAATCTCATGGGGACTCATGTTCGTACTCGTCCGACGAATCTTCTCAAACTACTCGTTCGACTTCAGCACTCGCATTGTCTCGACGACTCACGCCACAGTCGCGGTCGCTTTAGCAACTCTCACGATTCAAGATTGGTCTTCTCCTGTTTCTCCCATTGCTTCAACTTCATCTCTCAAGCAGATGGAAACGTTGGCGTTTTCATTGTCGTACATGATCTACGATCTCATTTGTAGTCACTTTGATAAAGTCCTTAGCATTGATAATGCGGTTCATCATTCTGTCTGCATTCTTGGTTTTGTAGCTGGACTTTACTACCGAAAGGTAATTTATGTACTTTCTTGTTTGGTTTTTCTTTTTTACTATTGGATTTTTGGAGAACTAAGTGATTAATTTTTTTTGCATTTTTATATTGTGGTGAAATTAAGTGTGGATCGGAGATGGTGGCAGCATTGTGGATAACAGAGATATCGAGTCCATTTCTTCACCTCAGGGAGATTCTTAAAGAGATTGGTTACAGAGACACCGATCTCAATCTTGCCGCCGATGTGAGTATTTTACATACATATCTCTATAGTTATTACGCCGATAATTATTTGTCAGATTGGCAAAAAAAATTATGAATATTATTATCAAAACCAGCACACGTAAACAAAGTTAATTTGTCAAAATCTTGCAAGTTGTATAGAAAATCTCTGTTACTTAGAATGATATAATATTGGTAACTTAAGAAGTCAAACCATAGTAAATTACTTTTAAATTTATCTAAGATCGTGGAGGAGAATTAACTACCTACAGTACAAGTAAACTAGTACTAATAAACTAATAATTAATAAATGATATGTAGGTGTGTTTTGCAACAATCTTCTCATTGGCCAGAATGGTGGGAGGACCTTACCTCGTTTACGTAACAATATCAGCTGATAATCCCATCCTTATCAAGGTATTGTTTCTACAAATATGTGAAACGTTTCAATTAACACTATATTATTAGTTTATTACTGAAATGAAGATTTTGTTTTGTAATGTTTGTATGCTGTCCGCAATAAGTTGATCAACTTTTGCGCATATAACAAGTTTCAACTGAAATAGATCGTTCCTTCATGATTTTTTTTTGTTTCTAATTTTCAGGCAATGGCTTTGGGATTACAACTTGTGAGCGCATTTTGGTTCTATAAAATCCTTAGAATGATGAGATACAAACTTAAAAAAAGATCAACGTCCAACAAAAGATCTGCTTAGTTTGAAGTTAGTCTACTGATTATGATGTTCGTGAATTCCAAATTTTTTCTTTATAAAAAAAATAAATCCAATTTTTTGTTTTTTTTAATTATACTTGAAGCTTTTTATTTGTCTTTTGCATGAAAATGTAAGGAATTGGGGATTTACACCAATAAATTATATGAAAATATCAGTTCATCAAGTTTTATACGGTACCATCAGTGTATACACAAATTTAATTTTCATAAAAAAAAAACTTTAACCGACGAAGTGAATGACAAAATCAGAGCATTCGGCGTTTTATAATCTGACTTCTGAAAAAAAACTAAATTTTCTTTTGGTGAACTTAATTTATATCATTTGTCTCTTGACTCTCTTTCAATGGAAACCATTAAGTAACGCCGCATCAAGTCAAAAAGCCCAATGGAAAATCTTCTTCTCCTAAATTACAGAAAATCAAAGTCTCCAACTCGTGTTTCATCATTTCACACCTCTCAGACACTCTTTCTTCTCGTATACGTCACTATCTTTGAATTTTGCCATAACGAATACGATTGGGAAAGTCCAGATTCAAAATGCAAGATTCTGGGGGTTGTTGTAGAATGATCACTAGTTTACTCACAGTATTTAAGATTAAAAAAGTAGATGGGGATTGTTTATTTGTTTTCCAATCCTCACTAATTGTACACATATTTTCCGTAATTACTCGCTTTACAGCAGGAGAGATGTGTTAAGAAGAAATTCCTACCAATCTCAATACTCAGAACAAATTTGCAAACGCAGAAACATGTGTTTAAGTTAAGAAAATATAACCTGAGGAATGGCAGATGAATAATAAGAGAGAAAGAAATCTGAGTTTTCAGTACAATGCAACCGATAAGAAAAGAGTAAACAGATTAAAAACCCAGTAGCATCCACGATTAGGGAAGAGCAAACAAAGGACAAGAATAGACGGCCTTAGAAGCTTCGAGGATATCAAAAGGATGATAAGATCAGAAGAAAAAAGAAAAAGAAAAACACCAAAGCAAAGAACATAATGATAATAATTGGATATCTTTAGAATACTGAATAACAAAGTAGAAAGTCACAGACTTAGGTCTCTTTCTGTTCTTCAGCTGGCTTTGGTGCTGCTGCTGCTTCTTTGATCTCCTCTGTACCTTCGTCCTGGTTAATATCATTCAAATCAACACAACAGAATCAGATATAATCCAAAATAAACCATACTGAATTTCAAAACCAGAATGATTGAAATTCACACAGCAGAATCAGATCAGGATAAGGAAGAAGACAATGGCATCAAAATGCAGGACTAAATGTAAACCCTATGAACAATGTTTGTAGACAATTCCAAGCCACAAAATGTTAACCATCATACCCATTTGAATAAACGTTTACAAGGATTGAAGATTAGTTCTTGTTACCTGCATGTCAGAAGTCCAGAGAGTAAGGTTGTCACGGAGAAGCTGCATGATCAAGGTACTGTCCTTGTATGACTCCTCACCAAGAGTATCCAATTCAGCAATTGCTTCATCAAACGCCTGTTCAAAATCCCAATTACAATTTCGTTAATCACACACACACAAACACCAACAACATGAATCCATCATCCATGAAGGTATATCAGAAAGTTTTATCGTCACCTGCTTAGCGAGATTGCAGGCACGGTCTGGAGAGTTGAGAATCTCGTAGTAAAAGACGGAGAAGTTCAAAGCCAGACCCAGACGGATCGGGTGCGTTGGAGCCAATTCGGAATTAGCAATGTCCTGCAAAACACAGATGAATTCACGACTCTGATCTAGAAAACTAAAATCGCAAACGAGATCTCACAGAAATCGAGTCATTTGATGTGTTCCGGTTTACAGATCGGAGGGAGGAGATATACCTGAGCGGCTTTGTAAGCGGTGAGAGTGTGCTCGGCGGCGTCTTTCCTCTCCTGACCGGTCTTAAACTCAGCCAAGTACCGGTGGTAATCTCCCTTCATCTTCAGGTAGAAAACCTTGGAATCTCCGTTAGCAGAAGCCGGGATAAGCCTAGTGTCGAGAAGCTTGAGGATACCGTCGCAGATTTTGGAGAGCTCGGTTTCGATCTTGCTTCTGTAGTCGCGGATCGTGGTGACGTGGTCGTCGTTGCCGCGGCTCTCTTCCTTCTGCTCGATGGAGGAGATGATACGCCAGGAAGCACGACGAGCGCCGATTACGTTTTTGTAAGCGACGGAGAGGAGGTTTCGTTCCTCGACGGTGAGTTCGTCTTTGTCGACGGCTTCGGCGACTTTCTCCATGAATTCAACCATCTCTTCGTATCGCTCCGCTTGTTCCGCGAGCTTCGCTAGGTAAACAAACTCCTCCCTAGCCGAGGATGATGCTGGTGCTGCCGCCATTTTCTCTCTTGTTGTTGTTTAGATCGGAGACGAAAAGCTTGAAGATGAAGGATTCAGATCTGTGAGAGAAGGAGAAGGAGAAAATGAGAGAGAGCTTTTTTGTTTTCGAATTTCAATTTTTCTGTGGGGTCTAAAAGATATTTTTGTTTTTTGGTTTTTTTTTAATTGTTAGTGGGGAGCGACGATTGCGAAGGGAGATTGAAGGAGGACCGTTGGATTGAATATGTGAAGATGGAGAAAGCTGTAAGGACGAGAGCACACGGGAAATTTAACCCCAACGAACACAGTTTCTCTGCCTTTCCTGATACTTTTGGGTCAGTTTTTAATTATTCTAAGTTAAAATAATATTACTTTCTTAGAAAATTTTCTTATTAAGTAAATATTTCTTATGGGCCTTTAGTCCATGCCGTTGGCCTTTTTAATATATAAAAATACAAAATTGTCAACACGTTTTCCTTCTTTGACTGAGAATTTTGTTTTTATAATTTTAATTGCAGTTTTTTTATTTCAAACTCAGATCGATCTTGCCGGTCGGATAGATTTGGAATTCGATCCGTATATATCAGTAAATACAAAATAATATCTTAACAAATATAATTGATCGTATATAATCTTTACTAAAATATAGTATAAACCTATGCAAAACGTTGATCCAAATCCTAGTACATATTATATATCACAAATGTTAACGAGTTCATGAATCAATGACCATATCATAACTTTTAATGGGTAAAGTCGTTAGAGATTAGGGATTGGTGTAGTTCAAACCATTATATAGACTATATATTTTTAATTGTTTCTTAACATCAGATATACACACGCTAAGATCATCTTGATCATCTTTAATTTCTCTAACCACATTAATATTTACTTATAGTCGCAGTTCTAATTAGAGCATAAAAACAAAAAAAAAGTCATAGATAATAGCAAATGATTTCATTAGTAATTCGTGTTACAAAAAGAATAATAAATCAACAAAAGAATATTTATGAATAAAAAAGAATAATAATTGGAGTATATGATTCTAGATTTAAGTTTCTGGTGTATACTAATATGGTATCAACTTGAGTTTTCAAAACAGAGTGGAGCAAGCAGAAGTTTCCGGGTCAAACAAAGCAGGAAGCAAATACTTCCTCCCATTGGCTCCCTTGGCATTATAACTCCCACCGGTCGTTGCATCCACAAGCAACTCACCAGCATAACCAGGATACGAACCTTTTCCATAAGCTCCGGTACAAGCCGAACCGGCCTCAAGCGGCGCCGTTTTAGGCCCTTGGTAGTACCCATCGCCGAAAGGGTTTGTTGCGGTTCCAGCCAACAAACTCGCCAAGTTAACCACCATACCATCTAAACCCACGTCCTTGTTAGGCGCCTTAAGTGGTGAGCTTTGAGGCCCGTAAACCGGCGCGTGGAAAGGCCAAGCGCATTGGCCTGGACACTGCGTCTCTGAGTTTCCCACCCAGATGTAAGCGAACTTTGATATTTTCTTGCCCGATAACCCGGAACCTAACCCGTGCGACCCGCATCTGTTCATGCAAAAGCCTTGTACCGACACGTCAGCTGAAGTCAACACCACGTTGACCGCGTAGCTTTGACGGCCTTTTGCGGCTAAGGCTTTGATGTTTCTCTCCGTTAAGGATTTTCCCAGTGAGTAACTTTCGTCGAGGATCTGTTCTCCGAGGGAGAGAGTGAGGTGTCCACGTGTTGTCTTGCGGTAATACTTCTCCACCGTCTTCCACCACGTGGCGACTGAGGGCTTTTGGGTTCTCCGGGAAGATGACGAGAGGGAAGCGACGAAGTCAGTGACGATCGCACGCTGTGACGGCTTGAATTTCCCGTACCAGATTAAGTTGATGGAGACGTCTCCGGTAAGAAGAGCTCCTTTGTGGTACTGAAACGACATGTAATCTTGCGTTTCGTCCGTCTTCGCTTCTAGACACACAAACGTAGCAGCGAATAACAAGAGTAAGACTCTGAGATTGTTACTCAACACAAAAGACGCCATTTGTTAAAATGTAGAAGTAGCAAAGCTAAGAGACCAAGAAAGCTTCCAAGTGGTGAACGGTGATGTGTGTATGAGTTTTGAGTTGATATTGTGATTGTGTCGTGTGTGTTATATATAGTAGTCTAGTAGAGAAGAAGAGAAGGATAAAAACGGAAATTTGAAAAGAGATTGAAACCTTACCAAAGATTGGTTGCCAGTTAGGCAAAGAGCGCGTTAGAGAGATTACAGTAAGAAAACAGCCAAGTATTTTTGGGAAACAGAACTAAAGACAAAAAATCAAAGCCGTGGGAAGAAAGTTAGTATGGTTCGGTTGGACCAATATTTAAATATAAAAATGACTATATTATACAAAAGATTATTTTTTAGTTTTTGTGGCATCTAAAATTAGATACAGCTGGAGAAAGTGCAGAGTTTATGCGTCGAAAAGCGAGAGTTAAATTAATAAAATTAGTGGAACAAAGGTTTATACATCATTTGTGTCGGAGTTTTGCTTGGTTTCTCTGTTTTTTCTTTTTTCTTTCTTGTATGTCCCTCTCCCTTTTAGTAATCTATTTTTGTTCATGATCTAATTATAGTCATAGCATAAGAGAGACTAAAATATTTTGTTCATGATGTCTTTTTATAGTTATTATCAATTGTTATTCTTCATTATGTGGTTATAATTATATATATTTTGTAGTTCTTAACATGTGACGTTTTTTCCTATCTTCGTCTTTTCTATGTTTTAAGAATTTTCATGTTATTTTTGCAATTTTTATCAAGGAAAACACTAACGAAAAAAGAGATGCGTTTATAATAAAAAAAAAAAGACCAATATGAAAATGACGAATCAGATTAGGAGACATGATTTTATAAACAAAGATGCCGTTGATCTTTGTCAAACAATGGTTGCTATTTTTGGTGGGTCTTTGTGGGTTTTTTTGTTACATAAGAATTTCATCATTTTAATTACATGGTATTTTTAAAACTGAGTTTGAGTAATTATGTAACGAATTCTTATCCCAAGAAAGTTAGATTTTAGGAAAAATTACATAACCCAAATAATAACTAAAATTTTTGAATAGTAGAGATTTTTGTTTGATTTAAAATTTTCAAAACCAATAACCGTAGATTTTACTAAGATTTTAAGAATTCATACACCAATACAAAATAATCTCAAAAATTGAATAATCTTTAAGAATAAACCTCCTAAAAATACATTTTGAAGGGAATTTCTATCAGAACCTACTTTGGATCTCAACACACGAAGCATTTTTGTTTTTTTATAAACACCAATCACGAAGATTTTTAAACAATAATAATGTGGTTTCGAATGATCAATTCAGACAATGTGGTGGAAACATATTGCCAGAAGCAGAACCTTCAACGTTCTCACATAACGCCGTCGCGGGACCGTCGGTTCCATTGTGCGTTAAGTTGATGTCAACTAAATAAACATTCTTGCAAGGAAAGCTTTCGCTACATTGAAGATTCACAGCCACCTTGTTCATCGACGTCCCCCAAATATTCTTTAACGTCACATCTTCAATCTGAACGTGAGACTCTCCCTGAAAAATATTTTAAAAGAAGTCATGGTCCAACCTGTTAAATTGAACTCAAGGCGTTAGGAAGCTAGTTTCTTGCGTGTTAAGTTACCATTTTTTTGCAAGGCGGGTGAGGGCAATACTTCTGATCGATCATAATAGGACTTTCCACATCGATCATCTGTATATTTGCAAACACAAAGTTAGAAACTAAAATCGCTACAACAGAGGATTCCCATGTCTTGATCCGTACGCCATTACTCGTGCCGGTAAAGACCATATCCCTAACCACTAAGCCGTCAACGTTCTTCTCCTCCTTATACCTTCCCAAGCTTCCGACACTAATCCCATGTCCGGGACCACAAGTGACGTGAGAGATTTCAAAATTAGTATTTCCTGAAAGGATGGCGATACAATCGTCCCCTGTGCCAATGTGAGTGTTGGAGATTTGAATATTGCTTGAAAAGCCTATTTTGATCCCGTCGGTATTGGGGCTATCTCCGGGAGCTGTTATGTTGACGCCCGTGATGCTGAAATGATCAACGGCGTAGAAATTCAAATGTCCTGCTTTACTGTTTAGTGATGTTATCCCTTCGATACTTGAATTATTCACGTAATCAAATCCCATGTTCTGCAAAATGTATTAATTAAAAAATGAATATACTAGACTCAAGAATACTAAAAATTGAAGAACAAGCAGAGGAAATAATTCAAGAATACTAAAAAGTACTTGAATAATTATATATACTTACGATGGCTAGTTTAGGACAATTAATGTTCTTGTCGCAGTCATTACGTGGCCAAGACTCTTTGCCTTGGCCGTCGATGGTACCGCCGCCAGAGATGGTGAGAAAGTCGATGTGGCAGAAGTTGATCCACGTCTCCTTTTTAATGTCGTCATTGTTTGTAGGAGCCAATAAGGTTCCATCGATGACAAACGAAGTCTGACCTTTGCATGGTCCACCAAATGTTACACCACCGATAAAGAACGTTCCTTCCGGTATGTACATTCTGCTAAGTCCATTCCATGCGCAAGCATCTTTCCACGCATTTGTAAACGCCTTACATCACAAACAAAATAGGTTAATCATAGAACAACACTATGGTAATTGAAATAAAATCAAGAAATTGTGTGTTTCAGTTTCTTTTTTCTTCTCCTGGCCGGTGGGTGGAGATCATAACAGATTTAATTATACTATATGATAGTCCCTTCATTAGTTTCTTTTGTTGAAAATTTCTGGTTTGTTTCTGACTCCTGAGTTTATTTTGTAGATCGAATTCATGAATTATATATAGAAATAAATGAAGAAGCCTGGCAGATCGTATATACAATTTAGAGAAAAACTAAAAAGAAAAATGTCACTTACATTAGTATTATCCGTTTGACCGTCGCCTTTTGCACCGTAGCTTTGGACGTCGAAGACTTGTGGTCCGGTGTCTGGACGACATGTGACGGCGACGACCAAGAGAGACAAACACAAAGCCTTAAACGCAAAACTAATGCAAGCCATCTTTTTCTTTAGGTAAATGCTAGTCTTCAAGGTTCTGTTAATTGTTTGTTTTTCTTTGAATATCTGAATAATAAAGAATGTGTTATTTTCTTAAATACAGTTTTAAAGTAGATACGAGAAGTGCTAGTCAACACTGTAGCTATGATAAGGAATCTTCGTAAAATGAAAATATCATTTGTGCTACTAGTGCTGGCTAAAAGGCTGATTTCTTTCTTTTTTTATTATCATACAATCTTACAAAAGAAGAATTCAATATGTAAATTTTGGGGGTCTGAATCTTGTGGTAGATTAGTTGCTAGTATTGATCCACCCGAACTATGCATGTACGAGATTTTTAAAAGATATATTAACTTAATATAAATTTAGAAATATAATCTAATTTTATCACAATAGATTCGGGGTCTGAATTTTGTGATACACTATAGTTATCACGAATATTCTTAACCATTCAACGATCTACAGCACGTTAACAACACACTTGTTCACTATATAAATGGGGAGATCCTGACCAACACAATTGTTCCCAAATACTCTTATAACATGTAATTTAAGATTGCAAATAATTTTATTTTTCCTCTTTTCTCATGACATGCTCTCACTTTCTTTTTCCTCTTATACACTTTATAATGATAATACCGATCTTTGAAATCAGCATCTAAAAAAAGGTGTTTTGATTCAATTTAAAAAATATAATGCTTCACTTTATATTACTCTAGACTTTTTTGTTTGTTCAAACTCATATTATTCCAGACTAAATATAAATGGCCCACACAACAAGTGTGTACAAAAGAAGCACAAATTTTAAAAGAACAAAGTATCGGAGACAGAAGAATTGGAGGTCTGCTCATCAAACAAACCGGTCGGATAAGGCCCATGACCAGGCCCAAAAGCTTTCACATGGTCCTTAAGGGAGCGTTTGTGTTTAAAATCGGAACCACAAACGCAAACCCAGCGTTTCCCACAGTTCTTCTCGTGGGTTCGCCAATCGCCCTTGACAGCCAAGAGCTTACCGCAGATGCGACACGAGAAAGGTTTTTGGCCGTGTTTGCGTTTGTAGTGCGTTTGGAGCGTTCGAAAGTCTTTGAGCGGCTTGGACCGAGGATGGTCAATGTGGTTCCTGCACCCTTCGACGCAGCAGTAACAAGGGATCCCTAGCATGGCTCGTGGCTGTGTCCCTTTGAGCGACTCTGGCCCTTTCCGGTATTGTGAACCGTGGCCCCACATGTGCATCTGAATTCATATTACGAGTAAACAAGATTTGCATGAATTTAAACAATAAATGAAATAGAGAAAATGGTTTGAAGATTTCAAGATAAACTTTCACAATAACCTAATGCTTGAATCAAAATTTTGTATAAACAACTAATAATATGGCTTCAATAAAATCGTATTATTGAAGATTGAAATGGTCAATCATGGTGTTTCAATGAAGAAAAATGTGTGTTTGATTTGGATGAAAATTCTTGAATGTATAAAAGGAAATTTTTATTTTACATATGAGAAAAGCTTTTAAAACATAGAAACAGTCAAATTAGAGTTAACAGTCTCATTAAAACATTTAAAAAACAGGTGTAAAATGTTAATAAACGTAACAATTTCGGTCAAATATTTTCATTCTAATCTTAAATACCATAAAATACACATTAACAAGTATTTTTGTAAAAAATAAAACTGAACCTCTATAGTATAATCAACTTACCAAAATGAGTTTTTTTTTTTTTCATAATTAGATTCCTAAGGGAATTTTATCTAGTTGAATATTTGTTGTTTAATTGTGGGCAAGTTAGCTCATATGTATGTATATATAATATATGAATAAAGTCATAACATTATAGATACGGAGACAGTTGAATGTAAATTTAGATTATATTTGGTTATGCATGGACACACAATGCGCATGAGATATATAATGGTTTGTACCTGAAGATTGTTGTAGCGATTGAATGTCTTGAGGCATACATGACATGAAAAATGAGTGAAGCCTATTATAATCTGCTCCGGCGCCGGAATCCAGTATGCCTTACCGGAAACTTCATTCTCGATGTCTTTTACGGCATCATGAGTGACGATCTCCTTCCCATTTTTCTTCTTTGGCTGTATAGCCTCATTGCTGCTCGGATTACCGGAACCAGGAAGACCGATGTGCAAGCTCACGTCCACTTCAACGTCATCTTCTTCTTTTCCTTCTCCTTCTTCCTCTCCTTCTTCAACATGTGATGGTTTAGGGTTCAGGTCTATGGTTGAGTTTAAGTTTATCCGATCGATGAGCGGTAAAGATTCAACTAGGGTATGGTTGTTGCTAGGGTTTTGCGTGAGGTTAGGGAAGAGATCAAGGGGTTGGAAGTACTCTCTAGGTTTTTCAGAAGAAGAGCTTGAGGAGATCTCGTAATGTGGTGACTCCATTGAATGTGATGAATAGTGGTTGGAGAGTGATGAAAAAATTTGGGAATGTTTGTTTAGGGATTTCATTTCTGCTTCTATTTTGAAAGAATCTTTCGACTAGATATAATTATAATTAAATAGCTTTATGTAATGATGGCTCTCTATCTATCCAAGTAATTTAATGTTTGCAATAACTTTTATAACTAATTATCATGCAGGTACGTAAGTGTAGATCCCACGTATCAATCGTCTACTTTTAACTGCGAGAATAAAAAGAGAAAAATATCGAATTTACTGTACATATATCATGATCTATATATGTTTTCGAAACCAATGTATGAACAAAACGAATATGAATATAAATATTCTACAATTATATCATAAAGTACGTACCAAATAGAGGAGTAAAGTAAATGAGAATCTCGGGCAATGTGAGGAGCAGACACTTGAGAATGCATATGGTTGAGTGAAAACAACCTTTGTTACGAAGTAATTTAATCTCATCTGTTTCATCTCTTTGCCTATAAATAGAGTGTGAAGCAAAGAACCTTAAATTTTGTGGACCAGCCTCTTCAAGATTTGGCAACTTTTTCATTGCAGGGTTTTTGACAATCTTTGGAATTTACGTAAGCTTTTTGCTGTTCTACCAAATTATTTTCTCATTTTACTCAATGAATTTTCGAATTTGGGTAATGGAGTAAATGCTAAATTTGAATTTACGTTTTTTAATTATTATTATTATGGAAGGTGCATTATTAATATTCTTGATATTCTTCGGCTTGTGTTTTGTATGTATGTAAGCTGATTAATTCTCTCTTAACGGTCAACGGCTCATTTAGTTTGGTAAAACTAGATTTGACATACCATTAATTGTAGACTAATTCAAGATTTTGATATAAATTTGGTCATGCAGAACTTGTATAGATTTTGCTCAAATGATTTGCTTACCAAAATATTAGTGCCAGGTTATTAACTTATTATTTATCTTTAAAATGTACTGCATACACATAGTCAAATATTATATCCTATCTCCACAATTCATATACATACTAGCAAATTATTACCTATACTATGTAGCATGTGGCAAGAATATATACGTATCTTTTAGTTATCTTGATTCAACTATGATTATAATATTTCCAAAATTATTTTAGGAGTAATCAAATGATAACTATGGACTTTATTTTGTGCTGATAGACTATGACTACTATTATGAACATGTTGATTAGATTTATAAAAAAATGTGAACATTTTTATCAACTTAGTTGTAGTCTTAAATATCATCGATGACTTAAACTTTTTTAATTTCCATACATGGGATATTAAGTTACGTTGAATCAAGATAGGATCTACAAATAGGTCAATCAACTCCGGTGGTATAAAGGATTGGCCTGCGTGGCTTATATACTCTATAGTACTAAATACTTTATCAAATGATTTTTTTTATTTGTAGGTATGTGAATTAATTTATTGGTTGAATTGTGGAAAATGTTATTCAACCTTTCACTAGCTTACATTTATTTCGTTAAATTAAATCAAACTCGTTGACAACACCAGGACGGGCAAGTTAGCAAGGGATACCAGTCTTTTATCATTTCAGTATGTTAGTTTATACATTCGATTTGGATTTAAGAGCTTTTTAGGTTTTTCATTTTTGAATGATGTTGACAAAGAAAGAAACGTGTTTCGTAAAATATGAGGTGCTCTCATCCTTAGTCGAATCATCCACTGTATATCCAAATTGAATTGACGAATTGACGATTTTGGAAAGTTCATATGTTGTTTAGATACCGATTCTGCGATTCATATTGTTTAAGAATTCGAAGAATGGAATGACACTCTTCCTTCTTTGCTTTAACGAAAATAAGTTGTCATCCGCAAAATAATGGTAGATGTGAAACTCATGGACTGATTCTTGCAATACTAAAACATGTTAATGCTTTTTCCAGTTTTGCTCTCCGAATATTTGCAACCAAAACCTCTATACAAAGAATAAATAGATTAGGGGACAAATAATCCTTTGCCGAAGATCCCTGTGTGGGATAATGTAGCATTTTGAATGGGTGTTTAGTAGAATCTTGTATTCGACCCATATGATACACCACATCATCCATTCAATCCATTTTTCTACAAAACCACATTTTACATAGTAATTCTCTATGAAAAGCCATTCGACCTATCATAGACCGTATTCATATTTATCTTACTTTCTTTACAGGTTGTTCATAGTCCATGAAACATATCCTGAGAAGTCTAAGATATTATCTAAAATAAGAGACGACACAAAAGTTGACTAAGTCGCTAGCATAATTTTTTTTGATACTATCTTATAGACACTACTAATTTTATAGAAATGGCTTGAATTCAAAGTTTCTTAGTTTTGAATAAGGGCTGATATAGGAACTGAGTGTGACAAAAACATATTAATGATGTAAAATGATACTTTTCAAAAGAAAACAAATTTCTTTAACTTAACTTTTAAAATACTTTATATTTTTTGAAACTTTATTAAACAAAACCTTAACATTTAGTCTTTTGAGCTATTTCTAAAAAAAATTGGACGTGATCATAGTCTGACCATCTTGACTGGTAATGCCATCTTTGATATAGACCATTAACATAAGGTATTGTGGTCACACTACTAAACACAATAAATGCTTTGCAGCTGAATGGTTAGAAGGCCAACAATGCCAAACTCCCTCCAGCCTATTGCCAGATTTTTTGATAAGAATCCAAGCCAAACAATCCACGCCCAATCTTAGGAGTTATAAAGTTTTGAGAACATATAAAGATATGTGACACCTCAAATTACATGGATTCACGTTTTTTGGTTTCCACAAAAGTACCGAGATCAACTCCATCACTTAGCTAAAAATCTATGTAACATGTAGTCTGATGAGGAACAGTGGCATGCATATCGCAAAACATCATCTCTTTGGCTTGAAATATTCAACCGGTTCGCAACTTGCACTTATACAAGGAACTGGGACATATGGACTATGTTCTTTCTCTATTCAATTCTGATATTCTCTCAACTGTCTTCCTCTTACTTCCCACTTGTTAACATATTTTTTTAGTTGAGTAATAAATTTTATATTTCTAAAAAGAAAAAGAAAAAAAACTTATCAGATCTTTCAATTCTTGATTACTACTTTAACCCAAAATCTAAACCGAAATCACATTAATTCTGAGTTTACTAAAAAAACAAAAAATCCGGTTTAGTTTTTGTTTGTTTGTCATGACATTGTAAAAGAACAAAAAAAAAAAGTTTGCTTTGTTCCTACGAGCAATCCCCAGTGCCTCAGCAACAACAGCAACCACAACCGCTTCTTCTTCTCCTCCTCATTTTTTTCTCCATTGATATCCTTCGATACCTTCCCAATCACAAAATCCATTGGCGCTAAAATAAATTCTCAGCAAAAAACAAAACGCCATTGATTCGATTCGATTCGATTCGATTCTCTCGCAGAGACATCGACTTCTCACCTTTTTTTTTCTGCTTTGTCGGCAACAAACAATAATCTGAGCTCAAATCTGCACCATTTCTGGGATTTTTCGTGATTTTCTTGGGGAGAGAGCTTCTGGGTATCAATTAGTATTCGTTAATGGAGAAAGGGAGGATCTTGTTGTTGCTGTTGGTGGTGATTGTGTTTGGGAATCTAACGTTCACTGCCGTCGTCGTCTCCTCATCCTCCGTTAGGGTTCCGGTTTGTGCTACGAGGTCGATTAAAGATTACACCTTTGGGTTTCGAGATCAGACTTGTCCCGCTTCTGGTGAATTAGACGAACGTCCTCATTTCGTTGCCGTCACCGAGGTACGTCCGCAATAAAGTTTCGATCTTTACGCCTCGAATTACGCAATTAATTGAGAAATTGAGCTCGGATTCTTCAATTGCTAGGGTTTCTTCTTGATTGGAATATCAGCTGAATTGAAAAAAATCTGCCTTTGTTTCTTATGAATGGTTATAAAATCTGTCTTTGTTTATTCATTGGCGTTTGTTCTGGTATTTGAAGGGTGATGAGCGATGGTTGCAAATAGCATTGGATATGATTCATAAGAACAAGTGTGACTATGTGGCTTTGCTCTTCTATGCAACATGGTGTCCATTTTCAAGGTCGTTTAGACCGAGTTTCGATGTCATTTCTTCTCTATACTCCTCAATCCCTCACTTTGCAATCAAGGAATCATCTGTTAAGCCAAGGTTGGTTATTTAAAGCCACAATCTTTTTTCCTTCTTTGTTTCTCTTTTGTTGATCATCTTTCTGATTACTTGTTGTTGTTGTTGGTGCAGCACTCTCTCTAAGTATGGAGTTCATGGGTTCCCTACTCTCTTGCTTTTGAATTCAACTATGCGGGCACGTTACCGAGGGAACAGAATGCTTGATTCTCTTGTTGCCTTCTACAGTGATGTTACCGGTAAGCCATTTCTGTTCTTGCAGATCTTCCCGTAGCTATTCATTTATGTACTCTCTGTTCTGCTATTTATGATCTTCTTGTAAAGGTCACTACTTGTGGAACTAATAAGGAGCTTTTCATGGGCTTGTAGGTATTGAAACGCTGGATAAGACTTCTATAGAGAAAAGCGTATCAGTTCCTCATCTCGGGGACGAGATCAACGCCGAGCCAGAGAACTGCCCTTTCACGTGGGCGAGATCGCCTGAGAACATGCTTCGACAAGAGACCTATCTGGCTCTTGCCATTGTATTCGTCCTGTTGAGACTGCTCCACTTGGTTTTCCCTACACTCGTCGTGTTCACGAAGTTCACTTGGAGACGGATCGCTCAGAACATGAGACTGGAGAGCCTGCAAGAACACACCGTCGGGTTTCTCAGCCGAGCTGTGCAGCTATGCATGCATCTTAAAGAGCCTTGCAAGAGGAGCAATCTTCAGGGAAGAGCCATGAACGCTAGAGCATGGGCCTCTAAGTCTTTGGCTACTGTCTCAATTGGGGACTCGAGCTCATCGAACAGAGGAAGTTCAGCTTCTCAGTGACTTCAACAGAATTCTAAAACATAGCAAAAATGTGGTCAGCTAAAATGTTTAGCATCTGTTACAGCTTTTCAGGATAAAAAAGTTTTTGCCTCTTTCCTGTATAATCCTCAGTTTCCTCTGTACCAACAACTTTGGAGAGGGCTTAATTCATAGTTGAACATTTTGTAGCAGAAGTTGTATATGTTATAAGAGGGCAAGATTATAAGTCAAATTCATAATTTTAGTGTCAAGACTAAATCATAATCGATCTTTGCCTAAACTTGTTTCCTCTAGCAGTTTCTAATATGACATTTTACAAAATACATGAGTCAAAGACTTGCATCAATCTGTTTGGTCAGTCTCCAAAGTCTAAAATCTTCCATTAGTCAATCTCTACAACTACAACTGAGACATCATTCTTCAAAGAAAATCGAACTTCCGGAGTTTGAAAGCTGTTCAATGTTCAACTCTCCAAATTTATGCCATTTTATATCTTTTGTGCCAAGATAATCTGCCAAAACATTGGATATCTTGAAAAAACATTGGATATTTATTAAAATATGTAAAAATCTAATGTAAAACCGGTAAAATGACAAATATATTATACCTCTAACAACATTGCAATTGGTTATATTATGTGGTTTATTATTAAAAACAAAAGTGGTGTATTGTGACGGCATTTGCTTTCAAAACTGGCTGCGCAGGAAATGGGACATGTTGGTCGTCGTTTTCCGAAAAAAAAAAATTCAAAGTTGAAAATTTGTTTTTAAGCTGAAATTAATCTTAGGAAAAAAATAATTAAATAGAAAGAAAAGGTTGAATCTTTGTATCACTTAGCTTTCACTGAGAAGTATGAGAACCGCTGTTGAGATATAATATTAACTTATTTCTCCAGTAGGATAATCATTGAACTACAACGTAATCGCTTAACATAAAACAAATATTTTGAAAGCTGTTATTTTAGAGAACAAAAAGTCTTCTAAACTACAAATTATCTGTTATTTAACAGGATCATGAGAATGTTAAAATTGTTAAATTCTTAAAATTATTTGTTGACTTATAAATAAAGAGCTCCTAAAGTTTAAGAAGGATTTCTAAATAAACATAGGTTTCTGTGGATAATATATATATGTTTAAAGAAGTTAATTACATTTTAAAATGTGTCTCACTATGTAAGAAGAAGCCAGTTCACCTACTAAAATCACGTTTTAAAAACAAGGCAAGTTCTGTCACCCGGTACAGAAAAACAAATATCACCAACCAACCAAACAAAAAAATGTAAGCGACGACTTGGCCTTGTTATATAATAACACACCATCACTACTAACATTGGTAGAAAATATCCGAATACAAACAAGAAGTAGTCAAATATGGATCTCTTCTTAATTATTGCCGCCGTGGTAGCCGCCGGAGCCTTCTTCCTCCTCCGAAGCACCACCAAGAAGTCTCTCCGACTGCCTCCGGGGCCGAAAGGTCTTCCTATAATTGGAAACCTCCACCAGATGGAGAAATTCAACCCACAACATTTCCTTTTCCGTCTCTCCAAGCAATACGGCCCCATTTTCACAATGAAACTCGGTGGCCGCCGCCTCGCGGTGATCTCCTCGGCTGAGCTAGCTAAGGAGCTTCTCAAGACCCAAGATCTCAACTTCACAGCTCGGCCTCTCCTCAAAGGGCAACAAACAGCCTACTACCGTGAGATGAGGAAGATGTGTATGGTGAACCTCTTCAGCCCAAACCGGGTCGCAAGTTTCCGACCCGTTAGAGAAGAAGAGTGCACACGGATGATGGACAAGATCTACAAAGCTGCCGACCAACAATCAGGAACCGTTGATATAAGTGAGCTTCTCTTATCCTTCACCAACTGTGTTGTCTGTAGACAAGCTTTTGGGAAGCGGTACAATGAGTACGGTACCGAGATGAAGAGATTCATTAACATCTTGTACGAGACTCAAGCCCTTTTGGGAACTCTGTTTTTCTCCGACCTCTTCCCTTATTTTGGATTCCTTGACAACCTCACCGGTCTTAGCGCGCGTCTCAAGAAAGCCTTCAAGGAGCTCGACACTTACCTTCAAGAACTCCTCAACGAGACTCTTGACCCTAACCGCCCTAAACCCGAGCATGAGAGTTTCATTGATCTTTTGATGCAAATCCACAAAGAACAGCCTTTCTCCGTCAAATTCACCCACGAAAATGTCAAGGCCATGATATTGGTACATAACTCACTTACTCTATCTTATTGCCATTTTATAAAAAAAAATCTAAAATAATTAAACTGTATTACTTCCTAGAGGTCAGTATTTATATTTTGTTAATTTTTCAGCATTTTCTAATTTTAATTAATTCTGTATGTTTTTATCAGGATATTGTTGTGCCGGGAACAGACACAGCGGCGGCGGTGGTGGTATGGGCCATGACATACCTTATAAAGTATCCTGAAGCAATGAAGAAAGCTCAAGAGGAAGTGAGGAAAGTGGTAGGAGACAAAGGTTACGTCTCGGAAGAAGACATACCTAACCTACCTTACCTGAAGGCCGTCATCAAGGAGTCTCTCCGGCTCGAACCGGTCATCCCCATTCTTCTACATAGAGAGACTATTGCAGACGCAAAGATCGGTGGCTATGATATTCCGGCAAAGACCATCATTCAGGTGAACGCGTGGGCGGTTTCTCGTGACACAGTCGCATGGGGAGAGAACCCTAATGAGTTCATTCCTGAGAGGTTCTTGAACGAGCACAAAGGAGTGGACTTCAAGGGGCAAGATTTTGAGCTCTTACCTTTCGGGTCTGGTCGGAGAATGTGCCCGGCGATGCATCTTGGAGTCGCTATGGTGGAGATACCTTTCGCTAACCTTCTGTATAGATTCGACTGGAGTCTACCTAAGGGAGTTAAACCAGAGGATATAAAGATGGACGTCATGACCGGACTCGCTATGCACAAGAAAGAGCACCTCGTCCTTCAGCCTAAACGATACATTTGATCCGGCGGTTGCTTTTCAATGTGTGGCAACATTTTCGTTTTGCTGAGTCATAATTCTGTTTATGGCTCTGTTTTCAGATTAACAAATAATGTATTAATATTGTTTTTCTGGACTAGAAAACAGTATACCCTTTGTGTTATTGTCCCTCTATGATATGATGATTGATTTTTTGGGTTTAAATTTTGATACATATTTACATTAATAATTTTTTTCTTAACATTTGTACATAATTGCAAACTCTGTTTTACACACTTATTACTTCACAAGCAAGTAAGCAACTATGAAGTATATATGAACCAATAATAATTCAAGTTGTTCAGAAAATTGTAACTTTTTTTCTTAAAGTTTACAAACTCCAAATATTTGTTTTGCAAGTTGACTCTCAACATGAAACTCTCGGAGCATTTAATTACAAAGCCAAAGCTCTTATCATAGTAAGCTTTTGGGATTTTGATAACAGTTGTAACATACATACTGAAAAACAAAGATAAAATAAGCATCACAAATTTGGTATGACGTCAACAAGTGATACACTTTGCACAACTTTCTATCTAACATCATCTTGAAGTCAAAGCTGAAACTGAATTATGTGGTGAGAACATCTGGAAGATTTGTTCGAGTACCAAGAATCTTACCTCCAACATCAGGAAAAGTATCGAATCCAGGTAAAGGGATTACTTTCCCAGTGTTATCAACAACGAGTGGATACTTCAAAATATGACCTTGTAAAGGGCTGAAATTATGTGCCGTGTATTTTTTCCAATTATCTTCACTTATCATGTTAACCTTTTTCACACATTCTAGACTCTCTGGCTCTTTGAATGTCTCATCTACTTTACCCATGTGCTCTGCCCACAAGGACATTCTGTATCCATAAACCTGGCCACGAGGATGTTTATTCCTGTGGTTCCACGTTTGTTGCTTTTGGTATGCTCCCATTGCTATCTCTGTGTCTCGTGATCCTGCCATTGATCTTTGGTTGATATTTGCCGAGCCTAGTAGCACATACTCGTCATCGACTATCATTCCTTTCGCATGTACATATATCATAAACCTTTGCCATTTTTGAGATTCTGAGACCTGATCAGTGATAAACGCCCTATGATATTCATTCTCATATTGTACAAACGTAATAGTTATCTTCTTACTAAAAATGAAATTTTACCGTTTCGCTGTTGTTTGAGACACACGTTTGATCTGATGGCAACTCCTCTCGGTTACCTAAACAATAAAAGTTGAGATAGTCTTGCGGGTAAACATTCTCAAGGTTCATGTACTTTATTTCCCGTGATATGATCTCATACATCATTTGCATTGTTTGCCCCTACATGAACAAACAAATTTGAATAATCAAGAAACCATAGAGAGTTTGGCTGCAATAATTTATTTCTTTTTATATTCTTGGTTCCATGAAAAAAAAGTTTATCAAATCATAACAGAAAAAAAAAAAAAAAAAAAAAAAAAAAAAACAAGTTTGAATACCTGCCAGTAGAGAATTTCTTGGACAGGAGCTGAAGAAGGAACTCCTTCAGGCCACATTGGGATCACTATATACACCGCAAACCTTTCTCTGGCCCTTACCTTGCTGGCAATCTTTAGTGCAATTTCTATAGGAACAAGATTATCGGCACCTAAGTAATCATGTTAAATTGTTACACAGTATTTTGAAATTTTGATTTAGTTAATACAAGCAACTTTAACTGTTTGAACAAAATCATGAGTCCTAAAAATACCTGCTTCTTTGTAATTAGGCCATGCAAATGATGATCCTATAAAATATTGATTCTCAATATATATAAAGTGTTGTGCAGATCTGATAGCTTGGATGTAAGCTTCTTGAATACTCTTCTCGATCACTAGATTCTTAGCACATACAAGATTCTGTCAACAATATAAAATGAAAAAAGAAAAAGCATGTCAAATAGTTTGTTTAATTTAGAGTAAGAGGATAATAATGTTTGGGTTGACTTGAGGTACAACCTCCGCATGAACTTTGTAAACATCCTTAGGAAATCCTTTCAATGATCCTGAATCAATTGACCTAAAGACCTGCAGTAAAAGGAAAAACAAAAGAATGTTATCTTGACATCCAAGTCTTCTACGAGAGAAGACGTTATTTTGAAAGACATACACAAGTTTTATAATGTTTTGCGACAAAGGCTGCAAGATCCATTAAAATGGTATTTGATTACCTGGACATGCCAGCTTTCTTTATCTTCGTCCGTAGATACCCATAAGGAAGAGTCATTTGGTAGAATTGCTGCAGAAGGGCTCAGAATCCACGAGATTCGTTCCAATTTTATCAAAGAATCATCGTGCCAGCGAGTCACTTTCTTGAATTTATGTCCAATCTCGGACCATTTTGTAGCTTTTTTCCAACGTTGTTCAAAGTTTAAGAGGATATCATAAGCTGCTGGCCCTTCAACTTTACAGTGAAGATCATGCCATGGTTGCCTAGGTGCTTTGGTTCCTTCCTTTGATTCAGAATTTGAGTACATAACAAATGATCAGATTGTAGAAATGAAAAAAAAAATGTCGTGCTTAAATTTAAAAATGAATATTGATGGATACTATCTTTTCTAATATAAACATAGAAACATTTTAGCAGGGTAAAAATAAAAAACCTACTGAAAATGTGGGATTGTGGTAATCATCCTTGAAGACCGTGTCTAAACCCTTGAAAAGTCTATGTTCAGGTGTGTCATAACGACCATCACACAGATCAAGTCCTCCAATAAAAGCACTTATCTTTCTGTTATTACCGGATGCTTGTGAGTCTACAATCACACACTTCTGGTGATGCGTGAAAACGGTTCCCACAACCTAGTTCATATGACATTTTTAAATTAAAATATTATAGGATCGTTCTCATGAATTATATCACTTCAAAAAAAATGAACAATTACGTATGACTGATATAATAAAAAAATAATAATATAAACATAGCACAAAGCATGCCTGTTGCTTGAAAATGCTAAGCTTACTACTTGCATAACGTGGGGATAATACACACGAAACAGAAGAGCGCTTGAAGAACTTCCGAGTTTCTTCATCATGTGTTTGCATTACTCCTGCCTATAATAAGAAGCAAAGTCTCCAAATCAGAATCTTAGCAAAATTTCTTGATCAAACAATTAATAAAAATAAAAAATAAAATAAAAACATATCTAGATGAATGCTAAAACGAATTTGTTACCGTGTTAAGGAAAAATTTGCTGTGAGAAGTTTTATCATCCCATACCAACAATAAAACCCTAACACCTTCCTGTGATTTATACTTTAACAAATCGCCAAGACTCAGATCTCCACCATTGGGTAATGTCCGCGACGGGTCCCTCACAAGCTTGACTTTGTGGAAAACCGACCAACCAACAACATAAACCATATGGTGTGCCTCCAAGATTGCATTACATATGTCTTCCCAACATCGCTCGTGCTGGTAGAGGACTCCATCTTCTAACTCAATCTCAGGCATGTCTTCCGGCACGTGAGCGTCTTGGTACAACGTCACATGCCCACCGGTCCTCACCGGAAAATAACAATTAGCCACTCCCGATGACGTAATCCCACGTGTATAAAGAGGGTTTCTTTCAAACGGCACAAATTTCATTTCCAACCGAACCGCTGAGTCTGGTTTTGGCGAGCCAACGATCGGGAACCATTCCATGATCGTCTCGCCTTGTCTTATTTTCGTCGCGGAGACGGTTGCGATTCCTATAACATCCGCTCCGAAAACATCATTGTCCTTGACGTAGAACTCTATTTGAGAGACCGGATGTGCCAATGGAATTTTGAAATGCTCGTTCCAAACAGGAGTTTGGGAGTTTGCGATCACACGCGTACGCGCTACCGTGGCACCGGCGAGGCAAACAGTTACGTACGGATCACTTGTGATGATATTATTACGTGGACGCTTGTGATTATTACTATTGTTCGAGTTGCAATGCTTATCAAAAAGATTAAACGCGATGAACACACGGCGAATTCTTTCGGAGAGGAGGTCCATGTTAGGCAAGTTTCGTGCCTCAATGATTTGGAGGTCAAGATCTCCATGGAGGTAAACTAAACCTTCTTGTTTCTCGATTGTCATTGATGAGAAACTCAGAACCACGAGAACAAAAGAAAAAAGATAAGTTAAAACTTGAAATCCCTAGTTATCTATATTGAAAAGTTGTTACTACTTGAATATTTCCAAAGCCAACGGCGGTAAACCGAAGGCGTTGAGAAAAAGAGAGAGAGAGAGAAAGAAAAAAGAACAAAAATCTTGTAACCAAGGATTATATTATTTTAGGATAGTAGTGTTTGAACATAACACGTGTTAGGTGGTATTTAAATATAGTAAGCCTCGATTACCTCAGAAAATTATGTCTATACTAGGAGAGTACCCGCGCAATGCGCGGATTTATATATTAATAGTATTTTATTATTTGCTTTTTGTTTTAAATATTTTTACATTCTTTGTTTTTAAGTTGTGAGTATTTGTATATTCTGAGTTCATACAGCGATAATGAATGGATAGTTTATATCAATATTATTGGGTTAAATATTTTCATTTTAAATATGTTCATATTTCATATCGTAATTGATTATTAGTTTAAGGGTTTAGGGTTTAGCATCAAACACCTGTTTCGCCTTCTCCATATCCCCATTCTTAATCAAACCACGTTTCTCTAAGGCATTTCTCTAATTCTCGATCGCATTGTATCCTGGGAAATGAAAAACTCCGTCAAACAACTATGACCAGAAAACCACTCTTTCCCAATAGGGATGTACAATAGAAACTCTGGTTTCAAGCATGAAAGCAACACCACATATGTATAGTGATCGTAACTCTGGAACAACTTGAACCAATCCTCAGCACACAATGCAAAAATTCACTATTCCATTACAATATAACCAATGTTTCCCCGTAATCTTACCATTTCATTCTCCCCTTTTCTCGGTGTACTAATACCGTCAGTGTACTAATACTGTCAAAAGAACAGCATCCTTTTGCTGTTTGAGTTGTTCTCTTTAGCCGAAGCTTCATTCTTGGCTCTTTTCTTACAAAGTGTTGTAAACCTGTTCTTCACTGCATTGTCCGTTCTACAAACACAAAGAACAGAACATAAATTAGTCACTTTGGTCCTTGTAATTAGGATGACTTTACGCACTATTAGAGCTTGATGGAGCTTTGATTCTACCTGCCTGAAACCACTTTGGCTATCTCAGCTCATCTATTCTCAAATACTCTTTGTGCCTAGGAAAGAACAACACGCATAAGCTTAAAGATGATCAGTCAAACATAAACCCAAAAACAAACCTAAGATCTTATCCATGCAATGAAAGTCTGTAAGTGAAGTCACCTCACACAAAAGCAATAAATCTTCTGCAATTTTCAGAGTAATGCAACGGGCAAGGGAAATATACTCTGATTCGAGCGGTGGCATCTTCACCGGACTGAAGAAGAACGACAATGTCACGCCTCATTTGCTTCACCACAGCTTGTCTTCTTTTCCAAAACCTTTTGCAATTTTCATCCCAATCAACGCGTAACGACCTCAAAGAGATTGAAGAAGGAGAACGACATGAGATGATGAGGATCGGATTCAGATTTTGCGGTTTCCTTGTTCGGATTCTGAGCTCACCGACAGAATCGTCGATCAGAGAAGAGAGAGTGATTGCAGACGGAAAATCGTGGATCCAATTTCTTCTCTTTTAAAAAAAAAAAGAGTAATCTACATCTTAGACGACTAAATTGAAGGTATGGTGATCACAATTGTAAGTGAACTTGCTATTGCTGGAGAAAGGAAGCTTCTGGAGACACTGCGCAGCAAATTACCGGTGAAGTCTTTGTACTCGGCAAGAACCATTGTGCCTCTGACGACGAAGTTGTAGATAAACGATTCTTGACCCATTGGGTTGCCACCGAGTGTCAACCGAGTCGGATTAGAGAGAGAGAGATTTGAAAGTGCGAGGGAGCCCTGTTACGGAAGATAGCTTGACGGAAGCCGAAAGATTCTGAAACGGATTGCCGTGAACCATGGCACGACGACGGTCTGTGTGAATCAGCGTAAAAGGAATGGAGAAGCTGGGCTAACCTATTTATAGGGTACGCGGGAGCAAGAGAGGTTCTCTAACGGATGGAAGCTAAACCGCGAAATCGGCCGCCTCAACGGGGAAGAGAGGAAGGCGACGGGTTGTTTTGTTTAATAAATAACTTTTTTTTTAATGAAAGGAGCTGACGTGTCACTTTTTTGCTGGCAGCAACGAAAACGACGTCGTTTTGGAATAATTTATTTTTTCTAAAGGAACAAAACGACGTCGTTTTGGCGTTTGGAAGGAAAAAAAAAAAGAATGTGCCACGTGTCCCGAACAGGAGAGTGTCCAAGCCTTATTAGTTATGTGGATTAATATTTATATTTGAACTTTTTTGTTTTTGTTAAATATATTTGAACCAGAAGAACGCAAGACCAATGTATTTAAAACAATAAAAAGATCTCCTGAATAGACAAACGAGTCTAAACTCTAAACATGAGTAAGCAATCCTAAGATATTTCAACATTTAAAATATATAGTTTGAAGGAAATTATAATTTCCACATAACATTGTAACAAAAAAGTTTCGTGTTTAAATATATTTATGAATTGCTCTGTTTCTACAGATGCTTTTTCCCTTTCAGATGATGAATCTAATAAGATTTCCAGTTTTAAGAAACAAAAAAAACAGAGCAAACAAGAATTTCGATTCATGTGGTGATCCGATACAAGCAGAACTCAAGAAAATAAAATAAAAACAAACAATAACAAAAGCAAGGAAAGCAAACAAGAATTTCGAATTACATAAACAATTGAGACCTCGAGCTGAGATCACGTCACACTCGCTATATTATTACTACATCCTCTCTCATTATAATTAACCTCACAAGTCTTCGCAAGAATAACAATATAACTTATTCCTGTATCGATACCATTTTCACGTATGCTTACTCGTACGTCTTTCCTACAAAGGCCTAGTATGTCGTCCTTTGGCCCGGCCGCACAGACGAGAGTTCTTCGGAATAGGGTATTCGTCTCTCAAAGAGGTCGACGACGTGAAGACACGCAAGTAAAGCTGTTGCCCCAAGTACTGTCTTGCCCAAAACTCTGATCTTAGGTTCCACATTCCCACGTTGTCCAATGCAATGTAAATGGCTGTCCATGAATATGGATACACCTGAATCCCCAAAAATATTATCATTTTTATAATTAGAAGAAGAAATGATAACAATTTTTTTCTTTTTTTTGGTATCAAAAGAAAGAAAATAAAATAAAAATTTGTTAGACTGGGGAAGTTTAAGGAAGAAGAATGTCTCACTTGGACAGTGGAACGGGAAACAGCATCACGTAGATTGTACCCATTTCTGCTCCCCGACGTCCATTGTCCACCATCCATCCTGCATTTGATCCAATCACAAAAACTTAATTAGTCATACTAATCAAACTGATAAAAAAGAAAGAAAATATCATATGAAGGGTGTGAAGATAAACGTACCCGACAACCCAAAAGGAGTAACCATTGAGATGATAACTTTGGATGATATCTTCTTTGTTCTCGAATACAATCTCAATGAAGGTTCTATAATCAACTTGTAAAACGGAGGTGTCCAGGTATAAACCTCCACCTGTGGGTTTGTCTGAGATGCTATTGATCTTATAGACGCCGCTAATCTTGAAGTAGTCGGCAAGTTTTAGAGGCGTATCAGCAGGCACAAATGAGACACTATTGACACCGTATCTTTGCTTCCCATTTATCTGCCCAGCTGAGCTACCGAACACAATAGTCCTAATGAGCGGTATTAGACCATAATGGTATGAGCCTTGTGGGTTGGGTCTTGGTCCACTAGCTGTCAAGTTAGATCTACAAAAAACATAAACCAAATTCATAAACATTGGTCTTTTAAATTCTCTATAGAGCTTAAAACACTTAGCCACCTAGTAAAGAAAGGGTACCTGATGGCACGTGCTTGGTTCAAGGACCAGTCGACCTGAATGGTGGGACCACCGGGGAGTTGACCAGAAGCTGGTGTAGACGAACCACTGTAGCGGAGAACACCGGTGGTTGTTATTATTTTACTGGTGAACCGAGAGGAAACGACCACATAGTAGTCACGTGGAGATTGGTCAGCAGTAATGAGAACGGAGTAAGATTGGCCAACATGAACGTCTAGTGAAGAAAACATGGTTTGGAGTGTGTGAGTCCCTTCAACTTCCACAAGCTTCATCCTATGGTTTTGGATCCTGAAGTTTAGAGAATTTTGTAATCCAACGTTTGATATCCTCAATCTGTATGTTTTTCCTATATTACATCCGCCAAAAACAAACAAAAAAATTCAGTAGACATGTTGCATGTTTTTTTTGGGACCATTGCATGTTGAATAAGCAAAAAATAGGAAATATACAAAAGATCAAATGTCGCATACTGTTTGGCTCGTCGCAATAGGTTGTTTCCAAAAATATATATTATGTAAACTCTTTTTTTTTAATGTTTAGGCAACTAAACAAGTTATTTAATATTGACAGAAAAAAAAAGAGTTACTATTTAATATATTATTTTAATTCCTGACATAAAAGAAAAAAAAGACAAATTTCAAATGCAAACACACCTTGCTCAACGTTTAAGGTAGCACCGTTCCCTCGGCCATTGATAAGAATACCATCAGGCGAAGGTAGCTTCCTTCCTCTGTCAAGTCGAGCCTTCAAATCCTGAGGAACATAAAGAATTTTGAAATCGATAAACGCATACATACTTAAATCATTTCAAAAAACAGCTTTTTGTGTAAGGTCGCAAATATATTCGTTTTGGACAAAAAATAATCCTAAAAGAAAGGAGTCGATCAATTGGTTAAAACTTAAAAGACTTATGTGAATAATGAATGATCAGCTGGACGGACCGTCATTAGTTACATGTATTGATGTATATATAGCAAAAGAAAACTTACCGTGTGGTTAGATTTGTACCAATCTCCGATGAGGACAGTGTAATCTCCTGCCGGGTCAGCGAATGGAACTGGAATGCCGGGACGGCTAAGGATTCTGAATCCTCCAAACCCACCAGCCGCCTTGTGGAAGG